TTCTCCTTCCCGCGCAGCGCCCGCAAGTACATCTCCTCCGCCTCCGCCATCTTGCCTTGACTCGCGTACAGAGCGCCGAGATTGTTGACCGTGTCCAGCGTCGACGTGTGCTCCGCGCCCCATGCCTTCTCGTATCCGCGTAGCGCCCGCATGTACATCTCCTCCGCCTCCGCCATCTTGCCTTGACTCGCGTACAGATTGCCGAGATTGTTGACCGTGGACAGCGTCGACGTGTGCTCCGCGCCCCATGCCTTCCCGTACCCACGCAGCGCCCGCATGTACATCTCCTCCGCCTCCGCCATCTTGCCTTGGTCCGCGTACAGAAGGCCGAGACTGTTGACCGTGTCCAGTGTCGACGTGTGCTCCGCGCCCCATGCCTTCTCGTACCCGCGCAGCGCCCGCATGTACAAGTTCTCGACCTCTTGAGATGTCTCCCAATCCTTCAGAAAGTGGGCCACTTGATGATACTCGAGAGCTTGCTGCGCTTCATCCGATCGCCACGTCGCTACTCTCGTCCCGATCACTTTCGCATGTGCAGCTAGCCGAAGTCCCAAGTCTTTTGCCACTCCTCGACCGGCCGATTCTGCCATCCTGGCGACAAGTCTCAACGCCGCCGCCTGCAATTGTTGTGCTGTAGATCTGTCCAGGCTGTGTAGACACCATGCATGTACGACCGGATGTATCGCGGGCGCTCGATCCGCGGTGCTCATCTTCACCATCGAGTACTGGACGAGAGTTCCGATCGAGTGTTGCAGGGAGAGTTTCGTCACTGGCCTAAACACTGCGTCTTCGCGAGGCCGGTGCTGTGCTTCGTCGCTCTGTCCGGTCAATAACAGCTCCGCCCACACATCGCCATGATAGAGGAACGCCCATAGATCAAGCAGCTGCGCTGCGAGTGGGTCCCTACTTTTCACCTGTTCGTACGACATCGTCCACGTCGTCAGCACGCTCCGCTCGCCGTATTCCTGCAGTGGAAACTGGTCTTGCTTCTGCATCAGCTCGGCCCACGTCGCGTCGTAATGCTCGAGATAGTCCGCGACACTCATCCCGGTCGTGCTGAGATATGCTCCGGCTTGGGCGAGGGCAAGCGGCAGACCGCCGAGCTTGGGCAGCAATTGATCGATATCTGGGTGTTTGTGACGTTAGCAATCGCGATTGTTTGACGCCGCTGCCGCATGCACGTACTCGTTACCGCTCGATTTGCCCGTGTTTCGACCATCTCTTTCGCAAGCTCATCGTCGGCAGTATCTAAATGAAGGCTGGCCTTCGGTCGTTGCAGTCGTCTCAGACGTGTCGTAATCAAGATGTTTCCGTGATAGGCGTGCGGTAGGAATTCGCGATAGTCGTACGCCTGTTCGTCCTTCGTCTTGCCCTGCCAGTCGCGGTCGATGTTGTCGATTACCATCAGCCAGTGCGCATTGCCCGAAAGCGACAGCCACTGCCGGAAATCGTCGATCAATTGTGCGATGTCCATCTCGGCCGACAATGCATTGGTACGCGTCGACACCCGCGAGCCTGCGCTGGCCATCGACCGTCGCAGTGCGTCTTTGGACGACCCGTCCAACCAGAACACCGCACTGAACCGCTCTACGTTCGTCTCGGAGAACTTGGCACACAACTGCGTCTTACCCATCCCGCCCGTCCCGTATACTACAAATACCCGCTGCTGTGCCGACTGTGTCGATGTCGTTGCGAAAAACTCGCTGAGATACTGCATCTCAACTTTGCGCGGCACGAAATAGTCCGTCGTCGGCATACCGTGCAGGCTGAAAGGAAGGGAAAAGCCATAAGGTTCTGCATCTTCATTGATCAACAGGCATCACAAGAGCCGGTTAGGATATGATTTATCTACATACCTGTCGCTTCTCGTACAGGTCGAATCTTTGCGACCTCGGAAACAGGCATATATAGCAGCAGCTCGCGTGCATATGCTGCCGCCGTTGCAGCTGCGTACGGCTGCCACCGCTTGTTCTTGTGCGAATCGGCGTAGTCGCAAATCCCACGGATCACGAGACACGGAAACGAGTCCATCAGGCCCGCCGCTTCCATCTCGAAGCATATCACGCCCTCCTGCTGCGCAATCCGATCACGCGTGCGCCCGTCCTTCATCACTTCGTTGCCCGACGCGATGCTGCCATAATGCAGGTATGGGCGACAGCTCGGGCGTGCTGCCCGCTGCACCACGCGCGAGCGGGCGCACTGCCCACATGTGTTCCCGCGTGCGTGATCATAGCTGGCCTCGAAAAGCTCGTCCTCGTCGTGACCCTGGTGGACGAATGTCTTCATTGCGGGATACTTGGACAGCATCGCGCTAAGATGTGTCTCGAGTAAATGGTCCTGTAGTAAGTGTTCCGCCTGCAGGCCATGCACAGCGTTCAGGAGCTCCCGCGGGGGCTTGTTCAATGTCCCCGTCCGTCGAAACTTCCCGCCGGCCTTGGTCTTGCCGGAGTCCCACTGCATCACTCCGCCATGCTGGCCGTTCGGCCGGCTCACCACCACATCCCCGAGCCGCACGTCCACCTCTTCGCTCCACACCCCGCCCGCGACGCCCACCATCAAGCCGATGCGGATCGGAAAGCTGCGACTCATGTCACGGGCCACCACCGCCGCAGACACTGTCCCGGTCGTGCCCGCCGGCAGGCAAGCGATGACCACTCCGTGCGCACCGATCGTGCCGAAAGTATAGTCATTCTCGTCGCCAGGAGCAGGCGGCAGGCGTTCGTGCTTGTCGTCCAGCATAGCAATGGCTGCCGCTTTCTCAATCGCCAACGCGCACACGATGCCGACGGTGTACGCCTCGCGGCGGCGGATGGCATTTGGTGCCATAACGATATTCACAGAAAGTGGTCGTATGAGATGTAAAGCGGTTGGGAACGATGAGCGGTCATATCGTAGTCACCGTCTGAGAGATGGCCAGAGCTGCTCGCAAGTGGCCTGATAAGATGCTGCGCCACCAGGGTGTGGGGCTGCATGCGTGGCGCTGGCACAGCCGCGCCAGAAGTCGCGATTCGAACGCGACCTTCATGCCACAGGCGCTCTAGATCGTTCGTAGCAGATAGCACATCCGGCGACGAAATGCAGGGCGTACATTGTCCAAAGAGGCCGCACCAGCCGGGGGTGCGAGGCCCGGCGCTTAGTCGTGTCGCTGCCATCACGGACGGGTTGACCCGTAGCCGCTCAGAACATGGTATCAACGACGTCAGAATAAGGCGCCAAGCGCTCTACCCCAGTCGTTCACGGATTATTAGACAACAGTGCTAACTTTTGTCTCCGTCCGAAGCGAATTCGAGCTGCTATGACTTAAGCGCTTGCGATCGCCGTCGCGCAATCTCAAATACGATGGAGCAAGGTTGACAACAGCGAGCTCTGAGCAATCCACCAGGTGCTGTAAACTTGCAGATCCACCAGGGATGCCTCCGCTTGTCGCGAATACCAAGAAATCTGGGATTTCGTGCGAGGGTAGAATTGATTACCGTATTCGCAAGAGAGAAATAATGCCGGTCCAAGCTCTCCGATGCGATGCAGACATGACGACGATCGTTCCAAATCTAAGAGGCCCATTCATGGTGGGGGGTGATCCGACGCGTCACCGGGATCTCGCACGGACGGAGCACCGATCATGATATTCAAGCTGGAGCCCACTTCTACGTAGGTGATATACGACTCCTGCCATAAGAAGACATGTTTGTTATGCGGCATTGCATGAACATGAAAGGGACATTTGTCGTCACCTTGTACGACTTCGTGATATATGAAACCAATAGTCGGATAAACATATTCTATGTGCTACAATAAGGACACGCACACCTCCTTCCGCAACGAGCAGGCGCAGTTGCATCAACAATGACTTCGTGCATTCTATGTGCTACAATAAGGACACGCACACCTCCTTCCGCAACGAGCAGGCGCAGTTGCATCAACAATGACTTCGTGCAGCATTCCAAATTTTGTCACAACAAAGTATCACAATCCGACAATTACACAAACCGACAAGTCTCGTCGTAGAGCCATATCGTGAAGAGAACCGCGTGTACTCTCGCATGATGCATCAGGCAGATACGCCGAAGAATGGAACAGGCGGGCACGAGTCGAACATCTAGACCGTAGGGTTGGGCTTCAGAGGTCGACCATCAAGTCAGCAACCCTAGTAATGATGCGCATGCACCGTTGCCATACTTCATGCGCGTCAACACGCTACCACGAGGCTGTGAGACAGAGCACATATTGTCCCACATTCATGACAGCGCCTATATGACGATCGGGGAGTTAGCGAAGGTCAGGCGCTTGGAACAATGCAGGTCATATCAAAGCTATAGAAAGCCGAAGCACAAGGAAAGATCTCCCGACGAGTGATGGATCGTGTCTCTGTTCGTCACATCGACGGAGGCACGTGGTAAAGTCCCAGCGCGCGCAGAGATTGTGACTTTGCCCAGCATAAGTAGTGCACGAATTATCAATAATCACATTACCACATTCTAGCGGTCGGTGGTCGGTATTCCTCCTGTCCTCCAATACGCGATCCTGTGTATCTTCCTTGGACCCGTAGTGAATCGGAACTGGTCTGAATCACATCCGAGGGTTCATTAGTGGCATTGTCATCTACCGCCCGAGTTCTCGATCTGCGCTTTGCGATTGGTCTCGCGTCTCGAAGTGCCCGCTCATCTCTTGCTTTCTCCAGATCCTCATAGCTCATCACTCTCGCTGTCCCGATGACTCTGGATCTCGTTGAGCGTCGTACCCGAGCTTCGCTGTTGGTCCTTTGCAGAAATTCGTTGCGCCGCTCGAGCAGTACGTGCTCAGCGAATGAAGTCTCAGCAGCTTTGGATAATTTTTGGACTTGCTTTTGCAAGCGGCGTTGAGAGCTGCTGTCCAGGCTCTGTGCATCACGTCGGATTACGTCGTGCAAGGTAAGGATGCCCGCAAGATCCACCGGGGTTACGGGTGTCACAGGTAGCATCGGAGTGGATGGAACGCTTGAGATTGACCGCGTTCGTATGTTGGCATCCTGCTGGCCCGCCGTATCACCATTGACCGATTCTGCTACGGTAGGAGGTGCAGCACTGCGCGGCAGATCACGAAGCACTCTTTCGGGACAGAACGGGAATAGACCTGCCTTCGCCCATCCTGCGCGGATGTTTCGGGGCGTGAACGCGATCTGACGCGCATGACAATACAACATGGCAAAGTGTTCTTTGCCGATTGTTCCTACACTGCCTCGCTCAAGCCGTTCGACCTGATCACGATATGCCGCTTTGAGGGGACCAAGATGGAGATATCACACGGTTGCAGTTTATGGGACGAGTGGGAGGGCAAGCGACACAGTATGATCTGGTGCTGAAGAGCGAACTCGAGGATCTCGAGGGTTTCATGGGTGCCAAAGCCGTCACAAATCAACACACGCGGTCGCTGTCCCGCTCGGTCTCTCGTCTGCGGCTCGAATACATGACGGAGCCACTGCAGGCTGAGATATGAATCAGTGTATCCGCTGTCGGAGTAGGCATAATGCCATCCAGGTGTAGGATGCGTCACCCAATTCGCTCGGTGGGTGGCCGCAGGCCAGATGATCATAGGATGTAGATGTCGCCCGTCAGCACTGACACACTCGACTGCTGTCACGGTCGTCCGCTTCACACGTGCGCCTCGGCAGCCGTGCCGGTTCGTTCTATCCATGATGACTCTTACAGAATTCAGCTTCGACAGCATTACACCCGTCTCGTCCATGTTGTACACGTTCTCCTGTAGGACTTCCGGGTTCTGTAGCACCCCGGCGATCACGTCAAACCATTGTACCACTTTCTCATAGATGTCGAAGCGATTCCAGTCCATCGCGCTGCTCTTGCCAGCCTTCAAGATGTTCGGATGCCGTCTACAGAAGGATTGCGACCAGTTCTTGCCCGGAGGCTTGCTCGGTCTGTCCGCGACAACCCGTGAGCATGCTAGACTGAAGGCAATCGAGCGGACGTGCTTCACGCGGACCGGTTGGCCGAGCGCATCCTGGTGCAGCAAGAACCGCACCAAAGCAGTCTCCTCGGAAGGCCGGAGATACTGCTGACTTTGAGCCTTTTCAAGAAGTGATCGTCGGCCGCGTGCACGATGCTGAAGCGTTGTGCGGGGCACATTGCCGTTCTTTGCCGCTTGTCGCAGCGAGGTGGCGACACTGCTGGCGTGAAATCTATCGAGAACCTGTGTCGCTCGATCGGTCATCTCGTCGGGCATGCAACGATGATGATGATGTTAGGCGCAGGATGCAGGTTCCAGTGCAGGCGAACAAGGTGAGCGACGGGAATGAGCTAAAATTAGCTTGCAGAGAATCCTTGACATGATGGTGCTCAGAGCCGCTGGACTGACCCAAGTTCCGGCAGCCGTGGTGTTCGCTGCGTAAGCGCGGGGCTCCACGCTACCGCAGAGCTTGCTATCGATTCATTCATCCGAGGACAATAGACGTGGGGGACACATCGTGCTTCATCGATTCATGCCATATGAGCCCTGCAGACATGACGAAAACACATGTTCCCGGTCATGCTTCTTGTTCTGGCGTAACAGTATGCGCAGAGTATCTACTGCCCATCTCGAAATTGTGTCCCTGAGGCCAACATATGCTTGAGCAACTACCGGTGATCCTAGGAGGCCTCACATGTGGGCTGCGCCACCATGCGGTTGCAGGCGACCAGACGGCGGCCGGGATGCGACGCTGCATCGCAGACATCTGACAACCCATAGATGGATTTTTGTCGCATTCCCAGTCCTCTCCTAGCAGTACGTTCAGCTGAGCATTATTGCAGCCTCGTACGCGACATGCGGCTCCTCAACATCGACACGTTCAGTTTTACGGAGTACTTCGGTACGATTCCCCCGCCTTATGCGATCGCATCGCATCGCTGGACGGCGGGCGCCGAGGCGATGTGGGAGGATGTACACGAGCAGAAGAAGACAGACACGGTGGGCTATCGTAAGGTGCAAGGTTTTGTTGCATATCTCAAAGCGCACCTGCCACTAGTGAAGTGGCTATGGGTGGACACATGCTGTATCAAGCAGCACGCCGATCGCGAGCTGTCGACGGCGATCAACTCGATGTTTCAGTGGTACCGCGACGCGGAGGTGTGTCTGGCGTACTTGGAGGACGTCCCTAGCGTGAGCGACATGGCCGTCTTTGAGCAGAGCGTGTGGTTCCGGCGCGGGTGGACGTTGCAAGAGCTAGTGGCGCCGAGGGTCGTGATCTTCCTCTCAAGTCAATGGGAAGTGATCGGCCACAAGGGACAAGGCGGTCAAGGGCGGAGCGGGATGTCAATGCAGACTGGGCCAGCGCTGGAAGACGTTATTTCCACTGTGACGGCCATCCCTCGTGAGATTCTGCATGATTATCGAGAGAGCGAGAGTCTCACAGCCGAAGAGAAGATGCGGTGGGCGGATGGCAGGGAGACGATGTGGGGCGAGGATCTCTCGTATTGTCTGCTTGGTATCATGGGAGTCAGCATGAACATCCGTTACGGCGACGGCAAGGACAAGACAAGAGGGCGACTACTACACAAAATTGCAAAGCGCAAAGGTGAAGCGGTACCTGGCGAGTTCTCCCTCCCTTTCAGCCTTCAAGGCATCCCGGCGACGGACTATTTCGTGCCGCGCAAAGTTGAGATGCAGCATCTTAGCGAGTTTTTCGCAACGACATCGACACAGTCGGCACAGCAGCGGGTATTTGTAGTATACGGGACGGGCGGGATGGGTAAGACGCAGTTGTGTGCCAAGTTCTCCGAGACGAACGTAGAGCGGTTCAGTGCGGTGTTCTGGTTGGACGGGTCGTCCAAAGACGCACTGCGACGGTCGATGGCCAGCGCAGGCTCGCGGGTGTCGACGCGTACCAATGCATTGTCGGCCGAGATGGACATCGCACAATTGATCGACGATTTCCGGCAGTGGCTGTCGCTTTCGGGCAATGCGCACTGGCTGATGGTAATCGACAACATCGACCGCGACTGGCAGGGCAAGACGAAGGACGAACAGGCGTACGACTATCGCGAATTCCTACCGCACGCCTATCACGGAAACATCTTGATTACGACACGTCTGAGACGACTGCAACGACCGAAGGCCAGCCTTCATTTAGATACTGCCGACGATGAGCTTGCGAAAGAGATGGTCGAAACACGGGCAAATCGAGCGGTAACGAGTACGTGCATGCGGCAGCGGCGTCAAACAATCGCGATTGCTAACGTCACAAACACCCAGATATCGATCAATTGCTGCCCAAGCTCGGCGGTCTGCCGCTTGCCCTCGCCCAAGCCGGAGCATATCTCAGCACGACCGGGATGAGTGTCGCGGACTATCTCGAGCATTACGACGCGACGTGGGCCGAGCTGATGCAGAAGCAAGACCAGTTTCCACTGCAGGAATACGGCGAGCGGAGCGTGCTGACGACGTGGACGATGTCGTACGAACAGGTGAAAAGTAGGGACCCACTCGCAGCGCAGCTGCTTGATCTATGGGCGTTCCTCTATCATGGCGATGTGTGGGCGGAGCTGTTATTGACCGGACAGAGCGACGAAGCACAGCACCGGCCTCGCGAAGACGCAGTGTTTAGGCCAGTGACGAAACTCTCCCTGCAACACTCGATCGGAACTCTCGTCCAGTACTCGATGGTGAAGATGAGCACCGCGGATCGAGCGCCCGCGATACATCCGGTCGTACATGCATGGTGTCTACACAGCCTGGACAGATCTACAGCACAACAATTGCAGGCGGCGGCGTTGAGACTTGTCGCCAGGATGGCAGAATCGGCCGGTCGAGGAGTGGCAAAAGACTTGGGACTTCGGCTAGCTGCACATGCGAAAGTGATCGGGACGAGAGTAGCGACGTGGCGATCGGATGAAGCGCAGCAAGCTCTCGAGTATCATCAAGTGGCCCACTTTCTGAAGGATTGGGAGACATCTCAAGAGGTCGAGAACTTGTACATGCGGGCGCTGCGCGGGTACGAGAAGGCATGGGGCGCGGAGCACACGTCGACACTGGACACGGTCAACAGTCTCGGCCTTCTGTACGCGGACCAAGGCAAGATGGCGGAGGCGGAGGAGATGTACTTGCGGGCGCTGCGCGGGTACGAGAAGGTATGGGGCGCGGAGCACACGTCGACGCTGGACACGGTCAACAATCTCGGCCTTCTGTACGCGAGTCAAGGCAAGATGGCGGAGGCGGAGGAGATGTACTTGCGGGCGCTGCGCGGGTACGAGAAGGCATGGGGCGCGGAGCACACGTCGACGCTGGACACGGTCAACAATCTCGGCCTTCTGTACGCGAGTCAAGGCAAGATGGCGGAGGCGGAGGAGACGTACATGCGGGCGCTGCGTGGATACGAGAAACTGTCATGGATCCCGCCGGACCGCATAGAATCCGTGCGACAGTCTTTGTCATCTTTGCGCCAACGACCGAGCCGTCTTCACAACGAGCAAGCGAGGGAGAGCATCTCACATGTCGACGACGGCTGTGCGATACCGTCGAAGACGTCTCCGAAGAGAGGGAGTAGAGAGCGTCCCGCAGCACTTAGCAAGTTAATACGCAAGATGTGGAAACGCTCTTAACCTTAGTAGCTTTCTAAAGCAAAGTCTTCTATGCTATTCGTTCTCATATTAATCTAAGATTATACTTCTGAATAAATCTGAATAAATCTGAATAAACCATCATTGTATCGCGTTGGTATAAATTCTATAAGGACTGTCGGTTATCAGACGTACATACGCAGCGTGCGAATCCATAAGAACTAACTGTACAGACGAAACAACCGGCGCTGTAGGCCACGGTGGTTTTAGGGCCTTCAGTGTGGACAGGTGTACTAAGCCAGATTACGGAAGCGTATAGAATAGTTTTTTGGAGTTCCCGGTCCGCGGCATGACTCAGCAATTGAGGTTCGAAAACAACATCACGAACGCCCACGGCGGCAGCGCTCGGGATCACGCAACCTAGGTCTAGTTTGAATATGATCCAAGGCAGCTACAGAGCTAGTTCTGAGCGATTAATCGAGGCTAATGACTCTTTAAATGGATGCGGATTGTGCCCGTACGAAGCGATCGATCGGCCCGGTCGAATTTTGCACAAGGATAGAATCGATGACAGTATCTGCAAGATGGACCCGAATGGGACATAGAGCGGTCGATAGGAAGCTGGCATTCTGGTTTACACCTCAGACATGTTGGAGTGCATTAACACAGGTGTTGCAGAATGTTATCGAAGAATATGTCCGATGCTGGCTCGTTACGCAGGGTGGCTCGCGACGCCGGGAGGGACGTTAAAGCTCATGTTGCCGTCTGACGAGCTGCCACGTTTTGTCTTTCCTTTCATGTCTTGCTCAACACTGATGCCTATGTCATATCCGCCAACCTTCACCATACTATCTGAAGCATTCATCCCTTCCAAGTTGAAGGTTGAGAACATGGATCACGTCATGATCCAAGACATGGCGTGGGAGGTGTCGAATATACTTCGACACGGTTTCAACAAGAATCGCAAGATGGTGTTTGAGGTGCGATGGGCGCGTACGCCTCGGGGCGCCCTTGACCCGGCCACAATTGAATACTACAAGAAAAGCATACGAGACTTGGACGAACATTTCATTTACTAGCACGACACCTGGGAGGAGCTTGGAAACCTGTCAAGTTGTATTGACTTGGTTGATGAATTCTTGTCCTTGTGAGTCAATACTCCTCCAAAATAGATGATTTGCAATTTCTAACAATTTTCTCCCAAAGGTTGGCATTTGTGGACGGCGATGGTCCTAAAGATGGCGAGGTTGGAGTCATTTCACAGTATATTCTTCGGGGCACGATGGGATGAGGGATGTTTGGATGTAGTGAACAATTTACATTTCGCGTATGCATATCGATGCTGTGTTGTCGAGGATGTTGAATAATCGGTTTTCATAGTATGTGCATGGCCGCTCTCGATCCCTCGGGGTCGAGACGACGTGTTCTGGCCTCCGGCATTGGTATTTTCCTAGAGTCGAGCCGCTAAATGATATAATCATATTGCAAACTGCAATGTGTTGAAGTATGGAAGTGATTGATTACTATGTTGAGAAGGACACTGAGGGACTAAGCCGTATGGGGTTGTCCCCGCAACCACTTGAGTAGTCTCTTCCAATACAATGTGCGCCTCCTCGAACTCGGTGAGGTTGACCCACCGTCTGCACCCGAGCACCTGGACAGAACATATATGTCGATCTGAGCGGATTCAACAGCGAAGCGCGCAGAGTATGAAATGCCAAGATCTCCAAATTCCGAGGACAAGACGGGCCGGTGTCGTGCAACGATGTACATTGTTGTACAGATTCCCGGATCACGATTATGGAAGAGATCGCTCCGATGCCGACGTGAGTTCCGGGAAACCTGATCCTGGAATCGAGCCGGGAGATTTGACGCCCACCAGGCGCCTATTGATCCGAGTGATTATAAGGATCGAAACGCTCTGCAACATGTATAGGATGAAAGCACAGAAAACTCACTTCCACATCAAGCTGGTCTTGCTGTGATACTTCAACTTACAAACATATCTACTCCCCCCTCTTTGTGCAATCTCACAATGGCTAACAATTTGCAGCTCCTCGATTTTGAGATGGCCGAACCCGATAATGCAGTGGCTCGCCCTGAAGAACATGAAGCTGCTTCTGGCGGAACGCCTCAATCTGAAGTTCAAGCTCAATCGCGCGAACTCGTAGGGCAAGGTCTCTCAAACCCGCCCGCTCCGGAGGAAGCACAGCTGTCTCTCAAGCGCAAATCGCCCAATCACGTGCCGCTCGCTCCTACTAAGAACCTTGAATCAGTCCATACGGATAAAACAGTGGCTCGCCCTGGAGAACATGAAGCTCAACCTGAAGTTCAATCTCAATTGTACGAAATCGTAGGGCAAGGTCTGTCAGACCAGCTCGCTCCGGGGGAAACACAGCCGTCTCTCAAGCCCAAATCGCCCAGTCACTATGAACAAGAGCCTCCGACTAGTGATGAGCCTGGTCTGACAGAATGGGCATCGCTTAAGACAAACCTGACAAACTTTGGCACTCCACTTTGGAAGTCTCTCCCAGGGCGGACTGCGTTGAAACCATGGAAGAAGCCACAGGGACCAACTGACGCATCCGAGGCAAGTACTACAGAGGACTTGGGCGACCTTCCTGAAGCAGGCGCTGGCCCAGGAAAGGTGGGTACCGGGGCTCTCGATCCAACTCAATACATTTTCGAGCATGTTGTCCCGGTGGATGATGCTTATCCCCACGCGGACCTCGCCATTAGCCTCTCGCGTAATGTTATTCAGCATGCATGGCGATTGGGCTGGAATGACAGCTGGAAGGATCTCATCGGGTCAGCCAAATCAAAGGCCGAGGTGAACAGAAAGCTACCGGACCAAAAGCGCAGCGATCTAGACATCAATCGTTTGCTCGAATACGTCCATTTAATAGTGCCGATGGTTGCTGATTATCTTGACATGAAAACCGCGGGCTATAACCAATCGGCCGCGAACAAGGCCAATTCTATAGTCATCCAGTCCGTTACGCTGATGGAAGCTCTCCATAAGATGGGTGTCAAGTGGACGCTCGCATGTCCTCCGCATATGGTAAACAAAATTTTCAGTCATGTGTATCGAGATGCAAAGCGTGCGAAGCACTCAGACGAACACCTACGAGCGGTGGTACAATCGTACGTCGCATTTGGGCAAGGAGCCAAACCTGGTCCGGTCGTTAAGCACACCGACACAGTCAACGCCCAGCAGGAGGTAGCACCTCTCGATCGGCTGGCCTTCATGTTTAAAACATTGGACATTGTGGATAACAACATCAATGAAAAAGGTGTCTCAAACATTGGTGAGGTTGTGTGCGTCAAGGCCATCGGCTCATTGGGGTTTCGGGCGATTCTGAACGTGTGCACCGCCGAAGTACCTGTCCATGTAGTAGTGCCTCCTGGCGTTCTCGATGCAGGGACGATGCGACAATTCTTGGAAACCCCACAGGGCAAGCTTGTAGACGGCAGGGTCCATGATAAGGCACCCGATGTTCGCTGGGGCAACACCACGGTCAGAGACGTTGTAGTGGCGCCCCAGAAATGGGATGATGACAAAGAACCGATCACGTACTTTCAGGTCGAGGCCAAGAATTCCGGGAAATTGTACTGGATTTCGAGGACCACGGCGGTTGACAAGAAAATCGTCGGCAGAGATACATGGGACGAGATTCGCAGTAAAGCAATAACAAACCGTCGTCCCAAGCTCGCACAGCTGGCAGCGGCAAGACGCCGAGGGGTGCACCCAACCAATGACATGCTTCTTGAGACGGCTGCAAAAGACACACATCCGTGGCTGTTTAATCAAGGCATGATCCCGTGGCAGAGCGAAGCCTTTGCATCGGAATACAAGCCGATGGACACAGTTCCTGATCCTGCAGAGAAAGCCGCAAAGATAGCCGCAAAGAAAGCCGCAAAGAAAGCCGGAAAGCAAGCCGAAAAGGAAGCCGAAATGAGAGCCAAAAAGAAAGCTGCAAAGAAAGCTGCAAAGAAGGCCGAGAAAAGAGCAGCAGAGAAGGCTGAAAAGAGAGCCGCAGAGAAAGCCGAAAAGAAAGCCGCGGAGAAAGCCGCCGCAAAGAAAGCCGCCGCAAAGCAAGCTACTGCAAAGAATGCCGCAAAGAAGCCCGCAAAGAAGCCCGCAAAGAAGCCCGCAAAGAAGTCTGCAAAGAAGTCCGCAAAGAAGTCCGTAAAGAAATCCAAGAAATCTACAAGTAGCGATGATGAGGAAGATGAGGATGATAAGACCGACGATGATGACGAGGACGAGGACGAGGACGATGACGAGGACGATGATGAGGATGATGAGGATGACGATGATGAGGATGATGAGGATGACGAGGACGATGAGGAAACTGATTGAATGTATGCTCGTATCCTTCCGATCGTTGCCGACCCTGTAGTTTACAGTAGTATGAGACTTCCGTAGCTGAATCTATCGTGATTGCCTTTTCAACAACCTCCAGGGGATGCCTACTAGGTAGGGCATTAAAGGGATGACTGGTGTTGCATGTCAAAGTGACGGCTCTTCCCGCTTCAGTACGGGACACTGCAGGTGGGCAGCCTCAGCACACGATTCATCTGCACGTGTAAAATCGTAGTCCTCATCTGGAAGTCCACTTCCCAGAACCGGATCTGACTTACGCAGGTGCCCAGGTGAGGTGCGCATCGGATTTGCAAACTTCCAAATCCCAAATCGCGAGTCTACGTCTCTACGAAGGGTTTCCGGTGCTTTTGAGTAGATTCATACAGTTGGTACGAGAAAGCAATAGTGTAGACGACATATATGTTGTCGCTTCCTATGGATAAAATTTTGTCATGTTTGTGGTATCCCTGCAATATTCTATGTATGTACAGTCATTGACTCCGGCTCAAAAATGTCTCCGCCAAACAGCTTGGCGATCGCGTGCGATCTTCTAGGGTTTGTGTGGCGTCACGACGAATTTGTTTACCGCGATTTCCGCATGCAGGCCCAACTTGCCCTCTCACTCCTTCTTATCCACTTCTATGGCCTCGATACATCTGAGTTAGTTGGAGATTATTCGCAGAGCCGACCCAAGGCCATACAATGGGGCGACATCGAATTTTTGTCGCTGCCTCGGTCATCAGGCACGTATTGCACTATCGCCGCGCGATTGTGCATTACCAAGCGCCTGGACACTGGGCGCAAGGAGTACATAATGTCAGGACTACCGCTTGCTCTGGCAATGCCGCTGCTAATAATGTGATAGTGTACATGAATATCAAGCCGATCGGGCTTACTGCCCCGTGTCACTCCTGATCGCATTAGCCCTCGACGATGGAGTCTTTACAGAAATTCAGACTACAGAGCAGTTTGCTAAGGAGTACGCAAGTGCCGTTCAGAAGCCATTGCTTGATCGCCTTGCTATCCGCGATGAGAAGCTCAAGCTCCCCGTCATTCGACGGTACTGTGCCCCGGCCAAGATCTCGCTCACAAATGCGCTAAGTCTGCAACAACTCACGTTGTTGTTGAAAGAGGTGGACTTGCGCAGAGGTACAAGCGATCTTATTCCGCTTATCGCCGCCCTCGAGGACGTGTTGCTCAAACATTCGGACAACGATGCTGTCTCGTCTGATGACGGTCAATTCTGTCCCTCTGAGAATGTCCCTTTGACGGAGACTCAGATCATGCTTTCAGCATTGCCGACAGAGGCTGACCTCATGTCATTTGCCAAATTGGGCCCTCTTGCTGGAACGCCGCAGAAGTATCCTACACGTAATGCGCGGACGGCTTGGGTCTACGATCGGCCGCGAACCGCCATGTTAGCACTGCTCGATGCGCAGGCATACGGTAGACTGGTCACCTTGCCAGAGATGATTGCTGCTCTGCAGCCCCGGTTCGCGGCTCCACGCTGGCACTATCCGTCTCCGATGGAAGACGACACCCCTATTTGCAGTGAGTTGAAACTTCAACCGGCACTGTCACAACTTGAGCTCTACATGTGCAAAACTCGAACATTTCTAAACAAGGCCATTACGGTCCAGATGAAAGAAGCATATCGGTCTTGCATGTGGACTGGCTGTCAATTTGACACAGGACCGGAATATCTAGAAACCATTGCTTTTCACATATCCGACCATATTGCGGAGAGCTCTGGCATCTGTCGCTGGATGCAGTGTGGTGAAGAACACGCCAATGCTACCGACCTAGGCATTCATCTCGCTAATGCACACCAGATTTGCTCCTCAAACACCCAGCCCGACGTCCGATTCTGCTTCTCCTGCGTCCAATTCTTCTATTCCGTTGCTGCTTGGTCTGATCACTGTGTCTGGCACATAGAAAACTTGGAAATGAGCTGCGAGCGAGTCGTCCGTAGGGGCATCATCCTGCAGCCTTTCACATGTCCTTTTTGTCTCGGCGGCAGAAGTCTCCTCGCCTATCAAAGGTACCTACAATTCCCTACAGAAGCTCTATTCAGAGCGCATCTTGCCCGCCACGAAGAAATGGACTATTGCAGGCATCCTCTTTGCGACAGACTATTTGATTCTTCCGAAGCTTTTGCAGAGCACATGACCGAACACAACCTGAAACGATTTTTTGTTGTGAAAAAGGGTCCATCAGATGTCCTTCGGTGCAAAGTTGGGGCCTGCAAGAACCAATCATTCGAAACGGTAAAAGCATGTTTCCGACATCTTCGCACACATTCGGCTATTCAATGCCCCTTCCCCGGCTGTTTAAGCACATATGGAACATTCAGATCGGTCAAGACACATATGAGTAGCCGGCACAAGATTGACGAGCTGACATGTGTCGCGCATTCAGGCCGCAACGGAGGATTCTGCAGAGCGCGCGTCAAGAACTCTGTAGACATGGATCTTCATATGGCGCTGCATGCGGACGTGCGGGAAATTGATCATGTTCATGAGCATCATCCCGATTTAAGTGCATTCGGGGTATCGTATGAATCGACGACCGGCGACAGTCCATGATCTAAAATTGATCATGAAGCATTGCAAGCCTCCTTGACGGAGTTCTACAGTTCCTTGCGAACCCTTTGCTCCAACCGTTTTCACCTACTAATCCTTTCTCAGCGCATTCGAATACTTCGCCCCAAGGCAGCCTCACCTGCACCATTTCGGAGACACATCGTGGTGCTAGTATTCGACGAGTGCTATTTCTAGCCAGCATCTATCCTGAGCATATCCTGTATCGATTGCGTCTGTTGGATGAGGGGAGTCGATTGCGTTTCACACGTCCTCAAAATGTGGAGCCCCTGCATTGTTCCCATGCATCCTCCGTGCCATCGCCCAGCACAACACCGCTTGAACAGTGGGATCTGTTTGTGCCGCTTAATAAGCCCATCCGCGCGTTCGCATTATAAAAAACCGTCATCCCATGCTGGTCGTCTTTGATCCCTTCATTCATCTTTCCTGACATTTGTCTACTACATTTCTCCGCCCACATGACGATGGGTGACCACTTGTTTCCCAATTACCTGAACGCCAACTTCCCAGCAGGCGAATTCACGGCCGACCTCCTTGACTTTTCGCAGTTTTTGGGTGAACAGATCACGACTACCTTCGACGTAGGCGACGCCGGTTCTACTGATGACGACAGCCGGAGTGGTGTGAATGGAGAAATGATGCCTCTTCCGAGGGTGTTCGAGTGCGGCCCCTCAACGACCGAATCAGTCTCGACTGAATCCTCGGACATCGAGACTCCTTGCTGGGAAACGCTTCAACTCGTCGTCGCCGGGCGCACCTACAATTCCCAGCTCAACGCCGCTGCTGCGGACCTATGTCTCACAAGGATCAACACCATTGTGACCTCTACGCCTCTTGCGCCGCAGACCTATTGGCAAGCAGTGCTAGATGACGTGATGCCAAGAGCGCTGGCGGAATTCCGACTCGAACTAGCCGTCAAGGCCACCTCTTCCATCATTCGCACGGCTTTCACCTTGCTCGAAGATGATACAGCATCTCTGAATGAGATCCTGGGCACTGAAGGAACAGAAATCGCCGAACTACGTCGCGCCATCAGCGAAGCTATTCCCGGTAGACCGTGGCATGAACGCCAGACGCGTACAGGCCGGGTCCTGTTCCTAATGGCTGTGCTCGAAGGTTTCATCAATTATTTGGGGGTGGCCAATCAATCACTTCGCGAAGCAGTTAGGAAAGACAGGGCAGCTGCGGCTGCTTTGCTGGCTCTTATGCGTGCTCTCGAAAAGCTCGATCAGCCTCAAATCGATGTGCTCGGAGGGTGGGCAGCAGAAACATTCTTGGCCGCACCCACTGAACCCTCTGTCCCTCCGAGCAACGACGTCAGTGTCACGCCTACGACCACAATCCAAGACCCTGTCGAATCCGACGCATGTTCGGAGTCTGGTTCAGACGACGAGCTACCTTCACCCTCCACGTTCTTTGAGCGTCCTCGCTGTCCCGTCAAGTCGACGTCCCACGCGACACCAAAGGTCATCCGCGTTACTGATCTCGACGTCGACTATTTGGATTCTGAGCCACCATGCCCCGCCATCACGACAGACCCCCTTGCCTCGCTGGAGACTGGAGTTGATGTCGTCGACACTGTGGAACTTGGCCATGATTTTACGCTTTTCACGCCCATATCAGGCTCTGGCGACATTGACGAGGTTTTTATACAGCGCAAACGACCTTTTCCAGCCCTCAGGACTATCCCACCTGACCATGTGGATGTCATCTATATTTCCGACGCCGAGGATGAGCCTGTGACCGCGCAGAAATACCCACCCACGGTACGAAGATCGCATCGTGATCACAACCCGTTAGTCCCCAACTGCACCAAGTGTCATCCCCAAGATTCGCAGCTGGGCAAGAGGAAGTGCCGCGCTTGTAACGACAAGGTGTCGTGCGCGAAACGAATCAGATCGGGCAAGCATTGAGCTCTGAAAAGGGCTTTTACTCAGTATGGTTGATCGAGCGATTTTCTTTAGTCATCGTTAGCGATAGAACCAAAATCCGAGCCTTGAATTTCTTAAATTATTCCATGAGGAAAATGGATCTACCAGAAATGGAGATGACCAACCTAAAGCTTCAGCATGGCAGCAAGCATTCTAACCCTCGTGGCAACGCCAACTGCGCTTGCCAAGGACGTCACTCAAAGCTGACATCCAAGCTACAAGCATATATTGAACGAGTTTTACGACGGCAATGAGCTAACTGTTTGAACAAGTATTTGATTGCCAAATCTATTGTTGGGAGTAATCGATTTCATAGTCGGAGTCGTCAAGTTCGTCATCCAAGTCAGCATGATGGTGCAAGTCGTTAATTCTGCCGCGACAGAAAGGACAAGTGGGACAAGTTTGACGTGTCCTCGTCCATTTGTTTTTGCAATCCAAACATATGGGCGCGCATTTACCATGTCTGTATGCTTCTTCCTCCTTGAATTGGGTGCAACAGATTGGACATTCGGGCTGCTCCCATTCGGGCTTCGGAATACACAAGCTTGCTCTCCAGAAGTACTGCGCGCTGTGTAAAAGAGCAAGCGCGGCATCGTCGAAGCCGCGATCCCTGTGGTCTCGTGCAGAATCCCACAGAGATTGAACGAGGGAGATGTCGTTCTTGTCCCATTCGTCTTGAACGGACTGTGGTTCTCGGACTCCCAAGTCTTTGTTCCAATGTTGTTGAGCAAGTCGCATCAAGGTGCACGCAGCCTCGGGAGACCTGTACCGGTCGCGCTCTGCACTGGTCACCAGGATGTCAATTATCCAAGTCCAGATATGTCGCTCGGAAAGTTCAATTGATACCATTTGCGGCGCAGGGATACTTTCTATGCATGGAAATGACTAGACCACACTCTGTACAGAATTATCATCATGTACAAAGTCTGGTTCTTGCCCGGGAGCGTTTTCTATAAAGGCATCGCTCTTTGTGCAGAAACTTTATTCCGTACGAGAATGCAAATGTATACAGCCAATCCTTGATCGGACACTCTCAGCTTGCGGTCACTCCTACGGTCTCTCCTACGCCAATCACTCTCTTACCGTGCGGTCTCTCCCACCGTGCGGTCTCTCCTACCGTGCGGTCTCTCCTACCGTGCGGTCATTCCTACACAGACACTTCCGGTCACCTCGATGTGCTGCTTTAAGTCCTTTCGCACGACCGTGCCAAACCCTTTACCGTACGGTGTCTTCAGCGTCGAGGACAAAGCTCATCACCCGTAAGCTCACAAAATCTTATCGATTGCACACATGGCAATGTCCTATGAGCAGTAAGGTATTGAGGAACTTGCGTCAGTATTCTCATCTTGCCAGCGTTGTTCATGATACGACTCTCATAATGAGTCTTGATGCTGGCCTCCGCACTGGTGCGCACCGTTGCACTAGTGCGGAGGGCGAGCATCGGTGCCAGAGAAGCAGGCCAAGACGGGGTGAGCATCAACGCGAAAGGCGAGCACGAAAGCGAGTAAGACAACAGCTCTACTGTAAAGGGGAGCGGCGAAGCGCCAGCGCGTATGAATCGTTCAGCAGCGTATCTAATAATAGGAAATACGTAATATCTTCGAAAGCACGCTCGGAACAACGAAACGCTGGGACGATCCGAGGCAAGAGCCAGCCGCAGGACACCGTACAGTGTATTGAAGGTCACGTGGAGTTTGATAGCGATGTTGGTTGCGCGTCATGCAAGCACAAGAGGGGCCAAGTCCGAGCGGGATCGGCCGCGAGACTGCACCCGAAAGGTCTAGCGTGGTCGCTGGGCCTCCCGTTGCCCAGCCCGGCCCTTTTACCGTGACCGTGCGCGTCTCCTCCATGCAAACACATCTTTCTCATTCATCTCCCGCGATTCGATCCTCACCAACATGGCTGACCTGTCTGGGGACGACTGCCTAGCAGTCCAGAGATATCCGTTACGCCTTGAAAGCGCGCGCAATTCCCTCAAAGTGTTCGTGGACAAAGGCTCGGATTCACAGAAGACTGAGACCTCGTCAACACAAGATGACAGCGACGCCACTGAAGCAGACGAAGACTCTGGTGAGTTTCACCGTACCATGATCTTCATTCTGTCTCTAACGATAGTAGACTTCAAAGATGCCATCTCCAGCCTTCTCGTCACTCTTCAGGGCCACCGTGTCGCAAAGAGACTCCGCTCAAGAGAGTCGGGAAGTACTGTGGATCGCGAGCTCGCTTTGTTATACAGCCGGGCAGATGGCTTGCCAGTCGATACATTTCGACCTCTCATCAATGCCGTTGTGAAACCTGCCACCGACGTCGAAATCTGGAAGCAGGTTCTCCAACTCATCACCACTGCATCTCGGCTCACCCCGCCCCCAAGCGTGAGCGCCTCGTATGGTGGAACACCTCGGACACACAACTCGGCGTCGCACCAAGGCTCTGAACAAACGAAACGGCTATTGCATGACGCTCTCCGGGACGAATTGTACGGCTGTGCGTACGTGAAAGTGGCAGGATTTTACGAAAAGTATTTTGACGGAAAGAGTTGGACGGAAGAATGCACGAAAACGTACGAATCAATAAAGAGCTCGCACGTCGAAGGACGTTGGTCAGACTTCCCACAAAGACCGACCGAGGATGCTGTATGGGCATGGTGGACAAAATTTCAGGATCAACACCTCGCAGAGGCTCGTGGAGCGTACTACTCTACCAAGAGTAAGCGAGAGTTGGAGAGCTCTGACGGGGATCGTCAGCTTGACCTATTCGTGAAGAGTCGTGATGCTGTCGCTTCCGACGAACACAAATGGTCCGACATTCGCGTGATCGGCGAGCACACCATATCAGTCGATGGCGGTCAAAAGTTTCTACAACTAGCGAGATATGCCCGCAACGTCTTCGCCGCGCAACCTCGGCGACGCTTCCTGCATGGCTTCATTCTGTTCGGCACCAAGATGGAGCTTCATGTGTTCGATCGGTCGGGCGCGTACAGTATGGAGCCGTTCGATATCCACGAGGAGCCTGAGCGATTCATCCGAATTGTGGCCGGATATTGCATGATGAGTGACGAAGAGCTTGGGCTCGACACCATTGTGCAGCAACATGACGGCCGTCCCAGTGTGACGGTGCTCACCCCCGATGGCAAGGACCATAAGGTTGAGCTCGATGTTCGGCCAATTGCGCGCACTGCAGCGATCGTCGGTCGCGGGACGAGTTGTTATTCTGCTCGCAACGGAAAGACGGTGGTGAAATTCTCGTGGGTCTCCGCCGGCAAGTCTCCTACCGAGCCGGAGCTCTTGAAGCTTGCCAATGAGAGAGGAGTGAAGGGGGCCCCGCGGCTCATTGGACACCAGCACGACATCAGCACCGGGGAGATGCGGTCTCCACTACTATTCTCAAAGCGCCGGCGGGTGGAGGGCCGACGCTGGGCTGCCGGCCGACAACCGCACAGTCTCTCCTTTTCCGGCCAACTCGCGTCGCTTCCGTTATCAGACGACGGGAAGAAGAAGCGCAAATCGATCGACCAAGAGCAGGCGCCCAACACCAAGAAGTCGCGCTCAAACAGCCAGGCATCAAGGCTCAGTCAAGTTCATGAAGCCAACGCCAGTTTCAACGACTCACAACAATCACAAGCAATTGCACCCACCGATGAGCCTTTCGTGGATCGGGTACTCTACGTTCAGGCCACTCAGCCTGCGGGTCGCCCACTCGCAGAATTCTCCGACGTCCGCCAGCTACTCGCTGCCCTCCGGGATGCGATCAAAACTCATCGGTCCCTGTTCCTGGACGGGCATATCATACATCGCGATGTGTCTCAGTGGAACATCATCATCACTGATCCAAGCGAGAATGACGGACTCTCTGGCGCACTCATTGATCTGGAGCTCGGCGCAGTGGTTGAGAAGGGACAAAACGTCCGGACGGGGCTCAAGCGCATGACTGGCACGCTCAAATATATGGCCATCGAAGTGCTCGAACTGGGCATGAGTGGTGCGCGGCCCGATCTCGAACATACCTATCGGCACGATCTGGAATCGTTCTTCTATGTCTTCCTCGACATGTGTCTCAACTGCGGCTGGAGCGAAGGGAAGGCGCCAAAGAAAGACCCGCTTCGGGCGTGGTACGCCCTCCCAGACTACGACAACATCGTGCGAGCGAAATTGGGCGACATGGGACCGACCGTATTTGAAACCCTGATCTTACCTAAATTCTCGCCGAAATTCGAGTGTGTGAAGAGTCTGGCCACGGCATTACGAGATATTCTCTTTCTTCGCGTTGACAAATTGCGGACGGAAACACCCACTGGGTCGCCTTCTGTTCTGTATGATCAGATGATCACGGCCTTCGACAAGGCCATTAAACAATGTGCAGCTTGATAGGAATCTCGGATTTGTCGGCGTATTCAATGGGAGTATTGAGAGCAAGAGGCGGGTCTACCCTAAACACAATTGACACTATTGACACCACCATTGGTAATAAGCCGGGACTTCCACGCCACTTTGTTGTGTTCGTCAAGCAAGCAATTGTGTAACCTTCGTAGTATACGGTCTCGAGCGTGTGGGCAGCTCGTAGCCAGTGACAATTTGTTATAGCTGTTTCTGTAGTGGTCTTTCAAATAATTGCTATGCTCAGAAGAGAATGTAACAACTGACTCTGTTTACAGGACGGCATCGTCCAGCTGCAAGGACACCTTCATGAAGAGGCTCATGCCTAGATCTGCGCGTTCAGTGTATCAGACGGAGGAGAGAGTCGAATGTCACCTACTGTCAGAGATGCGCAGAAAGTTTTGCGACAGAACAAGTGACTGGTTTCCAAGCTATGTACAGGTGCTTTCCACTCCTTGATATTGTATCAAGAACGGATCATTAAATAGTCCTTCGGCTGGTGGCCGTTCTTCTGGCAACCAACGCAGGATCTTTCGCACAAAAGCCAACAAGAGTGCCTTATCTTCACCGGCCAGTCGCTGTTCGCGGGTCTCGAAGGATTGGGAGGGAATCTTTGTTTCACATATCCAATTTCCTATTATGCTCGTCAGTTTTGGTAGCCAGGCATGACACCGATCGTTGTAAATTCACCCTCTGAGTCCCAGAATCGGCTGCAATTTTCGCTGCGCTGCAAGAACGACTTCGGTGGAGGTCCCAAAAGCGATACCATTTCAGCAAGATGTTGCTCATCACTGATATTGCCTCCTCGCGTTGCATAAAAGAGGCGACCGCCTTCAAACAAATCCCAGACCTAAACAAGTCCCAGTGAGCACACATATCAAAGAACTCAACCACTTGAGTACTGACCATGACGCCAACAGACCATATGTCGATCTTCGAATCCCATGGCATTCCAAGGATGATCTCAGGAGCTCTGTAGAAATTAGGCATCACGTCGCCTTCGAATCTCTGGCCAGGAAGACCGATGCGAGCAGCACCAAAATCAGAGATGATCAGTGCACCACTTGTGACCGGCAGAGCTTGCGATCGATAGATAGTGCGCTCGCCTGAATTCAGCTTGCGACTGACAGACTCATGTTGCACCGTCTCCATGGCCCGGAATACACTGTGGTCTTCAACTCCCAACAAAATGTTATTTGGCGACAAGTCTGTAATAATCAGTCAGTGAGAGCGAAGTGACGTTGCAGAACGGGTCATACCAGTATGTACAATCCCGACTTGGTGAAGAAAGTCGAGCCCGAGTAATACCAGGAGCAAACTCTGCTGCAAAAGGACTTTGTTGATCCCTGCACTGGGGAAACGCCTGCGGAAGTCCGTATACGTAATTCCTTGTGGTTCAAAGATCAAACACTGGTGCTGGCCCGTAGGGCCTGAGACCTCAAACTCATCGACCACTGTCCGCAGTCTTTCCATGCCTGGGTGCTCGGCCTGGATTGATTTAATGTGCTTGGATGCGAGTATCTCTTTGCAATTCCTCTCGCCAGTTGTACACACTTTAAGTGTGTAGTATGCATTTGTTCTGCGAGGTCGATATAAGCATATTCCTCGGGGTCATTAGCGATAAAGATGCTTGACCACGCTATGGCTTACTTTATGTTGTTGCACAACCAAACTGTGGATGACGTGCCGAAGCCAAGTTTCGCAGTTATGCGATAAGTTGATTGGAGTATGTCACCGATGCGCAATGGCAAGAAATCTTCGGGTCTATATTGTGGGAGCGTTTCCTCCTCGATGCTCATGCCATTCGGAGTCGGGTTCGAGTCCCCGTCGCTGATGGAAAATGCTGGACGTGACATCCTCACGTTGGTGGCGAAGGAACTCGCGCCCACACGAGACAGCCGCTGAGCACCTTCGGAAAGACGTTGTCTGAAGCGTACGGAAGCAGGCAGTGCCTGTGAGAACCCGAGGGTCGCTCGATAAGCAATGAGTTGCAGTCTCTTCATCATGAGGATGAACTTGAGAAGTACGCGCGCGCTTCCGGAGAGGAAGGCACGCTCTGACCTGTTTCGCAACTGGGAAGGTTCGGACCTCGTCACATGCAATCTTTTCGCAGAACAGGGCATTCGGTACAAGGGTTGATGAGAAAAGTTTTTATTGTAAGAAATGGAGCTTGCAAAAGCGTTCATCCAGTCGAAGCCAGCGCCTCCGTCGGTCTTGTGGAGGGCACACCTATAGAAGGAAAGTTTGCGCCCCGATAGCCTACAGGGCGGTCCGAGAGCCCTATCCGAACACCCCGTGGGTCCGCTCGAGGCTCCTTCGCACTTGTCGTATACCATTCCCAAACCGGCAACTTTCTTCAGGTGCGTGTATATTTTTCATTTCTCAATTTCCTCATCTGTCGCGTATTGTCGGATAGGCTGCCATTGTCGCATTACCGACGTCCTCACCCAGAGCTCGTCAATTCGTATATCGCGCCAGCGTGTCATTCATAGCAAGGGGGCTCTACGAGCACCATGTGGTCACTGGCGGTTGTCTCCAGGTGACCCAAGCCCAGTACCCTCTCCATTCTCGAACATATTCGCTGGGTGGCATGAACGCTAGTTATGGAATATATATTCACCACCACCATCTCCACTCCTCTATCTCAACCCACAGGCACTGGACCTTCACTCAGTCATTGCCTGACATGAGCGGACTCGCAGACTTGATCCAGTCCTTGGCGGACGCGGTCAAGACCCACGACATGCCATCACTAACGGTGCTACTCACCGGCAGTGTGGCCCTTCTCGTGATAGTAACATTCATTCGATCGGCGTCAAAACCCAAATCAGCCCACCCCGTCATTAATGAGCCCAGTTCGTGGTACTCGATTGCTCATAAGAAAGACTACTTCTTCAACGCCCGGAAGCTTCTAGTCGAAGGCACCAAGAAATTTGACGGCCCGTTCAACATAAACACCGAAAATGGCTCGGTTCTGATGCTGCCTCCGGAGCAACTCGATCTTGTCAATGCCGAGCCCAAGTTGAGCTTCGAGAAATATGCGACCACGGCATGTCTCTCCTTGCTAATTTTATATGCTGTCTGAGGACGACCCCAGCTGATAAGGATACTGTGCGCAGCACTTCAACTCCGAATTGGAGTCGTTCCGGACCTTCCGTGCTCCTCCATCGCACATGCTCACAGACGCCGTGATGAAGGGCTTGACTCGTGCTCTCCGTAAGCAGATGCGAGGAACTTTCCTCGTTGCTGTTGCCTTCTGACCATTACCTCCCAGCCAAATTCACCCGCGAGTTATCCACCAAGATGAAGGAGTGCTTGGAGAGCTCATGGGGCGACAATACCGGTAAGTCAGACTTAAGTGACGGCGCTGTAATTCCCAACTCTTGCTCAACTAGCTGACGCCCAACACCCACAGAATGGCGCGAAGTCGATCCCAAGGCCGAGCTCCAAGAATGGGTCGCACGTCTTTCGTCACGCATTTTCCTTGGGCCTCGCTTCTCCGAAGACGACGACTGGTGCCGGATCGCCGTCTCTTTCACAGTCGATGTCTTCACTGCGTCTATGATCTGCGGTTTCTTCCCTTGGCCTCTCAAATATCTTGTCGAGCGGTTCCTCCCTCTCTGTCGCAAGGTCCGCCGCGACCGTCGTGAGTGCGCAAAGAAGCTGATCCCTGTCCTCAAAGAACGCAATGCTATCGTCGCGAAAGCAGAGCGTGAGGGCAAAAAGCCCGATGTCCCGAACGATGCTATTGAATGGTTCCGTGCATCTTCCAAAGGCCGGATTTACGATGAAGTCGATATCCAGATCACGCTTCAAGTCGCTGCAATTCACACCACCAGTGATTTGCTCACCCAAACCGTCCTCAACCTCTGCGCTCACCCTGAACTCTTCGCCCCGTTGAGGGAGGAGGCAGTGATCGTGCTACGGAAATACGGCTGGCAGAAACTTGCATTAACCGAGCTTCGTCTTCTCGACAGCGTGTTCAAGGAGACGCAACGCCTCAAGCCTGTTACTATGGCGTCTATGCACCGTGAAGCTCTCGCAGATGTGAAGCTAGCCAATGGTATCCTCATCCGCAAGGGCGAGCATCTTGGGATTTTCTCACGTAACATGTGGAACGGAGATATTTACGAAAACCCCGAGAAATTCGACGGATTTCGCTTCCTCAAACGAAGAGAGATCCCTGGGCAAGAGAACCGCAGCCTTCTTGTATCTACTAGCCCTGATCACCTCGGATTCGCGCATGGAGTGTAAGTCGAGCGCAATTGTCGACCTACGACAAGAGCAATGCTAACGTGATGCAGGCACGCCTGTCCAGGAAGATTCTTCGCCGCCAACGAAGTCAAGATCATGCTGGTCCATATGATCATGAAGTATGACATGAAGATGGAAGATCCCAGGCAGGCCAAGTGGCAGGAGTTCGGGATCGGTATGGTCACAAATTCCAAGGCGAGGATTATGATCCGGAAGCGGACGCCGGAGATTGATATCGATAATCTGGAGTTTGACTAATGGGATGGTAATCTGCTGTTATTTCACGCCACGATCTAGCTGCAGATCTTGATAATGGAACGAATCGAGACCAGGCGGGAACGGCTGACGCTCGTTGTGGTAGCCTGTGATAGCCGAGGGTACACGAAGGTTGTGAGCTTGATAAGTTGGCAAATCCTTGATCAATACAATGGCCACTTGTCACCTGTCTCTATAATTGGACCAGTTATAATCCTGCCTATGAATGGCTAACTAGGACTGCGGATCACCTAAAAGAACTCATACAAGCTGTGGAATTGAGCGTCTCGTAGTCGGGCGATGTTAGACGAAAGATTCATAGTTCGATGTATCTCATAGAGCTGGTACATCACTTTGCCGCTGCAAGGGCAGGGAGCTGGTCACGGATCTTAAGCCGAGTATCTGCGACGAGATTCGAGGATCACATATCAATCTGTGGCTTATCAGGAGATGGTTTACTTGACGCCCCACATTTCTATCCGTGGTCTACGCAGGTGATGATTTATGCGCTCAGCTGTGATTTGGAATATATCCTCACGATGAGTCTTCTACTGAAGCAGTCGCATGATCCAGTTTGGGTATCGCCAACGACCTAACTACCATAGAGTGCACGAACAATCTGTGGGAGGCCCACTCACTTCAAGCCTGGTACCTCCCAACAGAAGTGCGCATCAAAATAAAGTATTGCATGTCATAGCACCATTCGACAGATAACACCACCGACTATGCGCGCAGCTTGATCTGCATCGTGGGGTCGTCGCGGGGGCCCTTGTTGCCGTTCATGGCAAAGTTCTGGGGACGACCGCCTTCGATCTTGATGTCATAGTTGAGAACGATATAGGCGAGCATTAGTTTCATTTCTTGGCTGGCGAAGAACCGGCCGGGGCCTGGAAAGTGGGTTCGCGATTAGTTACGTAGAAGGTCGTTAAGCTTCTGCTCCGTCTTCGCTCATTCTTCTATCAGGAATAAATGAGGAGTTCAGTAGGACTTACAGGCATGGCGCTGAGCACCAAAGGTAAAGAAATCATCAGTCGTGACGATCAAGCTCTGATTCTTCAACTCAAGCACTTTGTCAAGGTGAGCCTTGTCGCCGGATATCTTCGAGTTGTCAGTAGTGTTGAAAGCCTCACGAGGGCGGGAGAAGCGAAATCCGTCGTAAGTGAGAGGATTGTCGAAGCGGGCCGGATCAGTCTGGATGTTGTATGTCGGTACAACGACGCGGACGCCATAGGGAATATGCAGACCTCCGCTGAGGGTGACGCCTTTGGGATCTGAGATGAGTCGAGGCATACCGTAGTCGCCAAGTCCGACAACCCGCATCGTCTCGCGAATGACGGAGTCGACACGGAGGAGCTCGTTGACAGCGTCTTTGGTCCATCCGTTGTGCTTTGCAAGAGTGCGCTCGGCCTCTTCGCGCAGACCAGCAACGTACTCGTCGCGTTCTGGAGAGCTGTAGATGTCCATAATAGTGTTAGTAGTGACCATGCTTGTTGTGTGAATTGCGACCATATTGAGCTGGAGCAAACAACGGCACAGCCAGTCAACCTCAAGACGCCATGGTTCTTTGTCGGCCAGCGCGAATGCGTCATCGAGGACCCACTGTAGAACGTCAATCTGCGAGGAGTTAGTATTGATGGCTAGGATTGCACATGGGAGATTCTACCTCGGGCTTGTAATCCTTGCCCTGAGTCCTCATGCGGTGCAAGCGATCCTCGATAACAGGTGTCGCGATTTTCTTGCAGATAGCCAAGTGCTTGTTGACTGGCGCTATGATGTAGGGACCAGTAATTGGATGAAGGAACTTCGGGACCATTTTCAACAAGAAGCCTGCCCGGAAGACGTTTTGTGAATACAAGCGCGAGCTCTCGAGAAACTCTGAGCTGCGACAAAGAGCCTTTCCGCTAAACACACGATTAGCGGCCTGGCTGACGATTTTCATAACGGTAGGATATATGTTAATGGTAACCCATTCCTTGTCCACAGGCCAATTTTGCTTCATTGAGAGCACGAGCTCATCGTAAACGTCGTTAGTCAAGAGCGGCAGCTTGCGAGTAAGTTGGCGGCGGACTACATCGAAGTGGGCTGATCCTGGGAATTTCTTGAGATCCATAGTATATTGATAGGCGACGTCTTCTCGACCAATGGTCAAGTGATCAACGCGATCATCGCCGATGGCAAGAAACTCGTACACCTTGGATGCCGGGAGGACGACGAAGGGTGGGCGGCTGAATTGCGGCAGAACGAAGAACTTATTATTCTGTCCAAACTACAGAGGTTGCATTAGTGACGGAGTATCCTTGTAAGCATGGATGTGATCCAGACGCACCTTTTTGTAGCCTTCCAACATGAGGGAACTGGTATCCTGAACGGCGGCAATCCCGGCACGATACCTGCTAAACCACTGCTTCTTAACACCAACCCATGGTGTCGAATTTACAAATTTAGCCTGGGTCGTGAACATAGGGAGGATATAATTAGCGGCAACATAGTAGGTGACAAGAAGCCCGCCCACGGCGATGGACAGTGGCATCTTGTCCATTGTGGCGAACAGGACAAAGACAGTGGTACTGACTGTGCTTCGATAGTATGTGGTACAGCAATGGCGACGACTTCGAGCGGGAGACAATGGGTCCTAATATATCATGGAGCCGGTGCACATGCGCCAGGCATTTGATGCCGGCATTCCAGCAGACCGGAACACCCGCAATTCGAAACAGTTGTATGATGTGTGCTACATATTGATGCATGGCGTGCACAAAGACGAGGTTGGGGTCAAAAAGATCTTGGGTAGCGGCAGTGATCGGCGGTGATCGACAATGGAATTGTCACAACCTCCACTTGACCCCAAAAATTGCTACTTTCGGCATGGTGTACGACATCGAAAACACCGTATTTCGCTCTTCCCTTCCATCCGATGTTTTCAATGCACCCGAGGCATGCGGCTCGCCCACAATACGAAGGTCTTGCCCAATGGCTGAGTGCCCCTTTATGCTGCTACCACTCTCGGTTACAACTTTTTCATAGAGCTGAGGATTTGGCTATCGCAACCCACTTTCAACAGCACTCCTCTATATCAAGGTCGCCGCGCAACTCTCTCGACTTACAAGCCACACCTCCTGATCGGCCATGCCACATACCCTCTCAGCCTCTCCGGCAGACACCTCACTACATCCTCTACAATTGCCTTTCCCAGCCCATGCTCCCACCACACATCTCTCCAGTCCGCGAGCGCCGCCGCCCAATGCGCCATCAAAACCAGTGCCACCGCATCCCTCGCCTCCACTCTGTCCGCCATCGGACGTGCATCATACTCCCTGACCCACCCTAGTCGATGTCCGAAATCCCTCGGATCAATTGCTGCCGCACGGAATGCCGTCTCCAATCCCGCCAGCGCTCGAGTGTATACCCCTAAGGTGGCCTCTGTATCGGCCGGTTCAATCGTCATCAGCTCCTCAATCCCCGCCAACGTCGCGCGAGTATCCTCATCAAGGACGATCTCCGGACTAGGTGTGGTGTACACGTTAAGGAACACCCCCATTTCACTCTGCTCAATTTGCACCCAACGTGAGAAAAAAATGTGCCCGACGCCAGCGAGTAATCTTAGGATTTCAACGGCTTTATCCAGAGGGTTGGGCCGGTCAATGTCGGCATATCGAAAATTTGCAAAAGATGAGATGACAAGGAAGATCGCGCCAAGGCAGGTCGCCATGCTTTCGTCGACAGTCCAAGCGTCGTGAAGCTCTTTTTTGTAAAATTGGAAGAAACGATGTTGGTATGTTACGAGCCGGTTTTGTAATGAGATTGCTTCAGAGCTGGACGAGGAAGACGAGGAGGCGGAGGAGGAGGAAGCAGAGCAGCCATATTGGAGGGAGAGTATGTGCTGGCCGGAGATCACGAGGATGCATGACATGAGATAAGGGCGGGTTGACGCCAAGGCGGGTGCGGTGTTGAGGAATATCGAACGTACCCTGTCGCGGTCCGTGAGAGAGTGTGCCGTGGAGGAGATGTAGTGCTCTAGCAGTGCGCGTTCATCCAATGTTGATGATACAGCATTATCGCTGCTTGATAATGATGCTGGTGGTGTGGAGTCAGGTAAGGCGAATACCGTGAGAGTCCTCGTGCCGGCTGGGCTTGTTGTTTTCGCCGAAGTCGTGCTCTGTTTCCTTGCCGTTGCTCGAATTGCACGAGACCGGGTACTTGAAGGCCGACCCAATCGCCATCGGAGGGAGGTTGCCTTTGGGGGCTCTTGACTTGCTGCTGAGGTCTCAATGCCTGGTGCGACTACAAGAAACGATCCCGGTGACGCCTCAAAGATCTCGGACAGGCTGCATTTTCGGCCTTGTCTATGGCATCGCCGGCAGATCGGCAGCGTTTCGTCGCACTTGACGTGCTGCGCTCGGCATTCTCTGCATCCAAGATGCGATTTGGTGTTACTCGCACGGGAGGGCATCGTCTTGCAATGTTCAATATGGACCGCGGTGGGAACCACAGCGAGAGACACTCGAGGGAGCCGCCACGAATCGACTCTCGGCGCTATCCGCGTTGGCATCCTCCACATGGGGAACGGGCATCGTCAACCTTCGACGGGTGTACCGGGCGATGATCGTACCGCAGATGCTGTACGGCTGCTCTGCATGGCACAACCCCGGTACCGTACGAGGGAACTCAATGGCGAACGCCATAAAAAGGATACAAAGGCGAGCGGCGCAGATCATCACCGGAGCGTTCCGCACGACTGCCGGAGCCGCGGTCGACATCGAAGCCCACCTGCTACTGGTCATACAGCAGCCGGAGCAGTCGGCCCTAGAGGCCACACTGCGCATCAGCAGCGGCCCGCTCTACGCGACCATGGCCACACCTCGAAGAACCGGAAGGAGAGGAGACGGGCGAAGCCCCCTGGACCTCCTCTCTGGTGTCCTGGCACGTAAGTACGGACTGCCGCTCGCACGCCTCGAAGTGCGTCGCCCGCATGTCGTACCGCCATGGTGGGAACCACCGTCGACCCACATCGCCGGCTCGAGCGAGCGTGCGATACACGAGCACAATATAACCGAGCCCGACACTGTTATGATCTATATAGACGGAAGTGTAATTAACGGACATGTAGGAGCCGTAGCTATTATCAAGTCGCCCCGAGTGGATAGCATCTATACCCGGCGGCTGTCCTATATGGACAGAATCTACACATCTACCGTGTATATAGCGGAGCTGCGAGGCGTAGCACTTGCGCTAAGTATGCTCCACGACATTCACTCCATTAGCAACACCGTTGGTAGGAGCGCCATCTTCATCGACAACCAAGCGGCGATATAAGCAATCTAGAACCCGGGGACCTCGTCATGGCAGTACATACTCGTAGAGGTTGTCCACCCATATAAGCAACTGCGCGATCTGGGCTAGGAGATTCAATCCCGGTGGATTCCGTCCCACGTCGGCGTGGCGGGCAACAAACTAGCGTACAAGGCGGCGAAAGAGGCCGCCGGGAGCATTCCACCACCAGAGTCAGCCCCAGCTGGACCGACCGAGAACCCCCCTCCGAAGATCCTCACGTCGACCATGAAGAACACGATCCGAAAGACCATGAGGGCCGAGTAGGAGAAGTCATGGGAGACAGCGCCGCACGGCAGGGAGCTGTTCAAGCTCGGGGTGCGTCCGGGCCGGGACATGCTTCGCATCCACCCGGGAATCCACCGCGCAGTGTCCTCGGTGATCACGCAGATGCGCACCGGCAAGATCGGCCTGCGCGCCTATCTCCACATCATTGACCAAACAGACACCGACCAATATCCGTGCGGCTACGGCCGGCAGACGGTCCGACATATCCTGCTCCTGTCAACGATTTGACGCAAGACATTCTCGCCGGAATTTTCACGTGATGCTTTGCCGCGGTTGCTTCCCTAAATTGACATAACCGGCTCATATATTCAACCTTGCGCCCGTCGCAACTTCACCTTTACCCCAGTAGCGCAAGCGTCCGTGACCGTCAAATGATGCAGCTCCTCTCCAGGCGCAGGTAGATCGACGCCAATGACATCGTCGAAGCGTTGCAACAGCCGAACCATGACAAAGCTAGCTTGATTGATTGCAAACTGCTGTCCCAGACATATTCGTGGTCCGCCATTGAACGGAAGGAATTGCCACCCAGGCTTCACTGTCTGCCATCGCGCGGGTCGGAAGTCGTGAGCGTCAACGCCCCAGAAAGCGACGTCGCGGTGCATGTTCACCGTCGTGTAGAAGACGTCGTCGTCGGCACGCACGTAGATTGGATCCTGTCCGAGCGGGCCACCGCCGCGAGGAAGTGTGGTGAATGGCACGAGACATTTACGGAGGTTGATAGGGACCAGCGGGAACAGGCGCAGCGCCTCGTTGAGGCAATGCTGCAAGAGTGTGCAAGATCGCAGGCCAGTGTGAGTGAGATTCCTTGGGTCTTCATATGGGCCGAAAGTTTGATGGGTCTCGGCTCGTAAGCGTTTATATTCCTCGGATTGGCGGGCCAAGAGGAGGAACAACCAACCTAGCAGGGAGGCTGTTGTGTCACGACCTGCGATGAGGACGTTCAAAAGTTGATTTCGGATCTCGACTGGATCCTTGGTTTCCTCGACCAACGCATCCGCGAGGATGTATCGTCGCTTCTCGCCAGGCTTGGACTCGGCCCGGGCTCTACGATCAAGGGCTGCCTGAACATACTTGTCGACGGAGCCTTGTACGACAGCACAGACTCGCTTAGCTTCCTTGGTGTGCGCCAGTTTGTAAAACGCCCCGAGCCGCAAGCCTCGCGTCATGTGGTCAAGCGACGCATCGAACACTTCGACGAAAGCAGCTTCATCGAAATCAATATCATATGCGGCTGACGACTTATTGAGGGGCCCAAGCTGACTGTCCAAGCTTGTACCGAACAGGAACTCCGTTGAACTGTCCATTGTGAAGCGGAAGAAAATCTGCTGTATGTCGATAGGTTGTGACCAACCGGTCTTGATGTCCACACTTGCATCGATGGCTTGCATCATTTGTTCGGAGTGCTTAGCTTGCAGGGATAGATCGTCGATCTGCTCTCGCGCGAACTGCGGCCGAAGCATTGCTCGAGAATGTTCCCATTGCTCGCCGTCTGATGAGAACTTTTCAGCCATTAGTAAAAGACGGATGCGGAGTGTTAGTGCTGCTGAGGAGTACTCACCACACCATATCCTTGTAGCAAGGCCAGACAATCATTTCGAGGTTTACCGAGCCCAAACTCCTTAAACTGCGTCGCCAGAATTGCCCTGACATTGACAGGGTCGGTAGTCATGAACCGTCGCTGACCGAGCACTGATGATTCCACAGTCTGCGTGTTGCGTCCAAACTTCCGTTTGATGCCTTGGTTCTCCTCCTGCAGGTATTGGGGAAAGCGGTGCCCTTCGTCCGCTCTCAGCATCTCGAGTACTTTGGGCAGACCCAACGGGAAACCAGTGCTCTGAAGGGGAGCTGGGGCACATCCGAGCCGACGCGCTCGTCGACGATGTGTGATGGCTTGTGAAACATGTCGGGCGACAAAAAGTACAAGAAGCAGTCCGCCGAAAATGGATAGCGATAAGCCTGGGTTGTTCAGCATGAAACTGTGTTGGCCGGCCATAGTTATTGCTCAGCTCTTCTGGTCCTGGAGTCGGCGCCTGAAGCGGGAATGGTGTGCTGTTACTCCTGGAATATGTGGTCTGAGAAGCGTGCAGACGTGCAGACACACATATTTAGGTGATTATTACACGCCATTGAAGCATGTTGATCGTCCCGCATTTGAGCCTGGTTGTCTGTGGGACGCCATAAGGTTCAGTTGCGCCCTCCGGCGATAAATGTCTCAGACTGAATCAAATCCATGATTCTACTCATCTAGTACGAGTCATTGTGCTCGAACGCGTGCCGAGATGGCGGATGCCCATGCTCACGTTGGCCGAGAGAAGCATTCCTCTTCCAGGTCTGTAGGAATATACGTTCTGTACGTGCTTTATCCGCCACACTTTCGAACTCGCCATTGCGGGGCCTTTACTTACCAACGACCCCCATGTGCTGTACATATTTCACGCCCGGCTGCGAGTCGCTTATTGTATACAATCTACAGTATCCTGCAGGTGATGATAGAAATCATGTACGGTACCGTTGTACTTGGGTTTGTTGCATTGCACTACGTCAACCACGGACGGCACGTCCTTCACCGAACTTGCGATCCGGGGAAAGACCGCTGCGGGACGGCTCCCCTTTCCAGGACATTGAGAAGTCCGTCAATGCACCGTGAGCACGTCAATAATAATTCTGAACATCTCATCGCCGTCAAGCCTGAAATACTTGTTCAAAGGTCGGATGGGAGTAGAGCTCAAGGTAGTTGGGCGCTCGCTCCTCGGGTGAGGGGCAATATGTCAAATGGAGTGTGAACATGGGAAAGACCGTTTTGGAATCGATTGTTCATCTGAAATTGTGGCCCCCTGCCTGTATGTTCACAGAGGGGGATCGCGATTATGCAACGGTCCCTTCGCCGACGCCAATCTGGTGCGCGATCTTTTCACCACTCCTCCCTCGTAGTCCGACAGATGCGCTGACCGATTAGTAGACTGGGATAGTCTCGTTCAATCCCAACACCGCTCAAGGCCAAATAGGTAGCGGAAGCTTCTCCACTTCAGTATCATGGGCTACCACAGGCTTTCTACCGTCCAATCCTACAGGAGACCAGGCGCATTATGAACATTCTGCCTGGATCTCTACCAATGGAGCCAATCATACCGACAACTTCAACCTTGGGTACGATGCGTGTTATTTTCCGGCTGTCGACGATTTCACAGAATACAGTCCTTGGAGGACAAGACGACGACGGCTCTTGCTTCTCCACTAAGGCTTATGCTATGCAATTGGTTCCCTAAATCTCGAACTTTCCGCAGCTATGCTCCATTGAGAGGCTGTCTGTACACGACACCATCGGTCGTCGTAATCAGAGTCCCATTGGCAGAGAAGATGTTCGACGTAGCATCAATTGACATGTGGAAACCATCAGCACTCGTGTACTGCTCCGCCGTTTGGTAATCAGTGCGCGTCAGATCCGAGTACCAATCGAGATGGTTCAGCGTAATGCCTTCGACCACGACGGTGATGTTCTGGAAGCCATCGATGCAGCCCCTGCCGTCGTCAGAATATCCATGGAGTTCTACAGCAGTGCTGAGAATGCCATTTTTGGCAGCGTTCTCTGTGATCGTCACGTCCGCGTAACCGCTGACACGACCTTTGAGTGTATATTGGCCTTCGCGAGGGTATGGCCGGTTTGGCGTGGGCTCACCTGCGACGTATGGAATGGCCCATGGGATTACCTCTGGCCCTTGCTTTATCTTGCGCGCCTTTAGTGGCTTGCGAGAGGTGAGGTGTGCGACGATGATACGCTCAGTGCGGCCGCCAGGCTCGGTTGAATTGTAGCAAGGTAACGGATTTCTCCCACCACAGGCTGGAGGAATGGCCTTAGCCTGCCAATAGACAATCTTTGTACCATCGGGCGAGAACCAAGGATCCGCTTGGCCGTTCCATTCGGGATCGTCATAATCACCACTACCCGCGACACCTTTGTCCGCGTGGTTCAAACTCTGCCCATAGTATGTTCCCCGATCTCCATAGCGATCGATCAGGTATGGTTGAAAGAATCGTCGAATTCCATTATTTCGGACTGACGAGCAGGCAGTGGCGGTAATCTGGTCAGCGACAGGAGGAAGCCAACGCAGACCATCCATGAACTCCACGCGTCCAGAGCCGCGGGTGTCTTGCACGACGAACCATTGGTCGTCAGGCGAGAATTCGATAGGATCGGTATATCCCGGGTGCGAGGTGAGACGACGAACGCGTCCAGTGAGCAAGTCGACAGAGGATACGTCGATGTTGCAAGATTCCACAGGATAGCCAATGTAGGTAAGCTCGTCGCCGCTTCCTGAAAAGCCGCGGAGTTCTCCAACGGTGATGGAGCTGTGATTGAAGAAGAGTTCGTTGCCCTTGGCAAACAATGGAGAGCTCCCGCTATTGTCCAAGAGGAGGCTCACGTTGATCACGTCATACCTGGGGACAAGTGGTAAACCTGTCATTGGTGCTGGGTTGAAATTTAGACGTCCATAGTATCCAACTTCGGAAAGCGACCGGGCCGGGCTCAAACCCAGAGCATTGATGCCGATGTGAACACCATCTGGGTGTAATCGTAACTCACGGATGAATTGACCATTACCAGAGCCGTCAGCTTTGGCATTCAAGCGGATGGGGTAGACGTATGTGGTAGCTGGCGTGCATCCTTCACCAGTCAGATCAGCTCCACCGTCGATAATGTACGTCCCTGCCAAGATACGCTTGCCATCGCTGAAAGCTTGAGGATACGACCAATCCAGCGAAGTCCCGCTTGCGCCTACAGCGTGGCTGGGGTCGACACCACAAGTAATACATTTCCAAGAATCACCATTTGGAAACAATGTACCGTCAGACTTGATGATAATCACCTGCTGTCCGATGTAAATGCTAGCAGCTGCAGGCGCTGCAGGCGCGCCGATAAAGTTGATATGTGCAAGTACATGTTTGCCATCAGGCATCCAGCTGCCCACTTGCAATCCAGATTGTCGCCCAGTACAACCTGTACCATGCGAATTGAACTCAAGAGTGCAGCTGCCAGTCGACGTATTTGCTATGACTGGCGGCAGTGGAAGTGTTGTCAACTTGATCGGTTCAGGGGAGGGGGGCGCTGGCACTTTGCCGTACCCAGGCTGAATCCAGGGCTTGATCCAAGAATTGGGTGACAAGCCATTGCCCCAGGCAGCATGACCACCAGCATGAGCGCCCTCGAGCAAGAATACTGTGAAAAGAGATGCAGCAAACCGCATTATGAACTGTGAAAACGTAGAGTTCCAAATGGTCTTGAGTTGGGAAAATGAGCGCAAAGAGGGAGTTCATCGCGCTCTTTATATGTCCACGCTACCTCTTCCATGTCTTCATCGCTGCGAGATAGTGACTCCATCATGGAGATCGTCTTCGTATCTCGGCGCGACAAGGTCGATACTTCAATGTGTAGAGACGCATGATGATGAACCTTTCTCGCATTTCGTATTGGCGGCACGTGGTAGGTCGCATCTCGTATTTCGCAATCGGAGAAACCCCGGTTCAGCTGCTCTGCGAGCTCCGAAACCTCGCACGCGCCTTGGGAATTGTCAATGGGGGCTTGCTTCAGTACTCATGAATAGGTACCCAATGGGCGGGGAAACAGAGCGTGGCGTCTTTTCGCCGATGGTCATTACTGCACTTTCCGTCTAGATCACCTTGCAACCCGCAATCATACAGCAATGGCATTGCTTATGCGTTCCGTGCTATCCCTTGAAAGTCTTGACCGCGGCCAGAACGAGCACGAGAATGACCTTACGGTCGACGGTTTCTGACCTTGGCGTGGGGAGGTTGCATTCCAAGGTTGGGAAACATCTTGGGCAGAATCACCTGCGTGTCGATGATGGAGTAGATCCCGCCTGGCCGAAAAGCTTCAATTCATTCCTCACTCAGACAAGGACCTTGTCACGACGGTTTCGAACACGTGCGAGAACAACGGGTGATCGGCGGGCCAGTCCTTCGTGCCTTGACATTTTCAATGTTGCGCTGTGGTATTGGGATCAAAGGTCTGTGAGTCCCGTGCATGACCTTAATGTTACTTCACACAGCTGCCTTGCAGGCTCAACACATATAGTTCGAAAAGGTGATGCCTTCCTTTCGGCACCTGTCACTACCAAGGCCCTATGTTCCCTAACAGAACTCAACTATTTTGACCTATGCGAAATCAGGGGAACAGTAATGAGGGGAAAGGCCTACAGACGACCTCTCGCGTGGTGCTGGAATATGAGGTGCACTCGGGGCAGAGGTCCGATATGGCTCGGACGGTGCAATCTGAAATGTAGTATCATACACACGTTGTCGGCAAGATTCGCGAACGCCCACAAACCTTACATTTGACGGTAAGGATCGGCAGACCGCACATCATCGTGACAACAGCAATCACAGCTGAGCGTCAATCATCACATGGCATGCCCTCGAGCGCGAGGCCGAGGACAGAACAAAATTATGCAGGACCCTGAAAGCTACCTACAAAGGTAGGTATACATCAAGCTCGAACCTTTGAAAAACACAGCTGAAGGCGGACAATAGCAAACAGTAACACCGCTCGGAATGACCGACGCCTCTTTATTGATGGCGTCAATTTTACGCAAGCCCCCTGAAATCGAAATCAGCATTCCATCGACATGACTGAACACAATGAAGTGATATTCACTGTACGTGTACATCACCGATATAGCTATTTCATTCGTCGGCGTCCGCCGTGTTCCATTCAAGTTAAGAGTCTTCTTCCGGTTTACACCCATCTGTATCTCCAACATGAGGGTCTACTCATCCATGTGGATTGCCTGCTGTTGTGCGGACAGCGTGGTCAGGAACGCAATACAACTTCCGCAAACGACGACCACAACGTGTTTGCGAACTACGTCCATCATGCTAACCAAAGGCATCCCGAGTCCAACATTGACTGCAAATACACCACCCTCGTCTTCGAGTGCCTGCACGACAAGTACTAGTACAGTGACCTTTACCGCCGGCTCTGAACCACCAGCCACGACTTACGCAATTGGCCGTGCTTCGACGACCGTGTTTCCAAAGGACTTGGCAACATCTGTATAAGGCTCTCCAGAGACATTGGATATAGCAAGCGCGATTACGTTGCCCTTGGTTACGCCCTTGACCGTGATTATCTTCACCACTCCGACCATCTTAGTTGGGCCATCTACAACCACAATTCCCACGCCGCCTGGATTTGTTCCAATCCGCAGTTCATTTCCCGGAGCGACGGTCAGAAATGATCTCCCTCAGAAACGTGACGCCGCTAATGCCAGAGGCATCTCCACATCGCGATGCACTTCTACCTTCACCCGGACTGTGACTGTACATGCGTCAAGGGTGACTGTGACGGCTGTAACGACCTTGTCAGGCACAAAGTATGCTTCCAAAGTCACCACCGCCTCAACATCCGTAACGAAAACCGTGACCCTTCCTACACAGACGGTGACCCACATACCTACCACGGTATACGCTGCATGTACTGCCGACAACGTCGCGGATGTATACCACAATTCGACCAATGGACAAGACTACAAATTCCTTGACTTCTATGGGATGAACCAGGAATTCCAAATATCTGACTCTCTTCGCTCGGCCTACGAATGCTGCGTCAAGTCCTTTGACTACTCGAATGCTGCAGCATGGGTCTGGAATCCGTTTCAGTCTGGAGAGGGCGGAGTTTGCAGCCTACAGAATTCCATTCAGACTTGCGATGCAAATGACAGGAACAGGATCTCATATTATGTGGCTGCGTTGGATTTCGAGTCTTATCCTATATTCATAGGGAACACTGGTTGTGGGGAGGTCATGGCCGTGGATACGAGGTACGTGTACGCGAATTAGCATGGCGTACAAGGACACGGGTTTTCCCCTTCTCGACTCTCTGAAAATTGTCATCACCGTAAGATCAGAGATTCTTGAACCACTGAATTATGAGTTCTCGCTCGTTTGTGTGTAGAATTCAAGCGTGTCCTTCAGCACATCACGAGAACCTCGACACGACAACCTCTGGTAGGGACTACGGAACATGTCTAAAGCAAGGCCCGCTATCCGACATTTGCCTTCGATTTCCGCCTTGTTAGTTGTTACTACTCACTTCAACACCAGCTGGGCAGTTCCGATGTCCCGCCAGATGCACTGATCGTTCTGATGATTTCATAGTCACGTGATCATCATCTCGGAGTGTATGACAATTTGGGCGCGAAGCCGTGGCGCATTTCGTTCGTTACCACGTGCTTGTATGAACGGTGCTCGAGAAAAGCTCGCCCGTATAATAATGCCTAAGCATGCTTCTTCAATGCTTGTTATTCCTGCTAAACAGTGACCACGGCATAGGACTCGAGGCAGGATTCTGCAAGATGTCGTATTATAACGGATTTGCCGAAGCGAATCGCTGCGTATATATACTGGGACAACCGATCCCCCAAAGATCACTTCTCACAGAAACTTCCTCTCATCAGTCTCAAAGAGCATTCTACAATACAGTACATAGATCATGTTGACTTCCATTGTGACGATTTCATTCGTGTCCGCTGTTGCCGGAGCTACGACCTTCAGTCATTCACAGGCAGGGTACATCAATTACACTGCCGTCACAGGCTATTTCCTGCAGGACGACCCGGCGACCAATGCGTCTACCTTCAATTATGTATGAGGCATTGATTCTTGGTATTGAAGAGGATGATTCCGACTGACGCTCGCATAGACCCAAAACAACTTCGGATTGAAGAATGTTACATATCCCATTGTGGGATCTGCCTCCAATTTGACTCAATGGCAGCAATTCGCGCTGCAGGTTGAAGCCCTGAATGCCGAAAGTCCATTGGACACTGTGTACAAGGTCTTCTTTCTAGGCAGACACGGCCAAGGATATCATAATGCGGCCGAATCCTTCTACGGTACTCCTGCTTGGAATTGCTACTGGGCTCAGCTATCCGGGAACGGAACGAGTACCTGGCAAGATGCAGACCTGACGCCGGATGGAGTCCTCCAAGCTGAAATTGCACACAATTTCTGGAATCAAAGCTATGCCGTCCAGAAGGTTCCTTATTTGCAGTCGTACTATACTTCGCCATTGCGACGATGCCTGCGTACTGCCAACATTACTTTCTCGGGCCTCAAAACACCGCTGTACTATCCATTTGTTCCGACCGTCAAGGAGTTCTTCCGCGAGGGGATCTCGCTTCATACTTGTGACAGACGCGGCAACAGGAGCAGCATTCACAAATCATTTCCTACCTACAAGTTCGAGGAAGGATTCAATGAGCAAGATGTGCTGTGGACCGGTGTTGTGGCTGAGACTTCGAGCGCGCAACAACTTCGCTCCCGCAAAGCATTGGACGACGTCTTCACCAACGACGATCATACATGGATTTCTGTGACCTCTCACAGTGGTAAGTACAGGAAACCATCTAGTCCATTCTCTCAAAGCGGAGACTAATTCTGCATCCCAGGCGAGATCGCTTCGCTGTTGAGCGTACTAGGCCACCGATCATTCAGCCTCGCCACGGGTGCGATCATTCCAGTTCTCGTGAAGGCAAAATTCTTGCCGGCATCCGCAGCGCCAACGACCACCGTTCTGCCTTTCACTACAAGCACATGGTGTCACAATGGCCCACCAATCACAAGCAATGCATCAAACCCGCAAGGTTGCTTATGCCAGCCTACCACTGCTCCTCTCCCGAACCTGAATACCGTATCGGCGTTCTTGCCAGGCCAGACAGCACCGATCAACGAGTTCGCCACTACCACAACTATTGGTCGTTCGTCAAGTACCGCCAAATGCAGCACATCATCGTCCGTGGCTGCTACCTCGCGGAAATACCATTCGAACTCGCCCTGGGCATACCCAACCGGAAAGCAATGAGTCTGATCCTGGTGGTCAGTGCTGACAGCTAGAAGATCACATGTGATGATCAATAGCTTCCATCACTTCGTGGATCTGGTTGCCGAGGTCTTGACAATTATCACGGTATGATTCTATCATACTTGCCCTTCGCCGTTGACGCCGAGGTTTCGCAATCCCCATCGCAACACGTATTATGCATCACCACGACCGGAGTGTTCCTTGCAATGATTAAACATCATAATTCGTCACTCGAGGCTAGAATCTGGAAAAGGTAGGTTTCAGTCAAATGTATCTGTGCACATATCTACCACTACATCTCTCCGCCCTCCACCACCATCGTCATTCATACAAACGTAACGCGTCCAAAGTAAGGAGTCTCATGAAAGCTCGGCGCATCTGTGGGAGGGCTCCACGATCCGAGAAGTTGGTTCGGGAAAGTCTTCGGCGATACGACCGTGCGGAAGAAGTTCATTCGCCACTGCGTACCCTTGGCCTCGCCCTTGTCGACGTTGAAGATGCCCAGCGGGACCTGCACGTATGATGTCCACTTCTTGGCGTATCGGTCGAGCGTAGTGGCCGCGGTGAAGCCGTCGGTTTGCGTGTTGTTGATGTAGAAATGGTCGAAGGCGGCGCCTGATGCGCGCACCTTGCTGGGGTTGTAAACGAAGGCGGAATATGTGATATTGCCAGGGTTGATTTCGTATTCGAGATATGTCTGGGGATCTTTTGTGCCTTGGTAGATAAAGGCTTCCATCACCTCGTAGTTGTAGATGGCTTCATTCTGGCCCAGGCTGGGGTCGTAGTAGAAGTTGGTTTCATTGTAAGCGGTAAAGGTGAGCTGGATGGAGCTCTCGTCATAGCAAATATCGACCTGGGTCTTGGGAAACTCGGCCAGATCAGGTACAGTCTTGTTGTAAGTAATGGTTCCCTTTTTGGGGCATGCCGGCACTTTCAAGGTCGGCACATTGAGAGCGAACGTGGCTTGTGCTAGAAGCGCCGCGGCTGAGAGGTATGTGTACAGCATAATGAGGTAAGGCAACTGCGATGCCGCGTGAAATACAGGACGCGAGGAATTGCAGAAAACGAATCGGTCACAACATTGACGAGAACACGATCTTATGTATTTCTTGCAGTGCCACAGGATTGCTTACATCCCTTGCGTAGGTATTGTAGGCACATTCCTTTCGAGTTTCCCGTGCTTCCATTGGACGAAGTTTACGGAATCGATCGACTCTGGGGTAGCATCAGATGCAGGGCCTGCCTGTCCTTCACACGCTTTGTGCCGCATTGCTCTCTTCTCAGAGGAATGTCCTTCTTGTAGTCGCATACAGCACATCAAGCTTGATCATCAATCTGCCCTACTTTTGATATACGAACAAGTACGAATCCTGCGCAGGATTGGCGGCAACGGTACATCGTCAGAGATCATCGCTGAACCTTGAAAGCTTGGAAAATATGGAACTTAGGGTTACTGGGTGGCTTCGTCCACCCCAACACCACGACAAAAAGCATCCCGGAGACGCAACACAGTAGGTATACACCTCCAATCAGCAATCAGAGAATCAAGATGAGACTGTGTTGGTATGGAGCGGGCCAGGTGAGCATCGAACGGCATATTACTACAGAATATCCCTTCACCTGACAAGGTTGTCGCCCAAGCCGAGCAGCGAACGACTTTGAGCGAATTGTGACAGTCTTCGTTCACGGCCAGCGCACTAAATGGCCATGACGCCAAAGCAGAATAAGAGCAGAGTATGACACCAAGGTCAATCCCGAAGAAGCGGTTGTATAGATATGATACAAGGACTTCCACACTCTTTTTCGGATTTTGCTTTGGCTTCACGACGATCTATTGCGCTTTCCGCGAACGACTTTTGCCCTCCTGGCCCGGAGCCTTTAGTTTCCATGCTGCAATATAGGTGTTCTTGTCATCTCCTCCGAAAGACAGTCATACATTGGAAGATGACGGCCCATTGCCAGCCAGCGGTGTGCTCCGGAGGGACTCAAAGCACCCGAAACCTGATGGTAGTCGCTCGAGGACACCAGAATGATGCCGAGCTATCGAATCGTGTGAATGCGCTTGGCATATCGCAATGGATGAGCGATATGATAAACATGGAGCGATCCATGGAGCTCGGAAGTCTTGACATTCACGGACTTGTTAGCGGGTTAGTCGATTTCAAGCGTGCTTGAGTGGGCGACACCCAAAGGTTGGACGTCATGGTCCGAACATCAAGCAACCTTGTGATCACTTGGCTTCATTGTCGCAAGTAGAGGAGCACTTCGCTTTGTGACGAGCGGGCAGTATCTGTGTCGATCACACACAACAGCGACAGCGACTTCGGCGCAGCCTGAAACCATTCAGCGTCGTGTGGCCTTCCAGAGTCGTCTGGACCACGAGATATCGGCTGTCCAGCTGTTGTCATTATGTCAAGTTTGACCCTGAATCTCTCCATCTCCCTCGCAAGGCATACAATGGATCAAACACGTGCGCGAACCTTGCTGAGCATGCGATTGTGATCAGCTGTGGCGAACGTTTGTCAACAGTTTCCTGTGCCACAGCATGACATTTCGTGTGACAAATCGAGACGTGTGACCAGAATTCCGTTTCGGGAAAAGGGGGCTTGTTACTGAAAGCATTCATGATGCCACCGGAGATCGCTACTGTGCCGCGAAGGTCAACTTTCAAAGCATAATATATTTATCTTGACGTCTGGTTACTGTGGCGGCGGTCGATAAAGGCTGTTGTGAGTCTATTCGCGGACGACTATGGAAAAAAAGAATTGGCCATAGATGGGAGACTATCAATGGTTTAGCTGTTCTACATTGGGCGTGGAGGGTGTCCAGATTGAGCAAGTCGCCAGACTATCGAAAGGTGGTTCTTCTGCGGTGCCGAATGGAAAATCAATAGAAGGAAACCCATTCCGTTCTCGATTTGAATCACGCTGGCGTAGGTCAGGTTGACACTCCTTCTTCGTTCCCTTTCGTCACGCGAAAGAGCGCGTGAGAGATACACGTGGATGAAAAAGATCTTGGTTCACCGGAAGCAGTCGGCCGAAGCGACCGACATTAGATGAACCAACAACGGGGAGAGAAGTGGAGGAGGGTCTTTCCCGCCCGTGGCTGGATGTCATAACGCACGTACCCAGAAGAGCCATGGATCTGCCTGATGTTCTCCCTCTTTGAAGTGTAGAAGTGGTGTGTACACACATGGCGCATGTGCAAAGTCTAGATTGTACAGGAATACCAAGACTTCGCACAGGAATACTGTATACGCACGCTGTGGTGACATGGTACAACAGAGACCGCGGGTAACATATGCATGCCAGTGTGACATGCATCATCTCCTGAACTGCCTCTCTGATATACTTTCGACACATGCAAGGGATGGTGCAGAGAGGAGCATCTCTGTGGCGGAGCTGGGTAGTCATCCACGCTTTGTTCCTCGGCATATTTTTCGTGGTAAGGGAGTGCCAAGTCAGTACCAGCCGTTTCAAAGTCGGCGATCCTCCGCATTTCATTGGGCTTTGGTCATCTCGGAGAGCGTTATGGCACGCCTTATGACCGGATCATCATCAGTCTTTGTTCGCTGGCAGGAAACTCTCTGGAGGCAAGCTTGTGCTATGAGACTCGAGGAAGCGTTTGTTGTCACCTGGGCACGTTGATGTCGCACTCGTTCGAGTCTTCGTCTCACTTTCCCTGCTTTTGCGGATGAAAAGCGGTCGGAGACATGCACGAGTCAGCATCGAAACGATGGACCGCGTGGGTTTTCATGCATAGGGACCATGTTCTCAACGTGCAAGACGTGCGTACTGAACGCCTTTGATCGGGTTTGCGCGCAGCGACTTGATGCTGACGTAAATGCAGCACCATGGTGAACATGCTTCCGCGAGGCCAAGACTCGCATTCTCGACAGGTTTGCCATACACATACGTCAATTCATCTCGGTTGTCATCAAGTGAGATGATCAAGGACTGTCCAGGATATATAGTGTATGAATGCTTGCAGTCACGAGTTCGACAGCATAATCCGAAACACATGGGTTACGATGCAGGGCTAAAAGACATTGCCGCAGACCAAGTAACTAAATCATGCAAGGCATTTGGGGTCCAGCTTCAGTTCAGTCGATGGCTTCATCGTATGCAGTTTTTGCCGATGTCAGCGATGATAGCCTGACAATTTATTACCTAGGTGAGCAGCAGAGTAAGTTCATGTGATCGCCAATGTGCTGTACAGCTGGCGCGGGGTGCTAGCGATGGTCGAAGCCTAGCCATGGAGAGATCCCACGAGCGGCATCGAGGTGTCTTTCGTCAGGCGCATGAGATTGGCTGCAGAGCGACGGACTTTACAGTATTTACTCGATGACATGCTGGCGTCCGCTTGGGTGGCCTGATCTTTACAACGATAAAAGAGAGGGCCCGGACTAGGTCAAGAAGGCGGCCTGCTACAGGTAAGACAATCAATTTATCTCAGGACGGACAGGCTGATTCCTCGCAGGAGATTTTGTGCGCGGGATTGCGGCGTGAAATTGGAAGACATTAGGCCTTAATAGAGTCTGAACCGTGCCTGGCATTGATGAAAAGTTTAAAGTGATGATGAACGAAAGGCAATCTTCAGCGTGCATCTGCATGCATGATGGCCGACCAGGGTAGTAGGTTGGATTCACGATTCAGGGGAGAGCCGAAGCACACGTCGTCCCAGCTTCAGCTGCATTCTCTTCTTCGCCCCCCTCCTCCTCCGCCACCACCATCAACAAGAAGGCGAAGAGACAGTCTGCCATCCGGATGATCATCAAACTCTACTAAGATAAGATCCCAAAGCACGACCACCACGGCGATGGCGACAACAACGACGACTCGACGGACGGTATCATCGGCTTCGGGAGGAACAAGGGCCAGAGGTCGAAGAGCAGAGGAAAGTGAGGGAAAGGGTGTGAGCGGGGAGAGGCGGGCGTGCCGTAACGCATGGAAGCGTCGATCGACCAGTCCGCATCAGGCTTAGGCACCGGCTGGGAATTGCGAACATTCCTCCCGTTCGCGCTTGCTGTACGCCTTGCATCCGCCGACCGTCCCCCGATTGCACACCATTCCGACACCATTGGTGTTTTTTGTTCCGATTGCTTCCTCAAGTTTGTTTTACAACCCAGCCAGTATCTTCATCATCACACGTGCTGTAGTAAATGGTCGCAATACGTACTCATGCAGAGCGTTTCCGATGTCTCAGTCCGGCTGCTGCAGATGAAAGTCCCGTGATGATGATGGAGATGGTACAGTTGTGGACTATTACTGTGTAATCGAGAAGAATATTGTAGGCATTGGCGCGCAATGTTACAGAACCTTTGAAGTCATCACTGTACGATACTGTTCATACACCTGGCCTTGGTCACCTCCAGCGGGTTCTGTACTCTTACACACCTGCCCAGTCTGGATTTCTCTCCCCTCTTTTCGGGATCCGGCGGTGGCGTCAATAGGGAATGCCTGCATGGTCAATTTACCATAACCGCCCGCACTGTCTATACCCTGGTACGAACAGCATGTACTGTATTTGTGGTATTGAGGACATGGACAAGCAATCCTGAACTGTACATGTATCTCGGTAGGGCTGCTGTTGGGTAGGGGACGGGCGTCGCCGGACCTCAATCCATGTCTTCATCAATGGCTTCGGGATCTGATGCACTTGGCGCAACGAATTGACCTACTGTGGCATCGCATTGCAATCGTTAAGCACTCCCGAGGTCCTCTTATGTTTTAGAAGCCCTGCACCTGCATCATCATAATACACGCAGGAAATAAACGGTCATGCATGCGAAATACTGGAGTCGTTGCAGGCTTTCTATGCCAAGATCAATCTCACAGTCGTGAGGTGATGCGGCAGAAAGAGCGACAAGGCAGGGCACACACCCGCCGCTCGTACAGTCGTCCACCACCCACCACCACTACCACCACCCTCACCACCAGCTGCACCCCATTCATCATTCCCTCACACTTCACACACGCGCGCAATCGGGACAGAGTTCAGTTCGGCTCCGTCAGTCACCAACCAACATTATCACCACCACCCTCACCACCCTCAGCGCCCGCCCGTCCGCCCGTTCACCACCACCCATCCATTTCCATCATCACTCTCACCACCACCACCTTCACCACTTCTACTACTCTAAAGTCCTCGTCTGGTCTTGTTTGTCTGTTTGTCTCTCTTCTTCTGTCTATGCGCCAGCCTGCGCCTCACCGTCTGTCCCTCTCTCTTTATTTGTCTGTCTTGCTCTTCTCTGGAACTGTCCCGTGGCCGACCAACTTCGGGATCCTCCACGACCACGGTTCACCGCGCGCACTCCATTCATTCCTTTGTTACCAGCCAGCTGGGAGAGAGTCGCGATTCTCCACGAGGGCGCCGACGTTGACGAACATTCGAATTTCACAGTTCTACGCTGCCGGCAATCACTTTCCTTTATTCTCTCGTTCAAATCTCTCGCCTGCCATGTCCCGGAGGATCTACTCTGCTCAATATTCGCATTGCTAATTCATACGCCACCTTCGTTCGTCTGTGCATGATCACATCAAAATCTTTAATCACAATATTCGCCCTCCTCGACTTTTCACAAAGTTATGGAATTTCAGAAAAGTTCCAAAATGCCGCGCATCGAATCTCCGGTCACCTTGAAGGTGAGACTAACTTTCCCAGTGTCGTGGCTTATCCGGCGACTAACAGCACACCCAGGCATACCTCATGTGTGCCTTTGCAGCATTCGCAGGTGTACTTTTTGGATATGACTCGGGTTATATTAGTTCATGTCTAGGAATGCCATCTTTCAAGGAACACTACGGTCACCAAGTCCCCTTCAACCCGATCGACGCTCCGACTGGTTATGATTACTACACGTGGGAGAAATCCACGATCGTCAGTATATTATCTGCTGGCACGTTCTGTGGCTCCTTATTATCTGGTTGGCTCGCGGATCGGATTGGTCGGCGCGTCAGTATCATTGGCGCCTGTATGGTCTTCATGCTCGGTGTCGCAATTCAGCTATGCGCAACCAATATTGCAGCTCTCTGCTGCGGTCGATTCGTTTCTGGTCTCGGAGTTGGATGTGTCTCAGCAATCAATATCCTTTACATGTCGGAGATCGCGCCCCGAAAAGTTCGAGGTGCCATCGTTTCCAGCTATCAATGGTAAGGCGTTTCGCAGGCATTGCTCGGACTCACTCTGACAGTCGATTCTCAGGTCTATCACCATCGGACTCATGTTGGCATCATGCGTAGGATATGCGACTGCAGACAGGCGCGACAGCGGCGCGTTCCGAATCCCGATTGCCGTTCAATTCCTTTGGGCGATCATTCTTAGTGTTGGACTGTGTCTTCTACCTGAATCTCCTCGGTACTGGGTCAAAAAGGGCCATTTCGAAAAGGCATTGGCGGCTCTTGCGCGAGTTCGTGGTCAGCCGGTCACTTCGGAACTCGTCGAGGATGAGCTGAGTACGTTTTCACCTGCAAGTCCTGCGTGCGCCATCATCATACGCACCGCGACCCACGTGCCGAGATAACATTGACTGACTTTCGCTGCAGCCGAAATCGTCGCCAATTACGAGTACGAACAACAGGTCGGCGAGGTCTCGTGGTTGGGCTGCTTTCGAGGCGGCTTCAGGAACTCCAACAGGTATGGTAGAAGTTGACAATAGACATTCCTCGATATGGATGCTGACGATTTCCTAGCAACCTTCGCAAGGTATTCTTGGGAACCACACTGCAGATGATGCAGCAGTGGACCGGCATCAACTTCATCTTCTACTACGTGAGTCACTCCTCAACTATATCTATGGCCCTCGGAACTGACAGACGCATGCCTCCAGAACACCACTTTCTTCCAACATGTCGGCATTCGCGATCCATTCCTCATCTCCATGATCACCACAATTGTGAACGTTGTCAGCACTCCGGTAAGCTCATCTCGAAAATAGATTCACGATCTATACATATACTTACATGTCCATACAGGCATCGTTCTACGCTATAGAGAAATTCGGCCGACGCCCATTACTCATCTGGGGTGCCGTCGGCATGTGCATTTGCGAATTCATCGTCGCCATAGTCGGTACAGCCGCACCCGACTCGGAGCCGGCCAACTACTGCCTGATTGTGTTTGTGTGCATATACATCTTCTTCTTCGCCTCCTCCTGGGGACCGACAGCTTGGGTGGTCATCGGCGAAATTTTCCACCTGCCGATCCGCGCCAAGGGAGTTGCGCTCTCGACCGCCTCAAATTGGTTCTGGAACTGTGTGATCGGTGCCATCGTGCCAGTCATGGTGGATCCCGGATACGGCAATCTCGGACCGAAGGTCTTCTTCGTTTGGGGTACCGCCTGCGCCCTCAGCGCGACATTCGCATATTTCTTCGTGCCGGAGACGAAGGGACTCACCCTTGAACAGGTGGATCAGATGATGGAAGAGGTTCCCGCGCGGAGAACTCGCAAATGGCGACCGGATGACAACACTGAGTGGGATTTTGGCTACTCACAACAAGTCAGCCGACCAGGCACAACAGAAGGCAAATCGCCCAACATTGAGAGCTTTATCAAGTGAGCATGGAACCAGAACCAGGATTTCTACTTCTGCTTCCTTCCCCTGCATTCTTGAGCGACTCACATTGAAAAATTCGGCGTTGGCGGTTCCTTTTGGGCTTTTACCATTTATGCATCAACGGCAAGACGATGCACACACTCACATCTTTTCACGCGACCTTCGGCATTTTGTTCTCTCCAATTTCGGATTCTTTTTTTGGTGATGATACCCACAACAACAGCGAGATCCTGGCAGGTCTTTCTTTTTTTCCATTCTTTCTCGGAATTAACACCTTCCACTCAAATTTACATTCTACTTCTTCTGTCTCGACCAAAGGACACGCTCGCCCCCCGGAACTCTCACGCCACATCAAGCAACGCTCGAGAAAAGGCAATTTTTTCTGGACTCACCGGCAAACCTTCATCAAGGCCACACCTTTTTGTTACTACTACTTTTTGGAAAAACCAATGCGATATGACTTTTTGACGACCACGCGCGCTGGGCATGATTTGGTCGACAATCAAACAACTACAAAAACCACGTGTATACTACACATTCTCTCTCTCTGTGAAATCCTAGATAGGCAAAATTCTCCCCAAACAAATTCTTAATAATTTTCTGGCGACGTTTCTGAGATTGACTTCGTCTGAGAAATCCTTGCCGTCAAAATTGCATTCATACATGGATGGCTTGCACAGATGCCTGTGGGAATATTGTAAAACGTGAGTGACGCGATCGCGAGAAGAGAAGAAAACATGAAGAACGTGATGGGTAAAGGAGGGCTTCTGCTTTTCGCGCAGCACCGCCTGGGAGGAAAAACAGGCCTTCAAGATGTGGTATTCTTCCTAGTAAAAACGCCATTTTCCCCCATCCACCTCTCATAACACCGACGTCAGCGACAACCACGACAGCAAATCGACGATCGCAATCATCTCTTCTCCTCTTCCCGCAACACGACTGTACGTGAGCGGAGAAATTTCACTTCTCCGGGCCCTCAGGGGTAATGTAACCACCAGCGACCTCGACCCATTCCGGGATACAACTACCCTCTTTGGTCTCGACCTCGACGATATCCGTATCGCAGCGACACCTACATCCGACGCCATTCTCCTGCACCGGGTCGGGCTTGGCCCAGTAATCATCCTCCTCTTTCCGCGCTTTGGCATCCTTGGTGGTCTTTTCCAGCCAGGGGATGTGTGGGAGTTGGCGGGCGGGCGCGTTGGCGGGACAGTGCTGGATGGTGGTGTGGCGGTAGCCGTAGTCGCGGAAGTAGTGGACTTGTTTGATCGAGAGGAGGGCGCCGGCGGCGAGGGAATGGATGGGGGCGTCACCCCACTGCAGAACCGCACGTTAGCTCGAAGTGTACCAGAGAATTTTACTTTTTCTTTGCTCTTCTCAACTTACTCGTTCCATCCAGAATCCGCCGGATTTGTCCATCATGTTGAAGAAGTCGTTGTATTCCTGGCTTCGGAACCAGTCCAGACGCGCGATTTCAAAGTTGGACCAGAAATGACACATGTTGTAGACTTCACCTTCCATAGCTTCGGGATCGATGTCCGGCAACGGTGCTTGTCCAGGCGGATAGTGCTCTTCCTTCTTCTTCTCCTCTTTTTTGTAGTCCTTCTTTGGCGTTCCATCCTGGTTGAAACCTTCCTTGGGCTCAACAAACATCTCCCAGAGTCCTTGCGACTTCTTGTTGTATTTGCGTTTGTACGCGGATGCATAGCGGAAGATGTTCGGCACCGTCTCTTTGAGCTCCTTCACAGCAATCGTAAAGCCGTAAGTTTTGTTGTTGCGCTCCATATAGACGAAGGGATCGTAGGTCATGTCGCAGAAATATTTAATCTCCGGCTCCACACGCCAGTACCAATCGTACTTTTGTAGCAATTCGTGCTTATAGAAGAATCCCGAGTAGAACCGACACATGTGGTGGTACGACTCCATCCCGCCATACATAATAGCTTGATCCCCTTGCTTTCGAATTCCCTCTTTTGCGACATTCGCGTCCGTCCAGTTCGGGAAACCCCAGTGCTCGGGGCCAATTTTACCAAACTCGACGGTGGAGCTGGTGTGGTTTCTGACGGTCTCTTTGAATGTGGTATTGAACTCTCCGTCGTTCAAGAACACATATGGATAGTTGAACCAACGGTTGAAATGCCGCTCCATGCTCTTGAGACTTTCAATAACACCATCCAACTCCTTGTTCCTAGCTAGGACGACAAATACAGCATTTGCGCGAGGGCCTTGCGCGTTGACGACGGGATCCGTGCAGCCTGTCGCGAAGACCTTGTCGTGCTTCTCGTTGATTTTGCGGATCTCGGGCGGTGCGCCAGCTGAGATCAGCCTTCCGCCTCGAGCTGAAGGATTGCGCACGAGGAAGACGATCAACACCAACAAGATCAATGGAAATAGTAGCACCAGATATAATGGAACGCTGAACTTGCTGTTCCCTCGTAGTCGTATCCGCCTTTTCAGGAATGATAAACGCGGCGACATTCTATCTGAGCCATCTTTTGCGGATGAGTTTTGTAAAGATTTCAGCGAAGGTAGTGTCTGAGACGCTGGAAACCGCTTCTTTATCCCATCGAATACGGCCATGATGGTGTGACGGGCCCGTCTGGGCCAATGTGAGGCGTTTTCGCAGTCGTGGGCTGTTCAATGAAGGCGGGACTGTGCGGCCGCAAGTCGCCTGAGGTTCCTCACTGGTAGAACAGATGCAGGTCGCGTGGTGCAAGACCGCTGACGGAGAAACTGGAGATGCTTTGCGTGGAAGAAGGGGTCGATTGATGTGATGATGTGAGCGCAAGAGAATACGAATGCGCTGATGAGATGAGTGAAGGTACGGTGGTGATTTATTATGGGATAATGATAAATGTCAGATCGTCGTATTCGCAGGGTTCAACGATTGTTGACAAATCCCCTAAAGCCCTTCGGAATGGCAAGCACACGCGGGCTGAGCCGCATACATCACCGTGAATTGCGGCGTCGTGGGTAATTTTAGCCATTATGTATACATACATACGGCTTTCCATACCGGTCCACATTGTGTCAGAGAGCCACGGGCATTAATCAGTGCAGAGAGTTAAAACTTGAAAATTGGAGATAACCCTTGCGATTACGAATGAGTTCAATTCTCACAGTACCTAGGTAAGTACCTTGGAGGCATATGGACGCGATGTCACGTGGCCAAGCTCATGGTAATACACACTAAGTAGTAAGACATGACGGAGTATTAATAGTGTTCAATTAAATTTCCTTATGAAAATTTCCTTATGATTGATTATTCCGACTGGTGTTGGAAGCTTGCATGCTACTTGTAAATTTACTTGCGACGACTTGGCCTTGGCGATCATTTGCGGCAGTAGAGACCATTGAAATGCGGGTTGAGTGAGGAGCTTGCTTCTTGATGTTACCAAGGTACTGACCAGCTGACATACACGACACGGAATTTGAATGGCGGAACATTATATATGTTGCGAGCAATTGAAGACGACTTGATTCTGTCCGCTACGAAGCTGTAGCTACTACCCACCTGCACCTGGTAATCTGTGAGGGAAGGACGGATTCTCATCTCCAAGATGGTGAGAGCTGTCATCATCGCCTCGTCACCTCAGGTGGGCATGCACAGAAGCGGACAACAAAGCTGACGGGAAGAATTTCCCCTTTGGATTGGTAGTCCCGCGACGCGTCGTTCACATACCTCCATCTGCACTCATCCCATCACGCAGGCATGCTCGAGGATTTCGCTCGAGTCAAACTGCCAGCCGAAGAGATCGACGTACCAGCAAAGCATCAACCCAGCAATCCCGACGATGAAGATGACATTGTGCCAGATCAGCACGCGGCATTTGGCATTCAACGCGCCACGCAGAAAGCGCGTGAACCCGCTTGGCGTGATTTGGGGTTGGACCGTTTGATGACGGATGGCCCGCCGGAGAGGAGATCAGACACGGGATCGATGGCGAACGCGGCATCGGCATCGTCACCAGCGGCTGGAGGTCCCTCGTCGGTGCAAGACAGTCGTGTTGGGAGTGCAACAAGGACGACTTTGAGGTAGTTCTCTTGCGGTCCAATCTTCAGAGTCAATCCCGAAATGACATGCACAAACGTCATGCTTTATGGAATAGTCAAGTTGGAATTTATGTACTTGTCAACGAGCCACACCATATGCCGGGGAAGACGTGAACGACCGTTCGCTTCGCGTTGGTCACCGAGTTGACTCTGAGCATACATAGCCAGGTTGGAGGACACTCGATCTGTGGATAGGATACATTCTCTCCTCTGCCATGGGGTAGCAGACAAAATTGTTGTATATTTGTTCTCTGCGACGCCGGTATAGTTCCTGGCAAAGTCTACCGATGATGTTGAACGTCAGAGATATACAGTCGCTGCGTCCCGCCAACCATCACGCGAACACTTGCATGCAGCATGACGGCGATGAGGGTATGTGTTGTAATACATGTAAAGAACCAACCTTGGAACCTTGGAATGCTTGCTCCGCACCCTCGGCGTGCGCCTGAGAACGCGTCGACACGAGGAAGGCACCAACCACGGGCGGGAGGTTCGGCTTGGCTGAGATTGGCAACGCGACTCTGAGACTCTCGCTCTCCTTGTGCGTCATCATCGATTCTGCCCTACTGCAACCTAAATGACAGTCTACGGCCATGGTCTTCTCCGCATTCCCGGCGGATTCTCCAAGCTAATCCCTCCCCAGTGAAGCTAATTGGCACTCCTTGGAGAGTCTAATTTTATTCCCATTGTCGTCTTCGCACTCCCGTCAACAACATGTTCAGTCGCTGAAATCAGTGGGCATCTTCATTCGTTCTTTGTCCAGACACTCTTTTGAATATATACAATAACTGGCCGTCATCCTTCATACAAGATGAGGAGCCAGTCGCTGTTGTTGGCGGCAGGCCTCGCGGTCTCGGCTGCGGCTAATGGTGTTTGTACGCCACCTCCTGCGCGTGTTCATCGAGCGTCCAAAGTCGAATAAAGATCCGTACTGACGATTTTGACACTCTCAGCAATTTCTTGGGATGCAGCATACGAAAAGGCTGCCGCCCTGGTTGGCAACATGACCCTTCTGGAAATGGCCAACATCACATACGGTTTCTCCGGCGCTGGCCCTTGTTCCGGTGTGAGTGGTAGCATTCCACGTTTGGGCTACCCGGGAATGTGCTTCCAGGACGCTGGACAAGGTGTTCGCGGACAGGACGGTGTCAATGCCTACCCTGCTGGTCTTCACGTTGGTGCCAGCTGGAATCGTGAATTGGCTCTCGAACGTGGACAGTATCTCGGTGCCGAATTCAACCGCAAAGGTGTCAGCGTGGCCTTGGGTCCTATGGTTGGCCCGTAAGTTTTCAAAGACTCCACGCTGCTTGTTGCGCATTGCTAACAATGCGCAAGTCTCGGTCGTGTTGCCACTGGTGGACGGCTATGGGAAGGCTTCGCGTCCGACCCATACCTCTCCGGTCAGCTGGTGATTCCCACCATTCAAGGCATGCAAGAAAATGTTGTGGCCTGTGTGAAGCATTTGGTTGCGAACGAGCAGGAGACCAACAGGTCGACATCGTTGACCCACCCAGGTATGCGCCACTTCTTCGCAGTGACAAGACATCCAGACTAATCTTGGACTCGTAGGTGGTCAAGCTGTATCCTCCAACTTGGATGACAAAACCTTGCACGAGCTCTACTTGTGGCCCTTTGACGACGCTGTTGAAGCTGGCGTTGGCATTGTCATGTGCAGCTACAACCGTGTCAACCAGACATACGCCTGTGAGAACGAACATCTTCAAAAGGAAATTCTCAAGGGCGAACTCGGTTTCAGAGGTTTCATCCTATCAGACTGGAATGCTCAGCACAACGGTCTCTTGTCCGCCACCTCCGGTCTTGATGTCGTCATGCCCACCTCCTCCCTGTGGGACAATGGCCAACTTGCTGGTTATGTCACGAATGGCTCGCTCCCACGAGCTGATCTCGAAGACAAGGCTCTTCGTATCCTCGCCACCTGGTACAAATTTGGCCTGGATACCAACTCCACAGCAGCAGCGCTTGGTGCCGGTCAAGTCAGCCCGCTCACCACACCCCACGAGTTTGTCAACGCAAGGGACCCGGCGTCAGCACCTAGCATTTATAAGCAGGCTCAGGAAGGCCACGTCCTCGTCAAGAATGTCAATAACGCTCTTCCGCTCAAGAAACCGCGTGTCCTGTCCATCTTTGGCCAAGATGCTTTCCCACAGACTACCGCAACCCCAATTCTTTTCGCTGGATTGGATCTTTTCAGCTACAATTTCCAGTCTCTGATTCCGGTCATCTTACAAGCATATGCGTATGGTACTGCGACTCCTGGCACCCTCAACGGTACTTTGACTGTCGGAGGTGGCAGCGGTGGTAACACAGCGCCCTACATCAGCACACCTTGGGATGCCATCCAACAAAGGACCATCGAGGATGGCACCCAACTTTTCTGGGACGCCAGCGGCTCTACTGAGCCAGAGGTCGTCGGTTACAATGACGCGTGTCTTGTCTTCCTCAATGCTTTTGCTAGTGAGGGCTGGGACCGCCTCGATGGTCTTACCGACCCTGCTGGTGATGCTCTCGTTTTGCACGTCGCGAGCAAGTGCAAGAACACTATGGTCTTCATTCACAACGCTGGTGCTCGTCTCGTCGATGCTTGGGTGGACCACCCTAACGTCACAGCTGTCATGTTTGCCCACGTTCCCGGTCAAGATTCTGGTCGTGCCATTGCATCTTTGATCTACGGTGATGTCTCGCCTTCTGGACGCCTTCCCTACACCGTCGCCAAGAATCAATCCGACTATGGTAGCCTTCTCTTCCCTGTTATCGGCGCGCCTGACAACTTCGACCCACAATCCAACTTCACTGAAGGCGTCGAGATTGACTACCGTTCTTTCCTCGCTCGCGACGTCACCCCGAGATACGCTTTTGGATACGGACTGACCTACTCGACTTTCTCATACTCTAACCTCACCGTCGAGGCTAACGGCGCCCTGGAGCACAGCCATGCGCTCACCGACAATGTCATGCGAGTTACAGCATCCATCACCAACACTGGCAAGGTCACCGCTGCCGAGGTTCCTCAGCTTTACTTGAGCATTCCCGGTGCTTCGACTAAAGTCCTCCGTGGTTTCACCAAGACTTCTCTCTGCGCCAACGTTACTGCAGAGGTTGAGTTCCTCCTCCGCCGGAAGGATTTGTCCCAGTGGGACGTTACCACGCAGAAATGGTTCGTCCCCAGCGGTGATTTCACCGTTGAGATCTCCAAGTCAGTCCTGGATGTCCAGCTGACGGCGACCTTCACTCTTTAATCTTGTCATATACATGCATACTCATAGCATTTAATCATACACACATGGAGCTTTGGCTTAACGATTCTCACAATTGATGATCGGCGTAGTGTGTCTGTGATTGCGCAGAAACAGTATGACACTAATACGCTAGTGGACCGTACGATACAATCCTTAATCTTATACTCATACACATACAGGCTGTCTGCTACATTTCAGCTATTCGAGTGCCATTGCGCTGAGCTTTGCCCAAACCTTCTACTACTCCGGTGTCCCCGGCTTTCGCATATGCCCGTATGGCGGCCGCTAATTGCTGCATTCCGGCGCCACTCGACAGACGAGCGCGCAATGCCCGTCCTTTTCCTCCAGCAGCTTACCATCATCGGTCCAGTGGCCAAGGACTGTGCCATCCTCATCGACAAAGTTGTGATCGATGGTCGGAAATGCAAACTTCGTTTTTGTGTGGAGGATGTATTTGAACACCCAATGGTGCCGATCCACCTCGTTGGGCACGAAGGACTGCGTCATTGTGGCTGGACCAATGCCATGGGTGGTGCATGCGGCCGGTGCTATTTCTTCTGCCGCGTTATCACGGTCTTCATGAGTCCCTTGCGCGTTGTCTTTGAGAGCGTTGTCGTCAACCTTGCGGTCTTGGCGTTTGATGTCGCCGGTTGCATCTTTGCCAATGCCTGTACCGTTTTCTGTGGAAGAGCACAAAGATCAGAACGATTCATCAGCTGACCTGTCTCGCCTTCACGACTCACCACGCTTTCTTGGCCCATGAGTGTGCACGGGCTGGTCCCGTTCGTCTATGATGCCATGCATCATTTCGTAGTCCTCAAAGTAAGCTCGATACTTCCTGCGCGCATACGACAACTTCTCCCATGGCACGGCCGAATCGACGCGGTTGGCCTCCTTGTAGAACGCTATCTCTTCATCCTCGTCTTCGTCGTATTCAAAATCAGAAACTCTCTCATCTGCCTCGGGAGAGGCCTTTGGTGGTGGTGAGGCGATCATGGGACACGAAGTGCGCTCCGCCATGGTCGTCGAGTATTATCCACTGCTTTGTGATTCTGAAAGGATTGACTGCATTGATGTGGGAGGGAAAACACAAGGACTGCTCTCAGAGCTGACGGGTTGCAAGCATACTTCAGTGTTATTTGCGCATGTTCCATGTAACATGCCTATCACTTTCTTTCACCAGGCGGACGCAAATCACGGTGTTACTTGACGGGATGCTCGCAGATGGTTACGTCCTTTCAACAATCTCCGTGCTTTTCTTTGTTGAATGTCAGCACAGTGCGAAGCAGTTACCTGTATTTGCATCCCACCACCAGAATTCACATCGCTCTACATTCATATGGCGGTATAAGGACATCCTTGACATTCCAAGATTGTCATGTAGTTGTCGGACTTGAAGCCCGAAGACCATGTTTCAGACTTTCTTGTAACCCTAGTACCGAGGTACACCTGCGTTCGGTACCGCAAGTTGATTTGAAGAACGAAAACCTCTCCTCCTATCATGCGAGGCCTGTCTTTATTTATTACACATCCTTCCTATCCCATGTATCGTAAGCGGTGAGGTTCGAGAGCCCAGCATGGTGAAATCGTTTGTTGTAAGTACTTTCTGTTTGTTCGCGACCGCAAAAATCAAACCACATTCCTGAGCTGGGTCACTTACGCCTTTCTGTGCACATAGATCGCCCTGGTGGCAGCGATTACATCGGCAATCATTTATTCGAAATTACCTTTGATCTCGATTCTTTGGAATAATGCTCCCGGTCGCCTTCCACAAATCAACACGCTCAAGAATCATGAAATAGTCCATGTTAACACCATCAGGAACTGCGAGGATGCAGTGCTCGCTGATGGGTTTTTGATTGCGAGTTGCGATCCTTCTCGTGACACCTGGAACACTATCATGGTATGACCGAAAGCATAGACTGGTATGGGGATGCCCACTTTTTCTAACCATTGGATCAGGGGACCCTTGTCAACTCTTCATCCACTGAGCAGACCGGACTATACTTCCTCTCGACTAAATCCGCCAAGTCCACGCCAGAGAAGATCAAGCTGCTTGATTTTCGCCCCGAGCCGAGCAACTTCCACCCTCTTGGCATCGAGTATCACAATGGAAAGATCTTCCTGTTGAACCTGGCAGTCAGTGGCCCGAAGATCGAGATCTTCAAGCTGCTGGCGAAGGACCGCGCAGCAACTCACATTGCCACTTTAGAGAATCCTCTGGTTATTGCTCCCAACAGCATCGCAGCAATCAGTGACACCGAACTTATAGTAACGAATGACCATTACTTCCCGGCGTCTTACAGTCCAATTCTGAACCTGCTAGAGACCTACACGGCTCTCCCGACAGGAAGCGTCATCTACATCAAGCTTGATCCGAAGGGCACCTCCATCACCGAGAGCAAGGTTCTGACGAGGCTACCTTTTGCCAATGGAGTCACGCTGTTGAATGCAACCACAGTCGCCATATCAGCTCTTACCAAGCCAAGGTAAGGAAATATATGGATGCTAGCTTCGTACGCGTCACAGACAAAGCTAATCGTGCTTCCAGTATCGAGCTCTTCGACATCAAGCGACTCTCAAGTGGCAGCATCAACTTTATCTCTACCAAGTCAATCCCAGTGGGCTTTCTCGTTGACAATCTCTCCGTGGATGGCAATGGCAAATTGCTCGCCGCTGGGCATCCATTCCCACCTGCCTTGGACAAGATCGCCGCCAATCAGCGATTTTGCCTTGACGTAGAAGCTGCTTCTGACCCCAAATGCAAGTTTGACCGGCTGAGTTGGGTAGCGGAATGGAGCGAGGCGGAGGGCGTCAAGAATCTGCTTGTTGGAACCGACTATGGTACCTCAACGACGGCACTTCGCGATGTCAAGAACGGAGTCGGCTTCGTCACTGGTCTGTACGAGAAAGGACTCCTTCGATGGACGGAATGAGCAGACTATGCGGCAATGCCATCTCCGCAGCAGAATGCATAGGTAGTCCTTCCTTCAATTTCAACATGATGGGATGATGTGCGAATATCTCTTCGTATTGCATGTATGGCTGAAAGTAGTAACATGACACGCGACCTCGGGGCTAGAGAAATAATTCTTCCCAAGCCTCAACGGTGACGCATTACCCGTGAGTGGTGCCGACGCACGTTTATCTCGATCTAAGCCTTGTCACAGGTGTAGCATAAGCAGCTGCTGTTGTATATACTATATAGTATGCGATGGGCCCCTTCAAATCAATGTTGCGAGACAACAAACATCAAACATGTCGTGTCTTCGCCTGCAATTTGAACATGAAGTGCTCGTGTGCTGGGGCGCAACCCCGCAAAATGATGTCGGCTCGGAGTCCAGCCCCTGCATGGATGACTGAACGCGCTCGGTTGCTAAGCCTCAAAACTGGTTAGACTCGGACTGTGCGCGATATGTTCAAGGCAATGGCTTTTTCGATTGCGCTCGAGCAATAGACACGAGATAGACTTCGCGACCATCGTCACCTCCACGACCTCGCCGGGCCTCTTCTGTCCTTGGCTTCGACCTGTCTCTACCTCGCGCGACCAATGGGTCATACAGTCATTAACGTGTCTACCGGCTGAATGTCATCCGCTCTGCGGACGTCTCTACGCTTTTCGCGCCTCCGTTGCGGCTCACTTCCATCAAGACATCTGCTTTAATTTCTTCATGATCAAGATGCATTCCGAGATGCTTTTCTCTTTATGGGCCTCGTTCGCCCTATTTGCGCATACGATTGCACAGCATACAGATCCTGGAGCGCCTACCGCAACGATTGATGCAGGCGTCGTCATTGGCAAAACGACACAATTACCCGCGGCTACAGCTCCAGTGAATCAATTTCTGGGGATCCCATTTGCGAAAAGTCCGCCGAAACGATTTATGCCAGCAGAAAAGCCAGACCGGTTTTCAGAGCCCATAGTTGCCACCAGCTGGTCTCCTGCATGTATTCAGCAATTTGTTTGTAAGAATGGCCGCCCCGTGCAGATCTCATCGCCTGCGTACTGATAGATTCACAGACCCAGAGATCGTCTCCAACTTTGCAAAATTCATCTTTGACAATCCCAGCTCGAAGGAGAGCGAAGACTGTTTGTACTTGAATGTATACGCTCCATCTTCGCCTCCACCGCCGGGCGGCAGAGGTATGTTCACAATCACTGATGCATCGTGTATTCGACTAATCATTTTTAGCTGTCTTATTTTGGATATACGGCGGCGCCTTACATTTCGGAAATGCTGGAATGCATTTCTACGACGGCAGCAACTTTGCTGCCTATGAGGATGTCATCGTCGTGAGTGCCAACTACCGGACCAACGTGTTCGGATTTCCTGCAAGCCCGGAGATTCCATTAGAAAAGCGCAATCTAGGATTTCTTGATCAGCGACTTGCATTGGATTGGGTACAGCGGAACATTGCTGCATTCGGCGGCTCACCGAAAAAGGTCACGATATTTGGAGAATCTGCTGGTGCATGGTCGATCGACGCCATGCTTACTTCATACGATTCGAAAAGCAAACCGCCATTCCGAGCAGCGATACTCCAGAGCGGGCAGATTTCGTACAAATACATGCCACAGAAGAGTTCGGTTCCTGCATGGAAGAAACTTGTGACTGCTTTGAACTGTCCCGGATCGCACGAGACCGATCTGGCTTGTGTTAGTGCCGCCAATGCGACGGAAATCCGAAAGATCATCAGCGAAGGTATTATCGAATTCAACCCAGTGGCCGACAACAAGACTTTGATGTCATTTCCTGCTGCTCAGCGTCTCAAGGGTGATATTGCATTCATCCCTGTTCTTGGCGGAAGCAACAGTCAAGAAGGACGCGTCTTTGCGCTCACCACAACAAACGCTTCTGCTTTCTTGGAGGCACAGGGCACAGTGGATGGCTCGATCATCAACAATTTAGTGCGCAACATCTATCCTTTGAATTCGCCTCTCGTTGGAAGCACAGATTACGACCAAGCCGCCCAGATTCTCACCGAAATGGTCTTCCAATGCTCTCAAGCACGATGGGCCAATGACACCGCCATGATTGGAATCCCTACATGGCGGTACTACTACAATGCCACTTTTCCCAACACACAACCCTGGGCAAATCTCGGTGTGTTCCACAGCAGTGAGATTCCAGTCGTCTTTGGCACCTACGCCGCCTCGAACACCACGACACAGGAATACGCGCTATCACAATTCATCATGGGAGCATGGGCAAAGTTTGCGAAGAACCCTCTCGGTGGTCCGGGCTGGAATCCCGTTGGGTCCGGCGCTCCCGGATGGATGATAGCCGGCGATTACGGCATGGCCACGGCGGGCTTCCTAGTCGCCGAGAACAGCACCATGAACGAAGGCGGGCACAGCTTAGGTGTCCTTGGAAATCGCGGAGGGAATATGGGATCGGGCGTGACGGTGATTGATCAGAATGAGGTCGACTTTCGCTGTCATGTTTTCGACAGTGTATACGCGACCTTTAACACACCGCCGACTTAGATATAGGATAGATCTGTAGGCATACGCGGCTTCTGCGGTTCTTAAATGAGATATGATTGAAACCTAAAATATTTTGATGCAGACCTATTTCTTTCATTCTGAATTTTGTGAGTCGCGCAACGATGCAGTGCCTTAGATAATGGCCTACCTGCAACTCGGGGGTTTGTCTCACGATTACGAAAATCAATGCGGACAGTAAGAACAGACACAAATACGTCTGCCGAATCATACTCCGACCTTCAAGGTTTGATTTGCGGCCTGACGAACATCTTGATGAATACCAACATTGATACGCATACAGAGAACCCTGAATTCTAGACGACTTGCGATCAAAAGCCAGAAGTCAACTTTTGAGAGGCAAGTCAAGCAGCCTTTGTAGGCCTGAAACTGGTCGTTCCTCCCTTGGTGCCCGCTCCATTCATCGTATCCGTTGAGCCGATGACTCCTCCTTTTGAACTGGTAGAGCTTGGGACTCCTTCTTTCCTGATCATGGCTTCAGGTGCTTTATCCTTTGTGCCTTGATCGACCAAGTTGCCACGCTCAATAGCTGCTTTGCGACCGGAAAATGGTAAGGCGCTTTTGAGCCTACTGCAAAGTGTCGATTTGCGTCGGACGGCATGTGATGTACAGTGGTCGCTTGCAGGCTCCTGAGACAACGTATCACGGTATCAATCATTTGGATTTCACAGCATGCCGAGATGTTTTGAGCTCGCTGGTCTGGCAGGTTGTTTGACTGTGCTGCTGTTGCTGACCTTTGGCGAACCTACGTTCGTCTTGACACTGACAGATTGTTTGACGGGATTGCTGTTGCCGGCCTCTGACCATCCTATGCCCGTCTTAACACACGTTTTTACCGGATCCGCTTCCTTGGGAGAATCATTGGACCCGGCTGCTTCTACGATTGTGCTTAGCGCTTTGGTCGGACTGCTCGGAGATGTGGTCTTATTTTCTCTCTTGACTTCTTCACTCGGCATATGCGGCTTCCGGGTGCAGGCTGTGGCGAGGAACTTTTCTAATTCACATCGCAGTTCGCGATATTTTGAGAGCTCGGCACGGCATTCATCGAGCTGTCGGGCCATCGTCGTCTTCTCTATCTCGAGCTCGGTGACTTTCATTTTTAAGTGTCTTTTGACTGGATCTGCTGAAGTCATCGTCACGCCGTACACCGTTTTGACTTCCACGAAACTTGCGAGTATCGCTTTGAAATTCTCGATTTCGCATGTCGATGTTTGCACACATCCCTTCATCTCCTCCAGAGCTTCTTGCATCACCTTCGCCGCATTACTATACATCTTGTCGTGAGTCGCAGTGGTTTCGCATTTTTACCGTCCGAGACCAGTTCTAAATTCGCCAACCTCTTTTTGCACGCGCCGGAGTCCTTACGCGAGACTCGCGAGACTCGGAGGTCACGGCAAGAGGCGAGGCTGTATCGATGTGCTTGCCTCCGACATGGTCTGAGATGGTTACCGATCGTTTGGAGAGGGCAGGTAGGTTCAAAACAAATGCGGTTACCGAAGCGGAAGGCAACTCATAAGTATTGAGCGATTTCCCCTGAAGAGTTCCGAAGCAGACAAGGCTCGATGGCCATCGATCCTTGTACGCACATGTCAAGTGAAACACGTGGTGAAGAAAGATACTACGCCTGGGCCTGAGTTACGGGCAATGTTTGCATGTGATTCAGCGCCACACCTCCAGCGACTGTCGCGGAAGTGAATTCGATTCTTGAATCATTTCTAACTCAGTCAAGCCGCGCATTGGCGTAAGCCTGCTTTATCTTGTCCAGTTCTCAAGAATTGCGATTCTTTGCGACATTGACAATTTTGTACTAATGCCCGCATGTTATTCCGAAAAAGAATTGCCGGCGGAATCAGGATGTGCACATTTGCTGTACGAGGGGTCGCTGCTGACTGAGGAAAAATATGCGTTTCACACTCGATGGGAAAGACATTGTGTGCCAAGTGGTATTTGAGTTGTGAGTTCCGTCGAACATGCGAGAAACTTCTAGGTCCTTATATCCACTCATCTTCGTGGAGCTTGAACTCCGGACGACCATGTAGCCACTCATCAAACGTAACTTCGCCCGGCATCTCTTCTCCACTTTGAAGTCGAAGTCGAGGGAAATTATGGTCCTTCCAAACATAAGGCACGCCCTCGCGAGAATGTGCCCCATCTGTGATATACGCATCTTCGTCTTGTGCGACGACCTGACTTGGTGGCGGATCGCCAAAACGAGGAGGCAAGGCGTTCATCGTGCCATTGTTTGGCGGGTCACCATAGCGAGGAGGCAAGGCATTTACCATGCGATTGTTTGGCGGATCGCCATAGCGAGGAGGCGTGGCGTTTGTCGTTGCGTTATACGGTGGAGCGCCAATGAAATATCGACCATAATCGGCTATCGTGTCGGTCCAGGATGCTTCTCGTGCAGTGGAACTTCCTGCTTCCGACTCTGAACATTCGTTCTCCTCCTTAGACTCTGGCTGTGAAACACCTGCCTCTTGAGGTACCTCCCATCCCTGTCGTACTCGGGAAGCTAGATCGTCATTCTTCAAGATCAGAGCTGCTGAATGCCATCCAGCTGCCGCTATGCTGAGAGCAAAATATGCGCACAATCCATCATCGTCCTTGGAAGGTGCTGCAAACCGGTCCCAATCACGGCCTTGCTGCTCGATCCACTCGCTCACTTCACCTTGACATGTCGTATCAGCTGATCCCAGGGCCATTCGTACTCTCTCTGCGGATTCGCCTGGGTCTGCTCCTCCAGCGGTAATCCATCTGATCCAATCGCGCTTCTCTGGTTCGAACCAGACTTGTCTTCCGGTTGTGTAGGCGTGTTTGACCAGGACGCCATCCTGAGGGTTGTTACGGTCGTTGCGCATTCCGCGTAGTCTACTTTCCGGGTTGCCGTTCCCACCAAGCCCAAGAGCGCCGCACATCTGTGGTTCTTTTCCGTAGCTTGTAATCTTCCCGGAAGAGTGAAGGGCCTGAAAATGGTAGTCTCCAAAAGCGACGCTGATGACACCGCTGTCTTGTAACGCCGGGATTCGATCAAAAACGCGTGTTGCCCCGGGAAATACACCATCTACAAGATGCATGATACGGTCTTGGTCGCTGGTGAGAACTTGACCAGAGCGAGTAAAGACTGCGAAATTGCGAAATGAGCCTTGAACTGACGTTACGAACGACGAGTTCGCATCGTTGCTCAGAGACGATGTGGGTATGGGGATCTGAATCTCAACAGAGGAGCTTATCCTCCGCTCTGTATTTCCCCAGTCGACTCGTGCAGCATAAAGCTTGCCGAGATCTGTGGAGAATAGGACAAAATGATCAAGTAGGACGAAATCCAATACTTCACCTACCGTCTCAGCGAGAAGTCGACTTTGATCGCTGGGCTGAGTGAGGCGGCGATTATAGTTACTGTACTCGATAACCTCGCTTTCCATAATCAGTACTGCCTCGGCTCGGGCGCCATCTCTGACCGCGTCGGGGGTCCAGACGACAATACCAATCCCTTCTAGTAGTGCAGCGCTGAGACTCCATCCAGCAACAACTTTTCGGACTGTACCCTCTGACCGCGACCCGTCTTCGACCAGGGTATGAGCGACGAATCTGACATACAGTCCTGGTTCTCTGATGTCATGCCAACTATAAATGCGTCCAGAATCAGATAACCCGAGGACATGTGAGCGCCCAGCAGACATTTGTTTGATCATTTTGTGATGAGGCTTCACATTCGCAGGAAATCCCAACGCGGTAGGTTCAAGACAAGGGTTTTGAGGATATCGGCTGCCATCCATCTGTCCTACAGAATAGAGCACCCCTTTATTGTTCAACGTTGTAGTAGACCAGCCGCCGCATTGTAGATCAGATATAATGCCAAGAGACTCCGTATTCTCCATCTTCCCGGGCCAAGCGATGTGATCTGAATGTCTGCCGAAGTGTGGGTTTCGAAACTGCAAACGCGGATTGTGCATTCGGGCTCCACCGGCGCGAAACGAGTGTCCAAGGCATCCCTTCTCATTGTTTCCCCAGGAGTATACTGAGGTTTCCTTCAACATTCTTTTGTACAATTTGAACCAGCGGACTCCATCGGCTGCCGCTACGGGTTGATTGGGAACACGGAAGTCGTGACGCGTCTGTCCAGACCAGTATACACTATCGTATAGGAAGGTGGACTGATGAAGCGAAGAGCATGTCGCAAGGAAATTCAGGTAATCGGCGGGTTCTAGATAAGGGAAGATCAAGCGGAGCACCTCCACGGGCAGATCGAGTATGACCGTCATCTCCGGCTGGGTAGCAAATGAGATGAGGATAGGTATGAGGACAGGAAGTCAGGAGATCGTGGCGATTATGCTCGAGGGCGTAGGCGAAGGCGAAGGCGAATGAGTGAGTTAATCTCGAGATGAGACGTGAGATGCGATCAAGGCAGGAGAGAACTTGAGTTGACCAGGAATCAGTCGCACTGTAAAAAGGTTCGTGATGTGATTATCAAGCTATCGTAAGGATCAATACCGAGAACTAACCCAGGTTGTTCTCGAAACAAGGATATTCGTCGAGCGATAGGCATGTATCCTGCTGCGATCCAAGGTTGCAACAAATCGATGTGTGGTTGCCTACCCAACTGGGCATGGATAAGACAAAGGCAATGACGTATGTATGTCTTGCCTGAGGCAACCGTCAGCTGATTGCAAGGACGGGCTTGTTAGCCTCAGGTTTCTGACAATTGGAAGTCCCTGGATAAGGGCTGCAGCCTCTTCGAAAGTTTTGCGGCGAGGGTTCCATTGGAAATATCATTACCCGGACACCGGATGAATGGCTGGCGGGCTTTGATGGCAATGAAGGCAAAAACGAGTCATACAATAGTAGGTAGTAGAACTCTCTTTGAAACTTTTCTGGTCTACACTATCAGGTCTCTTTCGGGCTACTAACTCCGATCTCGGCCTATGGCCTTGCATGAAGATCCCGATTATCCGAATCGCCGCCACTTGACTGTCCAATGTGATATCCACATTTTGTCGACAATGGCGGTATTAGTCATTGTTGTAGATGTCCATCGCATTTCCTTTGGATGAAGTTTCTTGGTCCCGTTACTCACGATTAGAATGATTTCTGAACTCGTTATACCTTTATGAACATGGGTTCAACCAAAGAGGAACACGAAGAGGCCGAAAAGGTCGAACCTGTGGTGAACCCAACCGACGATGTTGAAAGCCAGAAATCACTGGGACTACAACGCGTCTCGTCTCGCATATCAACACACGATGCCGTTGCCTCGCATGATAGATATCACGAACAAGGTGATGAAGTCTATCAAAAATTCAGTTCCTCTAGAAAGAAGATCATTGTCGTCGTCGTGGCGTTTTGTGGTTTACTTTCACCAATCTCTTCGACCAGCGTAGTCTCTGCGGCGCCGGAAGTAGTATCGACGTACCACACGACTGGTACAATCTTCAACTTGAGGTGGGCAATTTTCTGAGCTTTGTGATGCTATAGCGATGTCCATGAGAACATCACTGACATTCAATATATAGCAATGCATTATATCTGTTCTTCATGGGTCTATCTCCTCTTGTCTACGGACCAGCTTCACAGGCATTCGGGAGAAAGCCAATCATGTTATTATGTGCGGTAACGTTCACAGGTACGACGATTTGCAAGGCGAAGAGCAACATCATTTGACGAGATATCAAACAGTCTTCAGTATCGCCACCGCAGTGGCGCCCAATCTTGCATCATATTTTGTGTTTCGCATTCTCACTGCGTTTCAAGGAACCTCGTAAGTTGTCAAGTACCGTCTCTATACAAGAATGACCAATAGAGACTTACTGCCTCCAGGTTCCTCATTGTCGGTACGCATGGGTGTTTCCATTGCCAGCTCCAGAATCACGCTGATTAGTTGGGGTTTAGGATCTACTGTGATTGGTGACATATATGCCCCTGTCGAACGCGGCACTGCCTATTCATTCTTTTCCCTTGGAACACTTGTCGGCCCTGCATTTGGTCCGTTCATCGCCGGACTAATCGTGACCTACCAGTCTTGGAGGGTCATCTTCTACTTCCAGGGTGCACTCGCAGCCGTTGGAACTCTGGCCATTTTTTTCCTGCTTCCGGAGACGATCCATCAAAAACGATCTGATGAGCTTGCGGGATTGACCAAGCTTCAAAAAGCCGGCCGGATATGCTCCTGGATGAATCCGATTCGCGTCGTCACGCTGCTACTACGACCAAACTTGCTCATCGTAGGACTTGCGAGCTCTGCATTAACCTGGAATATGTATGCGCTCCTCACGCCGATTCGCTACGTCCTTAATCCGGCGTTCAACCTCACGTCGCCTCTGCAGAGCGGATTATTCTACCTGGCTCCAGGATTCGGCTATCTTTTCGGTGCATTATTCGGCGGTCGCTGGGCCGATAGAGTTGTCAAGAAGAATATCGATCGCCGTGGAGTCCGGATCCCAGAGGACCGCCTACGTTCCGCATTGACCAATCTGGGCTTGGTCACGCCCGCCTGCATGTTGATTTATGGCTGGTCGATCGAAAAGCAGTTTGGAGGGATAGCGTTGCCGGTTATCACGATGTTCATTCAGGGAGTTGCGCAGCTTTTCTGCTTCCCGAGTCTCAATACCTATTGTTTGGACGTCATGCCAGGGAGATCATCGGAGGTCGTGGCGAGCAATTACTTCTTGCGCTACACTTTTGCGGCCGCTGCCTCCGCTGCTTGCTTGCCGATGATAGAAGGAATCGGCGTCGGGTGGACGAACGTTGTATCGGCTGTGTTCGTCATGGCTGCAGCTGGAGGGGTCTTAGCAGTGACCATCATTTGGGGTCATCGCGGAAGGATTACGCCGACTTCGAACGTGAATTCGTCGACGAAAAAATGACGCGGGTAGACGATGGTATGGATCGCATAGAGATCGAGGATCAACGTAAAATGAAGATAATTTTCTGATAGTGCAATTGTCAAAATTGGAATTCTTGTCCAGAATACACAAGATCGTATTTGACGCCTGGAATTCGGTGACTTTTTGACGAGATCAGCGCTGATTCGACCGCATCGTAGCGGTTGTATCGTTCTGGGTACGCTGGGAGATTCGAACTATTCCGAAACACGGGAAATGGAGTACTACATCTGGGTCGTCATCTCGCGCAATGGTCGCGTCTGCAAAAGCATCGTGCATGGTGATCTCGACCAAGAATGGTCTCGCTGTGCCGCTCAATCTATCTTCCAAAGCGATGAGACGTTTCAATGCACTGGCACAGTCCGTGGTGGTGGAATCTGGATAGGTGGCCGTGAATTTTCCAAAGCCATCGCTGACCTGCTCAATCATTGCGCGATCGCTGTGATACTGGTGAGCAAGAGTATTGTCGGCACCCAGACAGAGACTGTCGATATGAACCAACAATAGACATAGGGCTGCCATTACTGCTATGTAATCAATGATTCGGCAGCCTGAGTTGAGTTTGTTGAAGCTGCGAAGGGCGACGAACAGCGTGAGAATCTCTCGCGATGCAGTGACACATGTCACGCGCGCATATTCGTTGCAGACGCCTCCAGCGCTCGATCGCAGCATGAAAGGATGGTGGAGTTGAATGAGGAGATTGTAATGTACAACCTGGCCAAAGATCCGCCCTGTATTCCAGAGAAGAGTATTCGAATCTGTTTGAGTCTGATCGAGAATCGGCAACAGCCACCATGTGCTAGGTAGACTTCGTGCGGCCCTCTGAAGTTCAAAATCGATAGCACGCGTGACAGCGATGTCGTCAAGACCCAACGTCTTCATATTTCTTTCAAGAACTCGGGCAGCGGCTACGCAATGAATCCGTTCAAGACGTTCCATAGGCTCATTGACCAATAGAAGCGATTCGGACGTCATGTTCGCATCAGCACATCCTGGGGTTAGACCAAGGAGAAGGCTCAGGAATCGTTCCAGGAAGACGATGCGCAGCCAGATAGATTTCGGATGGTGTGGTAACCCAGTGTCCAATATCTGACATTGAGACCGACTCAGACCTGTCATCTGGGCCACGCTCATAGCCCTGCGGGCAGTGATCCAGCTCTGTCGAAGATTTCCAAGGTTTGCATGGTACACGCTCTCGATCATGATGCATTCCACGGCTTCCACGCTACCGAGAAACTCATCATTGGTAGTAACATGATCAATCGCAGCCATGGCCAAAATCCGAGATAGTTGCGATGGCGGTATCGATAGCTGTTCATCTCTGTGATGTAGTCCTGGATGCACATGCTGCAGAAGGGTGGCAAATATAAGCATGTAGCGGGCGAGCACCACGGGATGAGATCCAACATCCGGCATTGCTGAAGGAGAGAATGACGATTGTTTATCGCTCGATGGCACTAACGTGTATGGCAACGTCAGGATCTCATGCACCAACATCGGATACTGCGGCATGGTCTCCTGTATCATTTTGATGTCCTCCTTGGTAGGCAGCGATTTGTAGAGTAATTTGGAGATGCGGTCACAGTCACTGAGTGCTTGACGAGATGGCTGCCGGACCTCGTTATCGTCATGGAGCAGTGTAGCTGTGATTTGACTTGCTGTTGTATGGATGGCCGCTGTCTGATCTGTTGGTGCCTGACCAGGTTTTGCTTCTGAGAGGTTGTTTAAAGAGCGGGACCGAGCTATCGGCGATACAAGTCCCAACCGCTGAGGGCTCTGCGCCTCATTCTGTGATCTCGCCAATCCTGTTGGGGGATTCTGGCTGGTGCAGCGAGATCCACGCCGCATACAGGCATTGCATGCTGCTGTGCGATTGGCGATGTCTTCGAAGACACATTTCAACTTTCGCCGTCTGCATTCCGAGCAGCTTCGCATCTCTCGACGGTACGAAACAGGGTTCTTCTTGGCCTTTCGCACCGTAGTGACATGTGTCATTGTCAAACCAGGTTCATCTAGGATGCTTTGGCTCACGGCGGCATTCATTGCGATCGAAGCTTACTCAGTAGTGTACTAAGTAAGCTTGGGTCCATCCAGAACTTGGACTTCACACGCCGGACACTTGCTTTGCATATTGAGGGCCAGAGAGCTGACTATCTCAGACGACGGCCATGATCAACATGGTGGAAGCCACGATTGATAGCTTTGACTTAGGATTGAGTCGCTTTGGCGTCTCGACAGATGCGCTTGAACAACATAAGCCCGAGAGTCGTTGTATTGGACGATTGGCGCAACCTGATATGGAAATGGTGCTTTCCACGATGTTGTGATTGTCGTTCATTTGACCAGCCGTGCTGACGCATGCGCCGTCTGAGAATCGGTCGCGGCACTACTGTGACTCAATAAAAACGAGTTTATCCCCTCATGGTCAGAAGTTGAGAGTTGACCGCATTCAAGGTGCGGATTTCATATTCGTCATCGGAGCAAATCTTATCAGGTCAGTCATCAGCCCGACTCGGCTTTTATTTCTGTTATTTCCGAGATTACTTGTTGGCAAAGTCAATCGTGAATATTCGACCTTTTGAGCTTGGAATGGAGTAGAGTAGATGGATTTCAACATCCATGTACATGCTGTGATAGCAAATTCTTTCTGACTGTATTCAATGCTATTCTGTCTTTACCTAAAGGGCTCGTGGCAGCAGCGGAAGAACAAGGCTTGTGACTTCAATTCTTGAACCTTTGTGCGCGCCAGGATCGGGTTCAATATTTGGCAATCTCCAGATCGATTCTGAAGCAGTGGTCGCGGGATTTAAGTGTGTAACATGGGACGTCATGGGTGCAGCGATGTACTGTTGGCAAGCATCAATCGTGACTAGGTCAATGGTACCATCACATCGGTAGCTGTGCTCGACATCAACACATCTGTCCAGAACTTGACCAACTCAAGTATTCGAGGAGATAGCAAAGGGGGTATTCTCGTCGTGTGTATGGTCATGATATCCGTGTTTCAGATTCACCGCAAGTCGCGAGATGGGCTTGATCGTAAGCCCGCACAAGGCTCCCAAGGTAGTTCAATCGCAAGTGAATGATGAAACGCTGCTTCAGAGTCCTTTTCATCGCTCTCTTACGTTTCAGTAGGTATGGACACTCCTCCTGCACAGTCGACATCACTTCACCTGGGCATTCTTCAATTCTTGGGCTTTTGGCCTGCTCTCCGGGGCTCACAGATTGCGTTCATGACCAACTTGCTGGCCACATCGGCTACATCGCTCCCTGACAATTCTTGAATATCATCTCAGTGATGCACGGCCTTTCCGAGAGAGACCAATTGTCAGCGTCTGTTCCATTTGTCCATATCTCAAATCTTCAAAATGCGCCCTTTCAAGCAGCAATGCCACAGGCTGTGGTTCCCCAAACTAGGGCGAGGGATAGCTCGCAGGAAGGACATGTACACATTGGGTCCTAACCTTCCAGTAGCTGATCTCATGCCCAAAAAGATGTATTCTTTCGAATATCATCGTTCGACTGACGAATACTTTGGCACAAACAGATGTGGTCCGTCGGAGAGCACAATCGTTCCGCAGGTTTCCCCCGCCGGCAATCAGCGGCTTAGCGCTTCCACTGTCGTCCCACGGCGATGATGTAAGCCCAGACGTTGCGGATGCACGTCTGCTTCAATACGATCACACTCGATTTGATGCGCCTCATCCAACGCGCAACAGTACTCGGACACCCCAAGAAACCCGACCAAACATTTCTGACGAAGGAAAAAATGAGCGACCCAGCCCTCCCAGCCCCACCCAACGACGTCGCAGAAATAGATCTCATTGATGCTTCCTTGGTCTTCCCTCACTTCACTTCCCAGACCGCCTGGACCTTAGGGAATCTGCTGCGCACACGGCTCCTCGCATTTTCGCGGCCAGCGGTCATCGACATCAGCCTCTCGCACGGGAATCACTGCCTCTTCCACGCGACGACACACTCGGGCACGGCGCCGGACAATGACGTGTGGGTAGCGAGGAAGCGCAAGACGGTGCTCCGTTTTGGGAAATCGACGTGGTCGATGCAAACAAAGTTCCGGGGCAGCGAGGCGGAGTTTGCGGCCAAGTTTGGTCTCGGGGCGGAGAGCGCGGGCGAATATGCGATTCATGGCGGCGGGTGGCCGGTGCGGGTGAGGGGTGTGGAGGGTGTGGTCGCGGTGGTGGTTGTGTCGGGGTTGAAGCAGGAGCAGGATCATGGGATAATTGTGCAGGTGGTGGCGGAGTTGTTGGAGGAGATCAGCGTGGAGATGGGAGAGAAGAAGAAGGAAGATTGATAAGTGGTGAGCACCGGACGATCAACATGGCACGAGCGAAAGGGAGGAGTATAATGAACAATAAAGTCGTTAAGTCGTCACTTATCCTAAGCACCCACCAGGAAAACGTCTGGGGGCATCTTTCCTCAATTCAGAATTTTGCCTCTGAGCGGAGAGCTGTATCAAAGCCGTCGATTATTACAAGTCATAGAAGTGGTTCGGACTGTCAAGTTACACATTCCCAGTCCTCTGGCGTCGCTCGTGCTGCTGTGCGCGGGCGCCCAGAGACGATTGAGCTTTGTCAAATTAGCAATCATGAAGTCATCAGAAAAGGTCGAGGGTCCAAAGGAGCATGTCTGCCAAATGTCTGTGCAAATAGGAGATGCTCGTCAAGACTAGCCGGCACAAATAGATGTTGGTCTGAATGCTCGGGGATGCTTGAGATTCCTTACAGCTCCTTTTTCAAGAAATGTTCTGGCGAGTGAGTCGTCTCATAATCCACGTGGACATAGGCTCGCTCAACGTCAGGAAGACTTTCAAGCTTCATCTGCAGCTCCTCGGCGACATCGTGAGTCTCGCGGAGGCTCATGTCCTGGTCCATAACGATATCGACCTCGACAATCAGACGCGGGCCAGAATGCCATGCGCGCACAGTGTCGAGGGAGAGCACACGTGGATCGTGAGTCATTGAGATGTAGGTGACGTGTTGCAAAAACGAGGTGTCCGCAGTCACACCGATGAGCAGCTGAAACTCCTGGTAGGCAGTGCGAAGCCAGAGGAATGAGATGAGCACGGAGAGGATGATAGCACCCATAGGATCGATCCACCATCTAAAGCAGTATCGTTAGAGCAGAGCAAATATCAAGAAGTACGCGTTCTTTACCTCAATTTGCTTCCCAAAACACTTGTCATCAGACCGAAACCATTGATGAATAGGTCGTTTCGGTGGTCCTCCCATAGGATGTGGATCTGGCTGTACTTATTCCTGAGAGCCCAGCAATAGAGGAATAGACCAAGCTTGGTGACAAATGCGATGCCGACGGCGACAACAGAGGGAACGTGCAGCTTCCCTTCTCGATCGCCTGAAGTGGCAAGATCGCGGATTGATTCGACGATCAAGATCAGCGATACCGATGTCATGATGAAACAAAATGCAATGTTGCCCGCAGTCTCCAGGCGACCCTTGCCAGACGGGAACCGACGAGCATCAACCCGGTTGACAGCGCGATTGCACAGGATCAATGTGAGATTGCTGAAGCTTCGATTAGCAAGCGAACATAGTGGTCAACTCCGCAGAATTCTCACCTGCAGGGGTCGAAAATGGCGTCGGCCATGGTGGTGAAAAGCGACAAACTCTGAGATGAGGCTGCACCATACACCTGCAAAACAGCAAGAATAACATTCGCGATGAAGCTGCCATTGACAGCAATCTTGAACTGCAGAGCATCGGCTCCTTGTTCCTCCTTTGCTTGAGCAACGTGATCATCAACCGAGGTCAACAAACGTTCAATCTTGTCATTTTGATCCTCGTAAAAATTGATTATCCGCTTAGACCGCCACTGATCTTTGCCTGACGATACCGGTGCACAAATGGAACGCTTCTCTTTAGTGTTCGCTTTGGCGCGCTTCTTCTCCTCGTCGATGTCCTTGAAGCCACCTCGTAGACCGTAGGGGTCAAGAGCAGCTTCGTACTGTGGAAGACTATTCTGGCGTTCGACGTCGTTACGCCCCGCATCGCTACTGTTGCGATGATATGTTGGTCGAGCGACAGGGTCATGTGAGATCGAGTCGTTGGCAGCCTCGACTGCGGTTGCGCTGGCCGCTGCTGGCTGCTTATCGGCCTTGTACTCAACAGTGTGGTGGTGATGGTGATGGTGATGATGGTGCCGTATGGATGACTCGGACCCGGATGCGTGTGGAGTGGAGAAAGGCAAAGGGCGCAGAGAGATAGCGTTATGTAAATCTGGATCCGTGCGACTCATTTTGGCTGGACGATGCTCGAGGGCGCGTCGAGGCAGCTGAGTGGTAGAGTATTGTATTCGCTTCTTGAAGGGGGGACTCAAAAGCCGTCCAATTCAATCGGCAGAGCGCGCGAGGATAATAAATATTGGCGGCGGCGCCGTTGAGTCGTTGGCGATCAGATGATGATGTTCTATTCGACGCTGATGACTAGCACCAGAGACCGGAAGGAGGAGTCGCACTAATAAGAAGGAGGGGAGGAGCTCAACAGTAGATGACTGTGACAGAGAAAAGAGCAAGAGCGATGAGGAGAATGTTGAAGGAGGAAAGGTACCTACATTTCTATGGTACTTACGATACCGTATCAACCTTGGAAATGTTGGAGATACTTTGTGATTAGAAATGTGATATTGGGGGCCAGATGCGCAGGCATAGGAGAGGAGACGAAACAAGGCCAAGCCACGCCTAACAGTCGCTTTCCGAACGACATGGGACTGGGCGACGGTACAAGTCTTTGCACAGACTGGTAGTTCACGTGTTTGAACTTTCTTTCGGATCCTGATTGACGCGAAACCATGACCTGGTATGTATTTCTCCCATGACATGAACTTCGGAAATGGCTGAAATGAGACTCTTCTCATCCGAAGATATCTGATCATCAGATTGGCCAAGGGGATAAGGTTCCCTGCCAAGCGGAAGGACGACCAACACTTCCCAGATCTGCCAGGGAGATGGATGCCCAGGTGCCGATTGAGGGGATCGATGCTAGTGAAGTGGAGGAAGCCAGAGCGTGCAGAGGTCTCCACCGCGCGCGCAGGCCACCGAATAGGGCCCAAGTGATTGACGAGTGTCGACCGCCGCGCGCTGTGTGGGGGCGGCGGAGACGGAGACTGCAGAGCGAAGCAAGAAGGACAAAGAGTGGGAAACTGCGGGAGATGAATGCCTTTGGCGTGGAGAGATTGCCGTCGGAAGGGGTGATTGTTCGATGGAGTGGAGTGTGCGAGGTAGAATAATAATTTTGGAAGAGAAGACGGGATCCCATGCATGTAAATAATGAATGTCCATGCATGTCCGGGAGCCAAGCCGATGGACACAATCGACGCGCCGACGTTGATTTATTACAGCGTTGACAGATTCATCATCATGTTCACTCCAGCGCGGTCATGGCCATCGCGGTGATTCGGAAACGCTGAGGAAAGTCACGATCGTGGAACAGCCATCGGTCAAATTGAGCAGGACGCCCCGATAACTTATCAGATACTGACGCTTCCTGATGTTTGATGATTGACAAACTGATACTTCCACGGAATTTCTCATATACCCAGGACGGTACCTTTGAACACAGAGACCGCCAGCCCATCGTTTTTATCAAACCCTCGAGTCGTCCCGTCCAATTTGACCGATGCCTGAAGCCGATTTCTCCCGTCACCTCTTCAGTAACCCTGATCCTCTCATCATTATAACCCCAACCCTAATGTCAGGACGATCCATCCATCCATCCACGAATCCATGGATTTCTCTTGCAACCTTTCAAGGTAGGAATGGATACTTATTGCTATCGTAGGGCACATCGGTTATCCAACTTGTGTGTCACGGAGGCAGCTGGACGGTGACTCCTCCATGGGTCGTGTCATGTCGTAATACGTTGAAGGTAAGATTGGGCAAAGCCGGACACATGCAGCTTGTGGATTTACGACGATTCGTGCTGTCTAACTGACACAATATTGCCGACACAGGTTGACACAAATAGTGATCGAATAGTAGATTTCTCAAGATAGTAGTAGTGATGAAGCGACCGACAGGCAACACACAGAGAGAGAGAACAAACACGACTCCAAGAAAAACAATGAACGCCTCGTATGATCCCCGAACAAAACCCCGATGTGAAACAAAAGTGCCCGCATCGACAGAAACTGAGCATCCAAGAAAGCAGCGGCATCAAAGAACACCGGAAAAGCAGAATGACAAAATCCTAACCAGAAGACCGAAAAGCCCAACACAGACGCCGCTATGTCCTTTTTCATGAAAAGAGTTGTTCAAATGCCTGATGATATGGTAGAAATGAAAGAATTACCCCTTCGTCTTGCCTCCCCAGGATTCCACGCAGTGATACTGTCACCGCTCGATGCTCCGTCCGTACTTTCCTGAGGAGGCCTCCTTGTATGCTGATTAATGATCACGATGGTCGTATTGACGACAATGTTGACGGTAGAGCGAGGGTGAAAAGTCGCCGAGCCGAGCGTTGGATGTGCAGGGTGGTCAACAGTGTTGGGCAATGCTGAAGAGTAATGGCACGATGAAAGTCGTAGGGATTCGTAAAGGTCGCGCGCAGAGCTGTTCAAAAATCGATTCGTGAAGCTGGAGTTCATGAGCAGCTTCGTGGCGCTGAAATGCTGCAATGCCAGGAAGATCAATGTAGACGAATCGACAGGTGCTTAGCACATAATTGACCGCGAGTCTGACTCCCAGGGGTTCCTGAATTGAATGGCCGTAGTCTCGTCGGGGCCGCGCAACAGGTCAATGTTGTCAATTGGCATCCCGTCGCAGGAGTTATATGTCGGAGCACCCTTCAGAATACCAAAGTCGACCAGCAGAATGCGGCCATCCTGGGATGTGGCAACGATGCGACGGTAGTCCGACTTGGCAGCGAGCATCCAGCTAGTTGTCCACTCCTCGCCGCGCCAAAGCTCTTCGCCTGTGACGAAGTCGTACACGCGAAGATCCAGGTCGTAACTGCCCGACACAACTCGGTTGTTGGCGCTGTCAAGCCAGAGTGAGCGCACGAGCTGCGAATGACCGGTGAACTGCATGACTTCCGCGCCAGTGTTGGTGTCGAATTTGTAAGTGATGTTGTCGTTACCGCCGGCGAGCACGTAACGCATGTCCTCGGAAAATTCCACAGCAGCTAGACCACGCTCCTTGGGAGAGAACTCCTTGATCAACTTCATCTGTGTGAGGTCCCATAGGCGAGCGACGCCGTCACCGCTAGCACTAACAAGGTAGTTTCCGCGGAGCTGTACTGCGTTCACCGGACCGCGGTGGCCAGTGAGGTCGCCCTTCGCCTCTAGTGTTTCGCGGTCCCACACAATAATTCGAGAATCTTTGGAACATGACACAATATGCTTAGCGTCAAGTGCCACGTCAAGGACGCCACCAGTGTGCTTTCTCAGGCGCTTGATAGGCTCATACGTGGCAATGTCCCAAATAAGAAGGTCGGAGTCGGAGGAGCCGGTCACGAGGATTTTGCTGTCGTACTGCAAGCACAGAATGCTGGCATCATGCCATTCTCGCGGGACGTGATAAATCTCATTGCCGTATGCCGTGCCGTTGACACTTGCCGTCGCCATGTGGAATGAAGGATAGTCGACGGTGCGGAGAACCTTCGGGCCGAGGATCGGCCGCACTGTTGGCCCGCCAATAACCTTGATGCAGGTGTATGTGTTGATATCCCAAACTCGGATGGTCCTGTCTCGTGATCCAGTGATGATTTTTTCCTCGTCGAACTGGAGGCAGTAGACACTGTCAGTGTGACCCGAAAGATAGACCGCTTTGCCTGCATTCTCGGCACCACGTCTCCAGTTGTTGTCCAGTCGCTCGCGAGCCTTGTACATCTTCCGCCATTGCTGATTCGGGCGCCGATCCGTACGACCAATGCCTAAACCTCCCACTTGAATTGGTGGTGGATCGGTGTAAACCTTGCGACCGTATTTGGTGAGGAACACGGTCCGCCAGACTGAAGCCTTGCTGGCAATCTGGTACCATGCTTTGTTGACACGTTCGGCGTTGAGCAAGTCCTCGGCTCCCAGGTATTCAAATACCTCCAAAACCAACTCATAGGGAAGTATTCCCTGCTTGACGAAATCGTATGAGTTTGAGCTTTGTGGTGCAATGATTGGGCTGTCCAAGTCCATATCAACGTCACCGTCATGATCCCGGGATGACATCTCCGAACCGCTGTAAGTAGATAAATCAGCACCGCTATCCGCAGCACTGCTGAGGGATCCTAGTCGTAGTCTGCGTGGGCCTTCATCATCATCAGACATTGGCCAGTCGTGACTAGCACTGCTTTGTGTGAGCACCGCAGGCTGAGTATTGTGCAGTGCAGCGGCTTTCCGCGCTCGGTCGCCGCCGGGCGCGTTGATTGGCGACATGTGTCGGGTAGAGGCAGCACGTAGAGGAAGGGTTGACGGAGGGGGAGCAGGTGTGTCTTTCCGTAGCTCGCTGGCGGTGGGAAAGAATGAAGGTCCGAGGCGTAGCTTTCTAGGTCGCTCTTCACCCTGGCGCATTGAACTTCTTTTTGAAGGTGACGTTGGTGTTCGACCCATGACCTGATCCACGTAGGCGTCGTCACTGGAAAGCGAAGCAAATGGCTGACTAGACCTCCTGATGCGTGACTTGAGCGTGGCGGATGACTTCTGCACGCTCTCCTGCAACCGTTGCTTGTAATTCCTTGACCACCTTCGGCCCAAGGACTTTGTCTCTGCCGAATGCTCCATTGCCAAGGCCGGAAACGGAATCGTACGCGCCGAGGATGATCCCATTGATGTTCCGTCTACACTTGAACAACCTTCCATACCATCAACGCTCTCTTCTGGTACGACGCTCTGAACAGGCCGATATCCTTTTGATGGACCAGCAACCATATCCTCTTCGACTTGGTGCATGTCTGCTGCCGTGTCGTCGCGAGATATCCGCCGTCGGTCCATGACGTTCTGTGCTAGGCTGCTTGCGGAAGCACGTGGAGTGAGGTCCGCATCTGAATGATCTTCATCTTCTTCGGCGATGTAGGTTGAGGCTGCTGTTGATGATAGGAGGGACGAGGTTGCGTGAACAGTGTGCGGTCGAACAGTCTGCGATGACCGCTGGGGATATTCGCCGTCGTACGACATCATGTCAGTGTTCGAAAGAGTGTGGACTGTCCTCTGCGCGAAGAAGAAGAGATGCAAGGCAAGACAACGGATCCAGGCCCAATGGATCTCGTGGACCGGTTACTTAACACCCTGAGAGCGAGCGAGGTAAGAACTGCGTGACGAGGTTATGATGATGTCGTGCGTTGCTTGGCGGAAGAAGACCGGCTTGGTGTGTCACAAAAGGTGAGGCGAAAGTGGTTGTAAGGACGAGACAACCCGACGGGCGCGTCGCCAGACAGGAAGATCGGGCACAGCGATCGAGATGCCTCTCGAGGAGTTATGGTTGGCTATGGCTGGCACTTATACTGAGATTGCCGAATCCATGCACCACCAGTCGAGATGGACAGTTGAAAGGAATGTAATGTACAAGCAGATATGAAAGCGTTGATGTGGTAATAAGTCGGTAAGTAAGTCCTTGCTTCAGTATCGAGCGACGGGCGCGGGCGCGGGCTTGCCGCTGGCTTTGCAGTAGACGTTAAAACAGCACCGTGAAATGAGACAATGCCGACGTTTCGGTGGACCCGCGACTCTTGGACTGGTGGACGAAAAAATGCCAGCACCGGTGAGACTATATACATTTCACACTAACATCGCTCAGAAACAAAAGGCGAGAGTAAATGCCAAGAAGCCTCTTACTCCAGGACGAGATGGCAGCGACAACACATCAAGCGATGAGGCACCAGGACAGAGACATGCAATCACGTTATTGGGACCAGGATACGCTTGGGCGGAGACGAGGGATTCAACTACTGGACGCACTCCAGGGAAAGAGTTCAACATACGATATGCGTCATGCTGTAGTCTCATCATTTCGACCGAGGATCGATCGGTCTCATACGTGAAGATGGCCTGCAGAATTAGCGAAAGATGACTTCAGATGTTTCATTCGTGCCCCTACCCACAAGGGGCATCATAGATTGGTGACCCCTGATATGAATGAAGCATTTGATGGGTGCGGCTGTCTTCGCAGTTGACGAGGAAACTAATCAAATTCGTGGAGCGCCCGTGGAGCATTCTTGCACGAACTTTGGTAAAGAATACGGACGGCGCCATCAGCCATTTGAAATAAGGCATGGTCCCGAGGTTGAGACAACAGCAGCGCGACGGTTCACAGACTGGGCGTGCTGGAACACATCGAGGCGTGCAGAATTTTGTTTGCAGGATTCCAACCCAAATCACGTACGACGACTTGCACTCTTTGCCCTATCCTTTCAGGCGTGCCGGATAGTCACGAGTTGGAACAATCTGCATGTTGCCGTCTTCGCAGCTCACCCGGCGTACGTGGCAGCTGCTGGGACGTTTGGCTTGTCGGTGAGCAGATTAGCTGGCGGAATGGCCTAGAGGGTGTGTGATCCATGGCTCTGCTTGAACTTGCTTCGGTTCGCGCCCTTGTTCCGACAATGTCTCGTGTGTCCAGGTAAAAGGCCGGGGAATCACCAGTGATGGAGGCGCCCCAGGCTAACTTTAAACGGTTCACATGATCGGCAAAGCGTCCGTTCACGCCGTTCTCCTCTCAGGTCGAAGCGCTACGACTCTTCAGGATTCCCGTGGCCCCCTCCTCGCCTTCAACGCCTGCTGACGATCTGCTGGTTGTTCTCCCCATTCAAAAGGACAAATAACTCAAACCAACAAACATCCTCAATTTTGCCTAATTTATTCTGTCTCGAAGGCTTCCGAACCTTTGCATTCCGTCAATAGATCCATTGAGAATGTGTGATCTGTAGAACGCCTACACTAGACATCATGCTTCTCGGCTTTGCTGCAGATTGACGTTGCGGCGCGGCACACCACCAGCAAACACCTTTTACTGTAATGTCTTGCTTTGGGCTGTCTCACGACGCTGTTGGTGCTCTGCTTGTCACAGCACCCGCCGTTCACGTTTCCGGGGAAGCCCAGTCACGCATGCGTCCGCGGGCGAGTACCTTCATTTCGGATTGAACTTGAACACCCTCCCACGCGGCCGTCGTTGTGTACGATATGTTCTGCCTTTCGTCATGCAGTCAAGCTGCGCATATCAAAACACCGACAGGTCATTCTTGCTATTGTTGTGCATGCCCGGATCGTGGCACGGCGCTTCCCGAAATCATTTTGAACTTTCACTGTTGTGATTGGCTCGTCCTGATCCAATATTTCAAGGTTGCCAGGATGGAAGGTCTATTGACAGATACAATAGTTTGTTCATTAGTACAGTATACACAGACGTGGCTGTCATCAACTCCAATGCGCAATGTCTGTCCAGGATCAAGGCAGGAAGGATCCTGTCACCCTTGCACTTCAGCTTTGACATGTGTGATAACGTAGAGCTATTGGCGCTCGGCCTTTTCGCCGTTCGGCCCGCACGAGAGTGTTGGCCGGCGGTCCTGGATGCGAAACATCCAAGTCAGAGCATGACAAGGAGCCTGGAAGCACTTTGAGAGACACGTAAAGAGGCTTTACGTCTCGTCATCAAGTGTTCGTAAATCGTCATTGAAACATCTCATCGGCTCGATACTCGCGGCAGCCCTGGATATGGTTCAGGAAAATAGATTGTTTGGCCGGCTGACCGGAGTGTTCGGCTCATTTGACGGCTACTTCCCTACTACGCTCTGGAGAGTTGTCGTTGATCAGAGAAGGCTGGAGGACGAAGCTCGTGTCGCCTGCTCAGCTACGCTTTGCCATACAAACCTCGAGATCCTGTAATAAATAACATCTCCAGACCACATATCATTCCCGCCGGTTAGTCATCAGAAAAGGGTCCGGTACGGGAAAGCTAGCCATTATAGGTTTCTGAATATCGACTTTGACATCCTCGATTTTGACGGGTTGACCTGTCATTGTGCCTCTTCCTGCATTGTTTTCGCTAATTTGAGACGTACTAAGGTATTCAATCATCAAGCGCGCGACTTGGACTGGCCTGAAGCAGCTGACCAATGAGATTCCCTCAGAAAATCGCACGGTAAAACTTACAGGCAGGGAACAAGCCTATCAAAGACACCTCGGACATGGCCTCATCACGCTCTTCGAGTGCGGTGTCGATCCCGTTTCTCTATTCTCTGTTTGTAAGACCACCTAATTCCTCTGGGCTCCTGTACATCCACTGTCCTTGATCTGGTGGAAATCACGAAGTTAGACATGTCATAGCCGAGAAGAGAGGCTCGATTGATCCTGACTAAATCCCATTCTCGCACGTGTTTACAGTTCCTCTACATCGAACCCGTTTCCACCTTCGCGGGGTTCTACTATGCTTTCTTCCGCCAGCGGGAGTACATGGACATGACGATGTCACACGATCTCAATATCCTATCATCCCAAGATGGCAGCAATGTGGGTGTATCGACGCGCGAGAGCATCGTACTCAACCAACTGGCCAACATGTACCTCGCCTTTGCGCTCAACGAAGGACTAGTGCTACGCTCTACGCGTGATGTCCACGTCTGGCGTGTGTACCTCTTTGTCCTCCTTCTCGCGGATTTTGGACATCTCTACAGCGTTGTCGGCGCGGGCGGATCAGAGCTTTACTGGCAATTCTGGAAATGGAATGCAATGTACTGGGGGAACCTAGGTAAGCAACGTTCCTCGGAACCTCGAAAATCGAGTGGAAGATCGAAAATGTTGAGAATCTCGTTTAGGATTTGTGTACGTCGGCGCCAGCTTCCGCATTGCATTCCTGCTAGGCATTGGACTTGGACAAAAGTCAAACAAGCTCAAGCAGTGATGAAGACGACATCTTCGTCTAGTCGATGGGAAACCCCTGATTAAAGCGTCATGTCGAGTATTGACGGCACTGATTCAGGTGAATCCACTTCTGTGAGCACAGCCGTGTGGCACTTCATATATGCTCGTATACACCACATACGGTCTATGACCTTTCAGGCCCGACAGACTAGCTACGAAAGGCTACGCTCGCGATTTCGAGACATCAGCTGTTTCAGGAGGGGTCTAGAATGAGGCTGAAACAGAGGTTTCGCCGAGGGAAGAAAGCTCGTGAAGCCCATGGGAACGTCAACCTAGCAGCGGAACGAAGCGTGCACAGAGCCATGGTTCTCCCGGCAGTATGTTTATAATATAGTCCAGGACAAATTCATCTATCGAACTCGCCTGACCAGCCGTGCCAGTCCGCTCGGCCTCTTCGTATATGCTAACTCCAAGACTTCTTGCCACCTACGGCCGAGACGAGGTTTGTGGCGACGAGAAAGAGAGAGACATGCCTCCCGACCGACCATCATCCGTCTGCATGACACAGCCATCGTGATGATGGACTCGATTTTGGCTGAGCGTCGACGGGTGGAACAACGCTGACCGTTCCACACGCATAATAACGCCCAAACCTGTCTTGTCGAGCCAGACTATCGAGTATGCTCTACTCATTATCTACTGTTTATTTGGACGATGGGCGCGTCTGGAAAATTTGAGACACATGATGATCAGATTCCCAGCTTACCGCCATCCGGGCAGAGGCTCTGGTCATGATAGTTTCCGGCTGTACGGCTTGCCATGCCGGCGGGATGCGGCACGTCATCGACCCTGGATGGTCGTGAGTACGTGGATAAGTCTGGGCGCTGTCATTATTTGCTCGCTCTGCAGCCTCTGCTGTTCTTTTGTCTTGCAATTCAGGTGTATCCCCACGCTAGATCTTCCATGTTTTAGGTTTTGGTGATATTGATGAAGACGGATCATGTCCAGCTGGTTGCTGCAGCCGATGAATAATCTATCACACGAGAATCTACATGGATCTCCGTTAACATGCATGCAACATTGAATCCGATGAACATCATTGGACTATTCACCGGATCTCTTCTTACGTGCACGTATCATCACCTGGCCAAGGACGTCCAGATGTTGTGGCGATGAGGCTGTAGTAGCAGCAGGAGCGAAATTCGCCCAGCCACAAACGGTCGGCGATATTGATCCGACCGGCCTGTTGGTCAATCGTGTCAATCTAAAAGCGCCATTCATGACGAGATGACGCATTGGCACAGATATCGCCCTCTACATGTGTTTACCGAGGTAACGATATGTTCACGTGAACAATAACGAAGGAGAGACAGAGGAAGAAGAACTCAGTCTCTAGCTCGCTGTCTCTGGGAAGGCAAGACAGTTGACCATGGCACACACATGTTCGAGACCAGCCCAGGAAGAACATCGAGACCTTGAGATGACGGCATCCATCGTCACACGACGTTATCGCAAGGCAGGCAGGCCCGGAAATTGTTGCTATTCGTTCGATGACGCCTGGGTTGCTGTCCCCGACGTTGCCATCTAGACGGAACGAAAGACGTGCGCGCCCGTTTTGACGCGAAACGGCTTGCAATGATGACTACATCTACTTTCATCGTTTGGGGTCGACAAAAACGGCCACGGTGATACGAATTGGACAAATTGTTCTCGGGCAGGAGAAAAGCCCGAGGGGATGATACTGATATCACGGCGAAACTGAAAGTGGTTGGAAATTAGCAAAATGTAAGCATCGCAATGCAACAACGTTTTTGAAGTTTTTTTCATTCATCAATTTTGAACTCTACTCGAGAGAAGCTATTCGCAAACATCATTATCCTCGTCGCCGGAGATTTCCACGTAATCATAACAGAAAAGATAACAATTCAGAAACCTTCGAGTTCATCGTATCATGTTCATCTGACATGAGATCATAACCCCTTGCAGGGAAATCGCAAACAAAAAGCCACCCATGCGTGATATTATGTGCGTCAACCCCCCAAAAATCTCTTGTAGAACCCGGAAAAGAAAACCAACGTAATTGCAAACAAAAGTCTAAGCCAAAGTCTTCTCATCGCCGATGCTCGACTCTGTAAGGTAACGCTTGAAGATTCTCGACTCGACATCGTCGTTCGAGACGACACCGTTCTTCTTGGCCTGGCGGCGGAAGTAGATTCGCTTCGCCCACTTCCACGATTCGACGCCAGCGAAGAAGAGCAAAGAAGCAACAAAGACGATGCCCCATTCCCATGAGATGCCGGTGTGCTTGAAGACGACATCGTTGATGACGGGGATGTAGAGGACCGGGAAGATGGTGATGAAACCGGCCATGACGGACCAGAAGAGGAATTTGTTTCGCCAGACATCGCGCATCCATTGGGTGAAGATGAAGGGTGAACCAGGCTGCATGCGGAAGAAACTGCGGCGCATGTCGATGACCTCCCAAGCGAGGAAGACGGAGAACCAGGTGATGGTGGCGAAGCAAGTCGCGCGTGCGCGGAAGATGGTGTCGCAGCCGTCGCCGATGCTCTCGTTGCAGCGGAAGCCGATCTGGCCACCGCCCCATAGGTAGAGGACCAGCACAAAGGAGGAGAGACACAGACCGGCGATGATCAGGCCGTATACGAGCATGTCGATCATGATCTCAATTGAGAAGATGCCTCGCTTGAGACTCTGCGGCGGGCGTTGGAGAACGTCAGGGGCCTTTTCTTGGAAACCGAGACCCATATCAGGGAAACCAGACGTGATCATGATAATCCAGAGAATCTCGATCGGAGCGAGCGGGAAAACGGACAGTCGCTCGCTGTCCTTAAAGACTAATCCGATGAGGAGAACAAGTGCTTGAGAGATGTTCTGAGCGAGCAAGTGCAGGACGAATTTCTGAATGTTGTCAAACGTACGTCGACCTTCTTCGACAGCAGCAAGGATACTGGCAAAGTTGTCGTCGGTGAGAATGATATCAGAGGCATCTTTGGCCACGTCAGAACCGGCTTGGCCCATGGCGATACCAACATCAGCGCGTTTCAAAGAGGGGCTGTCGTTGACGCCGTCACCAGTCATGGCGCAGAAACGTTTGCGGCGATGGAGAGCTTCAATCATGCGCACTTTGGTCATGGGAGCGCAACGTGCGATGACAAGCGGAAGTACTGGTAGAGCATCAATCTGGTCGTCGGAGAGGTCGTCGAATTGAGCAGCGGTCATGACCATAGAATCAGCCACGTCCTTGCTGATTTCGCTCATGCGGGTGGGAAGAATGTTGACTTGTTGAGCGATAGCGCGTGCGGTACCGGGGTGGTCACCGGTAAGCATGTGGACTTCAATACCGGCTTCGTGGCAGCGTCTAACGGATTCGGCAGACTCAGGACGGGGTGGATCGTAAAGTCCGATAAGACCTCGGAAAGTCAAGTCCTTTTCAATATTGGCGCGGTCGATCTCAGTATTGTCCACGATGGGCTCTTCGTATTTTCGACTGGCGAGCGCGAGTACACGAAGGCCCAGCTTGGCGAGAGCTTCCATGTTCTCGAGAATTTGCTCCCGGTAGGCATCGGTCATCTCGACAGGCTCGGCGTCGTCATCGGCGACATAAGAAATGCAAGATGCGATGACTCTTTCGACAGCACCCTTGGTAAAGGCAAAGACTTCGCCGCTGCCCAGATCCTTGTACAACACACTCATCTTCTTGACGTCCGAATCGAAGGGGTATTCTGAGATGGCCTTCCATGCCGGGTTGTCTCCAGACACGGATCCACGTCGGTTCCACAAGAAACGAGAAGCAAAGACTTGGATTGCAATTTCGGTAGGGTCTCCACGGGCGTGCCACTCGCCGTCTGTCTCGTGAACGTTGGCCAAGTTGGCGAGCGACGCAACACGAAGGTATGCTTTCAGTGACTCATTTCCCTGGACGATTTCAGCGTACGAGGACTTTTTGCCCGAGGCGTCGGCCTTCATGTTTCGGGGTTCTTCCTCCTCATGGGAGATCTCCCCAACGGTAGGGTTGAAAGGTTCGCTGATTGCGCCAATGGTGTATGTTCCTTTGGCTGGGATCCATGCTTTCTTTGCAACCATCTTGCCTTGTGTGAGGGTACCGGTCTTGTCAGAGCAGATGTCGGTGACGGCACCCAAAGCCTCGAGAGATCGCAAGTTACGGACGATGACGTTTCGCTCAACCATGCGCTTGGTTCCTGCGGCCATCGTAATGGTAAGAACAACGACGAGTGAAGCGGGAATCATAGATAGACCGGTGGCGACAGCATAGATGATAACTTCTTGACGGTCCCGGAATTCGTTGGCAGCCAAGACGATGATGGCACAAATGACGGCGATGAAGAAGAGCAAAACCGCCAGACGGGACAGTTTCTTCTGTAGAGGAGTTCCCACATTGACACCGAGGAAGGAACCGACAATGTCGCTCATGGTCAGAACAGCAGCCTGTACGTATCGATAACTCGCGGCACTGCCATCCTCCTTGCGTTTCACAGGTCTGATCTTGCTGTCCTTCTTTCGGAGAGCAGCAGCGATTGAACCAATCTCGGTGTGCATTCCAGTGGCAAAGACGATTCCAGTAGCACGACCTTTGGTGACTTTCGAAGAGCTGTAGGCAACGTTCAAACGATCGCCGGGTCCCGTGGTTGTATCAAACACATCGTCGGTGTTTTTGCGAACCGGTAGGGATTCACCAGTGAGCAATGCTTCGTCTGTTTCAAAGTTGACTGCCTCGATCAATCGGATATCGGCGGGGATGGTGTCACCAGTCTTGAGCTCGACGAGGTCGCCGGGTACGACCTCAACAGTGCCGATACTGACGGATTTGGCATCGCGAACAACTTGAGCGGTGGGAGAGCTTAGAGATCGAAGGGAGTCCATATTCTTCTCAGCTTTGTATTCTTGGATGTAACCGACAGTGATGTTGACACCGATGACAGCCGCAATGACACCACCTTCAATCCATGACATGATCGCGAACGAGACGACCATGGCAATCAGGAGCACGAGTGTCATGGCATTTGCAATCTGGCGGATCAAGATTTTGCCTGGGTTGACCTTTGAGGACTCTCCAAGTTCGTTGCGACCGTATTCGATTAAACGTTCACCTGCGTTGCTGGACGTGAGACCATCTTCAGGATCGGCTCGGAGTTCTTCGACTACGGTCTTCCATGGTAGAGCGTGAGCTGGTTGTGAAAGTGGTTTGTTTGATTGGCCCGACACATGGCCGCTGAGGTCCTCCTTAGGAGCACCCATTGCGCTTAGCAGCAGCTGCAGGGATAAGTGATTCGAGCAAATCGGCGAAGTAATATGATGTAGGACAGGGAGTTGATTTCGATTAAGGATAAACGATTGTCTGAGGTCTGCTCCTCGGCTTGCTTAGAATTAATATACAACAGAAACGCCATTGAAGGGCATCGAGGTCAATATATATCCCGAGGCACGACAGATGATATGGTACTGCAGGGCTGCTGAAGGCTCAACACCCAAGACCGATGGTATGAGGTCAGCCTTGGCGTCTGTGAAAGAGCGTTTGCGGCAAGTAGCTTCCCGCTTGTGATGAAGCTACTGTACTGGTTTGTCCCCATGCAGCCGGCGACTCTGGGGTTTCGTGTGTGATCTTTGGAAAGGACGAGTTGCCTCTAACTGAATTGCCCCAAGCTGTCGGCCGCAAGGTCGGAATAGACTTTTGCACATGTCGATATGCTCGTCATGGCGTTGGTTTTGGTGGAGTTATCCCATCGTGTCGGTCGTGCTTCCCACATCTCAGCGGTGCCTCCCATGCCATTGTCGTCGACGATTTGCCCTCCAGGATGCCAACACAAGTCTACTCCCGCGATATACCCGACATCCCGATTGTGGTCCGCAGTGTCCGCGGCGGTGTTCGGACGTAGTCTTGGCAGTGCAGGTGGTGGGAAGAGAGGGGCAGCGGAACCGATGAGGCGGCGAACGCCAAGAGGACAGAGGAAAGGCAGCGGAGCATGATCGAGGTCCATCTGACGTGGCCAAGAATGCAGCCCTGTGGTGACGGCATGTGATTGGTGGGGGACCCCCGCCAAGCATCTAGAAAGCTTGGGAGGCATATCGGATGGCATCAGAAATTCGACAGCGCAAAAAAATGCTTTGCTTGCCAAGAGGCACCGCTGCGTCGTCAGTGGCGTCATACAACATGGTAAAAGACTCGGAATGATTAGGTCTGGTCTCGACAACAAAGGGGTCTTTTTTGGACGATGACGGAGATCATGCAAGTGATGGCTAGGCCATTGTAGGTGCTCGTGTTCTGTCAGCAACATTCAAAGATGCCGCCACACACACTGCAATGACTGGATAACATTTCACTCGAACATAGCAATCTTCCCACGGACAGATTCGCCTCAATTTCTCTAGATCTCGTCCATTCGTCCGCGAACCATTCGGAGAGATCATCACGTGGGGGCAATGTCACTCACTGTACTGGTATATTTGAGCCGAGATGTGTCTGCCATCCGAGGTCTGGGCATCCTCGTACCTCATCGCCAAGTGGGTATCTTCGCAACGCTGCTCCCACGTTCTCTTGGTGCACATGCGCAGTTCACTGTATGAGATATGTCGGCGGTCTTGGCCAATCTTAGATGTCGGACACGCCGCCTACTCCGTAACAGAATGCGAGAGAAGTCGCCGAACGCCCTATCTACTCGAGCATGATACGAAACCGAGAGCTTCCTGTAAATTCTGGATCGCAGAACTCTCATTGGAATATCGTGGTTCGGAGCTTTGCCATTTTTTCCCGATCAACTCCTCCCAAAAGACGATTCTTGCCGCGTCTCGAAAATTGTCGATACTCCCTATGAAAGGTGCTTGGCGGATACATGCCGGCGAAGTCTCCGTTGACGGCAGACGACTGGATTTCAACCATTGCATCGCTAAATTCGGATGAGTGTACTGCCGAGGTTTAGACTTTGAGCGTTGGTTGTATCCATGAAGTCTATCTCATGTCATCGGAGGGTCGAGGTCGGCGTCGGCACAAGCCGAAATGAAGAATTCCCTGACGTCACAGCCTCAAACTTACTTCACGGCTACAGTAGACTCGGGACTGTTCGATAGTTTGTTGCTTGTGCCGATGCTTACTTAAGCTTCTTGACCGATCTGTGATGACCACGGCGCATGTAGGTAGGCAAAGGGAGGATGATTTGGATGGGCATGGTGTTGCGAACGGAGAGCTTGGGATGAACGTGGCGGCATCCTGTCAATCGGAGGAATGTCTCCGGGATCATCTTTGTACCCACCCACCTAGGTAGATCGGTTATGTTGAGCATCAGATCATTGGATCCTTAGCAAGAAACGACACTCGCGCCCTGACCGGGCGAAATCTCGGCCACTGAGCCTGTGTTCATGAGAGTGACATTGAGGAGCTCTTTTCGATTCGCGATCCCTGTCGCACAAAACGAGCCCATACGCAGGACCAATGGCTAATGCATGTAAAGAAAGAATCATCAGTACTACTAGGTAGATAATGCGATGGTTGATTTCATGGCCATCAGCGTGAATGCACTCGACCCGGGGCGGTGTTCAGGGCTGCATCTGGACCCCTGCAGGCGGGAATTTCACCGCTGATTATCAATCACCTGCACTCACGGATCATCATCATTATCATCATCGACGACGAAATTTGGAAGAGCGTTCTGCTGCTACCTGCCTGACGAAGTGTGTAGTGTGTGAACGCGTGTTCGAAGAGACTCGACTGTTCAAACAGCACATCAAAACCACACACCAACGACGAGTTTATTCTCCTCCGGTAGGAAGATAGGTACGGTACTTATAACTGCCACCGCAGCACAGGGGATTTGTCACACTCTGGTGCTGTTTGTAACTACTGCTACCGTACGAGATGCCCTCACCTAGCAATCACGTCACCGCCGGCTTGCGACGACAGCTGCAGCTGCTGAGGGCCACTCCAGCACCTCGTCATTATCATCGCTCATGTTATGTCACCCCATCGTCTTCATCATCTTTACTATTACTATCTTCACCTTCACCCTCACATCTTCGACACCTATCGCGAACGACACCGACTCACACAACCCCACCACCCAGACAATCGCCCAACATTAATTTCATACGCTCCTTCTTCGCCTCCCCGGCAACCCCTCAACAAGTCATGGCCGCCAAAGCTAAAGCCCAGGAGATCATCGACAACAATGCTGTTGGTGAGTTCAACAACATCATCGTCGCTGTCGCAACACAAGCTCCAACATGTTTGCAATCAGTTCTTGACTGACCACGATACATGTTCTCATCAGCCGTCTTCTCCAAATCCTACTGCCCTTACTGCAAGGCCACCAAGTCCTTGTTGAGCGAGCAGGGCGCCAAGGCCTTTATCATCGAGCTCGACCAAGTCGGTAAGTTTATGAGCGACGTAGATACTTGTGTTCGCGTAGGACTTCATCTGACATGTACACTCCTCCCCTCAGATGACGGTGCCGCCATTCAGGACGCCCTCGAGGAGATCACCAAGCAGCGATCGGTGCCCAACATCTTCATCAACCACAAGCACATTGGTGGAAACTCGGACCTGCAGGCCAAGAAGTCGGAGCTGCCCAACTTGCTCAAGGAGGCCGGTGCTCTATAGATTGCAAAGTTGCTGGAATGAAAAAGAGTGGACATGAAATAACCGTGATAAATTACAATATTTGATCACACTCTCCTGCAGCACATTTCTGGGTGATCGCATCCCACCAAAGACAACTTGCGACTCAGTTCAGCTCGCCCTTCTCAGCCAATGCCCTCATTGCCACGATGGTGCTGTGCACCGCCTTTTGTGCATCCCTGATTCTATCATCCTGCAGCTGCTTCGCCTCCGCGCTCCCCTCGGCCACCTCAGGATATCTCCATTCGAATGTATATGTCATATGGTAGTCATTCTCCGTCAGTCCCGGCCCATCCGAAACCGTGTTCGTGATGACTGCGCCAGACTCTTGCACGAAATCGACCTTTTCTCCAGTCAGCTTCTTGTATGAGAACCACACATCCCTCTCCCCGATTGCATGAAATCCGGAAATCGCAATATCGACGAAATTTCAGGGTAAGAAGAGCGCCATCATTACCTTCGTCGGATAATAACTGCGGCAAATCTCCTTCATCGCCCCCGGTGGTCGGTTCCCCATGGCCTTGAAATGCGCCATCCGCACGACCTCCTCGGGCCCGTCCTCCAGCACATCGGTCTTTTCAATCACGGGCACGAAATCCTCCGCTCGGCGGATCTTGCGTTGGAGGCCCCGCCAGATCTGGTCGCGGGTGAGCACGGGCGAGGCGCCGGCGGGGTTGATGGGTTCGCTGTAGGCGCAGTGGATGTTCACCATGATTGCTCGAGAGATATCCTTTGTCTTCGTGAATTTGCTCTGGGCGGGGAGATGTTTACTGTGGTTGATGAGTTGTCGAGTTGGTCTGCAACACTTTGTTTTATTATTACCCAAGAGGTGGGTCTCACGCGAGCTTTATTATATCTGCAACCTTTGTGTGTTATAGCAACGGGGACCGTGTTTTACTCTGAAGATGATCCTCAACACGATTTCTAACCATTCCGACAATGCCGCCATGGTACCATCCTAACACCGGCTGTGATCCATCACACCACTGGTCCTTCCTGGCGAGGAAGCGAGAACTCTCTACACTTGCGTTACGCGATTCTCCACGATCGCGATTGTACCGTTCGCGTTGCGCGGGCTCGCGGGGTTTCGCCAAACCCGCCCGCCCCACGCGGGGCGCTGCGCCCGGCTGTAAAGAGGCACAAGTCCGCGTTTTTGCCATTGCCAACGGGCTGGCCGTGACGGCTGGAGGGGGCACATACGTCGTTTGGTCGTCATCGAGAATCGGCGACCGAGAACTTCTTTTCGGTGAACCCAAGTAATAATCATCTTCTGTGGTGGTCTATGCAACCCTACACACATCACATTGCGTAGTGAGATGGCGAGGTAAGATCGGCAGGTGGCTGCCGTGTTATCCAGTACACACCCGGGCATTTGATTCAAGTCCAGTAATGGATCGAGACTCATTTCATCACGCGGTGAAGTCTCGGGGGAAAGAGAGGATGTATCCAGGTGCATCATGATTTACATAAATCCTCCTTCAGTGCAACCTCGATTGAGATGCCCCCCTCATAGCTTCGCCTGCAGCACACTACCACCGTCCAACACCAACGTCGCGCCGTTCAAATGCTGTCCTGCCCGGCTTGCGAGGTACACCACCGCCGCCGCGATATCCTCCGGGTGACCCAACCGACGGTTCGGGCTCGCCTCTGCCAGAACATCCGCACCACCGGCCATCTCCATCAATCCGTTCGCCATCTTGGACGGGAAGAAACCCGGCGCGATGTTGTTCACGAGGATGCCCTGGGGTCCGAGTTCGAGTGCGAGGTTGCGTGTCAGGTGCAGGACGGCGGCCTTGGATGCGCTGTAGCCGTAGGTGCCCTGGGCACCGAGGGAGCCGATACCGATGCCGGCGATGCTGCCGGTGACGATGATGCGTGTGGGCTCCTCCTTGGAGGCGCGCTTGCGGAGGAGAGGAGCGAATCTGTTGTAAATGCCATGTCAGCCGCGGTCTCTCTTTTCCATTCCATTCTTCTCCCTCTCCCGTGGAGCTACATGTAGAATCTCTGCGGCATCTCTTACTTTTGTGCACATAGGAACACGCTCTCCACGTTCAGCTTCATGACCTTGGCGAAGGCGTCGGCCGGGTGCTCATCGAAGCCTTGGCCCCAGGTCGCGCCGGCATTGGCGAAGAGAATGTCGACGTGGTCGGTGTGCTTGCTGACCTCGGCCACCAATCGCTCGACCTCACCGTTCTTGGCGAGATCTGCAGGGATGGAGTAGGCCTTGCCGCTGGAGGGGAGGGCGTTCAAGGCGGCGATGGCCTCCTCACAGGCCTTGGCCTTGCGGGAGGTGATGAAGACCTTGGAGCATCCTGCTTGCAGAAGTCTGATGTGGGTAGGATAGTCAGTATCGGCGTGCGCAATTACATGTGTTCCATCGCGATCTTGCGTGCGCAACGGTCCAACTCGAAGTTGTCGTTGAGGAAGACGTACCCGGATGCGGCGTGAAGACCTAGACCGCGCGAGCCACCAGTGACGACGGCGACCTTGCCCTCAAGGGAGAAGATGTTCTTGAAGTCGACGAGCTTGACGTCCGCGGCGGCCGACATGGTGAGGAGATTTATGTGAGGATTTCAAGAGTGTAGAGAGAAATAGATGTTGCGGTTCTACTTCAGAGTATTGAGAACGACGAGGACTGGATTAATTAAGACTATCGGAGCAATGCCGAATCTATACTATTTACCACGTGGATGGTGGCGCCCCGGTTGATATTCAATTGAATTGCTGTATCAATGGCTTACAGGTCCACCACTGCGAGTCGCACGCGCCATGACTGCTTCAATGTTGTACGTACAGTATACCGTCAGTCTCCGTAATAATAATACGTATCGTCTGCAACGATACAGTACGTACTGCAGTGTGCATTTGCTGGACGCCGCCGGACCAGCTGCCTCGGCTACGCTTATGTCTCATGGACTAATCCTCATCTAGTCACGACGCCGATGTTTCTCTTGGAGCCGCGTCGAGACCCCTTCCGCTTACGTCCACTTAACTCCGCCGTTGTCATGTTGAAATACACTGCTTCATCACGAATACGAACGAGATCTCGGGATATCGTGCTTGATGCCGAATGCTATGACTTGCAGAAGAAGGAATAGTCAAGCAGTTCTCATGCCCGATTACGTTCAAGAAGATGCACTCGTGGTGCATGACGGGATTGAATATTTGTGCTCATTATCATGCCCTCATCTTCATCGTGCTAAACAAAAAATGCCCTTGGAAGCAAAACACTAAACGCCTTGATATGCAACAATCCAAATGCGTGAGAGTACCCTTTTTAAAACCAAGTTTCTACTTTTCCCTAGATGGGCTCATCTCTGGGCTCAATGAGAACCTCGTTCACTGCCACATGCTCAGGTTGTTTCAAAGCATAAACGATCGCGTTGGCAACGTCGGTTGGGTCGAGGATCTGTGCTCCTGTTGGCTTGCCATATGCTTCGATGGCTTGCTCATCAGTCGACATGCCCAGCAGATCCGTCGCGGTATTGCCCGGCTGTACCGATGTCACGCGTAAACCCTTGCCGGCAGTTTCCAGTCGCAGAGACTGAAGAGTTGCTTCGACGAAGAATTTGCTGGCGGAGTAGACGCCCAGGCCCGGGAACACCTTTCGGCCCGCGTCTGATGAGATGGCGACGATGTGTCCAGAGCCCCGGGTAAGCATGGGCGGGACCGAAGCCGCCAGACAGTGCAGGAGACCTTTGCAGTTGACATCGACAGTAGTGTTCCAGTCGTCGGTTTTCACATTAGCCATCATGGTGTAGTACATGACACCAGCGCATGAGACGAGTATGTCCACTTGGCCCAATTCTCTCTCTGCAGTAGCGAAGAGATCATCAACCTCAGTCTTGATTGTGACATCCGTCGCCTTTGTGATTATCTTGCCCTCGCGTACCGCCAGACGTCGCTTGAGGGATTCGAGAACTGGTGCACGACGAGCGGCCAACACAAGGTGGCAGCCTTCGCTTGCGAGAGCTGCAGCTACTGCTGCGCCAATGCCGGATGACGCTCCAGTGATGACGACGACCTTGCCCGAGAGGATGCTCTTGCGTACTGACAGAGCTGATCCTCCAAGGGCAGAGTTGCGCAGTGGTGCGCGGCTCATCCAACCACGCGCAAACCAATGCCTCGCGTATGTCTCGAGGAGAACACCATCAACCTTGGGTCGTTCCACGATAGCTCGGAACGGTCGGGTCTGAGCGTTGTTCAAAACGACAATGTCCCGTAGGAATTCAATGCTGGGCATGCTGGATCGAAGGATATCGATGGTGAATGCGCCGTCTCCACCTTTGGCGCTTGCTCGGCGTTCATTCCAGAGATTGACCCATTCGTCGAATCCCATAGGTTGCGTAGGATAGCCTAGCTCGGTGAAGTGATCAAACACAGTCTTTGCGTCGACTGGGTCCGGGTCACCCAGGTGGAAAACCAATTGCTTCGCGTGGGTCTGGTTACCCAAATGCACAATGGCCTTGCTGACAAAGTCCACAGGGGTCATCTCAGCCCTCCATCCGTCGACGTTCGGGTAGTATCCCAGGTGGATGGACTCGACGAACAGCGCAGTCAGCAAATCCCAGACGTTCGCAGCACCGGTGGCACTGTGTCCCGAGATTGTTCCAGCACGCAGGATGCGGACGGGAAGACCACGACGGCCCGCTTCAAGTACCAATTGCTCAGCAGCCCACTTGGTCTGTCCATATCCGTCGGGAATCTTCTCAGGAACAGCGTCGACGTAGAGCATGGAATCCTCTGGCCATCCGAAACGAGAGTCAGAGTGGGGGAGCACGCCGTTGGTCGACACATGCAAGACGGTGGCGCCGTTGATGGAGGCCATTCTGAGAATTTCTCGCACACCATCAACATTGGTGCCTCGCAATGCAGCGTAAGGGTAGACAAGGTTGACTTGAGCTGCAGCATGGACAATGACCTGTACTCTATGACCGAGCTCCGTGAACTTCTCCTGCGTGAGGCCGAGACGCTTACGTGGAAGGTCGCCTGGCAAGATTTCTACACGCTCCATGATGGAATCTCGCCAAAGGCCGAGCTCAATGAGATTTCTCCTTAGTCTGGCGGTGCATGCGGGTTTGTCTGCTTCTGTAGTATCATTGCCTCGCACTAAACAAATGATAGTAGCGGCAGTGCTTTCCAAAAGATGGCTCAGGAGGAATGCACCAAGGAATCCAGTCGCGCCAGTGAGTAGGATGACTTCGGCATCTTTGACTGCGCGAATCTTTGCATCGGGGAACTCGATATCGCGATCGAGAGTTGAGTCTCTACGTAATGCAGCAGGAAGATCGGCCTGGACGGCAGCAATATTACCATCTCGGACTTCTCGAACAGTTTGCAAGTGGCTTTGCAGAGTTGATGGGTCGGCAAGGCGACTGACGGGAATGCGGAAGCCGAATTTCCGGGACAGTTTTGCTGAAAGGGCAGCGAGTGAAAGAGAATGACCACCGAGGTCGAAAAAGCTGTGATCGGGTTTGAGTGTGCTTTGGGGAACTCCGAGAGTGGCGGCCCAGATCTCGGCGATTTCATTGATGCTGATCGAGTCCTTCGGAGTAGAAACTCCCGACGTCTTCTTGGGTGAAGGTGGCGGCGGAAGGTTCTTAAGGTCGACCTTTCCTGAAACCTTCTGTGTTGGAAGGGTCTCTAGCTCTACCCAGAGTGTGGGAAGCATATATTGTGCCAAGTAAGGCGAGATGTGCTTTCTAGCAGCCGGGCTGTGGCCCAATTCGTCAATCTCTACCAACGGTCTGGTCGCTGATTCCTCGTCACGAACAATGTAAGCTACTAATTGACGCTCGAGACCGTCGCCATGGGCGACAACTGCGCAGTGGCGTACGCCGAGATATTCCACAATGGTGCTTTGAACCTTGGCCGGGACCACGGAATAGCCACGTAGCTTGATCATTGCACCTGTGCGGCCAGTAATCTCCAAAAGTCCCGATGGATGCAGAATGGCAAGATCACCAGTCCTGTACATTCTAGCAGTAGGATCCTCGGGCTTGAATTTGTTAGGCAGGAATGCTTTGGCAGTGACCTCGGGAAGGTTGAGGTAACCGCGGGCGAGGAGATCACCGCCCACGTAGAGCTCTCCGCTCGTTCCAGGCTCGACAACGTTACCCTCCTCGTCGAGCACGTAAATGTTCTCGGGCTCCAGTGGTCTACCCACCGGGCAATTCGTCAATTTCTCATCGATGATGTCGCGAATGTCTCCACAAGCGATCTCGTGTGTTTCACATGCGCTGTAGCAATTCAGAAGGCGTACATTCGGCAGGGCGAAAAGGGCGCGGCGAGCGAGGTCAGTAGTGACGACTTCACCGTTGAACCACAATGTACGGAGGTCTTGCAACCTTGAGCCGATGTCCGGGAAGCGCGAGAGGACGGCCGCCAGAAGAGTGGGCGTCATGAGAGTTTCGGTGACCTTTTTGCTCGCAAGAAGATCCACCAAGCCGACAGGGTCATAGCTGACCTCGTCCGGAACAGTGACGACGGTCCCGCCTCGCAGCAGAGGCCGGATGATCTCCCAGACGAAGAAGACATTGCATGCTACTCGGTCATCAGGCTTGACATCTGAAACGCCAAATCTGAGGTTGTATGAAAGAACGGATGCCCGGTGCGGGTTGGCAATTCCCTTGGATTTGCCGGTAGTACCGGATGAGTAGGAGACGAAGCAGAGGCGGTCGAGGTCGTCTGAACCATCTGCGTTTTTGCCGTTGTAATTCTCCTCTGTGTTATCGCTCGTTGGAGCTCCGTTTGGTAGTTCGCCATTCGTCTGTTTGTCGAGTACGATCTGAGGGATGCCTTCCCGGATCTTTCCGCTTTCTGACTCCCTCGTAATCACGACTGCTGGCGTGGCATCTTCCAGCACGTCAGCCAAGAGGTCTGGAGGATATGCGAGCTCTAGGACCAAATATGCGCCTCCAGCTTGCAGTGCTGCAAGACATGAGATCACGTAATCGGCGCTCCGCGGAAGTAAAACGCCCACGCAGCTGTCTCGCTTAACTCCATACGCTCGAAGGCGTTTTGCAAGAGCATCGACCGCTTGAGCTAATTCAATGTATGTGTATGTTCGCGTCTCATCTTCGAGTGCCAATGCATTGGGTGATCGGGTCACCTGATTGGAGAAGAGAGTACATAGGTCTTTGGTGGTGTCAATGAACGACATGGCTGGGGGAGTTGGAGGATTGAAAGAAGATAAATCGTGCAACACGAAAGCGCCGACCCAACGTATTATATATTCTCGCCGGCCTCACCATGATCGGCTAGTGTGGCAAGTCCTAGCGAAGGATACGTGGAGCCGTGTATGAAAAGCTTCGAATTATCCCGTTCATCACAGAGTGTGAGATCCCACGACGTACGCAAGTGTCACGTACGCAAGTGTCATTAGTGTCACGAATCGGAGGACCTGGGATTGGTCTGTGAGGATGTGGAAGATGCACGCCCACGTCGACTACATGCACATCCCTAGAAGATCTATCCATAACCGGGCATTCACAGTGTGGTCTTGACGTTTGAGTACGAACACTAACACAGGTATTCGAGATAGCGATTTTCTGCCTCACCGAATGTCCCTGGCACAGTTTGCCGCTATATCCAATCTCGGCCGCGCATATCTATAGATTTCGCAGACATGTGTATCAATAATAGCGCAGCGGGGCTGTATGGCGCAATCGCATCTCGCCGAATCTTCTTGTTGACAACCAATTCACGCATCTGCTCCCCTTGCTCGCTCGAGAAAACGACATGTGTGTTTCGCGATGTTCCGAGGTTTGTGTTGAAGGGCGGCAAGCAACGTTGACGACTGTCGTTGATCCCAAGTCTTGCAGATGTACATAAGCAAACAGATCTAATGCAACAGAACCTGAACCATGATAGACAGCCTACGAAGCACCCCACGTGGGTGCCCGCTGTTTACGCCAGGACAGAACAAATTTCGACCGTGCCTGGACAATTGGGGTGGCGATATATGTCTCATATACAGGCATCCCCCGGTACGGACGTACCTACAGAATACAAGTAAAGAGAATTGTTGACGCTATTAGTGAAGGAATGCTATTCTACTTCCAAGTAAAGTATAGACATCTGCAGTGTGTCGTCGACGCTGCAGAGACTTGAAAATTTGCTGCTGTTCGCATGGGGTGACATCGCCAAGGGCAACGCCGTTCTGGACAACTCTATTGTGCGCGCCAACCATATCTGTGTATGGAACTCGTCAAATCTTCAATCCAGAAAATGAGCTGGCGGAGTGCTACTGCCGCCCCTCGAACGCGATGATCGTAAAGATCACAAGCTTCGTCGTTTCGATCCGGGAAATGTTCAGTCGAAGGTCTGTCGTGCTCGGCCGGATTCAACGCAGTCAGACCCGATAACCACCAAAACGGATCCCACGCCGAATCTGACGCATCCTGCATGGTTGAACGTTCATACGGGGTGCAGAGAGTGGGAGCCCTTGTACCTGGTGCGTACTTAGTCTCTCCTAGTTCGGGTCACGCGAGCATTTTCATTGCACAATGATGGCTCGGATGCTCCGAAGTTTTTCAGCGGTGGAGGTTGTATTCCTCGTTTTTGAGTTCGTTTGTGAGTCTGGTTGCCGAATGGAGCTGTTCACGCTGTTGCTTAGGGTTACAAGGCTGAGGGCTCGCGGTTCGTCTGTCCCTTGCTACCAAGGTAGGCATTGAAACCCGACCACCAATTACTTGAGGAGGAGCAGTACAGAGTATGATTATACCTAGCGATGTATCTTTTTGTGAGAGTCGGAGATTCATACTAAAATGGGTTGCCAGACTGTAACAAAGCACGAAACTTGTGTGCCTTTCGTGGGATATCAAACTCTATCGTTTTGGTTGCAGAATTATAGCGCAATAGATCTACAGAGGCTGTCCTCATAGCTTCGCCTTTCTCCCTGACAATGCTCTAGAGGTGAACGCCTCTACAGCGTTCCAATAGCGTTGTGAATCAGCCATCGGAAGCGCGCAATGTACCGCATCCTCCCACACCTCTGTCCTCACATCGAAACCCAACTCAGCCGCTTGTTTGGCATGTGCGGCGATGTCGTCTGCCGCGATTACCGTATCGGTCTTGGAAAAGAGAAATAGCCGAGGACCTAATCCGAACAGTGTCGAATCGTTCAAATCCCGCATGACGTCGTTTGATGATGTGACAATGCCTGCTCGCTGCATCGCAACATATACTTTGATGTATGGCCACAAGATTGCGCGCCCGATCGAATACAATGGTTGGCTCTGTGGGATTTGCATGCTCGCTGCAGCATAGATGTTGTCAAACGCTAGCATTCCAGGGCATGAGTCGAGGATCAAGCCAACGAATGGAATGGGCAAGTGCGATGCATCCTCACCCCGGCTGCTTCTGCGGAGCATCTTGCCCAACTGCAACGCCGTAGCACAACCTCCGTTGGAAAAGATGTGTAGCAAAGCACCTTCTTGGCGATGGCCCCTTGATTCCGAGGTGGGAGGGCTTGTGATTGGGAACAGACTTGATATGTACTTATGTGCAGGCGACAATCGAGCTTGAACTGCCGACAGTTGGCGATTGGCGAGCGAATAGTCTGTGACTTGCGTGCGGACAATCAAAATTGGTGTCTGGGGATACAAGCGTTGATAGGCGCGACAATAAACTGCAATTCTCCCTGAAGTGGCGCCCCCGAACCATGTTGTGAGGACAATCACCTTCGGGGATGGACCTCCTCCGGCTGCTGCATCTTCTCCGGTCGAGGTGGGTGGCGTGTAAAGCAAGATATTTCTGTTGATGTGTGGCTTGATCGGAGCAAAGGACAATGCTCGTAGCGGATCCGGTGTAGCCATGCCAGCATCTATGTACAAATACAAGAAATGTTGTCGAACTTGGCCTGCATCAAAGCGGGTGTTCTATTCTTCATCGTGTACGTCACGGTACTTTAGACGAGTCTCCGCCGACTCGTCTCGTCCAGGGATCTCGGCTTCAAGTTGGGCACAGATCATGTTCGGCTCGGCGGTTGCGCTTGGCCCCCCGCTCAGTGCGGGCGGCCATACCCGCAACAGCTCGCGTGTATTTCCCCTGCATAAGATTGTTGAACGATTTCAAGGAGGGCTACGGAGTGTCAACACTATCCAACTCGTGAACGCGATCTATGGTTATCAACGCTATACACCATAGCTCGCGCTCGACAAGCATCACCAACAAAGAGTCTTGAAAATTTATCTTCCACGTCTGGAAGCATCCCCCGTGGTCAACATCGTGCGCAGAAACGAGCTTCTAATATTTTGCCGTCAACTACGGAGAAGGACTCCTTTGCGGCATCGACAAGGCCTTCGAAATGCATCGGACTCGTGTCGACGATCGCTTTGGGGATAGCCATGCCCTTCTAAATCCTAATGAGTTTGAAGATGCATATGACGAGTCTAGCATGCAGTCCTCCTTCCAGGAAGGCAAACCCTCGGACGACACTGAGCGGAGTCCAATGCATGCTTTTGACACCGAAGATTATGTGCCAAAATATGTCGCCGCTCGGAAAGGCTACCTAGAACGTCTGCTCCAAGCTTTGAGTCTGAGAAGAGATCGCACTGTTAATGCTTCGACATCAACTCCTGCACAATCTTCCAAACTTTCGAGGACAGTCCGAACGATATTCAATTATCCCGAACCTGGCCTCAAACTCAGAAGCACGGCCTGGTTGGATGGCCTCCGTGGACTAGCTGCTTTCGAAGTCTTCATCTATCACTACGCACGAGAATGGGTCAACAGAGATCCGGCTTGGGGTCCTACCAAAACCGATGGCCTGGATCCAGCTTGGTACAGATTTCCATTCATTCGAACTTTTTACAATGCCGGACATGCGTCTGTCGCGGTTTTCTTCGCCATCTCAGGATATGTCTTGTCACATCGAGTTCTCACGCTTTGCGCACAACAACGCCACGAAGAAGCCTACGCCAGCCTCTCTTCTGCCATCTTCCGTCGTGCTCTGAGATTATTCACTCCAGCTGCGATTTGGACCTTTATTGTCATGTTCATCTGCTGGCTATGCGATCCCTGGCTGCCGAAACCCGATCCCTATGTCATCGAGCCAAAATTGTGGAGGGAAATTGGTGTCTGGGCTGGCAAGGTGCTCGACATGTTGCTACCGGTCAACTATCCGGATCGCTGGACGGCTATCATGAATCGTTACAGCGGAAACGTTACATGGACGATCTCTCTAGAATACTACGGATCACTCGTTGTCTACGGCGCCCTACTCTTCATTTCCAGAACAAGGAGTTTCGTCGTCCGCCAATCTCTCGTCTACTTCATGGTCGCACTCAGCTTTCTCAAAGATGACTGGATCGCCGGTCAATTCCTATTGGGTCTGGCCTTTGCTGACCGTCAAATACATAACGAGAGGATACAACTCTCAGACGCTGCACCTTACGCGAAAAGTTCTAGAAAGTTTGCTAGGAAAGCTTTCTATTATGGCGTGTTCATCTTCGGCTGGTTTCTCGCTGGATTGCCCATGGTACGACCGAAGGCTGGAAAAGATGAGAACGATTTCCCGGTCGAGTCGCGCCCCTTCTTTGACATTGTCGGTCAACCTTTGGCATGGATTGGTGGATATCACAACCGTCAAGGAGACCAGTACTTATATGCACTAGCTGGCATCTGCTTACTAGTCGGAATTGGGGAGACCAACATCAAAAGCTTCATGGAAATCCGGTTCGTGCAGTACTTGGGCAAAATCTCCTTTGGATTCTACTTGGTACACGTACCAATCCGAGCGTGGCTGGGCGCTCTGGACCCCATCTATTTCGGCGTCATGGGCTTACCCTTCATCCCTTGGGACAAGCGCGAGGAGAACTTCACATTATTCTGTGTATGGATGCTTCGTATGGGTCCTGCGATTCTCATCAATCTGATTGTGGGCGGCTTGTTTGAGCGTTTTGTGGATAGACCACTGATACATTTCAGCCGGCGGTTTGAGCAGTGGTGCTTGTCATTTGGTCAGAAGCCTGAGGTGCTTTCATTATCACATCATCAGCAGAACGAGCCGGCTGAACAATCACCAGCGCCGATACTGGTATCCGGCTCGCAAATATGAGATTCATACACTGTACGATAGCATGATTACTACATCCCAACGTTGTCTTTTCTCTCGCTCTCTTGTCCTTATATTTTGCAGTCGGGGGATGTGCGAACCATAATGTTTCTCCATCCGGACTACCTAGGACTGGCTGCATATTCCCGGCAGCACAGGACTGCAGAGGAGTAATAATGGTCTCTATCGAAGCCATAGTATTGCTTCCGCCTGGGACGGTAGTCTGTCGTAACTACCTGGGAGAAGAAAGACACCTTCCCTATGTGAACCCTAGAGGTAACCCAAACCCTAGTGATTGGAAGATCCACGGATCAAGTTGTTTTCACGAAGGCCGCCCGTGGCATCCGCTTGATCCTCTGCGTCAGCTTTCAAGATCCCCAAACCACCTGGGCACCCATATTCGACGGGCCGAACATGGCTGGCCACCTGTGTCGACGGGGAGCATGGGAGACTATCGGTCGTGTGGAGGAATGGACCTTATCGGTCAATGATCAATTAGAAACCCAGGGGCATGCCGATAGTCAAGGCGGCCGGCAAGCGATGACGATCATACTGTAGCAATATCGGATCTGAATAATTCAGCTGATCTGCATGTTGACAAAGACGTGTGCTGTTCGCAAATGCATCCGCTTCCAGCCATAGCTGCTGGTTACGAGTGCGAAAAAGCCCGTTGGTACGATTTGTGCATCATAGTTCGTCTAGTGGTAATTTCTCTCCACTGTGAAATACCGTCCAAATTGATCTATCACATCCAGAAGGGTGAAATGCGAACGCACCAAAGCAGTGTTCGGCCGGCACAAGACTTCAGCGTTGAATGCGCGGCGAAGCTGTCCTGACCTTGTCTCGATGATTCAGGACAAACTAGCGATGTGATCGACCACCTCAGAACATGTGACCTGAGAACTATGCCGCCACGCAAGGAACCCAAGGAGGTCGTGGTATATCCAGCCTCCAAGCGCAAAGCACCGCCATTCAAGCCTCTGCGACCGAACAAAACGACAGATTCATCAAAACCAAAGGTCGCCCCAAAGCCAACACGAGCAAAGCCAAGTGCCGGAAAAGTCGTTCCTCCACGCGAAAGCATCGTCGTGTCCGAAAGCGACGATGAAAATGACGATCTCAAGAGCCTTACGGCAGGCGACGACCAAGACGAAGAAGAAGCAGATGACGCTTCGATGGGGGAAGATCTCGAGGATGATCCTCTGACCATGAAACCCACCACACAGCGTGCACCAGTACAACGCGATCTATCTCCAATGGCGATCTCAGATGACGAGGCGCCCGAAGCCCTCGCTGCAAGTTCTGCTGCAGATGGTATCATGTCGCCACTGCGAAGTGCCGATGGATCATCTCATCTGGTCATACCACAACCGCTCCTCATCCGCCTCCTACATGAAGCCTTTGAGGATAAATCTACACAGATTGACAAACACGCGGTGCAAGTCCTACAGAAATACATCGAGGTGTTTGTCCGAGAGACGATTGAAAGGGCACGGCTCGAGAAGCGCGAGGCGGCTGCTGCGAGCGGCGACGATCTCGATGAGGAGGACAAAAATTGGCTAGACTTGGAAGATCTCGAGAAGGTGGCGCCCGCGATGCTGTGCGAGTTCTGAAAGATTCCAGCTAAACGACTGAACTCTTGAGGCACTTCCTCACCTGTTTCTATAAGTCGGGAGGGCCACTACATAGATACTTAGGTATGTACAAGGCTTTATGACTCCGCGGCCGCGTCTGTTCTACATCACAAAAATGATATCGATCATAATTGCCACAAAATATCATCACATCGCCGTGCGATTGCATATTTGCGACTAGCATCTCGATTCAACTAGAAATTGTATCTTATTCATAAACCAAACGTTGTGATCTGCGTACCCATGACAAGGGTGATGAATTCAGTGTGCCTAGCTCGGAACACCCACATGTTTCTAAGCATACCTGGGCACCCTACTACCCAGCTTGGAAGCTTCGTGTGTTCTGTCGCCACCACATTTCGAAGTCCGCCATTCAACGCCATCGGACAAGAGCAACGCATACACGTCACATATTATCCACAAAGAATGAACAGGATTGCGGAGCGTCTTGATGTTGCCCAAGTGTTTTGCGCGTGTACCCAGAATTACAGGCCCAGCGAAAGCGAAGAACCGCGTGTGACTCAAGCGCACGCGCGGCATCCTGCTACCTAGCAATGACAAAGATTGTCCACACGATTCTGTGCCCGTCTTTGGTACCAGTAGCAACAGCGACTCTTCCATGTCGTTCGACTATCGTAGCATGTACTGCGTCAGCATGGCTGACCAATACGTGACTCGCGTATGCCTGTTGCCTAGCCTTGATAGAGAGTATTTGACTGTATGTCAACCGTCAGACATGTGTCGTAAAGTACAATATAAGAAGCCAAAGCGGTCCGCTCATAATTTCTATTGCTGTCAACAAACCAACAGCTCAATTCATCACACTTTCCCCAGACAATAGTCAAGATGCCACCGATTCGCTACTACAACCAGACAGCTCCCTTTTGGGACTTTGTCGCAAGCCTCGAACAACAAGGCGCAAGCCATCCCTTCTTCAATAACAACAACGAAGGTCCATCCAACACCGAAGATCGCAATGATCAAAGTGGCCCTTCAAGACAACCTGAACCATTCTGGGGCGCATGGGGCCCTTTCGCTTATCGCGGTCGGTATGAGCGACCTTCTGGTGATGAAGAGACCTCACAGCCACAAGCCGCGGAGCAAAACACCGAGCAGGAACACAATGCAGATACACCTCAAAATGAGAAAGGTCCCGCCGGTGGCCCTCATCACCACCACCATGGGCCTCGCGGACATCACAGAGGCCGCGGCCGCGGAGAGCACTTCGGTCGGGGGCGTGGCCAATGTGGCGGGCGCGGCTTTCGCGGTCATCGAGGATTCTTCCCATACGGCGTGGGTTCGTTCGACCAACTTGCCGAGGCATTTCAGAGCCAGCTATTTGGCGAGGGTGCCGGTCGTGAGACCTCAGACGACTTCACTCCGGATGTTGACGTGTTCGACACCGCAGAATCATTTGTGGTGGACGTATCGCTCCCAGGAGCGAAGAAAGAGGATATCGGCGTGAGCTGGAACCCGGAGAAGTCTGAGCTCAGCATCGCTGGTGTCCTTCATAGGCATGGTGACGAGGAGTTCTTGCTGGCACTTTCCATGAGTGAACGCAAAGTGGGAGCGTTTGAACGCACCGTGCGACTTGGAAGCAGGGCCAACCCAGCCAGCATCGATTCGGATGCCATAACTGCAAGGATGGAGGACGGCGTCCTGAGGATTGATGTACCCAAGTTGGATTCGGGCTACGTTGAAATCAAGAAGGTTGATGTCGCATGAGTGCAGTCTATTGGGGAGTTTCGACCAGCCGTGAGCGGCATGTGTTAGTTATGAGTGTAACATGTATACCAGTACACCCTTCCTGATCGCACAAGTGGTTATTATCGTCAACACAATTGCCTTCTGAAACACACATATGCACGAGCTCGTGGCCCCGCCATCGTAGATCTCGATAAGCTTCTCTGCGACAAAAGGTACTTCTCTGCAGATATCGATGGCTTCCAGAGCGGTCTAGACACTCTGACACTGCGATCTGAGTCAAAGGAGTACAGCCCTCCGATCCATCGCCCGCCTCATGCAGGACAGAGCGTCGATCGCCGTTCCACCAGCCCGGTATTCATGGGGTTCTGATATCGACGCATAGACGGACGCGCGTACCTACACTCGAATTGTATTTGCAAATCGGGAACCAAGCTCAAAGATCAGTGGAACGACACTGCCAGCATTATGAGTTTCGAACCTGGCATCTACCAACTTTCTAGAGTACCTAGGTAATTCAGCCCTGCTGGAAAACCCGCGTACTCCAGCTGGAGTTCGGATCGCGGTGGTGACGATGTTGAAAATATTATACCCGATCGAGCATCGCCATGCACGCATATGCAGCTCGTAGCCTGCCCAGGTGCATCTTACCTGACTTGCGGACCAAAAATGACCTCGGGAGGTTTCGCGATAGTGCCACAAGTTCACATATCGCGCAAATACAGTGTGAGGCTTCAAGATCTTGTCGCATGTATTTCAAATACTCCTATTTGAAATGATGACCGTACTCCTAGGTAGGACCATAGTGATGACCACCATCATTATTATTAAACGTTTCGACACATGTGTCAATTGCTGGGACAGAGAGCAGGGAAAATCGGCGGTTAGGCTGGGCTGGAGATCTGCGGACCGGACCGCAAGCCCGGGTTGCTGCTTGGATAGCTTGTGTTTACATACAGTGCATCCTGCGATGTGATGAATGATGATGACTTGTGACATTCCTGGATGCGACAAGCCGCTGTCAATAGCAAATCCTGTACCACCGCTCGACAGCTCCCCGTACCACCTCATTCTTCCCTTCGATATACTGATAGACCAGACGAACACAAATCAAGGGTTGCCCTTCCGAGGCGCCCGTTTGTGAACCATCGGAAGTCGACGATCCGACCGCATAGCAACGACATCCGATTCAACCTCCCGCCTCTGCTGGAGCGTTTTCAACGTTGAGAATTGTTCTTGAGACCTGGTTTAGAGCCTGCATGAACTCGACGTCATTCAAGAACGCAACGTCGGGTCCAGGTTATCGCGATCGGTTGGTTAAGCCACCACGATATTTGTGAAATTTGGTCCCGCATCTTCAGCAGCAGGTTGGGCTTGAAGCCAGCACGAAGTGCCAGTCGATATCCACAGAGCTTGTCCTGATCCCAAGAGGACTTAAACAACAATCACCAATGCATAACAATTTTCGATGATGCCAGTAAGGCTCATGCAAAGCCATGCCAGACAAAAAAGTCGACCTCATACCGAAGCTTGCGAGACGGCGATCGCAGGATTTCGCTAGCAAAATTCAAGGATGGAACTCTAATGGTGGAGGTGTTGTGCACCAGGACACTGATGCGCTACAGGAGAAGGTCAAGACAAAAGTCGTGCAGAAGAAAATAGCCAAGGATCTCAAAAAGGCAGTGCACGATTTGGAAGCCAAGGAGCAACAAAAGGTCAAGCCGGTGACCCAGCAAGAGGAGAAAGTCCCGGAGGAGAAAGCTCAAGATGAACAAGTCTCGGAGGAGAAAGTGAATCCGAGTGAGGATATCATTGAAGTACTGGTTGAGGAGGAAGCCTCTGAGCCTCAGCCGCCCGAAGATGACGGACAGCAAGAGAAGCAAGGGTCAGGGACCCCGAAGACGCCACAGGCCTCGCCGAAGCCGATAATGGTAAAGAGACCTGGCAGAGGGGTCGACATGGAAAGGAGAGCCTGGGTCCGCCGCAAGACTAAGGCACCTCCGCAGGAAATACAGGAGGACATAAACCCGGAAATTGACGTCAAGCATGCTGGAACGCCTAAGAAGCGTGTCGTCAGTGATAGCAATTGGCTTCGGGATCGGGCAGACCAAAGTCGAACGCCAACATCTCAAAAAGACACCCCATATAAGCCAATTGTGATTCGCCGAAGCGTCGTCACAGTCGGTCTGAAAGTGCCGCCTTCGTCGATCGAGTACGTGGAGACTGAGTCGAGACTATTACGATCATCCACTGCAGGTAGATCAAGATCAAGCTCTGTCTCAAGCGAAGGTCGCAATGATAAAACCAAGCCACAATACGCAAGTAACGGAACGAAGATATTCGTCACTAAACGCAAGCCATCGCCATCATCTGGTCACCAGACAAAGCATGATAGGAGCCATAGAATATCTGATAGCAGTGCTACAGCACCATCCTCCTATCTAGAGCGGGCCAGTTCTGCCACCGACGTCACAACACCGAGTCAGTCGACGGCCGAATCCTTGAGGCCAAGATCCGAACCTCGCAAACGTGTGCTGAGAACTGCCAGCCGCGAAGACGATTCATACCTGAGGCTGCCAAGATCCACTTCAAGAGATCGACAAGTCAATGACGGAGCGCGCTCTGACAGCCGAGAAATGCGCACTCCGACCAGTGATGAGCGAAGGAGGAGAACATCAAAAGACAAGAGCGCTGAGAGCTCCCATCGAACACCCTCGGACTCTCACCAAAAGCCTATGTTCCCTGCAATGGATTCAGGTGCACCCCGAGTATATGGCACACGCATTGAAGGCTGGCTTGCCGATACATCGGATCCATTTGTGAGCAAATCGTCACTAGCGCCAGAACCACTTGCCATTCCAAAGAAGTCGCCGAAGGGCAAGGTCTCGCCAGCTGGTCCCCGCGAAGCCCGCCAGGTTTCCTCGAAAACGAGCAGCGACGGGCAGACCGAGCCATCAAATCCAAGCGCTGAGCGCACTCAAACCGAGGAGCTTATCGATCAATCCATTGACGAATGGTCCGACGTGTCTCCAAGTGTGACATCTACACTGAAGCGAAGCGGTGCTAGGCGCACCGTTCGTTATTCTAACAAGAGTCGCAACGTAACTAATACGCGCGACCCAGCAGACACGCCCGTCCGCAGCAACAGGGCGCTGAGCACACCCCACAAGTTGACAACACGAGACTCGCCAGCATCCCGACGAGAGACTTCACGTAGCAAGCGTCACCCAGCAGAACAGTCTGAGCTCATCTCGGTGCTATCATTGCCTCAACATGATGCCCCAGGCATCAAGTCTGCACGAAGCCTTCGGGCCAGCCGACGAGCCAAAGCACCCACCACAGCAGGAGAGCTGATGAATGAGGTCTCCAAGGATGAAATGAAATATCAGCGCGAGCTTCGGACGCTCGTTGATGGTGTCATCCCGGTGTTGCTACAGTATGCACTTGCTGGAGACGGTTCGGCTGATCGCGCACGTGTCTTCACCCAGTCGACAATCACGGCAGAAGTCACGAAGCCCATCGTTGACATGGGCATTGCGCTTGAAAGGCTCAAGAATGCTCATCGACGAATTCCAATGCACGAGCCAGGCGATCTTGTTGCCTGGGCGGAGAGCACGGCCAAAGTCTACGATGACTACATCGCGTCTTGGCGCATGGGCTTCAAGAATATCGTGGTCAATCTTGCTCCGGCGGACAAGACTGTCACTGACAAAGATGCGTCAACCTGGGACGAGGGCATTCCCCGCAATGAGGACGGGGACTTGGTCGGCCGTGATGGTGAGCGGGTTGATGTCGCTCATCTACTGAAGCGACCACTTGTTCGCGTCAAGAACCTATCAAAGGCACTCGCGAACTTGCACCAGATTAAGCCTGATCCAAGGACTGATGACATGGCGAGTCAGTATCAAACCCTCGTCGGCAAGGCAAAAGATCGTGTGAGCAGCGAGCACGCACGACTCGAGGACGAAGCCGCAGCCAATATTGATCCCTCAAGAGCGCGCGATCCAAGGAGCCTAGCACCAATAACAGGTGTGACAATCGACTCTTCTAGATGTGTACGCGCTCGAGACTATTTCGATATGGATCTAGTCCACTCAAGTGGCCAACAACTCTGCTGCAAGATTGAGGTCATTTATCGCGATGATGCGCCTGATCGTGGAAACAATGGCGACATCTTGTTCTGCGAGGTATCGGCCTCCGGGAGGTGGTTGTTGTTCCCACCCTTACCACTCACTCTGGTCACGGCTCGCAAAGGGGAAAGAACAGGCGAGCTTGTCGTCATGATCCGGGGTTTCTTGGCCAGTGCACAACAATGGCGCGAAGTCATGGTCATCCGAGCGGATGAAGAGCAGACCAGTGTTGATTGGCTGCAAATGCTCGGCTCATCACCAATGCCACCTGCGCGAATATCGCGAAAGTCGAGCTTCAACGTTCGGAAATCCGCCCCTCTTCCCAAGTCCGAAACAAGGCGGGCAATCACGGATCCCATTACTGAAGAATTGAATGAGCCATCACAACGCGAGCTCGAGGTGCCGATTGGTGTCCGACCCAGATACGCATCTTCAGTCTGGGATGGCAGTGAAGTCAACAGCGTCCACAATGAGCGGACACCGATCAAAATGCAGAGGAACCGGCCAAGCCGGTACAAGAGCACGTCAAACTCTCCTAACCGTGTGGACAGCCCCACTACCACGGACAGTGAGTGCACTACTCAACCAGACTATTATTATGAGCAACCACGTCATCAGCGCCCCGGATCGAGTCCAGCCAAGCGTCCTGTTTCCAGCTACACGCGTTCGCACTCGGAATGGACGAGTTCAACTGGGAGCTCGCGGACACAAGACTACAGTGTATGGATGCCTGAATCGCAAATTTCAGATGACTCCAGCGCCGAAGAAGAGGATCTTCGTAGAACACGAAACCGCGCCAGTCCAGAGTCTCGTCGACGAAGATCTTCGGTGCCTTCTCAAGACATTCCTAACATACCAAAGCTCCGCCCATCTGCTACAGAGCAGCCTATGAAGGCGAGCACACCTCTACGTTACCATGGTGCTCGCCGACGCGACACGGAAACAATGAAGGACGAACTGCCAACCCCCGCGTCTGCACCATCCAAACTACAAAAGCGCGCCCCAACACCACCGGAAGTGCAGAACAAGCCTCAACCGTCGTCTACGACACGTCCGCTGTCTTTCGGTCTGAAGTCGAGCGTGATTCCTGCATTGACACCTGGATTCTTGAGGAAAAGCCGACGCCCATCTTCGCCACTCAAGCACGAATATGCCCCCTCATCCGATTCCGACTCATTGTCGGATAGTGACATATCCGACCTAAGCGATGAACATTCCGTGACATCGGGCTCTGTCACTGGTAGAGATGAAGAGGCCATCTCCACAATTGGCGACTTGAAAGCCTTCCATCAGTACGCTATGCGTCCAGTCACTCAATCTTATGCGCCGGGCCCAGCCCTGAAGAATGCTGCCGCTGATGACAGCTCGTTGTCCGAGGTGGCTGCGCCTACTCCCGCCTATCGAAATGTGCCGCCGCCTTCTGTGCGCCCCGCTACGAGCACAGCAAGTATATTCTCTTGGGCTGATCGTGGAGCGTGGGAAAGCTTGCACCCTGAAGAATGCAGCATCTTTGTCTCCCCGGGCTTGATTGAGGCTTATGATATCGCCCAAGCCCAAGCCGTGATGTCTGAAGACAAGGACGGCATTATTACAACGCCATCCTCAAAGGGCGTCAAGCCATTAGTTGCGCTTGAGCTCACACCACTCGTGCCGCTGCGCCGTGGCACCGCAGTAGACATTTCCATCCGCTCCCCGCCCACACCTGGCTCTCTCCTCCGGGCAGGGAACAACGTCATGTTCCGCTCGCGAAATCCCGAAGACTGCGAGAGGCTTTACGCCCTGATCAACAGGGCACGCATCGACAACCCGACTTACATCGCACTCCAAAAAGCTCGAGGTCCAACACAGCAAAGCAACTGGGGCGAGGTCATGGATCGTCGCCCTGCCGCTCGTCCAAGCAGTGGCTCATGGTGGAATCTAGGCTCACGAAAGAGCAGCACCTACCGTTCCAATGGCAGCAGACCGATGTCCATAGCAGCGACCGAGTCATCTGTTGGCACCATGAACAGCGCCTTTTCCGCATTGCGCCGATTTAGCAGCGGCAATCGCATCTGGAATATCGCCAAAAGCACAATCACCTCGCAAGAAGGTACGCGCAGCTCCAACAGCGAAACAATTTCATCTGGCTTCGCGACGCCAGTAACACTAGACCCTCGTTTGGGCACCCCAATAGGCATCACAAATGCCAAAATCCGCTTGTACATCAGAGAATCTACACACAAATGGCGCGATCTTGGATCTGCTCGATTGACGGTCATGCTCCCACCACAGCAGGATCCCACTGTCGCTGCCAACCCGAAGACCACAGGCCTGGAGAAGCGCGTTCTCATCTACGGGAAACATCAGAACGAGGTCTTACTAGATGCGACATTGGGCGAGCAATGCTTCGAGCGCATCGCCCGCACTGGAATTGCTGTGAGCGTGTGGCAAGAGAATACGGGCCCGAACGGCGAGGTCGGATACGCAGAAGCAGTTGGCGGCGTTGGCAGCGCAAAGTCCCGTGTGTTCATGGTTCAGATGAAATCTGTAAGTTCATCTAATTATGCAGTTTCGGTCGTTACATTACTAACATCGATCTAGGAACGTGACGCGGCTTACACTTTCGGCATGGTGGGCAAGCTGAGGTATTAATGATACTTGGCGCTTCACAGCGCTCGCGAGAATTGGGAACATCATTTAGCGAGGTGTTCTGGTTGCTTCACATTTTTCGTTCTCGCATTGTCCCATTTTTTGATACCAGGAAGTCGGACCGGCAACCACCATTTTCGTATAGTCTCACTTATTCTCTTACCACTTGGCACGGCCGATGTCCGTTTCGGATTTTGTCATTCATAGCATAAATAACCATTTAATATCTGCCTTCAAAGGTGTTGATCTTTTCTGCGCCGACCTTTGCAACCGCTTCAGCGACTGGTGTTTCGCCTCCGACGCAATCAAAAGCCAAACCGATGGTGTCGTCTCGCTTCAGACACTCCACAACCACAGCTGCAACATCTTCACGCGAAATCTGATTGTGGAGATGAACTTTGCCAGCCTCAATCGCACCCTTGGCAGGGTCGTTCGTCAGTCCACCAGGTCGAACAATCGTGTAGTCGAGCTTTCTACGGCCATTCTCCGAAGCCAGACTCCGATCCGCTGCAAATTTCGCCTCCATGTATGGCTTGATCACCTTCCAGACACCGTCACTGCGCTTTCGGTCGGCATCATTGTACCAGTCCGGTTCGGTGCTAGCATTGGCTTTGTCGCGAACATCCAGAGCAGAGATGATGATGTACCGCTTGACGCCGGCCTCAGCCGTGGCGTCCATGCTGCGGATTGCACCCTCATTGTCGACAGCCTTGGTACGCTCTGGGTTGCCTCCACCAGCACCGGCACACCACAGCACTGCGGTGGCGTTGGTGGACTTGATGGTCTGTACCATGTCATCGACAGAGGAGTCTTCAATGCTCTGAACTATGGGCTTTCCGCCGAGCTGTTCGATATCGGATTTTTGCTGCTCTGCCGTCAGATCCAATGCAAAATGCTGCAGTATCCTCTATATTGCTCACGTACGTCTGGGTTTCTGATCACTGAGTGCACAGTATGTCCTTGACTGCTCAATAATTTGGTGATATGCCTCGCACATTTCCCGGAGCCACCGAAGATAAGGGTATTGAGTGCCATATTGCGAATATTAAAAGCTTGATGATGTTTGACACGAAATGATTCTCGATTTTAACTTACAGTAGATCTGGCGCTTCTGCCACTCACGAGGGCATTGAGATCGTAGACATTGATGACCCGCGATATGACGTCGGGTTCCGCGCACTGACGGAGCTGTCTCCGCTGCTGGTCGCGGGGAAATCGATTGCAGGTCAAAACATTTTGGCCTTGGTGCCTGACAACGCAAAGAGTCATCGAGACCGTATGGCGTGCAATCACGCCATCCACTACTGGCACTGTGCGCTTTATTCGAAAATCCTCGTGTGAGCATTTTCACCTCTGATTAATTCACACGCCGTGGCGGCGTCGACATCGTCAAGATTCACGATCCCATTGCAGATGCATGTTCGCAGGCTCACGGAGAAATCGTCTCATGGCTATTGTTCCATTATCATTACTTGGTTACTTCATGCCTTGATGGCGAATTGCTTCAGGTATTCGTAGTCGGCGACATTGTCCTCGACAGTCTTGCGGATCACGTCGGCGCCCTCTTTGCCGTATTTCTCACTCCACTCAGCGTACAGCTCCTCGTCGCTCTTCACGGCTTTCTTCTGTGCGACAAAAAAATCAGCATCGAACTCAAGTCTCAAGCAACAAATTGGAACCTACGTGTTTCCGCGGCTTCAAGTCCTTCGAGTTAATGGCATCGTCGTGGAATCCGGTCCATTTCTCGAATTGCTCCTTGGCAAATTCGTGAGCCTCCTCGGTATCCCAAGTCAGCATCTCCGGCTTGTATTCAAGTCCGACGGATTTGCAATATTTGCTCAAGATTCCTTCCGGATCATCAAGCATGTCATCGGCATCAATGACGCAGATTTCTACGCTTCCAGCAGCCGCGTTCTCGACGTTCGAATTGTCTTGACCACAGATCTGCGGTCCGACCAATCCGGATGATCTCAAGTAGTCGAAGAACCGGCGCAGCTCGTCGTATCCAGCCTCTTCAGGCATGAAGTACGGGAACCCAGTCCGCTCAACCAATGGTGGAATGGTGCAACGGTAGTAACTGGGGATCGACGACCTCGGGTGACGAATCAAGAAAGTGAAATGGAATTTCTCCAAAATTTCGCGAGGCATGACCGAGGGATTGTTCGGTTCTGCTACGCTGTTCTCGTAAGGGAATGGTGCAACCTTACGCGGCGGGCTGTCCATGGCAACACCACTGTCGTTATCGCTGCCAGAGTCTTTCGACTCGACGGATACGACGTCGCTGTCGACCACGACCGGCATTCCACCAGTGCCGACACCACGCTTCACTCGTTGAAGAGAAGGCGCGATGCGTCCCTGCTGCTTTGATGGCGGAAGCAGGTAGTGAGTGATGTCTTTGATGAAGACTCGTTTGCCCTGGTCTACCTGTAAGTATTCTATCAAGCTTGTCGTCCACCAGATTCATTGCATGCGGAGTGGCAAAAAGAGATGGGTTTCGCCATTCATGAGGAAGGCGCATAGTTTGCATACAACATCGATGCAGACCTGATAGACAGCGAAACGTATCGCCTCGCATGACCACGACGGAGATTCCGTCCCAGGCCCCCCCAGAGCATCGACCACATCAGATGCCATCCAAAACGATACGCACCGCAACTTCACGACGAGAAAAGTTGCGAGACGACATACCTCTGATGCTTCGTCCTCGATTCTGTCCAAAATCGCCTTGAACGTCGACTCGCTGTACCCGCTTTTGATGCGGGCTTCCTCGTCGTCCTCGAATCTCGTTCCCATCCGCTCTGGGCCGAAGTAAAATGCATCCCCGAAAGGCTCATGGATAGTTTGAATACTGTCAGGACGAGTCATGAACACCTGCGCCACCAGACGAGTTAGATGCTGTGTTGTCTAACTACTACATGAGGAGGACGTACTCTTTCGAATGCCGTCGAGCAGGCTCGAGGGTGAGTTGCCATAAAGATAGGCTTGGTAGACATAATGGCGTTCAATGTAGCAGGTAAGTTGGAGGAGTTTAGGCTCTTGCAATAAGTGAAGATGCGAGATAGATTGTGAGCAGTGACAATTATGATATAGTCGTAGGCAGTAGTATATTCCCGGCTCTTGAGTCCAATTTATGAAGATTCTGCTCAACCAGTCACACCAAATCGAGGTGTAGTGAGGGCGTGAGTGCTTTTCCCACCGAATGTGCATCGAGCCCGGGAGGTCACCCACACCAATCCACATAATCCTGGGCAACTATGCTCTGCGTGGTAGCCCGGCACCGGCCGCACCTCGTTTGTATCCTCCCAGTTTTCCATCCTAGCCAGTGAAGGTTAGGTGAGACCCACCATGGTCAGCACACCTCTGCCACCACTCGACTCCACTGCATCATGCCGTCTTCTAGGTGCGGCAGAAGCGTGGGTTACTCGTTCCTCATCGGCACACACGGCTTCCATGACTTCGCAATGGTCATGACTTGCAGGCAATGAGGTAGGCAAGTGACGGGCGAGTTACGCCGAAGCCGGTTCCCTTACCAAATTGTTCGCATGGATGTTCCATCCGTGGCAAACATCAGCTCGCTTATTATTGACGTTTATGCTCTGCTGGGTGTGTTCAATTTCGTAGACGGTGTTGGCCACAGGCCAGACAATACATTGGCCAGTACAAGGGAAGCGGGTTGCATGAGTGTGTGTGTGCAGGATGTGTGCTGGGAACGTCTCGATTGCAACTACCCTCATGCTTTCCCAGGGAAGCCTGCGTGGGTTACGTCGCTCAACCGCTGTCTCTGTGCGTTGATGGATGTTGTTCGAGTTGCGACTCGGCCAGCTGGGCTTGATCTCGATCTGCAGTGTTTTCCAGAGATGCGTCAGCGGTACACCGCCTCATATCGCCAATACTGGTCCTGATATCGCCCAATTCGTTCAGACACAATCCGAGAGCTTCAAAGACAGTGGCAGGACAAGCTCGCTGCAGCAGTTACCAAGATTTGAAGGGCCTGCATGCAAATAGATCATCAAGACAGCAACTTTGGAAGTCACGGACACATCATGCCACTTGTGCAATTGATGCCGGTCGCTGTCGCTCGTGTCTTCGATGTTGCCCGTGACGAGCGATTGCACGAACGTAAAAGATAGATGATGGGAACTCTCGCCATCGGCGTCGAGTTTGCAACGAGCGCAGCTTCTTCACTTGAGCTTCCCTCTCTGAACGCAAAGTCTCCTCTTACTGAGTATTGGCAACTTGATATCTCTATTAATACAGTATATCGAGCTACGTGCCGTTATGTACTGTAGTAAAGAGACTTGGAGAAAGAACGCCGGTGATGTGCGAGTCACACGAAGGCTTGGAACCTCAACAGAAATAGATCTGTATCTTCGACAGAATGATCTCATGGTGGTGCTGCTAGTTCTTCTCGAGCTTTCCTCATGCTCGCCATCTTCAGTTTATTCTTTCGGACGTGACTTGGGTGGGCGAGCACGTGCCTTGCATGTTGGTACAGCTCGTTAGAAATGGCCGAGTGGAGATAAGAACAATAGCCACCCGCGCCAGCGGCACAGGCACAGGGTCCAATTCGGGCCTAAGGCAGCGATAGGCATTATCAACTTCCCTTGCGACAATCTACCGTTAGAGGGGCAACTACACAAGAATCTCAAGATGTTGGACAACATAGTACAGAGCAGCAACTGTATGTCGTCCTCACGAACAGCCATGCGGCCTCAACACCGAATTTCTCCGGAGCCGACAGGCTCAGCGCTCGTGAAGAACGCAGAAAAGCTGGCCTCGTGCGCTAACCCGAGCATTACAATTTAGTCGATCGCGATGAAGTCGAAAGACTCCGCAAGCGGTTTATGAAGCTTGACAAGGTAAGAGATCTGGCGAATCGTTAAATTAGCGCATGGTTAAAGGACAAGAGCTGACAAGATATCACAAAAGGACAACAACGGCACAATCGAGCGCGATGAATTCCTCTCCCTCCCTCAGGTCTCGTCCAACCCTCTGGCGACGCGCATGATTGCCATCTTCGACGAGGATGGTGGCGGCGATGTCGACTTTCAAGAGTTTGTGTCGGGCCTTAGCGCATTCAGCTCCAAGGGCAATAAGGAAGAGAAGCTGCGGTTTGCATTCAAGGTCTACGATATCGATCGGGACGGCTTCATCAGCAACGGCGAGCTGTTCATCGTCCTGAAGATGATGGTGGGGAGCAACCTGAAGGACCAACAATTGCAGCAGATTGTGGATAAAACCATCATGGAGGCGGACCTCGATCACGATGGGAAGATCAGCTTCGAGGAATTCACAAAGATGGTGGAGAATACCGATGTCTCAATAAGCATGACTCTGGGTGAGTGTTTCGTGTGATGTGCGGCAGTCTCGACCCATTGCAAAATGCTAACAAAGGTGGGCAGATCAATTCTAGTGACTCTTGGAATTTCGGTGCCCAAGGCTCGGCGTTTTGGTAATGTAACCATTGGGTCTTTTGTGGCAAGCTTCACGATGTCTTTGCATCACATGATAAACGAGCTCACTATGGGACATGAATGATCACGATTACGCTGCTTCCTACTATCCATGCGTACAAGCCGTCTATCATCCGATTGAAGCTATCTGCGATCTCATACAGCTGCTGAGCAGTTTATCGAAGTCATCAGAGTACATGGTATGCTGCAGTTCTCGTTGTTCTTCCGGATGAACGCCAACAGCAAACGATAGTTCAGATCCACCATCTTGAGATCGACTCATTTCGACGCAATGATGTTTGTGCTCCGACCACCAGGACAAAAGATGACCTGAAAGCTATCGCCAGTCGGCACAATGAACGTGCTGTCTTGATCGTCATAGGCGTAGGAATAAGCATCCGGACAGATATCCTTCGCGGCCTTGGCATAATAGTTTGCGGCGCACTTGTGTGGTCCATCGTACTGCCCAGTGCAGCAATATTGTGGGCTGTTGTATTTGGCACAAGCTGACAGACAAGGAGCGAAAGCTGGTCGCTGTATGTTCGTCTCAGGGTAAGGATAGACGCCATCGCCGGGCGCGAGCGGCGGTGCGACCTGTAGGTCCCAGGGACACCAGCTTGATAAGCTTGAGGCAGTGACCTCCTTGTCGAATGGCAGCGGGTCCGAAGAAGTTGTCCCAAGGAAAACCTGGCCGTTGCTGTAGGGATTGTAGCTTGACGAAGCAACGAAGCCCTGCAAGCTCCCAACGCAAGACGGGTTGGACGCACTGCCGCTGGATGTGCTCCCGCCATTTGGGAGGAGAACGATGGCCATGGGTAGATTGTAGCCGTCTACAAGACTGATGTCGTAGAAGGTCTGACTTTGCCCCCCGTTCATGGTGAACTCTGCCAATGTCGCTGGCGGATTGCCTGCTTGATGGCACACGAGCTGTCCGCATTCGCCAGTTGTGCAGCTGGCCTTGTTCTGACCACTGTTGAAAGTGCAATTTGTTCGGCCCCAAACGCGACCCTGCCAATCACCGCCAACCTGGAGTGTCCGATTGGCTCGGGGACTCAACTCGAAGCCTGTGGCCGTTGGACCATGTCCGCCTTGAGTCACGATTCCAGGCCAGATGGTCTCAGCACACCAGTTGGAGATCGTCAAGGATACATCGGAGCCCGAGTTCTGGCGGGAAACCACAGGGCGACTCATGTGGTGTTCAGCGAGACTTCGTTGGGTCGATAGCATTGCCATCATGGCTAGCCATGCCAGGCTCATCGAACTTCGCATGATCGTTCCAATGAGGACAGAGGATCCAGCAAGGCGAAGGGGTCAAGCGCTCGCTGCTGTGAAGGCGCTTTTCCTGCACCGCTGGGAATAGGGGCAGCTGGATTATAGGACAAGGGTCATATGCGCCCCCGCATCGAATGAATGATGGAATCGAAGGAATAGGATTGAGGCAGGCCAGCTGCGCAAAGAGGTCGGCGGTGAGAGACGTTCAGGCGACTGTGACAGGACTCTATTTATGTCCGAGTTGCATGCTTGGATACATGCTCAAACGCGCGATTTGCACTTGTGTCGTGCTTACCGTCGTGGAATCGTATGCTGAACAAGGGAGGTACTGCCACGAGACCAAAGGCGGCAAGTTGCAAGTGCACCACCCATGTAGGGGTTGTAACCTCACCGTGGCATGCGCGCAGGTGACTTCGCACCTTGCCCAACAAACGCGAAAGCTCGACGACAATGGAAACATTGTCGCAGGGTTTCATTGATTATAAAAATTACTTTTTGAAGAAAGGTTTTCATAGAAGTGATTCATCATATGATGTTGAATGCATGTGCAAGAGGTGACCAGCCTGCCAGCCACTTGTTCACCGCACGAGCAAGGTTTCACTGGTGGGGATGAGACGCGTCGAGAGCCCCGTGTGATCTCTACGAGAGATGGCCTTCCATGATCATTTCGCCTTCTTTCCCGCTTGCTGTTTTTGAACGATGTCGATCGCTGAGGCCATGCGAACGGCGCTTTGGTAAATGAGAGCTACATCCCAATGTCAGCTGCCATATGAAGGCGAATGCTTGCACGAAACTTACCGCCAGGAATAACAATCCAGAAAGCGTTCATCAAGACAAAGTAGAACCAGAAATAGAAAGGCTCAGGTCGCGAGTAGCTCTTGCCAGCCACATAGAGCTCAAATAAGCTGGTTGCGTAGTAAAGGATGTCGCCGTAAAACTGGCCCATGGAAACGATCATTTGCACAGGGTAGCGGAACGGGTTGCGCAGTATGATCAGTGCCGCCATGAGCAGGCAACCTGGACCCCAGAACATGGCAGTCACGGACTCCACACACAAAACCAGCGCGTCCTGGGTGAGGTACCTCGAATCCGAGAACGCGTACTCCTTCCACATCTGTCCTATCAGAGTCTGCTTGGAGCCCAGGGTCTGGAAGTTGGCGGCGTAGTACCCCTCGAAGAAGATGTGGATCGTTCCGGAGAGGACGAACCACATGATGGTGATCAATTCGTTGCCATTGAGATTGGGCTGGACGCGCTTGGCAACGAAGTATGTTGCCGTGAAGAGGATAATGCAGGCGCTGAAGAAGATGCCCAGAAGCTCCAACACGCTTGACTTGTTTGCAACATAGCCGGGGATTTCAGACCCAATGGGGTAGTATGGGTTCATGGTAGCTGCGAGATTGGTAGCATTAGCTGCCAACTTCGATAGGTGAACTGCCGCCATGTCTGCTGCTATCTTGGAGAACGAGGACGTTCTTGTTCACACCTCAAATGATGAGGACAACGGTTGTCGGACAATTTAGTATTGTTATAAGTCCGCGAGGAGTTGGGCAATGATGATGGTCAGAACTGGATGTCGCAACGAGCAATCGATGACCTCCGATGCAATAGCAGTGGAAGAGTGATGTGTGCGAAGGTTGGATCCTCACGTATTCCTACTTATGTAGAAGTATGGCCGCCGTTGAAAGGAAAGGACGTGCTGTGCTGGCTTGGGCACCTTGATTTCAGATCGTCAACAAGCTTTATTCACTTCTTCTTAGGTACCAAGTCTTGTTGTTCATAAATCAGGTATAAAGTCCTAACTAAGCGCGTGCCAGCACGGACGCACGTCACTGAGCGAATCGAAAATGCTGCATTGTGCATCATCGTGATCGGCATTGACCAGCGCGTTCACCTACGTAGAGGCACAGCAATGGCTGTGATATACACATAAGTCTAAGGTTGCCGAGATGACATTGATTTGTGTGAAAGGGCCTGCCGTGTCGTATGGTGAATGCAAATAGGAGTGTGATCTTCCGCTTGATGGCGGTTGACTTCCTCTCTCTACAATTATGTTGCGGCAAGTATAGGAGATCCCCAATGTCGACGGATCACTCGTACAGACAAATGCTTCAGATTGAGCAGCGCGGAACGCTCCTCACTACAACCCACGGGCAATCTTCGATTTGGTCAAGATGACAGTCACACGAGTCTCGAGGTCGGTTCGTCGTAACCGCTCATGCGAGCTGTTGTGCAAAAATATTATTATCACAGTGCGCTACGCTATGTTAGCAAATGTCATCCTTCTACGCCCAGCCCAGAAATTTACACTTCGATAATGAAAGTGCAGATACCGATTGAGCAACGTCCCTCAGAATAAAATGGCCACAGGAGAAATCGGAGCGCTGGATACGCTCACACAGCGCTGTAACCGCCCCGTGAACCATCGCTACCGCCAAATCTTCCAGCGATCCCGCTGAACCAGTCCTTGAGGATATAAGGCAAGTCGCGGATCGTATCGCCATGAGGTATCAGATCCCAACCACGCGCTCCATATCGGTTGTAATTCAGCCATGAGCCAAAGATGATGTATGCCGCAGCGAGCAAGAATGCAATGATTAGGAACCAGGTGAAGAATCCCCATCCGCTGCTCTTCTTGCCTTCGCCATCGTGTTTGTCGTCGCCGTCGGGTTCTTCGCCCGCCTGGCTTTCGCAAGCGTATTTCGTCTTCCACGTCAGGCGGAGGACGCCGACCTTGCCGTCGCGCTCAGGACCAAAGCTGACGAATTGGATCGCCTTGCCTTCGTTGAGATCCGGGAGAGGATCCTCCTTGTCTTCATCTCCGCCATCGTCCTCGCTGACGCGCTCTTGTCGCCTCCGTACAGACGCCTCTGTCTTGAAACCTTCGTTGCCTTCCATCTCCTTGTCGCAGATGAACTCGATGATAGCCTTTTGATCCTTCCCTTTGTACTGTCCACCGTGCAGCTCCGCCCTGACACCCTCCAGCTTTGCGTCAGAGTGACTATCGCTTCCGTTTAGTCGCGTGTAGATGGGATCGATGTGTCGTCCATTCCGCGTGCTGTAGTCACCCGCAATCGGGATGACGGTGCTAATAAAGGGCTCCACGCCCTGTCGGTACTCCCTGTTGATAGCACAGATCCGAGTGCCAGGGTCGCATCGGTTTTGGAGCTCAATTTTGTCATCAATCTTCAAGGCTGCGCAGATGTCGATGGTAAAAGTCGTATTTTGGATGTTTGGAGGATCATGTTCGCGGAAGTATACCTCCTTCGGACCGCCGAGTTTGTCGAAGTGAAAGGATTGCCCGTCAACACGGATGTGTTTGCAATCAAGCGAGACTGCGTTAATGACAGCAGGTAACACCAGTAGGGACGCTGCTGTTCTGGGTAAGTAGACCATTGCGACTTTCTCCCACAGGCTGCCGGATTCAGTGAGATTTGTCGGGTCGGCTCCAGTCAAGTCTTTGGTAACAGAGTAGGAAGAGGAAACAGTCTCCAACGAGCAAGGAAAGTAGATTGCGCCGAGCCTCACGTAAGGACAGTGGACCACTTCCGGCAGGGTGTGACAAGCGAGCCGAGATGTCGCAGAGTTGAAAAATAATGGGTTCCAACCTTGGAAGTTCTTCCGCTCGGACTATTATTAATTAATCCTGGGTCTAGGTAGAGCTCCACAACAATGACGACTGGTTCGCCCATCCCAGCACGCGCCAGTGCCAAGAACCCTCGGGGATGGACATCGCATTCTTTCCTCCCTTCCAAGGTTTCCTCGGATTCCCTGAACAGGATATACTCCTGTACTGGACAAATATCAATGATGAGATACCCCATGAAAGACTCATCTCTTGCATATGAGAAGCAAATTCAAGTACTAACGTGGATGATATTTAGGATGGATGCCTAGTCTGTCCTTCACAGTACATCACTTCTATGAGTTTGCTCTCACCCCCGAAAGCATGCATGACCCCAGACGACGACCAATTGTCCGACGGTGTTGGCATTCGATGCAAAATATATCCACGTGTTTATTAGTCTGGCTATCGCGTCGTACTGTCACACCAATGATTATATGTTACAGTTCTCCGCCATATGCGGATCTTCGCCGCAGTTCGTAGTATATCTCTGTCAATCGTATAGGGTGGATTGACCGCGCCGTACAGGTATTTCCTGTCTCGCATCTCTGCACTACAATGTTCATGAATCATATCTCATCGTAATCGTCGTCATCGAAACCATCGATATCGTTCAGCAGGATATCATCATCCCAAGTATCGGCACTGCGATCCTTCAAGCAACTCAAATTCGTCGCAAGGGGCGTTTTGGTCTTCCGAGGCTTCATCAGCGACCATTGTCTTGCGTTAACGACTCGCGGGACATCGGCTCCGTTCATCCCAAGATCGATGCTTGCTTGAGCTTTCTGATAGGCCTTCAGCTCGCACAACTCACGCCCTGCGACGCTGTAAAGCAGTTTGCCCGGCTTTGTGGTGTCGTGGTGAAATTTGGCCAGTGTCGATGCCTTCAATTTGTCCCAAATGCTAAGGGCGGTTCCCTGACGACGAAGCCACTCCCGGGCGACAGGGTGATCGGGCTGAAGGGGTTGTATCGCATCATAGAGCGAGCGAAGGTGTTTGACACCCTCGACGAAGTCGGCATGGGCTGACTTGCCCGCCAAAGCAGTTTGATAGGCGTCTCGCACACTTTTCAGAGAATTCTTGATGTGTTTGATCTCCTCTTGTATACTGTAGTCGACGTTTCCGGCGTAATCAACCGTCTGTCCGGCCATTTGGTCATGGAAAGTTCCAAGGTGAACGTCGTGGCTCTCCGCTTTGCCCAGGAGCTCTTGCACTGTTGTCACACATCTCTTGTGCATCGGTCCAATAACCTCAAAAATAATTGCGTCGATGATGTTACCTTTTGCAGGAGCCTTAATGGGGTAGTCAGTTCTATCCTCATTCTTAAATTTTCTGTATTCTGGGTCAGGAAGATCCATAGGAATTCCTGTCTTTAACTTCCATTTCTTGAAAGCGTCGTTGGAGTACTCGTAACCTTGCTTGTCTGCGTCGACGAGATAGTCGTGTAGAAAGACGAGGTTTCGAGCTTGGTCGGAATCAATGTTTCCTTGGTCGTAGATCAAATTCTCGTGAAGTAGTGTCACCACTCCCAGCAGGTTGGTCTCCAAGCGCGCCGATGCCATCTGCAGAGCCCAGTTGCACCATTGAGCGTCGGACGTCGGATCAGAGACGTAGTCTGATAGCAATTCCTTCTTCTTCGTGATTCCTAGCTCTTCGTATCCTGGGATCGGATATGGGACCGGGGCGTTCTTGAAAGGATTGACAAGTTTCGGTTCGAAACAGATCCAGAATGTGTCTCCATCGTAATCTCCACCACTCAATTTACTCGCGAGTGGCACAGCGCCCCGCGTCGAAAATACAACAGTATCAGTCAAATGAGCGAGCTCAGGTTTGAAGACACTCCTCACTCGCTGGATATCCCAATTTCCCAGACTTGGGCTTCGTGCGATGAGAATGTCTCGACCGTGAAGCACCTGATAAGACTCGCCACTGACGTCGTCAACAAACCGTTCGGCGAAGACAATGTGCACCTCTCCTGGAAGGAGACAGCCCCTCGGGTCCGGTACTCCTAGCAATGTAGTTGACCGGCCAAGCGAGATTTTGAGGCTTTTCTTTTCAATGTCCATGATCTCTCCAATGGTCTCTTGCAAATCCTGAGCGAGAAATATGTTTTCCGCTGGCTCAAAACCGGCCTCGAGCATCTGAACAACGCGCTCTTCCTTGCGCAAGGGAAACCCAGCCACGTGTCCGATGCCCTGCTCTCGATTCCGAGCTTCAAAAACATCATTCTTTGAGCCCAACCAGGCACGTACAGCTTCCGGACCGTCCTTCACTGCCTGAAGTATGCGATCCACTTTTGCCTGTTCTTGCACTGTTACAACTTCGATGATCGTCTGCCTTTCTACGCCGCGATCGAGAAGGATGGGCAGGTATCCGAAATGCAGGATAGAGCGTCGTGCGGAAGCGTTTGGCCTGACCAAATTGAAGTACAAATAGGCAGGATCGCATGTGAAAAGGGAAGGTAGACGAACTTTGATCTGGCTCTTGTTGATGTGAAGATGAGGACCCAACGGTTTCTTGGAAAGGTCAGCTTGGAAAGGGTCACTGCTTGGTATCCACACCCCTTTCGCTCCGGCGATACGGGCTTGAAACCCGCGCCTGTCGAGGTTACAGCCTGCAACATCAGCTACTTTTGCCGCGAGCCAAGCTGACATGACACAGCATCCATCGTCCATGACCATCTTCGGATCAAATTTTCCACAAAACACATCTCGAAGCTTCGGGTCTTGATGTCTGGTGTCTTCAGGATCTTCGGTTGCCACCTTGTCGGGTACATCATAGGCAATGTCTCCTGGCTCAAGTCTGATGATCGGGGTTGTTCGCGAAGCCGCAAGGTCAATTCGTGAGTAAAGCTTCGCGGCTGGCTGGTGACAATTTGAGTTGTATTCGAGCAACGACTGAAAAATTTCCGTCACTGAGTGATTGTCGATAGCAACGAGCACTAGTCGATGAGTGAAAGAACCTGCGGCCAATTTTTTCTTGACGGCTTGAATGCTCAGCAACTGCCATTTCCGGCTCATGAGATCCCAGGGAGCACGGAACGTGGCACAAAACTGCTCTACCAACCGCCTGCCTTTGTGATGGCCGACCGGGTTGTGCAACGAAGGAATGTCCACATATAAAACACTGTCCCAACCAAACCTTCTTTGCAGGTCACAGCTTCTCTCAAGCATAGGTGGCTGCAGCACCATCTGAAACAGTGGACCAGAAGCGCTTGGTATTGGCTCAAGCTTAGCATTGAGGGTTATTTGCTCAGATTTGCCTGGCTGCTCATCAGAAAATCCAGGCTCGAAGGGAAGCTTCCGGTCATCGGCAAACTCGCGAAGAGTCTCCAGAGTACGGGGTCGCTTCCACTCACGCTGGAGATCATGTACTGTGATTGCGGGTTTCCCCGTCGCTGATTTGATCTGTAGCACGCGCTGCATTTCCCACCTTACAGTGAACGGCAATCTTGAATACTCGGATATCAATGGAAGTTCGAGTCGTACGAATCCAGTGTGGCGCTGTTTCTGACCGTCTGCTGTACTCGCTAGGTGATCGAGCATGAGAAAGTCGTCCGAATCGAGCGAAGATATGAAAAGATCAAGTGTGTGCGAAGAAGGTTTGTCATGATCTGATGGAACAGTGATATCCGGCAAATTTCGCAATCTGGCTCGCATTCTCGCAGAGCTTGATGCAACCCTGGAGACCTCGGATAGACTCGGGATAGGCTCGAATGCGTCATCGTCGTCGCTGCTATTGACCAAGGTGGTCCCTGATTCTGCAGAGCTACTGGGTGCGTTTGACCAAAACGAAGTGTTCACAGTCGTGGCAAAGGAGGTCTCCTTCGAAGGAGATATTGCATTTGTAAGTACTCCAGCATCATGTTTGGCCTGATCCTTTCGAGGCTTGAGGATACCAAAGTTTAATTGTGTCTGTCTCAGGGGTTTCGACGGAGATTGAGTCTTGTCGACCTTGGACTGCGGACTTTGCACGAATGACGACGCTTTAGTGATTCCTGCCTTGTCGCGATTGCACCGCAGCCTTTCGGCAGCTTCCCTGAATGCATCTCGAATGTAAGCTTGCCGAGCGTCTGTCGACTTGTGTTGGGCCAGAGATCGGAAGACCTCGGATTTTGCGGCTTCCAGATCAGAATCAGTTCCAAGGAAGAAGATCTGTTGGTGAAAGAGCTTGATCCAATCAAGTTGAGATCTTGTCTGATCAGGCGACGTTGGCCCAGGTGGTCCAGAGGGAATGGCCGCCTGAGCACAGAACTCTTCCCAATCTGTTCCACATGCACCGAACACGCGACGACCTTTCTTGTTAGTTTCCGGCGGAAGCGCGGGGCCGACCATTTCTGACGCGCGACGCTTGTTCCGCGCCAGCGCCATATAAAATCGGCATTGGGGTATCAAAATTGAGAGTCACAATCACGAATGTCTCGATGGCTGAACAGATGATGGAGCGGCGAAGATGCAAACCGGCTATTTCAAGTAGAAAAGCCATTCTCCTCATCAGCCAGGCTATGCTGTGGTTCTGTAGCTAGCTGGAATGCAGGTACGTCCGTGCGTCGTGCACGTTGCCGGAGATTGTGTTACTGCTCCGAAACTCACTTGATAATGGAAAGTATTCCACTTCTTTAGTAGATTTTCGGCGCAAGCGCAGAAGCAAGAAAATCACGCCTATCACGAAGGGCGCATACAGATCTCGGCCAAGCCTTACTGTTTGCTCAGCTGATCCGCCACCGCCCGGCGGAGCGCGGCAGAACACATGCGTCTCCATGCATTTCGATGCTCGAGGAGGGAGAATTGTGAAAGAAGTCTATTATTTTGGGGTCGTAGCTATCATGATTCGACACATGGCCTGGCTCGAGCTCGCACAGCCTGTTAGTGGAGCCGCCGCAGTTTTCATTCCTGTTGCAAAACTTTGTCCGAGCCTCAATTTAAACCTTCTCTTCCACAAGACCGTGCTTCCAGATGGTAACAAAGGGAGTGACACCATCCTCGCGGTAGTTGAGCAAAATAACCCTACACATGATCAGTTATGTTTGTGTATGAATGAAAATTCGAAGGTACTCACATTCCATCGGGGTTCATGGACTCGCCAATGAGGAATTCGTAGTCCTTAAAGTTGCCAACGATCTTCTTGGCGTAGGCTGAAGCGCCCTTCTCGAACTCCGTGACAGCCTCGTCGCTGGCACCCTTCTTCTTCATGCCCTCCTTGACGGCCTTCATGTAGCCCTTGAGGTGAACCAAGTAGCTCTTCTTGTCGAATTGAGTCTCGTTCAATCGGAAAGAGTGAACGACGTCGAGCACGGTCTGGGCGCCATCGTCGACATCATCACCACCCTCTTCGGCGGAAGCGTTGGCACCAATGTCAATGTCACCAACACCGACGGTGATCTTCTTGCAGTCGGCTTCGTACACGGCACCGTCGATCTCCTTGAGGTCGTATGAGTCCGAGATCAACTCGTCGCCAGTGATGATGTCCTATTACATAATGAGTGTCGAACTTGATTAAGAAATACTGAGCCGTGTTGCTCCGATCAATGCGATTCTCACCTTGTAGATAATCATATTGCCGGTAGCGTGGCCTTTGCAGATTTGTAAGAGGTAGAAAAAATAATGGAGAACGGCGCGAAAAAAAGAGACGAGCCTCTAATAATAATGTCACAACTCTGCAAGGGTTCATAGTGGGGTCAGTCGCCTCGTCTTTCTCCCCTCCACGCTCGACGCCCGCTGTACCGTGTGTGTGTACCAAAAAGTGTACAGGATTCAGGACAACCTTGGAAATTCAATGCGCTTCAGGGCTCCCCACGATAGCAGTCATTCGTCGCACGCGACTCTCGCAGCTCAGACAATCGGACGCTGTGCAAAGAGCCGATTGTATCTATTTGATGTTTTTTCAAATTATTATCGGTGCATTTCATCCTTCTTGGCTGCGATCTTTACTTTGGTGCACACAGTGGTAATCATGAGCGGCCGTCCAGCACTCCGGGCCCCGCCCCGACCTGGATCGGGCTGATTAGTCAGTGCTGAGCGGGCGCGCCCGTGCATTCAATCTCGCACTGACTCGCGCATGCGCAGTCTTGGCGCGCGAACACCAATATTCTGCAAATTTCGAGCCAGGCCATCAACGATCATTCTCGTGTCGAAATCATCCTCCCTTCGCTACATATTCAATTTGAGGTATGTTGGTACTCCTAGAAATCGTGTCCTTCATGCAGCCATGGTTTGCGCTCATCATTCAATGCAACGATGATACCGCAACGCCTCGTCTAGCGAGCTGAAGAACCCTTTCTGGTCCTGCGAACCACAGGGCACTCTTTATGCTCAAATGGCGCTGGAGGCTAACATGCAGAATACAGACACCTCAAGCCGCCCGTAGCGCCCTGAGAATCTCCAATTTTTTTTCAAAATGAAGACCTCTGTTCTCAACGATGCGCTTAACGCCATCAACAACGCCGAGAAGACCGGAAAGCGCCAGGTCCTGATCCGACCGAGCTCCAAAGTCATCGTCAAATTCCTTGGTGTCATGCAAAAGCACGGTAAGTCGCATCGCTTTCAACAGTCTTCATAGTCTGTTTCTTCGCGAAAAAGGAGGACAATGAAAGGACGGACACAAGGACAAGAACCCGGGTTGATAACTAGGCAATGGTCTCAATATCCCACGACCAACGCCCTTTAAGTTCTCGGAAGAATGAGCATAGCGAAGATCTTACACGTCTTTGGATGACGACTGAAAAAACACGTTTAATCATTCGCAACATCTCTGACATGAGTGCACAGGCTACATTGGCGAATTCGAGGAGGTCGATGACCACCGCAACGGAAAGATTGTGATTCAGCTCAACGGCCGGTATGCACCACGGACTGTCCTTACTTCATTTTCAAGGTACTGACCCATGCGCAGCCTCAACAAGACTGGTGTCATCAGCCCTCGTTACAACGTCCAGCTCCGCGACCTCGAGAAGTGGGTCGTCAAGCTCCTTCCCGCTCGTCAATTCGGTCACATCGTCCTCACCACCTCCGCTGGTATTATGGACCACGAGGAGGCCCGAAGAAAGCACGTCGCTGGCAAGGTCATTGGTTTCTTTTATTGATTGCGCTCAGATGCTACGAGTTCCATGGTTGCACGAGGATTATAACAAGGGCATAGCGCGGCGCTGTAGCTGTTTGCAATAAAATTATTGAACACCAAAACTCGACTGCGCCTGTGGTTGATGATGACTATGAAACGATAAAATGGCACCGCGCTCTCACTGGTTGCCTGACCTGTGTCCATCCTTTCTTCCCTGCGATCAAAATCGCCGAACGTGCGAAGCACTTTCAGACCAGTGGTCCAAGTCGCTTCAATTGACTGCAATGTCGTTCTGAGCCTTGGTCTATTCAAAATGATACCGAAGCGCCTATTCGACCGAGGTGCAATAATGGTATTGGTCGATGATGGTCATGTCTCAGCCGAGCTTGCAGTGGCTCACTAGCTTTGAGGCTAATCTTTGCCTCATCACTTAATTCCAACCATGACGTGCTTTGAACTTGACATGATCGTTCTGCTCAGCCATCTCAGTAATCATGGTTGTCCTGCCTGTGGAATATTCGTCCGAAGCATTTGCGGCGTGCAACATGCAAGAGCAGTCGCTTCTGTTCTCTATAGTGCCGCGAGAAGTTCGACACGAGATTTTTCGATTGGTATCTTTGAATTGAAAGTCTTACTGAAATACAATAACTGATACCAACAGGTATGCATGCCTTACGAAGATCCGGCTTGTCCTTATAAAACTACCGACTATTACTATCGTCCGGGACACAATGCGAGAAACAAAAGCTGCACGAGTTTACTCTACACTTGTCGAAGGGCATGGATTGAGGCGAATCACCTCCCTTTGCAACTTGCAGAACCTACATTCTGGATGCGAAATGAGGAGAGGCAACCAGAGTGGACGCGAAGGAATAGATCTGACGAAAAGGATGATGGCCTGCGCGACGAAAAGCGGTTCCTCAAACTTATGAATCGTCTGACCGTGAACAATCGCGTGAACTTGAAAGGCATTCATATATTCGCACAGGTGTTCTGGTTGGAGCAAGACATGTGGGCCAACATGGTGTTTGATGGTGCTGAGATGGATCATACGAGCTTTGCTTGGCCTTCGGAGGTCAAGATGACAATAAGGCACACAGATTGGTGGTGTTGGGAGCGTAATCGCCCATTGTCAATTCAAGACGACTGCATCCGTCGGCTGCTTGACAGACCTGCATTGAAGAGCGCCGAGCACTTCATTCTAGACCTTGAGACGCTGCGCAGCTCGCGCGAGAAGGTTGACCAGCTCGAGAACATCATCAGACGTATAAAGACGAAGCAAAAGATGATAGGCGATTGGGTGATTGACGACGATAGCGGGCTGGAAATTTCCCAATGGACCCGCCCTGGCAACATCGACGGAAAGCCAGTGCCTGCGCATACTCACTTGACACAGTTGGATTACTGCATATATCGGGTGCGATGGGAAAATATGGGTCCAGCCAGAAAGACGGCTTGACGATGCCTCAAGTTCGTAAAGTACTCGCGGCGAGGCATGATTCGGGCCGACTATGTGTGTATGATACGGAGGACCCATCGGTCCTTATATGCGGCGACAATGTTCGCGAAGAGAGGGTCGTGGTGGATAGATGAGGTGTTCGGCTCAAGCTTCCATTAAAACTAGGCATAATCATCCGCTTCGAAGCGCTAAAGTGAAATTCATGGTCGTTGTTCCGTCTGTCAAGTCTTGTGCTGAGCAAACTCTGATACATGCAGCAACGTTCTCCTTGTTTTGAAAGTCAGATGGACTTTGACCAACCAGTGGGCCAAGAGCAATCGATGGTGAGAAGCATCGGGACAAGCACAAATAGAAGCTGTCTCAGTGAGCCCCCGTGAGCATCAGTATCATCATATGATAGTTGGGAATTGACAAAGCATTTCGAGTTGTCAGTGCTTGAGCGTCCTGTTTGCCCAGAGGCACCAATGGTGACCAAATAAATGCTTACATAACCAAGAATAGACTTCAAAGGTTTGCGCCAGCGGGATCCCCGGGATCCCCACACGCGACAAGCCCCAAGACCTAACAACCTGACGCCTTTCGATCTGCAGGTCGACTCCGCCGTCACATCATTGCCGAACTACACATCATTCCACAACTACGTTCACAACACACACGCCCATAACTTGCAAGGTGCATATCCTGCTCTTCAACCCTTTAATTGACTGCGGAGATCTGCGCACCTTCGGTCACTTTCGCCGAACCGCCGCGCTCACCTCGAGCGGAATCCACGTTGTGCATAGCCCTGCGCGTCATCTAGCAGGGCACCGGTTGATCCGTCGTACAGGGGGAAGAAAGATACGGTCATTCACAGCAAAATTGTATCAGGCATGTCAATCTAGGCTCTCGGCACAGCTGGGTTCTTGTACGCCGCGCACGACCGCCTACGAAGGTTGCTGAAATGGCTGCGGCCGCGGCGGCTCGACCTGTGCAGGTCGCACGTAATCGTCGCGATGGTGTGCCACGTACCGGAGGTGTCAAAGGAGGCACTGCAAACTCAGAAAAGACCAATGGACATGGATCGGCTTCGATGGGCCAAGGGCAGCCCAGTAATAAGAGAAGGAAGCTTACTGTTGAGCCCCATGTTCGCACGCAGGATTACATCTTGAATAAATACAAGGGCAAGCCAGTCTCGATGACTGTCCATCTGCATCAGACATATTTCCGCTTTGAAAACCAGGAGGGCAGTTGGGCATACGACTCGCCCATGCGATTCGTTGTTCAGCACTTGCGCCAGCAGACAATACCTCATGGCCTCATGGAAGAGCTTCTGGACGCGCGCGTGCCTTTCTATGATGGTTGTCTCATTGTAGAGGTCCACAACCACAGACAATTTAATGGCAAGGACAAAGCAAGGCCAGATTCGGCTATTGGGAACGACCAGACCAAGTTCTCCATGAACAACTTCACGAACTATATCACTCCATCCCCTTTCGCGCCATACCCACAAGCAGCCAAAGTCGAGGATGCCACGAATAAACCCGCGACCCAAGAAGCGACAAAATCGGAACAGCGCAAAGGAAGCAAAGAGCAGAGCGGTCCTCACGTCTCGACGATAGTCCTACACCCGACCACACTATCCAGGCATAAAGAAATCGAGCTTGCCGCGAGGACACGCGCCGTCGATCTCTTGGGATCGAGCGCGGAGCAATCTACGCCATCGAATGCCGTGACTTCGGGAGCATCGCGTACATCCCCTGCTGCCGGCAATAGAATGATTGTGGACGCACAGAACGCATACGAATTCGAAGCAAAACTGCTCTTATACACTGAGCCTCCCTTGTTTCTGGAGCCTGTGAGCCATCCCGAGCAAGCACAGAAAGTATTGGATCTTCTTTCGAACCCCTTGCATGACAACAAACCGCCTTCGCCGAAGGTCCGGAAGAGAACTACCGCGCAGATGGCCGCGGACGATGCGCAAGCAGCAGAGGCTGAGCGCAGAATGCTCATGATGGACGAACGTATCAAACCTTCGGTAGGAGCTGGCGCTACTACCAGTGAGAGTCAGGGCGCTGCCGCATCACTCGGAATCTCACGATTCAAAACCATACAGATGGCAAAGGAGAAGATCGCAGAGCAGGAAACGCTCAAGAAAGCCGAGGAAGCGCAAGCAGCCGCTAAACGACGGCAACAAGAAGAAGCTCACGCAGAGAACCTACAACGACAACAGCAGCAAAAAGAAGAAGAGGAGCGACGCCGACAAACTCTTATGCAGAGGACAGCCGATGCGCGCGTTCAGAAGGCAGCGCAGCAAGCACATGCTCTTGCAGCTAGTCAGGCCAAGCAAGCCCAGGCCCAGGTCATGGCGGCGCAGCAACAACAGCAAGCCCAGATGAATCATGCTCTCGCAGCACAAACAGCTCAAAACAATCTGCTTGCTCAACATCAAAGCAATCTTCAACATGGTATGGTCGCTCAGAACAGCCCGATCGTCAGGCAGCAAACACCCATGGTCAATTCATCTCCAATGATGCCGCAGGGCTTCCCCGCGAGTGCTGCGAGTCAAGCCGCAGGTAGTCCACCGAGGCCTGCGTCAGCAACAATGCCGCATCCCATGGTACGCCAGGCTAGCCAGCAGCAAGTCGCTAGTCGACACGGCACGCCACCGGTCCCTCAAGGCACTCCAAGCATGCAAGCTCAGACAATGGCAAACCGAGCCGTATCCCAGACACCGCGCGCGACACAAGCAAGTCCAGTACCTGGAACGCCCGTTGTGCCCGGTGCTGCCATGCCGAACATAATAGCCGCAAATCGCTTCACGCCAGAACAGTTGCTCATGATGCAGCATCAAAAGCAGAGCATGATTAACCGTGGAAACGTGGGTCCGGGAACTCCAGGCCTTGAGCAGAGTCCCATGACCCCACAGCAAATTCAGATGGTCATGAATCGCAATCTCCAGAATCAGCAGATGCTGATAGCGCAAGCTAATGACCCCAGTAATCCACAAGCTCAAAATCAAGCACGCATGATTCTCAGTCGTCATATGCAGCAGCGGGCCACGTTGAACGCGCAGAGATTGCAGGCTGCCAACCCCAATGCCGGGCTTCAAGGAGCACAACAAGTGGCTCAGGCTCAAGCTCTCGCACAAGCGCAGGCGCAGGCGCAGGCGCAGGCGAGTGGTATGAATGAGCAGCTGCGGCAGCAACAGTTGCAACAGGGACAGCGCGAAGTCCAACAACTGGTCCAGCAATTCGGAAACATATCTCAAATACCTCAGCAAATGCTCAGTCAACATGCTAAGTTTTTCCTGGTGCAAAGGCAGCAGGCTCAACGAAGTCAAATGTTGGCTAGACAGGCACAACACGCGCAAAGCACCGGTCAGACTGTGGCCGGTGGCGCAGGAGGAAATCCGGAGTACATGCAGCAGCTACAGCAGCAGGCCATGCTACTTCAGCAACAACAACACGCCCAGCAGCAGCAGCTACAGCAGCAGCAACAACAGCAGAGCGGTACGAACCCTGTAGCGAGCGCACAGATTCAAGGCATGGCAATGGGAATGGGCAACATGGGAATGATGGGCATGAACAACATGCAGCAGCAATTCGGCACTGCCGGGCAACAACAACACGACTTCACCCAGCAATTTGCGGCAATGCAAAATGCCCTGAACCAATCGAATCGGCAGCAGAACGGCATGCAGTAGAATGGCGATGCCTCTCCCAGCCAGCGCTCCTCGTCGAGCATTTCGAGAACGTTGGCGCCATTCGCCTCGCCCGCGCTCCTTTCTTCGGACAGTTGGATCGATGTCTCGATGCCGAGAAGGTCTCGTACACCTCATTCCATCGGAAGCAGTTTTGGACGACTTGAAGACACTCGTGATGAGAACGGGCAGAACGATGAATTCAACAGTGATCGGGAGCATAATCCACAGTGGCCATACTAAACTGGTCGCAAAATTTCATTCCAAACGCGCACACGCTCTTTTCACGGGTGGGACGACTCATGCTCTGCCTGCTTATCCTAGCTGCAAGCAGACACAAGCAGAGTCTCCAGCGTATTTTTCTGTCGACTGACATTCACTTCAGTTATGGCGGTATTTTTTGGAGCACGTTTCGTTACCCCAGCAGCGATGTATTTGCTACACTTGTGCAATAATGTAAGATGAGAATCGAGAGAATGATCATGTGTAAGCATTTCGATGTCACAACCGTACGACAGTAATGCAAGTTTCAGTCGTCATATCTTGATGTTGTCGCACATAGCTGCCTCATCATTAAGCTGTCTGCAACTACTTATCGTCGAGGTCTCGGTTTGCCCTTTGCTCCCGGCCTTGCTCCCGGCCTTGCTCCCGGCCTTGCTCCCGGCCTCGCTGTTGGCTTTCCCTTGCCTCCCTTTCCAGGCTTAACGATCTTTCCACCACTTAACCTCTCCGACTTGCCCTTCTTCCACTCTCTGCCCGCTTTGCGCTCATCTGTTGCTTCCAACTTCTTCCTTTCCTTATTACTCAATTTTTTCTTCTTATCGCCTTTGGGTTTCCCATCGGCATCGCCCGACGCCGGACCGTTGAGAGCAACACCACCCTTCTCCCGCGCGGCGAGTTTGTCCTTTTGGCCCTCGAACCATGTCTTCTTGGGTCGAGCTTTGATTTCGTCCTCGTACTTGACGATGTTGTCCGCGCGGTTGAGATCGCGGTCGACTTGTTGGAGGACACGCTCTTCTTTCTCCTCGCGGAGAACGGCTTCGACTTCGGACTCGAGGTCTTCGAGACGAGTGTGCCAAGAGTCAATCTCGCCGCCGTCGATGGTGCGTTGCCGGATTTGGGCGCCTTGAGCTTTGCCGGTCTTGACGGCGGCTTTGACGACTTTGCGGTCTGGCTCGGCGGCGAGAGTGCATGAGCGACCCGTTCGTCCGGCACGGGCGGTACGTCCGACACGATGGAGATAGATTTCGTGGGTTTGAGGTGCTTCGTAGTTGATGACTGTCTCGATACCCTTGATATCTAAACCACGCGAGGCGAGATCTGTGGCGAGGAGGAAAGAGGCCGTTCCTGTGCGGAAGGCTTCGATGGCATTGATACGTTGCTCTTGTGACATGCTTCCGTGTAGTTCGGCAGCTTTGAGGCCGCACAGGGCGAAGATTACACGAACGCGATGTGCTTCTTTCTTCTGTCGGAAGAAAATGATCGCGCGATCCGTGTAAATCTTTTCGCACAGATGCATGAGGTAGGCAAGACGTTTCTGCTCGCGTCCAGGTCGCAGGCGCACGAATTCTTGCACCAAACCGGATACAGTCTGCCGTTGCGCGTCGACCAGGAGCCTGACGGGTCTTTGCAGACCAACTCGAATGAGGTCGTCAACTTTTGAAGTCATGGTGGCAGAGAAGAGCATAGTTTGCCGGCTTTTAGGGATCTTAGAGAGGATCTCGTTCAGCTCGTCTGCGAAACCCTCCTCAAGCATGCGATCGGCTTCGTCCAGTACCAGAATCTCAATGGTGTTGACCACGAAGGATGCGGAGTTACGTTCCAAATCGATGAAACGACCGGGTGTTGCAATGACGATGTCGGGTCGCAACTTCAATTGCTTCTCCTGCTCGCGAGAGTTGAGACCACCGATTGCTTGTCCAAACGTGATGTCTGTGAAGCTGGCCAGTTTCTTCGCCACATTGAAACACTGAAGAGCCAATTCACGAGTGGGCATGAGGATGACAACGCGGGTGGTCGCTGTTCGCTTAGGACGGAACAAGAGACGCTCCAGGATCGGAATGAGGAAAGCGCCAGTCTTTCCTGAACCGGTCACAGCACCTCCGACGAGATCTTTGCCCTCGAGCGCGACAGGAATTGTCTTTGCTTGAATTGGTGTTGGTTTGTCGAAGCCCACCGCAGCGAGACCTTTGAGGATAGGACGAGACAGATGCATGGCATGAAACGCTGTCGATATGCTTTGTTTGGCGCCGGTGTCTGCTTCGAAGAAAGCATTGCGCTTTTCTGTCTCAATTGCGTCCTCTCCATCCTCATCCGAACCTGCATCTGAAGCCACATCATCCGGGTGAGCAACAGGTCGTGCCACGACATTCTCTTCTTCTTCCTCATCGCCCGCGTCGTCCTCCTCCTCTTGATCGTCATCGACATCTTCGTCCTCCTCCTCGTCTTCGTCTCCTTCAAGCTGCTCGTCCTCACTGAGGTCTACGTCATCCTCGTCGAGGTCGGCATCCTCTTCGGAGTCTTCTGAATCCTCTGATTCTGCCTGCTGCTTCTTTTCATTCGCTCCATTTTTCGCCCGTCGACGGGCAATGATCGATTCAATGTCCGCGCCGGTGCTCGTGGCCGCTGCACCATCGTTCAGGGCCCAGTTGTCCAGATCTTCCGTGATCCCTGCTTGGTCCTCTAGTCCGAATTCAAATTCCGAGTCGAGATCCTCATCTTTGTCTTCCTTTTGCTTCTTGATAGGAATAGCTGGCTCTTTCGTTTCGCGCTTTCGCTTCTTATCTTGTGCCTTTGCTGAGGTTGAAGGAGGCGGTGACTCGGGCGCATCCTCGAATTCCTCGTCGGAGACGTCGTCGTCAGAGAGCGTATGAATAAGGTCGTCGTCTTGCGCCATTTTTTCTATGCCGAGAGATAAGTTGTTACTGTAGCCAAAAGATCCATGCATCAATCTTTCAGGAAACAAGCTCGAGCTTTTCGAAATTTTGCTGTCTCCGGTACTACTGTAAAGTCCGGGGAATTTTCATGGTGTTCGGAGGTCATCTTTTTCTGCCGCCCGCAAGCATTCGATAATACGCAGCTCTGGGCGGTGTAGGCGCAAGCCACTCATGAGTAAGCCCGAGGCCGGGTGCCGAGTAAGCGTCTGCTCTCATTAAAGCCCCCCCCCCGGCCCCGCGGGCACTGCTTCACAAACCACGATCGTGTGGTGAAAATAATCGCTCACTTCGTTCAAGAGCAGACGAATCACTTGACAGGCAAAGACTTGTCTGATGTGAGGATGTCAAACCCATCATACATGTGGGTTTACGAACAGGCAAAGCCCAACGTTGGACGTCGTCTCTTCGACCGCTCAGGCAAGACGTTAGAACATCAGGCATTTTTGGCCAAATTTCGATTGTTTAATGAATATAGCATGGACGCATCTGCATTGAGAATCCTTGCAGGTTCGAGTTCGTCATCGGCGGTCATCATCAGCATCGTGCGCCCGGACAGATAAATGACGTGGAATAGTAGCACTCTGCATGTTTTCCTCCCTTCCAAGGTCCCCTGCGGTGCCGACGTATGTGGCATAGCTATCCCCGATAGATATCCCATAAATAACGCAACCCATTGCTCGCGTGCTCACCTGCCTCTTTTTCGCCATCTTTTCTTTCCCTGGAGTTCTTCCCGGCCTTTGCAATGGTGATAATACAAGATGCTCGGCATCTGCTACCACCATGATATCTTCTCGTTCCACAACATGTGCTCGCTTTAAGGCAGAGAGGGTTCGATTGAGTCTTCCAGCCCTGGAACCTTCGCGATGGCTACACGAAAAGACCATGAAGCGTAGCAAGTCTTATTTACAGGTTCATCGATGTCCACAAGATAAGTCGTTCATTTTGATTCTCTACAAACAACTCCTGTTCTCCAATTTCGTAAGCTCCTTCATCCAAAATGCTAGGATACGCTTATACCAAGTTTTCGGCCAATGAGTAGCAATGAAAGGAAGAACAGCTGCTTCGTGAGCCAAATTGTCACGCCATAATAATCCAAACGAAACGATGATTGCCAAAAACAAACTAAATGCGCAATCTCCTCGAAGATAAATGACTCGAATCTTCAAAATGCTCGGGAAGTTTTCGACGAAGTTCAATGCTCAAATCAGAGCGGGACGTGCTTGATTTTGGAGTGCATGTCCTCTGGAAGCTCCTCAGCCTTCACAAGCCCCATCTGCAGCGCGTCTCCCCAGAAGAACATGCATCGGTGCTGTGCATAACCGAGATAGTCAAACTCCTCTTCTTGCGCTTCTTCTTTCTCCTTGCTGGCTACGGCCGACGATGCCTCTGCAGCAACAAGGGTCTTGTACTCATCCGCACGCTCGGCGAGTCCCTCATGGGCGGATTCTTCGATGGTGTCGGTGATGGCTGCGGATGGGGTTTTCACATCAGACGCGAACTCCGGAAGACCTGGAATTTTAGCCTGCACGACCGCCCAGGCGATCCATTGCGCTGTGTTGGCAAGACGCCACATTCGGGTCTCGTCGACGAGCCGGGCGACTTGTGCATCTTCGTCCGCCTTGGCTGCTGCGTCGATGTCGCGTGTCACCACATTGCCCGAGTTGCTGCGTGGCATCCTAGCGTCAAGCATGAACTCAGACAGCCGATTCGACGACGGCTTGCGATGCGCGTCATTGGAGGCATCCATCGGTGCCATCTTGGGCGTATCATAATTGTACTGTGGCCGATGGCGCACATACGAGCGGAGGAACCGTTCTTGGTCCTCTGGGCTCGGATACTTATTCGCGTTGCAGGCATACGGCTTGCGCTTGTCGTGGTAGTTGTAGCACCACTCGGTGAAGTGGTTGGCAAACTCCAGTCCACGCGTGTTCGCACTCGAATATTCGAAATCAATCACAACAAGCTGCTTGTGGGTATTGGCAGGCAAGAGCAGTGGCGATTGGCTGGTGGGTGTCAAGCGGAGGATGTTGCCATATTGTGTGTCGTTGTGAGCGAAGACGAGTTGCTCACGCAGCTTCCGCGAAGTACGATATTGCTCGTTGAGCCAGGTACGATACTTTTCGACCACGGCACGGAATTGTGCCCATGGCACACCCAAGATGTACCCACGTCGCAGCCACGACTTAGAACCGGTCGGCTTCACGCCAGGCTCCAATTGCTCGAACTCCCTGTCCATCCATGTCACAATCTGCTCTACTCTCGCAAGCCATTTGTCCCAATTACGCCAGACGAACGGGCCTTCATCACGCTCCGAATCTAACAGATCCATACCATCGTGCAACTCTCGCATTCGCTTTGCAATCTGTCTGCTGGTCTCTGAGTTGCGCAGATCCTCTGGCGTCAAAGGCTGAGCATGGAAAAATTCCTCAAAACGTCCGTTGGCGAAAGTGCCAAGCATGCGTGGTCCGATATGCTTGCGTGCCAGTCGGCGCAGGATCGCAAGCTCGGCCTCTCGGTCGATGAGATGCTCGACTTGCGGTCCGTAGATACGTAGTAAGAGCTTTGGCGTCGGTTTGACATGCACAAAGTTTCCCGAGGCATCCTCTTTGCCAGCGGGCAGATTTTCTGGCGGCGAGACAACATACACAGCATTGGTCAAAGCACCACTGAGACGCTGCACGTTGATTTCGTCGCTCATCTCCATCGGCACTCGACGCCAACCTTTCAATCGCAATGTATGTGCGAGACGGACAATTTCATACTTGAAACTGGACCAAGCATCCTGGTCTCGGAATGACACCGCGCGTGACTGTTCATCAGAGCTGCTCTCACCCGAAGAATCTGAAGCACCGCCCGTGTACGCAAGGGTTTTGGAGTTGTCGAGCACAGCATCGCAGGATGGCACGTGGAAATCGCCGTCTGCATGATCTGTGTCGGAAGAGAATCCCGACGGCTTTCGTCGAAGTTTACGAATAGACGATTTGCGTCGCACATCGATAGAACCCGGACGGAAGGGATATTTACTAGCCACTAGGTTCTGTGTCACAATGCTTTCGAGTTTATCGAGGTCAAAGTCAAAGCCCGCTCGAGCATTTTCTTTGTCTTTGCTGCCATCGAGGCTGTTGTCGGGTAGAGACTGAGGTGTAGCTGGGGCTTCACCCGGCTGCGGTTGCTCTTGTGCGAGCTTGTTGCGCTTGTTGCGCTCCTCTTTGATCCAGGCTGAGATCTGATCAACCAAAAGCGTCAAAGTCTCGACTTGTTCGTGATCCTCCATGGGAGGCTCCTTTGCGTCCGGGAGTGTAAACCCTCCGAACATAGGTGTCATGGGTTTAATAGAAGGGCTAGGTTGGACCGATGAGCGACCTGACATGCGCCTCGTTCGGGGACTCTTGACGTTGGGTCTCCCGCTCCACAGCGCAATTTCTTCGACACTCTTCTGGCGTCCAAGCATCAAAGGTGAGATGGTGTCTGCCAAAGGCGCGATCGACACAGCTGTAGAGACGATCAGTAAGTTGTTGTAACGTCCGAGATGGTGATTTGGTGCAAGCTCGAAATGTCCAAGATGAGATGATGTGCCTGTTCACGTCTACCGGACATCCATCAAGGCGACGACAGTATGAGGGTGGGATGATGTCATGAATTTTTCGATGCTGCGAACGCTTCAAGGAAGCAGGTGCGTCGACCCACAAATTGTTGCGACTGGCGATCTCAGGCGGATGAAGGGGACAAAGAGCAGGATGCAGGGAAATTTACGTACACTTCGGGTCGGAACGCGGTGACAGCGAGGCATGATTCAGGCCAAGGAACGAACTCGGCGATGCCGGGTTCTCGATGGATTCTGGTTTCGGCGGCGCCAACGGCTCATTTGGTAACATGACCGCCGGTGCGTTAGGCGGCTGTTCTGCCATGTGTTTCTTCTGAGGTTTGTGAAGCGGTAAAGCGGTGTACAGCCAGGCAGGAAACAGGACTTTACTCCGGAGCAGGTGGCATCAAGGTTGGCGACGATATCGAAGAAGTGGCAGCCGTGGTTCCTCTATCTTCCGCTAGGGGACAATGGCGAAGAAGCGTTTATTGTAACAATTGCGGGTGTGACGATGCGGGAAAGTTGGCAGTCGGTCAGGAACTAGCGTCGTCTTTATATACAATTGAGAAACCGCCCAATCTTGGTCCTTATGGTGCTCGTATCGCAATTCTGTGGGAGGTGTATGCAGGTTGAAAGGCTATAATGTATTTGATGTTGCAGAAATGTGCTGGATCGGCGGCAAAGGATGGGGGGAAACAGGTGTTTAGTGGTGTTTGGTGGTGGAAACGGTAAAAGGTGGAGGAGAAAATCCCACCTTTTTGCAGGAGACGTGGACGGACAGCCTGACGTTACGTTGTCGTTGACGATGATGATGAAAAGATCTTATGGGGCACATGCGCAGTTGCCCAAAGTCGCAATTGCTCGCGTGAGAGTTTCATTGCGTGCGTGTACAAGTACGCGGGAGATAACGAGACGACTGACGATACGCGATGTATCTGTGCATCCGTTCCACAGCAGTACCGATAAGCTTTCGGACGAGATGCTGCAACGAACAATGATCAGAGCAGTGTGCCGACTCTCTTGTGCTTCCGTATCCATCAATCAACTCTGAACAACATCCACCATGCTGTGACAGCCATGTCTACCACCGGAATTCGATCAATTCTCCTCCAATCGCGACATTTCGTCAAGCGGCAGACATGGACTATAAGACTGTAGATCTCTCCTCACATCCGCCCACGCTACGATCTGTCGAGTATCTGCAATATGCAGACCCTTGCACAAACATACATTGTAGTCTCGTCAGCTGGACGTATCAGGCCAACCCGCTTATCGTGGTCGACAAGATTTAAGCCATGGTTGTCGGGTACCTGATGGGTGATCGGCAATCATGCAGATTTGTAGAAATTTTAGGTGGTCGGAATTGCCTTTGTTCTTCCGAACATCAGGGACCGATGGCCATCAGCAGGCTTCCAGGTATCGCGAGGCCCAGAGTCACCTGGCGATGGTTACATTCATACTTCGCATGCCGCATGTTTGAGGTCATCCACACGAAATCACAGTAGCGGGCTTCCATGGCGACTTGGCCTTCTATGTTCAGTAGGTGTCGAGACGCGTTCAGCGAATACTGAATGCATCACTGGCGACTGTCAACTGCTGGATCTTTCTTGCGAGGGTAGACTTTGAAGAGTCTCGCTCACTACCGCGGCATAACCAAGAAAGTCGGTCGAACAGCAATTGGAACACTGCAGGCGGCAAGAGAAAATGCGGGATGAGGCGGGATGTAGTGGGCGTCCACGCAAGCAAACTGCAGAAAACTTCCGAGGGTTCATGCAGGTCAACACGAACGACGGGCGGAAGAAATTTATGACCATGCCTACCTATATCGTGTGAAAATACCATGCTGATGCATATGCACCACCCACACATCGGGGACCAGTCCGTGACATGCATTTGATGCTGCGCCGTGTAGCCATTCATGCGATTCGAGATGGTAATCAGAGTGTGGGAGCGTGGAACACAATTGCGACATCGTCACTCCCTCGCCCACATATGACTGTGCATAACACATCTGGGGTCACTCGAGCCGACGCTCGAAGGTCATCATGGTCCATGGAGAACATTTGCAACATTCGCACACGAATGCGATGCACAAATGAAAGAGAAGGAAGGCCCACTGTCTCTATGCGGCATCCCACGATCTGGGTACCCCAAGCAAGGTTCATTGACGGACCATCGCGTCTACGGAGATCATGGTGGAACCAAAGTTCTTTATTCCTTCTCGACTTAAAACGCCTACATAATATTAAGCATAAGAAAAAGAACCCACAAAATCAAGAACAATCCCTCCCATTATCATGTCCACCAATGGCGAGAGACCAAGGTTATACCAGCATCCCTCTCCGTCCCAAACTTGTCAATCCTTCTCATACATAGAGGTGATCTCCTCGGCCATCTCTACCTTTGCGGGCGATAAAGATCTAACGATACTTGTTCCAGCCCAAACATAAGACAACAAATCTTCACAAAAGAAAAATATCCCCTCTCTTGACGCGCCAAGCACTGGCCATCGTCGAGGTGCAACCAGGCACATCTCGACAGGCGCACAGCCTTGATTGCGCGCTGTTGAGCTGCATAGAGATACAGCCGCGTGTGCTGCAACGATTGCCGTGAACGAGTGTCGCGTTGGTCACGCCCTCGGAGCGGGCATCGGAACACATGCTCCCTCGGCCTTCCAGTGCGGGTCCTTCTCCATGTTTTTGATCAAGCGGTGCGCCAATTTGGGTTCGTAAGAATCGATGATGCACTGCTTTAGGAAAGGCCAGGCGCAGGGTGGGTTGCGCTTGCCCTTGGCGGCGCCGGCGAGGTGCGTCTTGAAGTGTTGGTTTGCGTTGTCCGAGCGCGAAATGCGCTGCGAGCAATCTGGTAGCGGACAAGGAAATTGGCGCTGGTCGATTGGCAAATGCATTGTGGCATGCCGATTAAGATGCTCGAGACGTTCAAAAGATTTTGAACAACGCCGCCCTTGCTCATCGATCTGATGGCATCTGTGCTGCGCGCTGTTCCGCGTGCAAACACGGTTGAGTGCGTGAGGGCGTGCGTGGCTGTGCTCCATAGGGAGGAACGCGAACTGGTTGCCTTCGGTGGTCAACATGTCTTCCTGCGCGATGTATGCAAGAGTTGTATGGCTGGCTTGTGGCAGCGATCTGGCTGATCGCTGCTTGGTAGTTCCACGACCAGATCGGCGCGTGACGCGATCTGGAGACCTGGCTGGGCCGGGTGATGAAGCGCTCAACTCCTCTTGCTTGACATGCTCGTTCTTGACGACAGGGCTGCAGTCTGCGAGGTCTGAGCTAGGACGCCCGTGGTAAGCCCACGATCCGTCACCAACGGCGGTCCCTGGTGCCACAGCGCCAAGCTCGTGTGCTTGGGGCAGCGCATAGGTATAATGGCCGTCCCAAGGGGCTACATACTGCTGCTGCTGACTGTAGTGAGCAGAAACCACCTCCTGAGGTATCTGGTGGTACGGCTGGTATGTCAAGGACAGGTTGATGGCTAAGCCCTCTTGCGATACTTGTGCGCCATTGGAGTGACTGCTAAATGAGCTGGCAGGCGTAGGTGTTGGCAGGTTATCATCGAAGCGATCCGCCGACGCGTAAACAAATGTGGATCTCAAGCTTGGGTCCAAGTTGAAATGGTTGCCAGCTTCTTGCTGAACATTCCACTGCCCATTTGCTTGATGATGGAGTTGGATAGCCGGGTCAAGAGTTCCTGTTGGGTAGACAACATTGCTGACTTGAGCGCAGTCGCTGAACGCGTTACCATCACCAAGAAGAGGGTATGCGACACGTGCCTGAGTAACAGGCTCTTGGCTCAAGTGACGAGCACAGGACTGAGGACTTTCATCAAACATGTCGTCTGGGGTCGAAGGCATAGAGAAGGCGAATGATGAGGCAACCGAATGACCAGCATCCGATGCTTGCGATGAAAAAGTTGTGGATGAATGCCTTCTGAGTTCTGAGTTCGGGGGAGGCGTGATGCATCCCAGATGGTTGTAGGTGTCGTAGGCAGGTGCCTGCGACGCAAAGCTAGGATACGACATTGCTGCGTGAAATGCAGCGCCACTAACGATAATTAGTAAACAGTGTGAAAAGCGACCAGCGCTGCGATGAGATAACACAAAGGGCAAAGGAACGGCAACGGTATGCGACCAGAAAGAAAACTCGAAAGGAATGAGCAAAACACAAAGGGAAAAGAGGTTGAGGACTTTGTGTATTGAGACATGGCGATAGTCAGGCTTTTCAATACCTGCGCACAAGAAGAAATCACGACTTACGTCGACGGCGAGCTGGTGGAGGCGGAGGTAGGCGAGCAGGCACAGCCCACGATATTTTTGCTGTCCTCAATGTTGTCGTTTTGTGACATAGCTGCCACAGGGCAAGCATTGCAATTCATTGCGGTTTCAAGATTCAGATGGTCTCAGGTCTTGAAACGAATGTGGACTCAAGGGAAGGCAAAGGGATCCTGGATTTATACGCGTGGTTGTCACGACACTCCACTCCCAAAATAGGTAGCCTCAAGGGTACTTTCAACACTCAGGTCAGTTCTGGACGAGCGAGTAAGTCACGATACATACTCTGGCGCTTTCGTCGGTGGTCCCACACACTCTGGCTGTGCTTTGTGGCAGAACTTCTGATCAAATGTCCCAAGAAGGGTTCGGGATGGGACAATAATCGAACAGCTCAGATCGAGGATCCTCGCAAGGCTCTGGAATGTTTTGTGCAAGCTTTGAAAATGTGATATGATGGGCCCGCAAGAGTTCTATACTCGTCAGACAATATTCGAACTGTTGCGAAGCGCGCTAGATATGGGAGCACATCTTTGCGCCACCTATAGGAGAAAAAGCGTCCGGGCTTACACAAAGTGCCCGAACAATGGAGGGAGAGCAAATATCGCCTTCAGATAAACTTCGTACATCATCATGTCGTTGGCGGCTGCGGCACAGGCAGAGAAAGCTCAAGTATCAAGCACGAAGCTTTGGAGACTGCATGAAAGTATCTCGGCTGAATGATTGCGACGAGCTTTGGGTGGTCACTCCTCTGCTAGTCGCGGACGCTATCCGAAGTCAAACGTATGTGGCTCTCACTCGCATTCTGGGCATAGCATGCGCAGACCATGGCTCAAGTGCCGCATGGGAACGCTGCCGCCTACCCTTCCAAAGCCTGGTTCACGGCAGAAACAGGAAGGAATCATGGTCGGCGCGTGGCACATCATATCTGACCATCATAAGCGTCTCTCATGGTCACAATAGATCTCGAAGGACAGTCCGTCGAGGGCGTGTCGCAAGCGAGATGCATATTGCACGACCGGGGTGGAACTGCTGGGGTGTTCGAAAGGCTGGTGCGACGCCAATGCAACTAGATGTCGCGGACAGAGACACCCGCATGCCACGGACTGACGAGAATAGGCGCGAGTGGATGCTGAGAAATGCGGATTGTCGAGCCGACTAAGCTAGTCCTGTGTTGACGACAATTCATCTCGACTTTTCGGAGGGCACTCCGAATTTCGGGATTGGTTGAGGCTTCCTTGTCCCAATTGGGACTCTTAGCGCCTGCAAAGGGCAATGACGACGTGCCGCAAGAACCGCGCGGGTTGCATCCATCCTGTACGGCGACTGTCGTAGGATGTGCTGAAATCGTGCAGGATCGTCCGCTTCTTCTGGTGAGTGCATTTTGTCGACCTTGAGTGAATGTGGGGATTGAACGCCGCTCGGCTTCGACGCGCGACAGCCATATCACATTACGCATCATACCGGTAGGATGCCTACGGTTTCCCGGCAAATTCAAGGCACATGATGGTTCACGTTGCCCAACGGATCCGTCGATGGTAGAACCGCTGAAGTTCCAAGGTTGGCAAGCTTAGGACAACTTCCGCCGGATTGTGAGGACGATGGTGCAGGTGGCGTGGTATTAGTGAACGCTTCCCGCTAGTTGCCGCCGGCGTTCCCTGTCAAGGCCAATTCAGGCCGACCAGGTGCCACTTTGTGCAACTTCCGAGGCGAGACCATTCCCGGAAGAGCACATCTGGATTGCTCATTACACATTATCCCACCGTGGGTGTCATGCATACTTTATGAAATCAGCTGATGGTGATCAGGCCAATATGCTCGTTCAAATTGCCCCAGACTCAGCTTCGTTTCTCACACCCAAGTGCCGCGCTTGCTTTTCAACACGCTTGCCGGTCGTCGCTGATGTTGACCATTGGACAGCAGTATTCATCATCAGTCAATGGACAAAGGCTTCTCGCGCAGTGCAATGCAATGATGCACGGACACACGATGATCCTAAGTCGGCTCCAACGTCGAGTCCAAGCTCGTTGCGGCTTCAAGCTTGTCGATCAGTCTCTGTGGTCCACAACAAGTACAGTACATCTACATATGTACATATTGATCGTGATCACGATCACTCCAATACCAATATGCGCTCATTACCCTGTTATGGGAAGAGCCGCTGATAAGACAATGACAATCACAAAATCACGCTGCTCGCGTAGTGCGTGACCTGTTAATCTATCGACTTGCGCAAACGCCCCGATTGAACACCTCATCGCGTTGAAGCTTCACAACAATCAGGGTCTACCAAGTATAGAGTTTCACAATAGACCTGCAGTAGACGATTTCGTCACTAACTAAGCCTTGCAAGAACTTCATCATCGACCGTTCGTCAGTCCTCGCACGAGTTCAATCGTGAGGTCTAGCAGGACGCAAGTGCGTCTCGAACCGGCCATCCTCTCTCTTTCTGCGCCCCTCAGCTGCGCCCGAAACACTCCATGTCTCAGTGAACATCCACACTCGGTTTACGGCCGTCCCGGAGCGGAGCGCGGGCCGAACACCGAGACTGGTCCTACAAATTGGTCCACTTTGCGACGCGACGGGGCACTTTGACAGGGAATAATCACTAGTGTTCGCGCTTCTGATGAGGTGAGAGATGAGAGCAAAAGTGACATACAAGAAGATACCAGGCGACATACCAACATGGATGCCACACCTCCTGCTGCCGCACCATGCGCAGCTTCTGCCGCCTCACCCTCCTCACCACCAGCAAAAGAGCCACACACGCCAACACAACGATTGCATACGTGATACAGGTTATCATATTAACGCCGAAGTGCACCAAAGCATCCCCCCAGGCCCCACTTTTATTATCGCGCCCCACTTTCGTCCTGTCCTTGGTGCAATGCATGGCGATTGACAGCAGCCATGGCGTGAGGGATCAAACGAGGCCGCTCTTTTGATTGGCATCAGCTGGTTAGTCACAGCTTCTGATTGTCATCATCGGTCAATTAATCGCAATTGATGCAGCATGAAGATGAAACGGGCACATGGCGCGCAAGTGAGGCGCGCAATTAGACCGACCGCATTCGATTTTAATCGTAGTGATTACCAAGCCATACACGGCTGACCAGGCGCGGACATTCGGACATTCCTTTTGTTGCCTAGATACAACCTAGATACAATGATTATGACCATGATCATGGTCATCGAGGATGACGATCTGGGTCCTCACCTGCCAAGATCGACCACTAAACTCCGACGCTACACAGACAGACTCCGCTGCTCGTACTACGCACGTGGATCTCTCTCTCCCCCATCCAGCTGATGCAGTGTACAGTACATGTATATTGTTTCTTTCGTTCACTTGGTCAATGCGACGAAGGTCTTCAATTGTGTTTTTGATAGCTTTTCTCTACATATTTGTGCATGTTGTGTCTGTGTAGCAGCGCAGATGACCATGTCTGTCTCCAGCACCATGTCCAGCGAAAGCAACCGTTTCCCCTTCCCTGCACATAACCAGAGCACCCGTTTGACAGGTACGTCAGACGCCCCTCAGGAATGTGAGACACGGGGACAAGCAATAAGGATGAATGGATCAACAAGCGTCCAGACGCACAAAAACCAAACGCTCGAGAATCTACCGTACCTGGGTGTGGTAAGTGACCGCAATCCCATCAGCTGGCCGGGAAGAAAGCCCGCGGTGGAGGACGTTTGCTGGTGGTCTCGTAGTGCTTACGTCCCGTGACCAGCTCATCATGCAGCCAGTTCGCTCCTCGCCCATTCCTCATTTCTCATTCCTCCCTCCAAGCGCGCAAACGCGAAAAATATGACCCGCACCGACCACCAACTGCAAGTCTGCAGACCTAAGAAAATAGGCCGGAGTGGACCGCACACACAGAGCAAATGTTTTTCTGGGATGATTTCCGCCTAGAGACATTGAAGTCAACCGCTACAAATGATCAAGCCACTGTGCATATATACTTACACGTGCGTTTCTTTCGGTGATCGCCGTGATTTACGAAGAGCCGAGGAAATTATAATATCGGCTTACAAATGCGATGATATGATATGATCGGTACGGTGCTGTACATGCCAACCTGGTACACACCATTTTCCCGCCACAGACAGATAGAATTTAGAGAGACTTGGGGCACAGACAACCCACTCCGTATACAAGAGTACATCCAGGACAGACAGACGTGACCAATGCGTCCACACCACTCACAATCAACCTGGTGGTGGTGATGAGATTCATGTCGGCAAACGGCAGAGGAGTTCAACAGAGCAAAATCCAATAAGCCTCATGCAAGGGCCCACTCGAGCAGAGCGCGCTCGTTTCGAGGTGGTCTACGAAAGACGTGCTAAAAGTACAAAAGTACAGCATACATCGATAGTGTGATCACACACGTTGAATCGCAACGTTGTGCTCTCTTTCCCTTGTCATTCAATACCCCTCTCCCGCCACTAAGTGCCCATGTCATCATGAAATTCGTCTGGTCACAAAAGACACCCCTTCACACGGACAACAATCTGCCCACGCCGCACCGGCGTATGCTCCGAAAAAAAAGAGTAGGCAAAAGAAGCAAATCTTTCCTCTTCAGCTCTACAGATCAGCCTGTGACCCCTGCTCACAGGCCGGCGAGACTGACAGAGAAAGACCAACAAGAATAAGTGCATTTTCCGTGAATTTTAAGCGCCCAGGTGGGTCGCGGGCTCTGGTCGCTGCTTCAGACTGCTCGCCATGATGCAGCACCTGCGGCCGGGACACTCCCGTTGACGGCGTTGAACCCACTGCGACCACCCTGCGAGCTCGACACGTCACCGCTGCTCGCCGCGGCAGAGGCTGCTTGAGGTGGCTGTGAATGCGGCGGAGGCGAGGCACTAGCATTGCTGCCGCCCTGGCCAGGTCGCGTATAGGGTGAATTATCATGGACGGGGTCATAGGTAGGTCTTTTTACCGAGGATGCTGCGGCGGACGCGGGAGCCGTGCTGTTTATGCTTTTGCTGTCATTATTGTTGTGATGGTTGTCGCTGTTGTGATGATGGTGACTGCTCGGATGTGACAAGTTGTTGTCCGCCGGTTTGGTCGTTGAGTCGTTGTTTTGCGCTCGAGAATTGCTCGGCGAATGCTTGCCACCATCAGTGGGCGGCCGATGATCTGCTGCGCTTTTATCGACTTGCTCGGCGATCGATGGCGAATGTGCAGCAGCACTCGGATGACTCTGGCTGCCGTCCTTCTTTCCTGAGCCTTCGCCCCGCTCGGCGTCTTGCTCCTCTATCTGACCCAGAGCTTCGAGATCTTCAAGCGGATTGCTCTCGTCATCCTCGCTCTCCTCATGATGCCCATCACTGTGAGCATCACCGTTCGCGTGGCCGTTCGGCATGGCCGAATCGGCATGATTCGGTAACTCCTTCAAATCGCCATTCATAAGATGATCTAACGCGCTGAGTTCCTCTCGCGATACTTCGCGCCAATGACACCGCGCATGCTTTCGCGTGCACCCTGCGCACGAAGTGAGGTTCTTAAGACAATCCATTCTCAACCGTCGACACCGATCACAGGGTGGTATGACTCGATGACCGCGTGGTAAGCTATCCATGCTGGCCTGGCAGATGGGTCTATATGGCTGACTGCTCTCCAACGCTGCTGGAAGAGGCCGACTGAAGTTATGTCTAGATTGACCGGATGCGTTATTCGTTGCGTCCTTGTCTGCGGTCGGCGAATGTCGATGTGATTGTGAAGCGGTCGCTTGATGACTACGTGAGGGACTGGTATGTCCCTGGCGTGCTCGCGAATGTCCGTCCGCGTGTGAAACGTTCGGCGGCGCGGGAGAAAGAGAAGAAGCATTCGATATGCCTTCGTGATGCGCCGAATGCATGCCCTCCATAGCCCTCGGCGCGTGATTGCCATGATCTAGATGGCCGGCCATTGACGGTTGCCGTGAATGTGCCACGCTATGAGGCACGGGATTGTGATAGTTGTGCGGGAGACTTTCGAAGTGGCGCAAAAGTTCATCCCGAACCGTGGCCGATGACCCTTCACCAGACTCAACTGCTGCCGCATATGGCCGAGTATTTCCACCCGGCTGCGCATGATGGCCTACAGCAGCTGGGTGCGGAAACGTTGTGGTCGCCTGAGGTGCACCTGCCTTGGCTGGAGTACCACTTCCGCCCTCCGCCCTCCTTTCCGCGATGGCGGCCCTACGTCCCTTCAACCGATGTGTCAACTGCCGCGTGCGCGCAGCAACCAGATCCGCAGCGTTTGTGAGCTCCTTAAGCTTGACTTCTAGTAGATCGCATGTATTAAACTCCTTCTCTTCGTCTTCCCAAATCGGCAAGGGTGGTATCAGCTCTTGACACCGCCCACTGTTGATGAAGAGAAAGTCCTCCTCGCTGACCTGCACCCGTGTCTGTTTCTGTGGATAATAGAATTGACAGACTCGTGAGCCTTCGGAGAATGTGGTGAGAGTAAATTGGCTCGGGTGCGCGCGCGCAAACTCGATCACTTCTAGCCAGGTGATCTGGTGAGAAGCATCCTCGGAAGCGGCTCCGGCGCCAGCACCTGGCTTGACATGCGAGCTGATGATTTTCGGCGGTGCATCAAAGCATCGCTCGAAGCGTTTGATTAAGATCGGTCCCAGCGGACGGGCGCCCAAATTGGAGGCTAGCGACTCATGGCGATCGAGAACGTTGTTGTAGCTGGACAGCAGATGCAGCAGATTCGGAAGAGTGTCATCTTTAGTGACGAGCGGCAGGTCATCTTGAGAATGACGCGCCAGATAATTGATACTGAGTTGGTGATTTGGTTTTGAAATTTTGGCTGGCGAAGCGGAAGCAAGGGCACCGCCTGCGTCGGAGGGACTCCGCTTGCGCTTCAGCGAATCATTAGCGCTTTCCATATTGATGATATCGACGATATGAATGAATTCGGTGATTGCGCATTATCGGAATCGCCGCGATGGTAGTGACGATGTGAACAAGGGAGACAGTGGATGAATAGGACGCAGATGCGAGGGAAGCTGACGGGCGGCCCAGGAGCGGCGGCGGAGGCGGAGGCGGCGTCGAGCGCGCGGTGGCCGTCTCGCCAAAAGAGGAGGAGGTGTCATGGGTGGTGGTGGTGGTGGTGTTAGTGGGCGGGCGGTCCTCCTCCTCCACCACTCCACCACCACCACCACCCAACTTTTTGTGCATGGAATACTGTGTACATGGCAAATGTACCTGTCCATCTACGACGTCTTGCACCAGCACACATTGATCTTGCTGTGTGCGTATCTGCATGGTAAAGATCTGTCCTACATGTGATCGTGCTACCGGTCATCAACCAGAGAGACGAGACTGCTCGACGACGAAAGAGGGACGAAGAGGCGAGTATGGGGGGCGAAATCCCGGGCGAGGAGGGCGGACGCGTGCGCGCCTCCGCCCTTTTCCGCGCGCACCCGCCTGCATCTCTAGGATTTTACGAGGCATATGGACCGGGAACTCCGACTGCTCAATGGACAGAGCTTATGAATATGCGCATGCACAGATGAGGAAAAATAGTTGCGTTCTTCGGTCGCCTCGTCGTTATTTCGTCTTCAGTGCCATCGTTACGAGCGCAGGACGTGGTGTTGGTCGAAGAGGATGCAGATGCGGATTGGCGCTATGTCCATTCATTCATGCATGCAGCGGGCGGAGAAACGTAATGGGACTACAGCAAAGTACCATCGTGAACTTGAATCCTTCCTTCAAGCAATCCGCCTATCCCTTCAAGTACGTATTGAGCATCTCAGGTATATGCAGTCCTCGCCTTGTCATAATCTCTAGTCTGTCACCAAGTAAGATATCCTATCGAACAAAGGTGGGATTTTGTCGCGTGAGATGTCACAAAGGGAATGTGGTTGTCTGAACGAGGACATAGTATGTCCAGATGAAGGCGGCGTGATTAGGACACACCAATATGCGTATTTCATTGACAAGGGAATCATTTCTGCCTGGGTAAGATGGTAGGTGTACACATCGTCCAAGATTAACTTGCTGTTGTCGAAAATAGAAAGGAACCTTGGAAGAGGAGGAGGCGCGGTGGTGTGGGCGGACAACGCCTGAGGCCAACTTCCCTCCACCACCCTTCTGCCCTCCCTCAAAATTGTAAGGCAAAATGACGAATGGGGTGCACCACCATCGAATGACATCACGTGCAATACTGGAGGCATCGCTACACTACATCTCACCCCAATATTTTGGATCTCATTCCGAGCAAGCAATCAAGGGCCGTTATCGTACCTCGCAAGAGACAAATCACTGAAACGATGTCGGAACGAGGTAATTTCCGCGGCGGTCGCGGGCGCGGTGAAGGCGGCGGAGGACGCGGTGGGCGGGGAGGCGGCGGCGGTCGCGGCGGAGGACATCATGATGGTGACAAGGCCGAGAAGAAGGAGAAGCAAAACATCCTCGACCTCACCCGGTATGTCGCGAAAAGTTTCCAACACAGTTTTTCCGCCCGATGTGGAACTCGAAACTTTCGAATAGAAGCAGCCACAAGATTTCAGACAAAATTCAAGGCGACATCAATTCGGGATCGAGGGTCTATTCTCGTGCTGATTCAATCCGTTTGGAATCTCTAGATACCTCAACAAAGAAATTACCGTGAAATTCAACGGAGGCCGTGAAGTCACTGGTCAGCTCAAGGGGTTCGACCAACTCATGAACCTCGTGCTCGACGACGTCAAGGAAGTTACTATAGGTGAGTAGGAAACAGGGCCTCATGTTATGAAAAGGAGAAGAATCCAAAAAAACGACCCTCCAAAATTGTCATCACGAACTTCAGCTGACCACACGTCATGTTCATCATGTTGATATCAGACGCCGAAGGAAACCCCAAGACGCGCTCTCTGGGCATGCTAGTCGCTCGAGGAACACTGCTCGTACTCATCTCGCCCGTGGACGGCAGCGAGGAGATCGCCAACCCTTTTGTAGCGGCGGAGGAAGACGATGACGAATGAGCGGATGCAAGGGCCTACGCGCCCAAGCGAATGGACTTGAGAAGATTCTCCGAGGTCTGACATGACGGGATGTGATACTGCCGTCTGCTGAACGAGAGAATTGATCCCTGGCGATGGCCCATTTTCTCCGATCATTTTTCGCAGAGAAGAAAGGCAGACAATCCATAACGGAGACGCCCGAGATGCCGATCCTACTCATTGATGGGGTTTGAACGACAAGAGAGTCACAACATCTGCTCCTCGATCATAGCAGAGTGACTTGACCTGGGGTTGCGAAAGGCCATGCATGGCATCAGACATAGATGCGACCATCGCCTGCAGCTTCACGAGACACGGAGCGAATTATTATCGAAAGGGATTCTTCATTCTCCTGATGATGAGACTAGGTACTCTGTTTTTCCAAAAACGAATTTCATACGAAACAAAATAAAAATGGCATTTAGGGGAATCATTACACTTTTCGTCAATCAAAAGACAATTTCGTAATCTTCATAACCATCTCTCGCGCATACTGTAGATTCGTGCCCTTCATTGCGCTTTTTCAACACCTCACTGGGCCTTGTTGATCGCTTCCCAGTCAGGCCCGCCCGCCAACGCGGTCGAAGTTCGCGGCTCCACTGATTCCGAGTGGGAGGTAGGCTCCTGACTCGTGGAGGTGTGCGTTTTCAGCGGATCGGTGGGAAGTCCCGTACGTGGATCAATCACTATTCCCGCCTTGTCAGCAACGGGGTCGAGGCTCGCCACGGGCGCCTTCATGGCTGGGGCGCTTACGGTGCTGGAGGTCGTGTTGGAGGTGGAGGTCGCGGTGGCCGGAGCGTCAAGCGAGCTGCGATCGACGACCTCGCCCGCGACGGTCGTGGGCGGTACGTTCTCCTCCTTCTTGTCGTGGTGGAACGGGTGCAGGATCTTGTGCAAGATCCCATGCTCTTTCTCGCCGCGGTCGCCGCCGATAGCGGCCTCTTCCTCACGAGCCTCCTGGAGCTTGCGTTCGTGCCTGTCTGACATGTGAGGGAGAGCAGTGACACCGGTGTGGCTAGCTCCCTGTGCTGAGGTAGACTCCGAAGCCAGAGGAAGAGCGGTGACACCGGCGCTGCTGCTTCCCTGTGCTGAGGCAGACTCCGAAGCCAGAGGGACGCTCGGGTCGAGTCGATTGACGGTGTCAGAGATGTGCGGGCCTGTGGTGATTGGTGCAGAGGCTCCATCGAGATGGGGGCTCGAGTATGTGTTGGTAGTGGTTTGGATAGGGTTGCTGCTGCTGCTGTGCGCGGCGGACGAGGAGTCGCCTGTAGCGACACCTGTAGCGGCAACGACGGGCAAAGCGGCAGGAGTGGCCTCCTTGACGGTGGCAGGTGCCGGGAAATCATTCACCGGCTCGGCCACAGTGTCTGCAGCAGAAGGACCATTCTTGGCAGTGCCGGCTGGGGCCTCCGCGTGCTTGCTGCTGTGCTCGGCATGTGACTCATGGCCACCGACGACACCGGCCGCGGCGACGACGGGCAAAGCGGCAGGAGTGGCCTCCTTGACGGTGGCGGGTGCCGGGAAGTCATTCGCAGGCTCGGCCACAGTGTCAGCCGCCGAAACACCTTCGGTCTTGGAGGCCGCTTCGTTGGTAGTAGAGCCATGAGTGGTGGAGTGCGCCGCAAGTCCAGCACCAGCAACGCCAGCTGTTGCTGCGGCTGCGATGGGAAGCGCGCTCGAGTGTCCTGGCTCTGCGGCCAAGGTCGGTTCAGCAGTGCTCGTCGTGCCGACAGGGTATGAACGCTCAACGACGGTGGCCTCGGCAATGTCGTTGTCAGCGCGAGGCTGGTTCAACTGGTGAGCAGCAGCAGTGCTGGCGACCGCACCAACATTCGCAGCACCGGCATCCTGTTCGATGTCATGGATGGCGTGTCCATGGATGACGCCAACGCTGGGCGCATCTGCTGAGACACCTTCACCCTCGGGACGAGCGCTCAAGTTGGCAATGCTGTTGACATCGGCCTGGGTGGTCGAGGCGCCAATTCCGACAGGAGTCGAGCTGTACGTGTACGTAGCAGCCTCTACGTCGTTGGCGCCGGTGGGCTTGTTGATCTGCTCTACGGATGAAGGCGTAACCACGCTATCATTCTTAGTGTGAGAAGCAATGGCAGCTCCAGCCAACGCACCACCTGCAGCTGCAGGGACAATAGTGCTAACAGGATGAGCCTCATCGGCAACAGCTGGCGCTTCTTGAGAGGTGGCCGGAGCTGCAGGCGTCTCATGCACCTTTGAAAGGAGCTCCTGCTCAACCGCGCTCTTCTCTACAACAGCCTCTGCGTTCGAGGCAGCCTCTGGCCCAACGTGCGCTTCATGCTGCGATGCAATGACTGCAGCAGGAACAGCGGTTGCCACAGCAGAGCTCTCGAGAGCACCAGGTGTGGTGATCGCAGGTGTGGTTTCGGCAGCAGGTGCCTCGGGAACTTTTGCGAGGAGCTCTGACTCGACCGCACTCTTCTCAACAACGGCCTCCGGGTTTGCTGCAGCTTCAGGCTCAGTGTGGGCCTTTTCCTGTGAAGCAATGACTTCAGCTGGAACTGTGGATGCTACAGGAGAGGTCTCGTGGGCAACGGCCGGAGTGGTAGTCTCCACAGCGGGGGCCTCGTGGACCTTTGCCAAAAGCTCCGATTCCACCAATCTCTTCTCGACAACCGCCTCCCGGTTAGCACTCGCTTCGGGACCAACGTGAGCCTCCTGCTGCGATGCTATTACTTGAGATGGAACCACGGTAGCGGCAGGGGTTGCATCTGCGTGCGAGTCGTGCGCTGCAGCGGCGGCAACACCGCCGACAACGGCACCACCGGTACCAGCCAGAGCGGCATCACGGCCAGCGTGAGACTCTGTTGCCGATATGTTAGCGGGATCCACATACGGGCCGAGCACACCAGACTTGATGCTCATGTTGTCTGTGTACGTCCGCGGGAGGGGTTCTCTCGTACCTGAGGTGGTGGCAGCTGCGGTCGAGGTGGTGTTGCTGGGCTCCACAGCGTGAGCAGTGACACCATAGCTCTCCTCGGAGTATTTGTTTCCACCAGGGTTTCTGTGAAATATGGTCAGAAACTGGGCCGAGCATGGAATGTCAGAGCTTTCGTCTCCACCTACAGGATCTGTCTCAAGATGCTGTGTTCGTGCTTCTTCTGCTCTGGGTCGGTCTCCAATGTGACGTTCGGGTCAACAGTGGCGAGCGGCGCGGAGCCACTGGCAGCAGTTCCGATGTCACCGCTAGCATGTGCGGTCGTGCCGTATGCGATGGGATCGTACTTGTTGCCATCCGGGTTGCTGCCATCATATGATCAGTCAGGTTCACACAGTATCTGGACTTCATTTTGGAGCTGTACACACAGGATCTGTCTTGCAACGGGGTGGTCTTTCTTCTCCACACCGGCTGCTGTCACCAGCTGGGTAGGGTTCTCTGAAGAGCCCAAAGTTGTGGTGGCATTGTCTCCATAGGCTTGGCTGTCGTACTTCTCACCTCCAGGGTTGCTTGATCGAATTAGTCGTGGCATTCAAATGCAGCTGCGGCAGGAAAAAGCTCACAGAATTTGACGAAGGATACCGTGCTCTTTCTTCTCCGATTCTGCGGTGGTGTGCAGCGGTGTCGTGCTCGAGCTCGTCTCTGTTGCAGGCTTGCTCACGCTCTCGGGAGCAGTAGCGTCTGTTTGGACGTCCTCATCATGGTGCTTGTGTCCGGGTGTCCTGTGTTGGTCAGCTTTGGAAGCTTGATACGCCGCATTGAAATCGGAGTAGTCCTACAGGAGCTGCTTGATCTTGTCCATAGCTACTTGTGTATTGTTTGAATACTGGTCTGTTTGGGTATTGTGTATATATAATCTCTTCGAAAGAGATGTGAGAGAAGAGGAAAGGAAAGGAAAGATCGAGCAATCGAGATACAATATAGGGAAAAGCAAATCACCTAGCCTGATGATGACTATCGCCTCGATCGTTTGTCACTAGTTGGAGCTGCTCTCGTGGGTTCCAAGGTTGTCCAGACCACTGCTCTACGAGGACTGGCTATTCCTGCACGCAAATGACTACAACAATGTGGCACTTTAACATGCGGGACGGTGAACAGCTCCCACTACAGCTATAACACGACTCTGTGTAGCACTGGCGGCCAAGCATCCTGCCGGTTGTCGGACGTGTTCGTGGACGCGCAAACAGAGCCCTGACGAGCAGCGGCAGAGTAGTAGCGGGCATGGACGAGGCGCGATCGATGCAAGAAAGCTTGATGATGTCGAAGGAACGCATTGGTCTAGCCCGAATTGGTCGCCCTGACGGGAGAAAAGATGGAGAAATAACTTTTGGAAAACACCCGGAACGTCACGAACAGTGTTGAAAGTGGTGTAGACTACCTAGGTCGGTAATCGTGGCACAAGAAAAGACAAAAAGCACGACGGCTGGCCAATGAATGACGTCGACGCTCTGCTGCAACGCGTAACAAGCGTGCCGAGCAAGGTGCATGCCGCCAAGGTCATTGCTGACTGGTTCTGCTCACGTTCAGGATGGCGGTCAGGTGTTCTCTTGTAGTTGTCGCGGCTTGCATGCGTAGCGGATATCTCAAGTCGACGGTGTTGTCAAGGGAACCCTCCTAGACTTCTTCCATACCATCATGGTCGGTGAAGTTTACGCATGGAGGAAGAGGGATCAAGACGCGACATCGGACACAGAGCGGGCATGATCACAGCACACACACAGCAAACAGGCGTTTCCTGCGTGGAAAGAAAAATGACCGAGCGGAACAAGGTCATTCCATGTATCGCATAGCCTTTCGCGTGAGTGCATATTATTACAGCACACGTCACAAGAAGCAACATTCAGATATATCCGTGTCATAGGTACTGTATTTGACGAAGCACGTGTATGATGTTGGCCTATGACGATGCGCGTGCTTCATCATGGTAATGATCGGCCAGATGTGCTACGGACAACACCCCACCGAAGCCAGCATACCTACCTACCTACCTACCTAGTAGGTACGTACATGTCACATCTGCGTTCGCTGCTGCTGTTCACAACTTGAAGAAGTGACGGTCAGCTTCAGCGTGCACTTGTTCTTGGATGCAGGTGCGCTTTCAACTCTAGATACTAGTGAAACTTATGTGATGGCAACGCTAGAGCGAGGTATTGAGCCTCGCTTGTAGGCTTTCTTCATTCACGCGTGACCCTTCCTGTACAACATGTACTACTACGACAGCTCTTCTATCTTCACGAAGGAGCTCTGCAGGTTTGCGCATGTACTAACAATTCGGCTTCACTTTCCCCTCATTCCTACTGAAAGCGAGCACGGGACCATCTTGAGAACACGCTTGTATCAGGGCGTGCGGTAGCTCACGTAGGCCGTGTTGGCAGTGCATGCAGCATGTCTATAGATCAGAGGCCCGTCTCTCCAATGGTGAAGATGTAGGTTGGAGAGCAGAGTGCGCGTGATGCTTCATGCAGACACAGTGGAAAGTGCACAATGAAAAGCGCACGCGCCAGCGAGGTAGTCCGATGACTAATCTGACGCTCGCATTCTTTGATGACTGATCTCATACTGGTCAGTTTCTCCGTTTGGGTGTTCGACATACATAGGTATTCAACGAACAGGCTCTCCGGGTCATGGTCGCAATCTCAAGGCCGCACGGGCAGCTTCATAATATCAAGGATCGCGGCGGGAGCAGATTGATGAAGATAGTACGCGGTAGCCTCGTTTTGAAGGTAATCAGTAGACATCGTCGCTCTGGGTTCCTGAAATCTCGTTGGCATCTCTGTGGGGCTATCGTCATCAATGTCATCATCATCCCGTGTGCTCTGGCGAAAATCAACGTCGCTCGGGGCAGTTCTCGTCACCAACCTTGGAAGAGATCGACGCGTGCAAGAGATGTTGATCGAGCGAGTGAGTGAGTGGTCACGAATATCATTCATTCACATGGCGTCCTACCCAAAACCGCGTCACAATTGCAAATTGATGAGAGGCAGAAGAGGCAGGAATGTCATGCGGTCTCCCCGTCAAAATTGCCAGCACCGACGAAGCACAGTCGAGCACACTTCCCATTTACCAGCACCGGAGCATTGTTTTGTGCATTTCCGAGTTCCTTCGTGGTATCGACGTGACTTCAATAAATGAAGCTGTGCTACCAGAACTTATATCCATTCATCTGGAAATGCGTGAAACATGCATGCATCTTATGTGACCCTGGTTCGCTGTTGGCTCCAAGCTGAGTGACTCGAATTTTTCAGTGAACAGTCATTTCAAACCACCGGAGCCAATTCCATGCCAGCCGCGAGACACCGGACATACTATGAGCCAGTTCTGTCTTACTCAACGGGCTCTTTATGATTGTAGAATGACAGTCTGTGATAATGGCAAGCAGGCGAGTATTGGCGCCACGGTATTCAGACACAACCCTAGCAACCCCAATAAGTGCGCCAACCCTAAAGATGTCGCTGTCCGGTCCTGTCATGAAGGCGGACGAACATGAACTCACATCTCAGCGAAGCATCACTAGACTATCTCATCCTACGATCGAGAGGTTCTCCAGGTAGTCGATCGGTTGGCGGTCCTTATCCTGTGGCTTCAGGCTGCAACGCAACTGGGAGAGGTTTCCTTGCATTCGGGAATGCTGCGTATGCTCATCCGAGTGGCTATCCACTCCACAAGCCGACGTGGTGACATGCAGCCATGCCGTGATGCGCTGGTGGCCTGAGTTGCTTTTTGAGTGAGATACGAATAGTCCGTTTGGATTCACTCCACGGGCGCCTCACAACGCCAGACGAGCTGCCCCGGATTCCTTCCCATTCGTGATGAGAGGAACAGCTCCTGGAGGGTAGCAGACACCCATTCTCACATGCGCACTAAACCATTCACAGCATAAATCGAGATGCAGAGGATTGCATCACCCAATGATGGGTGACTGGCTGGGAGGCAATGTCGTTGCGCAGCATTCTGCCTTCACGTGCGCTGTGCCGCTCACCTGGGCAAGCAGAACTGTAAGAGGCAAGCCGGCAAAAGATGGCATCTGGGCGATACCCCCCAACCGAGTTAGGCTGACCGGCTCGCGTGGTGGGTGTCTAGGCGCTGGTCTGGAGCCGAGAAATCGCCTCCCACGCGATGCCACATTGTTCAGCGGTTGGGGGAGAACCCCAGAATTATCTTTCCCCGTCTGCCCGATCCTACCCATTTTCTCTGATGGCGGTTTGGCCCTGTCTCGGGCGAGAGTTCTCGACTTGTCGTCAGCCCAGCCAAGAGACGACGAGATTCAGGGCCGGGACCTGCGCCATCCCGACGGCTTGGTGTTGTAATGACAACCAGTATTCTGCATCTTTATCATCTTGCGTTGGTGATGAGATAGAGAAGAAGGGGCAAAATATGTGGCCTGACAAAGAGACTAGGGTCATGCCGCGTCTCTATCAGCAATACTGTACATCATTGCCACAGTGCGCTCCGACCGATGCTGTGAATGTTCCCCAATGAGCGCGAAGTCGTTACAGTACTTCGATATGATCGGGTTGCCGCCCATCCAAATTGACGACATGAAGCGCTCGTCATGATATCGTAGACGAGAGACTCAAGCAGGGATCGGGTAAATGAGAGAAAGTGACGACTTCCCGTTCGCCCGCCCAGCGCGGTGGTCCTCCGACGTAATGTTCGTAATCGCAAATGCGCAGTGCCAACGATGGTGATGAGACGAGGAGAATGAAAAGGATCGAGTTGAGGGCGATAGTCCCTTTTACCGGACCAGTCGGAGCGACTCTCATCATTTATCGTGATTACATTTTTATGAAAGGATGCTTGAACGGGCATGGCGCCTATCTCGTCCAAGAAAGACTCTGGGGGCACGCCCAACGCCATGCATCACGAACACCTACGCATTGGTGCACCTGAAGGTATCGCTGTCCTACAAGGATCAGCAGCAGAACCGGCTTGGTCGCCTCAACCAAAGTATACACGCATGGGCTGAGATGTCTCGGGGAAACACACGGGAAGATGAGGAGCAGGATCAAGCAGGAGAGGGACTGCGATCATCAATCAACGAGTGCATTGACAGAGAGACATTAATTGGGGGATCGAAGACTTGCTTTTCCGCTTATTCCCGGGTGGGCTGCTCTCGGCGTGCCCCGTCCGCTCCTTCCAGGCCCACTAAATCGCTCCATCCGGTGTATGCTCCACGACTCGACGGTACTCTCGATGTCACTAACAATTATATACCACTCTACTTACGTCGGTCCGCGCTCTGCCCTTCATTTCCATCCCCGTCTCCCATTGTATGCCAATCTCGAGGAAACACTCTCACATACTACTCTCACACTCAATCCTCGCCTGTCAACTGTATAACATCGACGACTGTGCGACATCCCGTCAATTTCACCGAACCATACCGATCCACGATCTATATACGGGGACCCTGCGGCTGCAACACACTGCCAGAAATTCCGCCCAACCGTTTCGACGACGTCACTCCCGCGCCGCGTGAGACTCTTCGATCAATCCACATAATTCAACACCACCACCACAACTGAGATCACATTCACAATGCCGTTCCGGGAAAAGGCCAAATCTCTCTTCCGCACCCGATCAAAAACCGAATCCAATTCCTTATCGAAAACATCCAGCAGCGAAAGTCAAAGCACAATATCGACGACGACCACCCGATGGCCAAGCAACGTCTACAAACCAGGCGAGCCTATGCCTCGCCCGAAATACCGCGCCATTCCTAAGAAAGAGCATAAGGACAAACTCGATGCCTTCAGCTTCCCCGAGGCCTGGCGCCGACGAAGTTTCCAGAGCCAGTACAGCCCCATGGGCACTCGTGCGCCCAGCCGTCGAAATTCCATTGGAGCCTCCCGTCAGAATAGCACATTCTCTCTTAGCAAGAAAAGCGCGAGTCGGACAAATAGCGTCACGAGCATCGACACCGATGATCTGAGCAGCCGCACTCGTGAGATGCACAGCGGTGCCGCGAAACCCACTCTTCTAAGCGATCAGCCCGAGCAAGAAGGCGACGATGATGTGGCCAATGGTGTGCAACCCCCTTCTGTTTTGTTGCAATAGTTATTTCAAGCACAAAGCCAGACCAGAGCAGAACCTTTCGAAAACCTCGCCTCGTCCAGAATACAGCTTTTTGCTGACCATGTCTTGACATAATTTCGCGCTTCGCAGTGGGCAAGATCGTCTCACCTCCGCGATCCTCACACGGGCCTCTATCACAACAAAGGACGCCGACGGTCATGGTCACTGCGAGCGACGTCCCTCGTCATGTGCCGTCAACGACGTCGGCGCATGATCATGAACCTTTCACTGAACATGATCTCAGTCTGGCTCTCACACGTTCACATCTGGCTGTTTCGTCACATTGATCGGCAACGCCTACAACTTCCAACTTGTCCCTTAGCCATTCCTGGAAAATTCTCGGCCCGCACGAAGCCCACGATTCGGTTTCTGTCGAGAGGACCACAATGATCAACATCCCACTTCTTCCTCATTTGAGCGTCTCTCCCGACCAGCATAGCATTTTCTTGAATTTTTCGTGCGTGGTTTTATTTGATTTTTCAGCAACATACAGCCGGCGTTGGGATTTCTTAGTTGTGGTTCGGAATAGGCAAATCCGTGTACAGGCGTCGATACGGCAAAAAGGAAATTGGGCATTTATTTAGATGCGGGTTCAAGGTTGTCCTATGTCCCAGAGGAAGTGTGTAGTATACGATTTTATGATATTCTTCGTGATCATACTCCGACTCTTCATTAATCGATTTCGAACGTACTGACGAGCTCCCCTCCGATAGAACATTGCATTTCATCAGCCCGAATGCCACGGTGAATGGTTGAGTGAAAGATATGTAGAAGCTGCGAAAATAGCGGCAATCATGACAGTACGATTTCATCTACATGTAACACCCGACGTACAAGCCGTCCACTAGCATCTCATCCCCTTCCCTTTAAAACGCCACCCTCGTCCTCATCTCCTGAATCTTCTTTTCACATTCCGCCACGCTGCGCTCCGTCTCCGCCGCAACCTTCTGCTTCCCATCATACGACAGCGCCATGAACCGCTCACACAAGTCGCCATCGATCGCGCCCTTGACGGGCAGATAGTACGATCGATACGCGAGATGGTCGCGGCCCGCGAGCGGAGGGTCCTCCGCGCGCATGCCCTGCTGCAGCGAGGTGAAGAAGTCGACGTCCTCGCGCGCAATGAAGGGCACCAGGATTCCCAGCGTGCCTTGCAGACCTGCCCAGAAAAGCACGTCCTGTCCACCGGCTACCAATGCCGTCTTTTGCATGCTGACGGGAATGTCCTGTGCGTAGTAGTGCGCGCGGAGATCTAGCCGGTACGGCGTGCCGTGGAGGTAGGATCGTTCGTTCATGAGGTGCGCTGTTGCGTTGTCTTCGTCTGCTTCCTGACTGGCTTGCGGGGGACATCGCACGACCCAAAGGTTGCCGAATTTGTCGCCGCCCGCTACGGTCTCGTAATCCATCATGGCGGAAGCCGTGGTCCAACGCTTGACGGTGTCGTCGACGAACGGAATGAGGCGGTTGAACTTCGGCTTGAAGACGACGTATGTGACGCTCTCGCACACATCGCCGCAGATGATACGATTGCCGCTAGCCTCTAAGGTGACGATTTGATTGGGTGCTGCATTGACTCCGCGGCTCTTGCGAAGCAATTTCTTCATGCCGATGTCGTAAATGACGAGGTCTTTGCCAATACCGGCGGCCAGCCGTCCTTTGAAAGCCATGAGCGCATAAACGGGGCTCGCTACATCAGTTTTGTGAACGAGGTCAAGCTTCGTGCCGTCTTCGGTGATGTGATATATGTGGATGAAGCCAGCACTGGTTTTGTTAGTGCCTGGTGACATGTGTTGTCCTGTGCCGACGGCGAGGTAATGGTCCCAGTTCTTTTCTTCGAATTGTACTACTGCACAGCAAAGAGCGGCCTCATTCTCGCCGAGCTCAATCGTCGTAGTGACAGCTTTCCGATAGACGGGATCAACGGCTTGAATACACGATGCCCAGTGATCGGTACCATGGGAAACGCCGAGATGCTTTTCGAGCGCTGTCGCTGCTTCATCATCCTCAATGCTGCCACCACGAAGTTGTGCTCGAGTTGCCTCGGAAAGGGTGTTGGCGTCGCTTTGTACCACATACCACACTGGGAAGTATGGTGAGCGATCGAATGCTCGAGGGGTATATTTCAGATCAACCGAAGTTGTCGACAAGCGCTCGTTGATGGACGTGATTTCAAAGATCAGCAGATTTGATCCTTGGATCGCACACAGGCCAGAGTTCTGAAAAGGCGTGTTGAATGTCCGTGCAGCCTCGAAATATCCCTCTGTGACAAGCGGGGTGAGGGTGAATAGGCGCGATTGTGGGTGGTTGTATGCCAACCAAGGTCGACTAGAGCATGCCACGATACAATCCTGATCATGCAGTCGAACGGGACAAAGGCGAGGCGATCTTGTGCCGATGAACTTCGTACGAGTATCTCCGAGCTCACCTGTGAGTTCGTCAAGCACTGCACGAAGGTACAACCCTGATTCCAGGCCAATATGTACGTTGGTCACCATGGTCTTGGAGTTGGCATCGATCATCTCGATAAGCTCCAGCGAGGTGGGGATAGCGGAAAGCGCTTGGACCGTTCTTACTTCTAGCAATGAACTTGTCTCGATACTTATGACGCGAATCGTCGAATCAGCACAGCCAACAACTGCGAATTTGGCTTGTTGTCTTCCCGGCGGTGTTGTGCCTACTGCTAGAGAAGTAATCTTGTCGTCCATCTCGGGCATGTCTTCGAGTTGTTGCAGAACACCATCCTCGTCCATCATGAAATAGACCAGCTCACCAGAACTCAGCCCAATCAACATTTGATGACTGTTCGAAGATGCTGCAACGATGGTAGTATGCTTCGGTGTTTCCCAGTCGTTCACAGCGCCAGATTCCAAGATACTTCGGATACCGCGGGCGTGGACCTGTATCCGCGTGGCATCGCCCATCTGGTTGGCATGGATCGTTGCTCGGTTTTCCATGAATCCAGAATCTTCCAGCTGCTCAACTGAGTCTGTGATAGAGCAAGCGACGGTCATCTGGGCATATTGACTCGTGATAAGCAAATAGCTGTGGTATTGATCGGTAGCCCGATGCTTCATCGGGAACAGATTATCATATGGTACATTCCCCATAGGATTCTGGATAGGCTCCTCTACCGTTATGCCGTACCTCATGGTCTGCAGACGACTACGTGTGCCGGATCCTTGTAGAGTGTAAATTTGTGGCGCATCCTCGTTCGTAAGGTTTGCGACTTTAGCCTTAATCAGTGGGTGCGAGCCAGGCACCTCCATTGAAAGGCTACACATGGTGAGTTCTCGTGGCTGGAAAAAAGTGGGCTCGATCTTTTCTGTTGGATCTGGTGATACACCTTCTGAGCTAAAATTGTTGTGTGGTTCGTATTCTAGATCCTGGGCCAGATCATCGATGTGCATGAGCTTGCTGCAACCGTTCTCGGCCAGAATGTAAAGAAAACCTCGTTTATGCAGCACCATTTGTCGCGCTACTGGGAATGTGTCGTAGTACTTCAGATGCATGTATTCAGGAACAGCCGGATCTTCGCCCACGATGTCGAGCCTGAACACATCGCCATCGTCAGTCTGCAGCAGAAAGAAGAAAGTGTGAGTACTCCGCTTGACGTGAAGACAACCCGCGACAATGCATCGATCGCGAGTCTGATCCTCAGTCAGACCTTTCCTTCGAGGTATGGCAATCGACATTGACGCCTGTGTATTATGCCGGTAGTAGATCCGCCCTTCCGCACACACCAATACTCCTGAAGGGCCGTCTTGTCCACCAGGCACAGCGAAAAGTTTGTGCGCGGAATAATCTACCGGATCACTCCAACTCTTGACAACGTGGTTTAAGCCTAGGTCAACCGTGTAGTAGACAAGGTGCTTCTCCCGGCGCTCGTAGGCAAGTCCAGTCGAATCTGTATCGGCTTGCGTATAATCGACTTCGAGAGCAGCAAAGATTGGTTGATCCCAGTAAGTGTCCAGAGCACAAATATCGAAGCATAAACAGGCCCATTTGTTTGCCTCATGGGGACTTGAGATCAAAATCTCGTTCTCGCCTTGTCGGGTCAAGAAATAGACGACCTTGTTCTTTTCCGCACTGGCAAGCATCAGACAGCGACCACGCGGGTCTACAGCAAGATACTGACCGGGCACTGTGCGCCTGATTCCAGATTTCCCAAACGTTTCTAAATGAATCCTGCGGAACTTCATCTTTTCACTGTCGAAATCGAGGACAGTCACGCGACCTGAATCTGTTGCTACAACGAGCTGATCAGTCGATGTGCCAGGGACCCGGAACGCTGCAACGCGACGCACGATGCCGAAAACATCATGTTCAGCGATTGTCTCCACCCGTCGTCCCGCGACTGTCGTGTCAATGACACGGTGGAGCAATACGCGTTGACCACGAGCCTCAAAAATCTGCTCATTCTTCTCGCCTGGAATTACGCTGCACACGACGGCTGCAGTGGGTGCGGAGGACTGCTCCAGCGTGAGGGCGTAGAAAGCCTGCGTCTGCTGGATATTGGCCATGATGTTGGTTGTTCCGCGCTATGCGGTGGAGTCGTCCACAGTGTAAACTATGCTCCTTCTCTTCGGCGTCGGCAAGTTGGTCCTGTGAGCCGCGGGAAAGGATCGCTCGTGGCGCGCAAATCGCGATCTGTGTCGCAGGAACGTCGTCAGGCGACTTTTTGAATGTGTTTAGAACTCCTTTAAACGCGCATGATCAAGCACTCAGGTTCCTGCTGTATCCGTTCGGCATTGCTCGTACCAATGGTCGTGAGGTAATCGTTGAAGCGTTAATATGGGAAACAGGAACGAGATCTACAGGCTCGTGAGGTAGATCGACAAATTCGTGAAAGCTACCTGTATCGCATGCGCTATCAACCAAGCTGCATCTCCAGAAGAACCGCACGAGTCAAGCGGCGTCCCCAGATTTATGCGGCCGACTTCCCCATTTGGCAAGGACAGCGAGCTTCACATTTCCCAAACGACTTGTCATTGACAGCTACATCATTGCTGCCTTTAGCCCAATAGCATATGCCATCGCACCAGCATGGCTGCCAAAGGATCATGCCGGAGATGTCTGCAGTTGACTACGGCTGCAGCTGCTCCTACGACAATCCGCGCACCTATTCGAAAAGCATTCTCGACATCAGTATCGCGCAATTTGCAACGATCAGGTAGCCAACAGCGTGCAACTCCGACTACAGAAGCATCACGATCCAACTGGTCTAACACAGGCTCCAACTATGTGAGCTCAAATCAGGCAGCCTCAGACTTGCACGACGAGCAATCGACTCGCGTTCTGCTCCGCAAGAACAACCTCTTTCATCCCTTCAGCAAGTCCCCTTCATCGCGGATACGAAAGCGAGCTGCTTTCATGCGACAGAATGCATACTGTCCTCATCCTGATCACCGAGCGACTCGAGCTGCCACCTCACCCAACGATCTAGAACTCCGAAAGACAGGCTCAATGGCCCCTGCGCATGTACACTATGAATGTCCGGATTGTGGTATACCAGTATCCTGTAGCGAAGAGCATTTCGTGGAGGACTACGAGAGCCATCTTGAGATCTGTCACATTCTGCGGCAGATTAACGAGGACGATCATGATCTCGTGAGCGGGCGATTCTTTGCAGAATACAACTATCCGGGCGCTCAGATTGATGAGGCACAGGCGAACTTGACAAATTGGGATACCATGATGTACAGTCGAGAATTCGAGGCAGTCAACGACGAGCGAGCCCTTCGACAGGTCACACGTCTCCTGACATATCCAATCACCATTGCCAGTGTGCTGCACGAGCTCAGTCCATACGGCCTCAAGAATGGAATCACACCCGAGGGTCTCCGTTCGCTCAGCGGTAAGCTCTTGTCACTTGGGGTATAGCCACTGCTTGAAACTAATGTGTTTGTCCAGCGCTACGATATACTCTTCATCCTCCCCGGACTGGTGCCAATGCCGATATCAAAGGTCTGCGACCGAATCCTCCACCCGTTCGTCTCTTCATCCTCGGTGCACGTGCAGAATCAAGTCTTCCACGCGAAGTATGGCTGCAACTTGCACATCTCTTCCCACGCTCGACATTCCATCTTGTATTCATCGGACCGGAATCAATGGCGTCTCGGGAGCATGAATTTCCACTCCCAGAGCGCACTCCAGGAAACCCATTTGGCGCAATTGTCGAGGATAGACTGGGTGGTGCGATGAAGATTTCCACATACGTCGACTACTTCCACACTCTACACAACGCGCAACACTTCTATCCTTACGATCCTTATTTCGATGCCTTCGTGCTGTTCCATCCGGGTCTCGGACACCCAGCCACCTCCCACGAGTGGGCAGAGACCTTACCGCAGCTGCTAGAGACCAAGGTACCTATCATCTGCACTGGCTTCACCGAGTACGATATGCAGCGGGACATCGAGTGGGTCACAAAGCAAGCACGAGGCGAGATGGACATAATCATTAACCCAATGGAGAATCGATTCAGAAGTCTAAGGTGGGATCTGAACGATCTCGATCCAGGTGACATCAATTGCGCAAACTATGGCGTGTGGGGATTCCGAGGCAAGCGCTACGAGACGGACGAATATCGCGGCGGGCAGCAGCAGCAGCAGTAGCATGTACTAATACTTAGAACGTCTGCCACGAAGCTCAAAGAGAGGGGTAGAACCAGTCAATATAAATTGCCTTCGCAAATGAGAAGCGCTAAGATTCGCAGTACAAAGATATGATGATACGATAAATGTATATCTACTCTGACGCGATGACAAACCACCCTCAAGCACAGCCAGATAAGTAAGCGACAGCCTCCAAGATTTCCAAGATGGACATTTGTACGCTGAGTCCAAGATCTATGGCCATACCCAGAGTTCACGTCGTTCAATTTGTCAACCCAATTATTTCGTACACGAGCTCGTATCACCTATCGAATATTGAGTCAGCCGCTTGATTTGTGTGATTGTGGCGGAGTTGTAGTGTTGATGTGAGAAAGCATTTTCAGTAGGAACAATTGGTATATTATAAAAGAACCGTCATGGTAATCCGGATCGAGTAACGTAGATTTCATCATTGCAAGGGAGTTGGAACCAGAATGAGTGTGAAACATACCTTCTAAGAATGTGTTTGTGTCACTGGTTTCTTCTCCTCATTTATGTCGTCTCGCGTCTGATTAGGAGAAAAATCTTCCGACGAAACTTCCTCGGCGCTCAGGACGTGATGATTGATTTCGAACTTGGGACCTGTGAAATTCTTTCGTCCGTCGAAGATCCAGGTAATCATGCTAATTGCGAACACGATAGCGAAGGCCACAACGCAGTAATTCATATTCATGCCGTTCACGGGCAACTCGGGCGGGAATAGGAATAAAACTGTGGTCAATACCACATAGCAGACTCCGATGATATTGGCAATCCAAGCGAACCATTCTGGCATGATGAAGGCTCGGGTAGATGGGAGCATCCTTCGCCCACGCAGACAATTGATCGCCACTGGCATAGCGTAAGAGATGCCTAGAGCGACGACGGAAGCGGCGATGATAGCACTGAACGCGCTGGACGAGCCAATGAGGATCAGACCGAATATGACAACAACCAGGGTGGTGAGGCCCAGCGCCTCCAGTGGAACATCGAGCTTCTTGTGCACGCGCGCAAAGAACTTCGAGAACGGAAGCCCTCCATCACGCGCAAAAGCGTATGTCATGCGTGATGAAGTTGTCATGGCTGAGTTTGTTGCGAACATTATACAAACCAGCGGAAAGATCAGTAAGCAGACAGTTCCAGGTCGGCTTCCAGTGGCATGAAGAATGATCTGTCCAAGAGGGCCGTATCGTGACTCGATAACATCTGGGATGCTGCCCGCAACAAAGAGTAAGCACACGAGGAAGACGAATCCTGTGCCTATACCGATGGCGACACAGTAAATCATGATTTTTGGGCCTTCAATAGCAGCATTAGGGATTTCCTTTGGCAGGTCAGCGCTTGCACATGGCCAGTTTAGACATGCGGATACAAACCTCGATCATATGTGCAGTGGCATCAAAACCTGTCAGCCCGAGTCCAGCCTGAAGTAAGCCTAGCAACCAGGCGACTCCATCGGGCCAATTGGTCTCGTTTTGGAATTGTCGGAACACAACATCTGCCGAGTTGTAGTTCGGCGAGGCACAGGCGAGGACCGTGATGCTGATAACGACGAATCCTAACACGCTCCAAACAATGGCAGCTTTATTGACCAATGGTAGCAAACTGTTTGCGAAAGCATTCAAAAGGGTAGTGACCAGGATATACCCGATGAAGATGAGAAATTGCTGCCAGGGCTGAGGAGTAAAGTCCAGTTCATGCATGGCGACGATTCCTAGGATCAGCTGGCTTCCGAGGAGGCCACCCACGGCAACGAGGGCCATCCATCCAAATACATTAATCCATCCTGTGACCCTGGACAGATCATTCAGTATGAGTGCACATGGTTGTTGAAAGCTTCCCGTTGCTGCACAAGCAACTCACCAGCTCAATATAGGCATATATCTCTTCCAGCTGATCACAGCAACCCAATGATACTGTCCTCCTGCGCTTGGGAAAGCAGAAAGGAACTCCGCCAAACTGGCTGCCAAACATAGGTTGCATAGTCCCGCGGCGACAAGGCCCCATAGGACGACGGTGGGACCTCCACTGGGGAGAGCGAGGTTGAGCGAAGTCGAAAAAGCCGTCCAGGAATTGAGCGTGGCGAACGCAAGTCCTAGCATAGACAGCGGGCTGAAATTCCTCTGCAGCTCTTGCTTGATGCCCAGGGCAGCGAGATGCGCATCGTCGGTGATGACACTCCTTCGACGCATGGTTGATGATGTGTTACTGCATCATCAAAGAGTTCAAGACGCATTCACAAGGTGAACACGTCCTGAGACAGATGTGACGAGCATAAGTGTCGTCTCGTGCCGCATGCTCGACTTCTGATCGGCAAGCCGAAGGAGCTCAACAAGGGTGTGGAGCGCCTTTTGGCTGCAGATTGTGTTGGAGTGAGATTGCTTATCATGCTTTCCACAAAGGACAGTACTCGCATGTAGACACTTTGATAATCACAAACGCCAACACCCATCCGCTCCTCTTTCAAGAATAACACCGACGGGATCAGAGATTGCGCGGTCAAAACAGCGCACAGCCCGGAATTTCCTCGGCCACACTGGCTCATCCCCGTGTGCGAGCCAACACAGACCCCATTTTTGGCTTCACCTCCGTGAACTCCACGGCTCCTCCTGCAGGTGCCACTAGCCCTAGAAGTTACCACGATTTGCTGTATCAGTTCACGCATCGCAGAGACCGAACATCATATTAGTCATGCGAGTGAATGAGTTCGATGACACCTGCACCAAGCTGTGTGGGAGATATTGCCGGGAGAGAAGTATATAAATGAAGTGACAATGTTATTAGATCATGTTTCGCGTCCAGGTCACAAGACGCTACTTCAACACGGTATAAGCGCTACGGATACACGAACTTGAGCACGGCGACAAGGCTACAAGTGAGCACTGTGATATTTGGTTGCTTTGCGACGATCAAGGATGCCACCTGTGTGAAGCCCTCGGGCCGAAAATGGCATGGTCTCGTCAGCCAAGAGAGATTTCTGAATAAGATATCTCTCGTGCGACTGCTCCACCACACATGTTGCCTTAACTACGTTCCTTACATTGATCCAGGGGTGCGCGCAGGACGCCATGTCTATTCCTCTGGCACCTGTCAAGATATTGCCCGAATCATGATCCCGAACAGTTAGTCATCCAGGATATCTTGGTGACAGCCTTGTGTCGGCTGTGCAACCATGGGACAAGCATTATCCTGTAAGACGCCGGAACCACCACTGCTGTCGAAAGGCTGTTCGGGAGGCATCGAGAACAACCTTTCCGTGTCGGAAGAGTAATGGACTCATGTGGTCTCATCATACTTAGTATATCTGCTGAATATGTCCGCAATCGATTTTCGAGACGTTGAATAGCCTGTGTTGAATCGCTCCGAACTGATATCTTCTTGTCGGCCACATGACACTCCAAGCAAACGTTAACAGGCTTTGGCTCTTGCTCTGCCACTTCCGGAGAGCCTATGAGCTCGATGAGGACTTGTTCGACGCTAATTTGGAGGAAGAAACCCTTGCACATTATGATCGTAACAAGTTTCTCCCACTGAAAATCGGTCAAGTTCTCGTCCGGCGATATAAGATCCTCGGAAAACTTGGGTATGGCAGCCAGGGAACGATATGGCTCTGTTTTGACAAGAAGACGAAGACTTATTTGGTTTTGAAGGTTATTGTTGCTTTGCCATGGAATCTGAATGGCTGGTCTTACGAGCTCACGTCACGCGAGGTAGTCGCCGATGCTCGATGCCGTAATGCAGCTTCCTACCACGCAGATAGTAGAGGGATTGAACATATCCGGCTTGTCGAGATGTCTTTCCTGATCGACTCACGTCTTTCACCTGGTCTGTCACATCTCTGTATCTTTCACCGTCCAGCACTCATCGATGTCAGTACACTTCAACGACGCATGAAGGACAAGAGATTCGATGCAAAGGCGCTGCGGATGATCCTCAAATCAGTCCTCATGGCACTTGACTTTTTGCACAGGAAGGCCAAAATCGTGCATTGTGATGTCAAAGCGGACAATATCCTATGCAATGCTCTGAACGACACGATCTATGGTGCAATTGCTGAGAAGCTACGAAAACAGCACGTTGTGACGAAGATCGACAGGAAAGACCAAAGGAGGATTTACAAGTCCACGACTTTTGAGGATTTCTTGCACGAGGTGTCTTTCGATAACGTTTTGCTGGGTGACTTCGGCGAAGCGGAGATGGGAGTAGGAGTCGGCGACCAGAAGGGATGGACGTCAATGTGCAACGATCAGTATCGACCCCCCGAGATTCATCTCGAGATGACCTGGGGAAGTTCTCTCGATATCTGGGCCGTGGGTGTGTTGACGTGGCGTTTGTCTCAAAACCAGTTGCTGTTTGGTGGGTCGGATGACAGACGAAGTTTAACCACGGAGGACTTCCTCTCTCGCATGCATACTATCCTCGGGCCACCACCATTGAATTTCCTCGAGAGAAGTCCGAATGCCCGTCGATTTTGGAATGAAAAGGCCGAATGGATCGGCAAAACGTGGGATCCTCCACTGACTTGGTCTTGGGACGATCGTGAGTCAAGCTTTGATGGTCAAGAGAAGCGAGCCTTCATTCGATTCCTCAAAGCAATGCTACGTTGGCGACCCGAAGACAGGAGGACAGCGGAAGAGTTGCTAGCAGACCCTTGGTTGAACGCGAGCTTCGAGTGCCACACAGAAAAAGCATGCTACGTTGGTCGACGACTGAGCGATGCCTTGCCTTCAGCATGACTTCTCACATCAAGCGACAGTACATCAACATGTTTTCGTAGTTTTGATCCTGCGCAACTCCGTGCTCCCTTGAGCATGCTGATGATTAATCACTTGCGAAATACGCCGCTGACAAATCATATGCCTTTCCTTTCTCGTGTTCCAAAATGACCTGACTGTGATTCTCACGTTCATCGGACCCCTGAGCAGACCAGTCCTATCACGCTGGCCCTTCACAGGGATTCCCTATTTAAAAACGCAAATCAATACAGTAAGACATGATATGGTATAGTCTACAACGATAGAGTCGTATCATTAACCTATATACTTGATCTATAGAACGGAGGTCTCATAACAGATCAAGCTAAGCTTGAGTCATCCTCAGATCTGAGGTGCTGAAAGCATTTGAGCTACACAATCATGACCTAAGAATGCGATTGGAAGCGGGTGTGAAAGGTGAACGGACATGCTATGTGCAATTTTGCAACCTTCGCCGCCTTGGGTATGTCTGCTTTTGATCAAATGCTCTAAGCAAGTGGTGTACCACGTACAGTTCTGTCTCTGCCTATTTGGATTTGGTTCGTAGGATTTCAGCGACTTATTCAAACTCTCACCTTCCCTCTGATAAGTGATTCTAGATCCAGGCAGATCGTAGAATAGCGCTCTTCTTCAATTGTTCGATCCGGATATATATATGCAGACACGGCACGAACGGCCGACGGTCCTTCACCTGACCGGAGTCGGGATTTACTACCCGAAGCTAATCGGGCGGCCGTGGTCTTTACAGTCGTCGCAACCAAGGCAGCCCAGTGCGGATAAGGGAGGCAAAATGATCTCGTGCCGGATCTATGATCCGGCAAAGAAAAGAGGTGAACGGGGGCAAAAAGGATGGCGACAATCATGACAACTGTAGCTGTGCCCGAACTGAGAATCGAACTCAGATCTGAGGATGACTCAAGCTCAGCTTGATCTGTTATGAGACCTCCGTTCTAACCATTAAACTATTCAGGCTAAGGATACAATGTATCGTTGTGTGGGGGCAATGCAGGGATAACAATATGATCGTGTGTTTCTTTTCCGAGATCCTCGCAGAAATCCAGGCGAGAAATGAGTGTTCTGCGGCGTTGCGGGTCCAGGATGACGCTAGCGCAAGCCAGCGTGCACCACTGAAGCGCAGGTGGGGTTCGTACAACCAGAATTTCGTCAGGGCGCACTACTCCCATGTGGGGCTGTGAGCGTGTGGAGCCCAAGTTGGTGTAGCGGGTTGTAGAACCAAGAACCGTAGATGCCCTGAAGGGTAATAATGATGCCGGAACGACGGACAACGGCATAAGAGGAAACAAAGATCGAGGAGGCGATAAGCACGACAACCAAGATCTACGATGCGGAAAAGATTTCGGAGACATTCACTCCGATGGCGTCCGGCGAGCCACGTTGCGAAATTCAATGAACAGTGACACTGCAGGCGTGGCAATCGCATGGTGATCAGCGGTCATTTCAGTGAAATCGTAGTTGTTCACGAGTACAATTGATATGATGCGATTGCGTGTGACGGGACAATTGATCGGCAATTTCACATAACAGGTGATGGACAAATTCACACGACCGATGACGGACAAATTCACATGATAGACGATGTATGATTCCACACGACCAATTGTGAGCCGTGAATGAATTCGCAGGATACTTCACAAATGATCTCCTTTAGTGGATGAGATCAATTCAACGAATCAGACGAGAGAAGAAAATAATGACTTCTCACAACAGGTGACTTTCGTTCCCCGATCAGCCGGAATGCTCTGTCCGACACAAACCACTTGACTCAAAGACACCAAGTTGGCCATGGGCTCATATAGCCCCACGGCTTCACTTTTGCAGGCACCGAGGTCTTCGTAGCATTTCAGTCACCCCGTGATAACAGCCCCGGCGAGGAGACAAACAACTCGCATGCCCATTACATCCTTTGCTAAATGGCTGGCGAATCCTCCAACACAGAGCTTACGAAAAACAGCGGTGCATGTTTTGTCATCGCTGTTGAGCAAAGGGTACATCTTCGATCCTTAGCATGGATGCATTTTGTGCGGGGGGCTTTGCTGCCGTGCTATAACGATGGTCGTATGTAAAGGCCTTTATGGAAAGCGGCGGAATCAATGTAAAAGTATGTCTTCCCTCCTGGGGTATAGATAATCACCAGATATACGCCTGGGCTCCTGTCCTTGTATAGCGGCGTGATGTGTCAGCGCTCAGAGTCTCAAGTGATTAGTCAACAGGAAATTGCACTGACCTCACCAACAAGTGTCTCTTTCAACAAGGATGGATAGTCTCACAAATTAGACACAGCAAAGAAAGGAAAATGTGAGGTCCCACCACATGTGACATTCCTTCTCATTCCCATGACAGATCTATATAGAAAATCATATCTACGTTTACAATTCATCTCTCGCCCTCGGCTCTCTGATGGAACCGAGGAGATCCTCAATGCTCTCCGATCCAAAGGCAGGCTTCTCAGCAGCTTCAGGCTCAGCAGCGGGCGGAGGACCGGTGGGGGTCTCCTCATCGTTGGCGGAAGCCGGCTCGCCAAGGATGTCGTCAGCGTTCTTCACTCCGCCCGCGGTGCTCTTGCCCTTCTTCGCGGCCTTGGTCTTGGGTGCCTTGGCTTTCTTGCTGGAAGTGGTGGGTTTGGTCGCTGCTTTCATCTGCTTGTAGACTAGGTCGCGCATGGAGTCGGCGACCTCGCTGATTTTGGCCTCGAGGTCTTTGATGCGGAGGACGGGTTCTGCGAAAGTGTCTAGGGCATTTTGCTCTGCAACCTTCTTCTCTAGCCAGTCTTTTGCAGAGTCGTAGGTCGCTCGGATGCTGGAGACATCAAGGCTGGCGTAAGGGTTGAATTCGGTGGTCGTAGTCGATTTTGATGCCGATGAGGTGGCTGTCGCGGAAGCCTCAGGGTCGACGGGCTCATCATCGGTGCCGGTTGTCTCGGCTGCGTCGGCGGTGGAAGTTTCGGTCTTGGCCTTTTCGGCAGCTGAACTTTGAGCTTGAACCGCCGAGGCAATGCTGTCCTCCATCGTGACAAGGAGCTTGCCCATGGAGTCTAGAGATTCTTGCAGCTTCTTGATGACGGCGGGACGGTTCTGGCCTTCTTTACGACGGCTGACGATTGGGTCGACAAGCTTCTTGAGACTTTCACGCTTCTCCTTTAGCGTGTCGCGAGTAGCCTTGGCCAAAGTGCCAGGGACCTCCATCCATTCCTTGACGGATTGCAACACAGAGCTGATCTCGTCTCGCTGAGCCTTGGTGCTCACGCTCTCGTAGTCGGTGTTCTCCAGTAGATCACGTACGTAGTAGGTGAAGCTTTCCAACAGGTTCAATGCTTCTTCACGAGCAAGTCGAGCAAGATCAGAGCTGTCAAAGGACACGAAACGATCGCGAATGTCCTGAAGCTTGGACTTTTCCACTGGCAGACCGCCCGCAGGAGTCGACGTCACTTGGACGTTGATGGACTCGGTGCGCTTCTTGGGAGCCTCCGAAGCCTTCGCAGAGTCGGCGGAACCAGAGCTAGTTGCAGTCGACGCTTCCTTCTTCTTGGCCGATTTCGTGGATGTGCTAGTGTCAATCTCCTCGACAGGCGCTTCATCCTCTCCCTCATCGGATTCCTGGTCCTTTTTCTTTCCAAATCCGAGCCAATCCTTGACAGTGTCGCCGACACTTCCAGCCTTGGGTACATCATCGACCTCGCAGCTCACACTTCCGCCAACGACTTCCGGCAGGCTATCCAGACTGCCCAGGCGGAAGCTGAATTTGGTCGTAATATCCGCTTTCTCGCAGCCGAATTTGGCGTTCAGCTCTTGCACGGAAAGTGTAAGGTTGACAGACTCAACATCAAGAACTGGGTAGTGACGGTCATCGACGACCTGGGTGAATTGGAACTTGAAATCTTCCTTGTCCTTGAAAGTCACCTGCTTAATGGTGGCTCCCGAACCGGATTGTGAGCTGGGAAGGAACAGGTCCTGCCTCTTGACCTTCTCCTTGTCGGTGTAGAACAACGAAGTGGTGTAAGCAGCGAGATCAGAATCACGGATTTCTTTCACTTTGAAACTTGCTGAGAGACCCGCAGCCTTGAATGCCGCTCCGAACACGGCAGACTCATCTGCGTTGACACTGTTGCGCAATTTGCTGGCATCTCCAGCAATCTTCTCGAGACGGCTGTGTACGAAGGGAGTTCTTACGGCACCACCGTGAAGGATGATAGAGTCAACGTCCTTCATGGTCAGCTTCGCCATCTTGAGAGCGTCCTCGATGGGCTTCTCAACGCGATCGGCAAATCCCGACACCAGCGCCTCAAAGTCGGCACGGGACAACTTTGTGCGCAGGTCAATGTCAGGCAGAATCTCCTCGAAACTATTGGAGGTCTCCGAGTTGGCACTCAAGATCTGACGCGCCTTCTCGGCCTCCTTGAAAAATCGGCCCATGGTTCGTCCATTGGACTTGACCTCCTCGATGGAAATACCCTTGCTCTTCACATCCGACTTGGCCATGAGCTTATTGACGAAATCGTCCATGATGACATGGTTCAGGCTGTCTCCGCCCAGAGTGCGATCCCAGCCTGCACCAAGGACAGCAACTTCTTGCACTGTCTTGTTGTAGCGACCGATATCCTTGACACTTCGAGATTGGAATCGGAGTAGAGTAGCGCTCGTAGATCCAGCGCCCATGTCGAAAACGAGGTGGTATTCTGGCTTCTCACCCTTTGTAACAAGGGGGAAGGTTCTCGTCTTTGCGTAGTCCAATCCGACAGCCAGACCGTCCGAGATGAGGGCGTTGACACGGAGTCCGGCGTAATCGGCGGCTCTCGAGATGGCGCGTCGCTCCTCGGCGGTGAAGAAGGGAGGGATAGTGATGACCACATCTTCGACAGAGGAACCTTTGCCTGCCATTGCAAGCGCATTTCGCTTGATGTTTGCCAGTTCCATGCCAACGAGCTCCTCCACGGTGAATGGTACTGTGTTTTCCGCAAATCCACTGCTTCGGAAAACTGTCGCACCAAGCGGCTCCTCGTGCTCGATCTTGAGAGCCGGATATCTGGCCTTGTACACCGCTCTCTTCTCGTCCGCCTCTTCATTTGCTTGCAGACCCAGGAGGAACTTCAGGTTGGGGAAGACTTCGCTGGGAAATCGGCCTTGCAGAGCAAGGGCATCGCTGCCATAGACTCGCTCGGGATAGACATCCTTGCCAGTAATGATTTGGTTCTTTTCGTCCCTGCTAGGTTTGAACGCCAATGCAGCCACCTCTTTCCGCTTGGAGTCTTTCGTGAGAACAATGTCGAGAGGGACTCCAGGCTTGATCAGTGCGGCTTTGATGTGTAAAGTGCCGAAATCGATTCCGAGGACTGCTGCTTTCGCAGTAGATACGAAGAGGAATAAGAAGACTATGCATAGGCCCAATGGCGCAATGCGCCGTTGGTTTATACACAGCATTTTGTGTTTGTCTGGATTTCTCCCAGGCGTTGTGAAAAGTCGTATGCGCAGCAAAGCTTGATGCTCTTTAGCTGTGCAGCATTGAGACAGTCCAAGCTGAAGACTTCCAAGGTTGTCCAAAGCACAGGTGTGGTCTGCTCAAGTGGGGAAATAGCACGATGGAAAGAGGCCACTCAATTAATTGTTATTATTACAGGAGGATATACTGGTGCGAAGTGGCCTCAGGATCCAATGCAATGCACAATGTTTTCCTGATCGCCAGTCCATGTCGCGGCAAAAGTTAAGCCACCTGTTCAGAATTGGCCCAGCTATTCAGGGCCGTTTCTGGTGGATTTCGCGCGCGAATCTCGTCATCGGACTTGTCCCGTAGCGCTGGATCGCGGTGGACCCTTTGCTGATGGACAGCCCTGGAGTGGCCTCACCCCGACCGCAACAGTGTAGCAGCATCCTTGCGGTAGACAACATAAAACGTAAATACGTCTCTCACATCCTGGCGCACATTTCACATACAATATCTCATATCTAGTCGTTCTTTCATACCGCACCAAAGAGTGAAATTCGCACCCCTGCACAAGATCGAACCCAAGCACTTCACAACGACGGAACATGTCATTCGATGAATTCATTGGTGAAAATACTAGCAGACTGCACGCGGGCCGAGTCCTTAATCAACTCCCGCTCAACCAACCACTTGATCCACGCATTCCACTTCGCAGGCGCCATCGTCCCAAGTGAACCCTCATCTCCAGCATAGAATTGGTTGATACTCGTCTGACTCGCGCGTAAGAATTCTCTGGAGCGCTGCGGCTCGCAATGCTCATGCAAGGCCTCGACGGCATCTTCGGGATGGTCGATGGAGTGTTGGAATCCTTGCTGCGTGGCAGACAGGAAGGCTTTTAGAGTTTCCGGGGATAGGTTGGCCGCTTTATTGCGGGCAATGACCGGCGAATAACCATATGGAATGTCAAAGTCCTTGAGAGGAAAGTGGTTGAGTTTGATGGCTTTTGACTCGGCTTCAACTCCTTCCCAGGGTAGAAAGATCCATGTAGCGTCCACACGTCCTGTCAGGAGCGCCTCGAACATGGTCAATTTGCCTTCTGATTGGACTATCTCGACAGCGGAGCCCTCGCCGCCATCGTGAGTGACCATGGCCTTGACGATCGCATCCTCATAGCGAGCATTATAGCTGCCATATTTCTTGCCAGATAGTCCACGCATGGATCCGAGATGGGTGCTGGCAATAGCCGAAGCATCGCGCTGGAGTATCACATAGATTGCCTGGAGAGGCATCTTGCCAGTCTCGTTGTAGGCAATGCATGACTCCGAGGGGCAGATTGCCAAATCGACTTCGCCCGCTTCAAGTCTTTTTGCTGGAGTCTTGGTATATTCAGCGTCAGGTGATAATATCTCGACGTCAAGTCCACGATCTGCGTAGTATCCCTTGGCCTTTGCAAGGAATATACCACTGTGGATGGTATTTGGCGTCCAATCGAGGGCAATTTTGATAGTTGTGGAAGCCATGGCAGGAAACCTGCTATTGTTGTCGTAATTCGGAGTTTGCAGGAGATATGTCGGTCTCCTGGTACTTTTTCAACAAAGGCAGGGAGGGCTGGCAGGTGCAAGTAGTGAACAGAGGTGAAATGTGATCTCGATTGCGGGGTCAATTCAATGCCCATATCACATGAAGAATTGAAGCCTTCCGTGTACATCCGATTTTCTCTTGTTCACAGCTCGGCGCCTTTCACATGCTCTGCTTGTCGACAGCGACAAATGATTGAGTTTTTGGGTTAAGCTGCAGATATCCCGTTCGACTCGGACGCATTGGCTTTCCCAAATCCGTTGTGCTCGCTGTGCTTCTTGTAGTAGACCAATCTATCATCTTGAGGTCTCAACTCTTCCGAAAGTCCTTCCATGACTGTATTTCTAACCTCCTCGATTCCCTTCTGGTGATCACCATCGCGGTTCCAAACCTGAACCAGCATGGCTTTGGTGCGGACGCTCAGACTGATGCCGCAGATGTCGTCGCGGAAAGTCTGTCGGGTGGGATCCTCGACGGCCGCTTGGAGCTGCTCGCCAATCGCCATCATACACACCTCTTTCCAGAACTCTGGCGCCTTCTCTGTAGCAATACGGAACGTCCAGCTGCCGCCTCGGGCATTGCGCGGGTCCTCCCAGATCGGCTTGACGCCTTTGTGGAAGAGGTGGATCGAATCGCGAAGCTTGAGTTTGGAGATGTCGAAGTTGTTGAAGACGCTCCAGAACTCTTTCACATCGCTGATCTCGGCTAGGGATTCTAGTCGATCCTCGTATTGGCTCTCACCGTCGGCGCCAGAAGATGAACTGAGCCGCTCCTGTCTGTCGTGCCAGAAGTCCCAGCTGTGGATGAGAGGCGGCGCTGATTCTTGGTTGGTTCTCCGACCGGTGAGTCGTGCTCGGAGGAAATTGGTCATCTCTGCACCGCGAGCAGGAGCCGGGCTGTTCCCACGAGATTGTGATAATTCTGCCATTGTTTCCGGTCTTCAAAGCAATAATTGGGAAAGGTGAAAGTTTGGTATGGGAGACGTGAAACTCTGGTGAAGAGTAGTAAGTTATCTATCTTGACAAGGTCGTATGGCACGATCCCTCGAGCGAAGCGTCTTCTAATAATAAATGCGACTATTCTCCTTAGCTGAGGAATATAATTTCGCTAGGGATCATACGCGCAGGCGGACGCGCAAGGCCAGGGCGCGTAAAAGTTGAGTGACCCTGGCCGCCATGTGGTGACGTGGGGCAAGCAGAGCGCCGCCCATAGTCCATGGATTGGCCGGCGAATCATCGAGACGCGAGGGATCGTAAGCAGGCGCCATATTCAATGGCATGATAGTCAAGGCTCTGAGGTGAAGCAACCTCAGCGGCGTTGTGATTATTATCATTACCTATCTAGGTAGGTAGGTATACATTATGCATTCGATGACCCTGCTGCCGTTGTTCCCATTGCCCAAAATTTGATCAACCAGGACCTTGCATACAGTGCAGTGGGCTTATCGATAACACCAAGATTTTGGTCAAATCGGACGGGACGCTCCGACGGTTAAATAAAAACGATTCAAAATCCTTCTTTACCTAGGTACCTCTCGTCGCCGAAGAGATTGGGAGATGCATTAGTCATCGCGAATAATGAGCATCAGGTCAGTCATTCGAGTGCCTCGTCCAATTTAACCCCGATACCTGTACACGTTGACAGCCCGAATGAATTGGAGTGATGCGATGGCCTGGGTAATTAAATAGCTCAACGAAACGTGTGAAATGCAAACGAAGAGACTCCGAAGATATCATGACAACGCAAAAGACGAGAAAACCAAAAATGATTCATATAGATTGTCATACCTTTATATCGCGGGGGAAGAAGGTTCATCGTGGATTGGGAATCAGATCTCAAGTTCGCTTTCGTCGCGCTTCCAACAAACAACACAACACATAAACCACACTGGCACACTGGCACACATGGAGACGACACACATTTCGATTGGACGGAACAATTCCTTCCACCCTTCCCCGCTCGTGCAAGATTTGTGTTGGCAGGTCACAGAGCAAGGGTCGGTTTTTCGTCCGAATTCTTCTGTCCATCGCGACACACGCATGTGTCAATTCTCTTTGCGGATTGGAGGTTCGGGCATGTAACGCTGTCCCGAGATTTCCCACCTCATCGGAATCGGGCAGAGCAGCGACCCATGACTTCGCCCTGGCAGACCAATTCGGCGTTGAACTCGGAACCGTCGAGGGTGAGGTAGATGTCGAAGTAGACACGGTAGAAAGTGCCTTGCGGGGTGTCCATGCGCTCAAAGTCCTTTTCGAGGTTCTTACGGCTGAGATCGGAAGTGAGGGTGACAATTTCCTTGATACCTGTAGATTTGAAAAAAGAATGACGAGTCAGCAATCCGTTTCAGAAGAACAATCGTATCTTCATGTGAAAGGTTCGACCAAATCATAGCCAAAGAATGACTTACGGGGATCCTTGGTATACTCTGGGCAGACATCCTCGTCACAAGCGTACAACACGTCCTCGTACATGAGCGTTGCGCCGGGTGCAACCTGTCGGAAGAAAGAGACCTTGACAGGCTCGCCGATCTTGACTCGCTGTCCCTTTTGCACGAAAATCTGGCGCGTGTACTTGCATCGATCTTTGCCGTCCAAGCTGGGCACACGGTACTGCTCAGGGTGGTGGCCCTCCTTGAAAGGCTGTAGCGTTGCCATGAGGTAGTGACGACGGGCAACACGGGAGGTGATGACACGTTCGGTGATACCAGCGGTGACGGCACCCTTGACGATGGCGGCGACGGAGTCCATGGGTCGCACAACCTTGTTCTGGAATTGTGGAGGCACGTGGAGCTTGATCTGTTGGAAGAGGTACTCGGAGGCTCCAAAACCACCGACGACAAGAACATTCTGTTGGTAGAAATTTGTCAGTTCCGATCGATTCTGATGAACGGCAAAATGTGCGTCGCGAGTTTGCTTTCCAACTCACCTGTAGTGCTCGGTTTTGTGCCTGGATCGCAATGATCTGATTTCGGACCAATTCCAAAATTCGGTTGACGACAGGCTCAAAGCATTGGAGAATTTCCTCGTTGGTGAAAGTCATGTAACCTTCTTCAATCGCCGCTTCGGGATACTCGGCCTCAATACCAACGTCGACCGCCCACTTCTGACCGTTGTTGCGGAAATCGGCCTTTATCCGGTTCTCAAAGTCCATGATACACTTGGCGTAGACTTTGCCAGCAGTCTTGGATCCATCAGGAAGTTTCATCTTACGAATCTTGGCGCGGAGAATGTTGGAAAAGTTGCGGTTCAACGCAGTGGAACCGCAAGAGTCTCCAGAACCAGCTGTACATTCAGCCACAGTGAATGGAGACTCTTCTTCGACTTCGTAGGCGATCAAATCGACAGTACCACCACCGCAATCGACGATCAGCAGAGCATCGTGGACTTTCAGGTTAAGCAGACCAGCCTTGGCGCAGAACATGGCAGCTGCTTCGGGCTCAGTGATGAGGGTCAAGCGGTTGTCGTTCTCATCACGGAGGAAACCAGCCTGAATGGCTGCCGCTCTGGTAGCAGCTTTGCCAGCATCGTTCCAAATAGCAGGCACGGTCAAGAAATATCGGATATTCCTCTCTTCTCGGTTGAACACCTCTCCCAAAGTCTTCTGAAGCTGGTTTCGCATCGCCTGTCGCAGCTTGAACAGGTAGTCGGCTGCGACGTCAATCTCGGATTTTCCTGGAGGAAGCGGGGGCAGGTTGATAGGGTCTATGTAGGTGTTGCCGCTCAACATCAGCTGCAATTTGAACCATTCGACTTTTTGGACACCTGGCTTAGGATAACCAGTAGGCGCAAGAGCCTCGGCGATATCGGGACCCCAACCGACAACCTGTTGGTGCTGATCATAGTAGAGAACCGTCGGAATCTGCACTCGTAGAGCATGTCAGCAACGCACAAGTCGTTGGAACCAGGATATCACAATCCCATCAACTGTCGCAACCTACCTTCTGTTTTGTTTGAGTACCCGCGCCCGGCCATTCGACGATGATATCTTCCTTGGCTTCCGTGTTGGTTGCGAATGCGAATGCGACACCGGAAAAGGTGGTTCCCTGAGATCAGACGAATGACAAACCCATGTCAGCTTTGTGTAACCGTCAAGGGAGCTTTTCTTCGGACCGAAGATAGATAGGTTGTCACTTACAAAATCAATGCCAACAATCAATTGCGCCTTGCTACGGTTATTACCCTCCACCTCGGCAAGACGGTTGAAGGCGTTGGGATGTTGGTATCCGCCATATCCTCCACCACCCTGCTGTCCTTGAGTCGACATGGGGTAGCCCGGCGGGGCAGCGGCTTGAGGATACATCTGTTGCGGGTGCGGGGCTTGGTATTGACCGGCGCCGGTGTTGATCGGCGGCGGGGGCATGGGACTCGTAGGTCTGCCAGCAGAAGGGTGAGCTTGAGGAGCACCGAGCGCGTTGTTGTTCGCAGGCTGATTGGCGTACTGGTATGATGGTGGCCGTCCGAGCGGCTGGGGGGTATTGTTCATCGCCAGCGAGGTGTTGGACGTGGAAGCAGAATGCGCGGCGGTGGTCGCCTGGCTGGAGGAGGGATTGGTGTTGGCAGTAGCGGTGGAGGCGGTGCTGTCGCCAGCGGACGAGGAGGGAGGATGGGCGGCGGCGGAACCGCCGTTGGGTGAGGTGGCGGAGGAAGTGGTGGGAGCAGCCAGAGGCGAGGGGGCGGCGCGGGTCGGAGCAGCGAGGGAAGTCGAGGAAGCCGCGGCGGCGGAGCTGTTGTTGATGTTTGTGCTACTTGGCGATCTTCGCGTAGAGCCCACTAACTTGCGGAAGCGCGAATTCATGGACGACATGGAAGTGCGAGCAAAAGCGACAAGAGCGCGACCATGCCAGGGTGGGAACGAGGGACCGGTGCAAAGAGGGAGAGAAAGAGGGCCTGAGGGAAGGAAGTGGGTGGAAAAAAAGTTAGAATGGTGTAATAATAAGATAGATAGTAGATAGGTAGGTTGAGATGAGTGAGGCAGGTGTGACAGGCAGATGCTCGAGAGAGACGGGCGGACAGCTGGTGGCTGTACTGCAGGTGGACTGGACTATTTTACTGTAGGCATGCAGCAAGGGAGAGAGAGAGAGAGAGCGAGAGAGCGGGAGAGAGAGAGCGGGAGAGAGAGAGGGTGATGTGAGAGGAAAGCTGCGGCACGCAAGCAGCAGCACCAGCAGTAGTGGGATTCACAGTTGTCCCCCCCATGGACATAGCAATCATACAGTAATAACAATTGGGTGATGATACTATACCGTAGGGCTATTGACGATCGACTACAGTACATGCAATACGTGCCATTGTTGGAGCGATGCAGTGCTATAGCAGCAGGGAGACCTCTTCGCCCATTTTACTTGATTTCTTTTTTTCGATTTTCTCGTACTGGACACTGGTGTGGACTGCACCTTTGGGCCGCAGAAAAGAGGCAGCACCTGCAGCACGTGCTGGAGCCAGACGCAGGTGAGACGATTGCGCGCCATCGCTAGCAGCAGTCGACGGTAACAGCAGCGATGAATGACGATGATGGAGCGAAGATGGATATGGATGGCTTGTAGCGATAAATACTGTGCATCACTTTAGATGATGATATGGTACGCATAACCACGCACTACTGTACAACAATGAAGTGGTCCGTCATTGCCATCAATGTTGAGATGTATCGACATTACTGCAGACTTGTGGCATAGATACCCACCTGGGCACAGCCATTTATTATTATTACTGTAAGCGCCATTGTCACTGGAACGAGGGAGAGGGAGAGGGAGAGGGTCTGCTAGTGCGGCGGGCGGGGGCCAAATCATCTACCCTGTTCCGGTACAGCCATTAAAATAACAGTCCATCACATCGTTTCGGCCCCAATTTCTGCATATGGTGAATGCGATCTAAGGAGTAGTGATTGACGTACAGAGGCTGCGTCTCGACCTGCAGAGGCGGCAACAGTGGCACAGCAATTGACCTGTGTTATTATTACGACTCTCTTGCAGTGTGGTTGTTATCCAAGGTTGCATTGGCATTCCTCTTCACTACAATACAACATGACCGGCCCTGTTGTAGACTCTCGCAGGGATCTGATGTCTCCCTTCCAACACCGGACTTTGCCAGATTTTATCCAGCTACCTAAGTACCTAGTATAGAAACACCAACGAAATTGGGGAGCCAACAGCAGCGGCGGAGGTGGCTAGTAAAGAGAGACACAATCTCGTATTCACATGCATTGGTGGGCGGAAGGCAGTATCACATGCGTGCTAGGCAACTCCTCGACTGATGAGGCTTTTGAATGACTCGCCAGAAACGATAATTGCGTGTTAGTCGGACTCGATTCTGCGTGAACTTCCCGTGGACGACACTTTCGACAGTTTCTGGTGAGCTTCTCACATAACTCATCCCTTCCATACACCGGACGTCGGCCCTGACTTTCCGGGGGCTCCTAGTGTGAATTGGCACTTACCTGGCAGTGCCTGGGTACAGAGGGAGAGAACCTCTCCACAGTCCGGAGCAGAAGACCCTTGTTCTGGCGGGCTTCTTCGCAACGAAACTCGATAATACCTAGGTTGGTACCTAACCTTGGAATTGGATAATAATGCGGGGTGTGTTCAAGACTGCGCCGGTGCACGGAGGAAGCCCACACACGATCGACTCGACAAAGCACCTGCATGCTCCGGGGTCAATACATGTCATGTAACGACTGGAGGCTTCCGAGTGAAAACACCATACAGGCATACAGGCATAAGAAGTCGGCGGTTCGAGATGTCGCTCGTTCTCGCAAATTGATCAATCAAAATTCCATGTTCATCCGCCACTAACAGGTCATGATTCCATGTAGGCCTGGAGCGTGGCCCCAAGGACGGTACGTAAGTGGCATCTGCACGCCATTGAAGGACAGTCCCCCGTCGTCTGAAGCGACTCTTCGAGACTCATCACATCCGCCTCACGATCGAATCATCACAAAATAATAGAAATGTCTTCGTGAGGAAATGATGGTTTTGCACTCAAATTATACCAACATTTACAGCAAGAACGAGACGAATGCGGCGCGAACATCTACCGAGAAAAATCCCTTCCTCAAGGCTGCCCAGGTGGTTTGTGCTGTCGATATCCTGTCTGTGTTTATTTATACACTTGGGTAGGTACCTAGGTTTCGGAGTGCGCCGCAACGCTGCAGGGCCGAGTAGCCGTAATGTTTCATGTTCCAGCGCGAAATTTGAGCAAGCACTACTCCAGCTGCATTCCAACTTGCCTCTGTCGGTTCATTCTGCGGGCGTACAACAACATCGTCCAGGCCAGTTCTATGCCTTTGAGATGTTTGATAGACACCCTCACTAGCGTTGCGTAACTCGGGCGACGCGGGGGATCCACGCTCTCATACATCGTGGAATTGTCAAGCTGGAGAATTCGCATTTCGTCTCTTTCCCTTCGTGCTGTTCTGTGCAGCGCCATTGTCATTGGCATGTTGTCGACCTGGGACGACAGGGAAAGTCATCGGGTAGGCACCGGATCAGAAAACACTGTAAACAATATTCTCCCACGTGAACAATTTTCTCATCCCAACGAACATGACCCAAGTATCTTTGGGTTCTTCTCAATACCTCGCCAGATGATACATACCTAGGTAGCGACGATACCCAAACCAGGCGACATCAGCGTCTTTGTCCAAGCGGAACCATCTGGATAATAATGTCGGAATAATTTCAACCACCATCGCTTCCAGCCGACTGCTAAGGAGCGTCCGTACGTAGACCACTGCGAAAACATTTTCAACTTTATTATCTTCGCGTAGCAGATCGGGCACGAAATGCGCGTGTCTACTCATCGCAGGATCCGCTGTTGTGTGGTGGCCTTGCCTCAACATGCCTCCGTATCCACCACGTTTGACTTTGAAGAACCACTCCATGACTCTGCGCATACACGTAAGCTGATAGGTATCACAGAGCTCTCGTCTCCATCATCATCTCGATACGAGCCTATAAAGGAAATGGATCAAGAGTCTGCTCTGATCATGGCTGGCGTGGTGCGAGTCTGACTTGTCTATCCAATGACGACGATGATTTAGGGACGGCCGACCTGTACAAGCGAAGTAGCATTGACACCAGATTTACCTGGATCTTCAATCGGATCATTACACATTCCCGAGAACAACCGCAAACACCACATCGGCGACGCCGCCCCGATTCGACATGGAAGTCGTGTGTAACATGGACACATTGGAACAATTCTGGCCCTCCTTTAACAGACAGAGGAGACTCGTACCACGCAAGCCACAAACTGCGCGATACAGCACCGCAACTGGACTTCGCATCCCAAAATTTAAGGGAACATGGTAGCAGTGCTGATCTCCCCGTGTGACTGCTGTACAGCTCATGCCGGCGACAACACGTCAAGTCTGGATCACTACCTCGTCCTGATCGGATCCGTCCTTGGCATCACGCCATGAATTCCATCCCGATCTCTGCTCTCAAGGGAGCCATGAGTTCTCGACTTGCATCTTGTCGCTCGGGGGCACGAAATTGTGACGGACGAGAAGCCGTGAGCATGGATAGTGTCACAAGAGAAAACACATAAATAGCGTTCACGCTACTCTCATTCCACAATGCGATCCTCAAAGTCCACTTCATAACTTGCCAATCACTCTCTTCATCTCTCAGCACGTTCCAATCCGATCATGAGTACCGGCGGTCTGTCTGTCCGCGCTTTGACTGCCGATGGCATGCCATCTGTCGCATTACAATGGATTGAGATGCAACTTCCGACGGTCACGCCAGCTAATGCAGCTACACCGTCTGTGTCCACCGCTGCGAAGCACCAGGCCAACGCCGCCAACTCGGCCATGACTGTGAACAGCACCACAAATGATTTTGTTCGTCTCGTCAAAACCCCTCTCAACCTGAGAAGTGTCCTCAGACCTGCCCGAAGTGGCAAGAGTGCGTTCATGAACCGATGTTACGTTGTCATAGACTTACAGAAGGCAGGTACGCTCATGAATTTGCTTGCGGGAAGCAAGACAGAATTGTTTGACACGTCCTCGGGCGCTACCACCTTCACCAAGGGTGTCTACATCCCTACCAGCATTATGACTTCACCAGATTTCTCGTCTCTGGAAGGTGAACCAGTCATCGATGCATCGGACCCGAACGTCAAGGTGTCGTTCGTCGATACAGAAGGCTAGGGGCAGTCGTACGTCGACAAGGGTGATCAACCCTCTTGACATCGTCGTTGCTGATGCGTCGTTCCAGGGCAAAGCCTATGACTTGAACCTGTTCACTCCTGCTTTGCTTTGCTCAAAGGCTGTTATCTACAACCGTACAGGAGGGCTCCTAATCGATGCTATCCTCAGGGACCTCGGCATGGTGACCCAAGCTAGACAAAGGTTGAAGAAAGGCCAGTCGGAACCGGTCACTGGACGTCCAGAAGGTGTTCTGGACGGGGGGCGCAACGATGTCTCCGATCCCGTGAACTCCAAGCCACAGTTTACTCATTAGTTCATCCTTTTCGGTCGTTTCCAATTGAATACGGACACAAAGAGTAAGTGCTGACTCATCCGTCTGATGGTACGGTGCTGATTTATCACAGTCGAGACGCTGCGCGCGAATATTTTGGACCCGGAGACTGGAGAAACAGCATCGGCCGCAGAAAGGAACGAAGTCCGAAAGCTCCTCAAAGCTTCCTTTGCAAGTGTGGCTGTTTATATCTTGCCTGACGCATTGAAAGGTGAAGTGCGGGATCAGATGCAAGACAATCCGAGTCGCTTCATCACCATTGATGATTTCCGTCCGAAATATCTTGAGTACTTCAAGCTACTGCGAACAGACCTGGCCACGGCCTTGAAAGAGCCGCACTCGTGAATCCCAGGTTCGCCTCTGACTGGAGGTGCCATGGCAGACTTTATGCCTAAATTTGCCGATGCGATCGACACCCAGGCTTACTCGTCAGAAGCACCCATCCGCGGACTAGTCACTCGAATCAATATTAACGAAGAAGCGAGGTTCACATGGGTAACATCTTCTCGAAGCATTACCATCCTTTTCCTGCGGACTGAAATCTTGTACGCACATCTGTTCTATATGGGAATCACAAAACCAAATCTTTCTTCCTCTCTCTCTCCTCCCTCCCCGAAACAAAACAAATCAATAGGTGAATCCCTCCTCGACGAAATCCACAGCTCCCTCCGTAACGACCTCCCTCGCCGCCGCCCGCACGCTATCCGCAAACGCCCCCGGCCCACAGACGGCCACGGCCATCGCGCCGACCCTCTCCTTCATCTCCGCGCGCAGAATCTGGGTCGGATTACAACGCCCCTCGAGCATGCGTACCGCGCCGGACTCGCTGCGCAGGTTCTGTCTCCGTCGCGGTTTCGTGATGTAGATGTGAATGCGGAGGGCATCGCGGCGGCCGGGAAGGCGCAGGATAGCGTCCATCCAGGGGTGGACCCACTCGAGGCATTCCGGGACGGGGATGCTCCAGACGAGTAAGATGCGGCGGGCGGCGCAGGTCTGCGCGGTCCGGCGCGTGAGGAGGTTGCGGATGTAGCCGAGGCAGTGCGTGATGCCGACGCCGCCGGCGAAAAGCACAACTGTGCCGTAGGAGTCGAGGGGGTCGTTGCCGCCATAGGGCCCTTCGATCAGGCCGCGGGTTGTGTAGATGCCGTTGGTGGAGGCCACGGCGCGGTCATAGAGGTTGCGGGTCATGCCCGAGCGGGCTTTGGTGATGAGGGAGATGCTGGTTGCTTTCGGTCGCCAGGCGGGTATGGTGGTGGGGTTTGGGACTTCGCCGGGAAGCGATGCCAGGGACTTCTCTGTGCGTGGGTTCATGGTGGATGCACGGGCTGTAGCTGTCGTCGTCGTCGGTGTGCCAAGCTCGGGACCATCAGCCCATGCGATGGAGAATGGGTGTGAGGAGTGCCAAGCGACGGCGGGCAGGTAGGCGTGGACGTGGCATCCGGGTCGATAGCTCATCGGCCGTGCGAGATGGAATGTCACGCGACATGCTTCGCCTGGGAGGGCTTCAACGGTGACTTTGGTGAAGCCTTGTGTGCGGCTGATGTTGTAGTAAACGATGCGACAAAACCGCCAGGCCCACTCTGCAGACCATAGAACGAAGCAGATGATGATCCACGGGACCTGAGGAAGAGTCGCTTTCGCGAGATGGATGAGAACGCCGATCAAAGCAATGCACGCCAGCAAGCGATGCGAGTTGATGAAGAATTCGTAGAATGCATGGCGGATGGGTCCCAAGCTCGCGACGCCCATGAAGACAAAAACGCAACTCGCGACCATTCCCCACTGATAACTGACAGAGGTGTTGAAAGCGAGCTGAACTTGGCTGACTCCATCCACTGTTCCAGCACTGATGTTGTTGACCAGAAAGCATGCCGTGTGGATAATGCTCTCGAGGATGACCATGCGCGCACACCACCGATGCAAGAGGTTAAAGGTATCGTATGAGACGCTCAGCAGCGAGATCAGTGGGTTATTGCGGAGTGCGAAGAGAACCGTCGGGATCAGGTTGAACGCCGCCAAGATTCCTGATCTCCCGCGCAACTCAGCAATCACGGCATATTGGTTCGGCTGTCTCCAGTCGAGGATCAAGCAGTACGCAAGGTTGGATGCCAGGTAGAGACCGAGCAGGACGGTGTGAAACCTTGACGGAAGCGTGCCGATCGAGATGGCCTTTGACAGCTGGATTTCTCGATTATGCCGCACCCGAAACAGTGGGGCATACAACAAGTTTCGCTTCAGCCATGGCCAGAAGGTGGTGTGGTTTTGCTGCCAGTACCGCTGGTCGCCTTCGGTGCCCAGGCTGGTGACAAAGCGCAGATACGCCTTGCTCATATCCAACCACCTGTACGCAAATGTGATGACGAGTAGCAACATGAATGCGCCACAAGCAACGTTGATGAGCAGATAGTTCTGGTCCTGGTTGACTCCTGATAAGCCATGAACGAAGGGTAGCGCCGGGGACGTGGCGTGTAGGATGTCGTCGACATTGGTCGTGTCGCGGACTTGTAGGTCCTCGACGAGGCGATGTAAGAGGGCCGGCATGTCTGAAAGTCTATGGAGGCGCTCCCCTCCAACCGGTAAATATGAACAACGAAGAGATAGATGAGGTCCGGAGAAGCGGCGACCAGCGCGAAGTGAGCGTGAGCGTGAGCGTAAGAAGAATTAATTAATTTTGAGCGACCAGGCGAATGGAAGTGAAAGTATGTCAAAGTGCCAGCACGATGACAGATGGGAGCGAAAGGTGTCGGATTTCCGACGCTTGTTGGCGTGAACCGGACACAATCTACCAAATCTCCGACTTGCGACAAAGCTTCATGGTGGCAGATGACAATCGTGTCTGATGAGTGAGGTGTATGAAATCGCGCGTGGATGTAGTCAAGGATTACAGTTCGTCTCGTAGATTCGCTGGTGATGCGCCTGGGTCGAGTGTGGTGAAGCAGCAGATGGGGCGAGCCGGCGCCGATGAATGCGATGCAGAAATGCGCGTGTGTGTGATGATGCAGTGCGTGCGTGCGCGGGCGACGACGACGATGATATAGAATGTCTACGAGATTGGAAACCTGCGAGAAAGAGGAGGAGCGCAAAGACCCATACAAAGGGAATCTTGGAAGCAAAAGGGAGGATGAGGCAACGCGTCAAACACGAATCTTTGGGCTGGCGACGATGGTGTTTGGCGCGCCCGTTTGTGGGGGAGGGAGAGGGAGAGGGAGAGGGAGGGCGATTGGTTTGGCTTCGGTGGGCGGGTGCCGTCTTTACCGTCGGGATTCGTATGCAAGGAGTTCGCTTTGCTGCTTGCACGTGCACGGCACGAAATGTCCGTGAATCATTGATGAATTGATGATGTGCATGCAAGCCACCGCGGTGTCATACGTTACATCAGACCACAGATACTGTTTTGCTTCAATTGGTGAGAAGTGGGAAGATCCACACCAGAAGTGACTGGCTCGCGAGAGACTTGGCTGCAACACCTGGTGTAAGCCTGGAGAGGAGCGTTTGGGGTGAAGTGAAGTTGGCGCTTATCTACAGCCATGATTGGCCAGGTGTTGCTCCAAAGCGCATGCAGCTGGAAAGTGTACTGTGTACTCTGTTCCCAACCAGACTCTCTCCTCGTGGACTGATAGACTTATACGGTCTACTCCACCATCATTGAGTTCACATCCCACACGGTAAAATGGTCTCATCAGTGATAATGCTTCACTTGATAGGCGCAAACCTCCATCACCCGCTGAAAAGCACAAAGCCTGTAGTACGCGTTCACGGAAGGAAGAAGCGAAATTCGGGATGAATCTCAGGCCCTTGGGCGGGTTATTACTGTACATACATGAAACTCTGAGGAGAGAAAGGCCAGGTTCTCTTTTGGAACCACTCTCTCCCGAACATCCTGAATACGAGTGGCCATGGATCACCAAGGAAATAACTGAGAATGATCAAGGCACAGATGGATCTTCTCTCGTGTTTCCCGGCATGTCATCGTGAACTATATAACCGCCGCGCACAGGCCGGCCGGACAGCCAAAAAAACGTTTCCTCTCTCTCACCACCAAGCTTTGTTCGTCTGGCTTGCCGCCCAGCCAAAACCCCTCTAGTGCTACACTCTGGAGGCATTGTACAAATTGAGAATAATGCTTGGCCAATGATTGATCCCGAGACTGGATACTATAGAACGAGGTGGCTGGACATTGCTCCGATTCTGCACGCGCGCAACACTCAACGGTTTCAGCAATCCACGGCTCAAACCCATCGTGATGTCTTTATGCATGCGCCATTCTCATGCGCTCTCGCGTGTCGGTCGCGTATGTGGTCCTCGCATTCGACAAGCACTCTGGAACGATCTCGAATGCAGCTGAATCATTCTCAGCCAATCGAGAACAAGCATCGTGTCGTACATGAGTTTGCAATGTTCATGTAGCAACCAGAAGAAAGCATGATTGGTCATGAGCACATGGGAGTCTACTGGGGAAAGACACAAGGTCGGAGAGTATATACATGTCTATGAGGCCCGTGGGCCTCGGCAAAATCATGTTTTCATTTCGCAATGCTACCTGCGTCGAATAGTGTGACAATCTTCTAGGTGGAAGAAAAGGTGAAGGAGAGAAGGAGAGATCGCTGCAGCCCGGTCTAAGACCCACCCTCGCTGCCCTGCGCGGTTCTTTCACCCTGTTAGCGCTGGGCGGTGTCTCCATGTACAAGCAGTTCCAATATTCAGTATCGATGCCCCCTTCCAGGCTGGGAACCTCGCTGGCTCGTGGAGTATGAACCCCCAGAGCTGCATGCGATGTATTTCTGTCTCGTCGGGACAAACGTGGCTTCTACTCACCAATTCACAAGAGAGGCTCTGAAGTCAAGCGTTAGCATCTGTAACCTATCATACCTCTTATCTCTCACTGGCGAACTTGCTGACGATTGTGTCATCGATATCGATCACTCTTTGATGAGTGTAACAATACGTGCTCAGTCGAATGTCAGGCTCAGACACGAGTTCCGCCTCTGACTCGTTCGCAACATTGTACCGTGAGTGAGCCACAGCTTTTTCAACCAGTGTTCCAAGGCCGTTCGATGTGGGCCCTGGACAAAAATGTGGAATTAGCAACAAAGGAAGCTGGAGTACTCAACCGGCGATGCCATTGGTAGCCGTCATTCCATTCGGCTTCAAATCGTGATGAATGCGCTTAGCAGGCTCCTTGTTATCCTGTATCCGAAATGCACGTCAGTAAATCCTACCGAATACTTGGATGTGGAGCGCTGCGTGTTAGCATCGACAAATTTCAAACTCACGTCCAGTCCGGCTGCGGCAGACCCGCGTTTGTTGTCGGCAGAGCTGTCTGCTACACCACCTGTGGCCATTTTGCCCTTCTTCTTCTTTGTCGGCCTGGTCTCGCCCTCTGCGAACACATCATCGGGTAGTTGATAGCTGCGCGGGTTGTTAGCCTGCGTATGGGGTGAAAGCTGCATTGCAACATACCTGCGAACATGCTTGACGCGGATCGAGTGCATGTCAGCATTGTAGCCATCCCACTCTTGACAGATGCGTTTAAAGTCGGAGATAGGCCAGGAGATGTCGAGGTTGGCGGCACCTAGTGACACGGTATCAGTAGCGATTCATGTAAGCACACCATTCACTAGACGAACCCTTCTTGAGACCGATGCCCATGTAATAAGTTGTGGTCCAGATCGACTGAGCACCACTCTTGGTGACCTCCACCGGGGCGTCCTCGCTTTGTTCGACCACAGCATCGGCATCGCCCTCGGCGGCAGCTTGAACTCTAATGTCAGCAGACTCTTCAGTCGTCTTTGTCTTCGTCACTTGACATTTCAGACCACCGCTCAAGGTATCATCAATGTCTTCGTCAGTGTTGCATTCATGAACACGATCGAACCCCTTGTTGAAGGGTTGAACAAGCTCAACACTGTCCGCATCTGACACTTCGATGCCCGATATCAGCCTGCGGAGCTTAGACTGGACTAATCCGGACCAAGCTTGCTGGGCCTCCTTGGTTCTCCCGGCAGTGATGACACAAATGTAGTGTTTGTAGGCTTCAGAGAAAAACTTTTGCCTCACGAACAAATCTTTCCATGTCTTCTTGCCAGCATAGATATCAGTCATAATCTCCTCGCCGCGTTTGAGTTCGCGAATCAGAACCATCTTCGTCGAGAGGCCAATTGTGTGAGTTGAATTCATGCAAGGGTACGCCGGTGTGATGACTGGCATGAGATGGAAACGGTCTCCTTTCGACGTGTTCGGATCCCACTCTCTAAGTTGGAGCGGTGCCGTCTCACGCTTCTGCAAGACCACAGGCAGTGGCCATTGCCATTTTGCCATGACAAAGAAAAATTTCTGCACGATGAGAGGAGCCGCCGCCTTTGGATAAAGCTGACAGACACGCGCCACCATCATCGCATATGCCACACCACCGGGGAAACCCACCACGTTGCCGTAAATGGCGCGACGCTGTGCCCAAAGCTTGACAGCTCGAAGAGCTATGCGAAATATGCGCGATTGAGGAACTAGCTGAAGAATTCGATCTGTGACTCGTGTACCATTGACGCAGCGTAGATCCGTCTCATCGAGCCCGCGCAGCAGGTTGTTGTCCGTGAGCTCAAGCGCTCGTGGTACTGAGGAGACCTGAAGGTTCGAGAAGATGAGATCGACCGAAACTCCACAAATTTCCAGCTTGATGATCGGCACACTGATGCCTGGCACTGGGGTGAGCTCGGTCAGTTCATCTGGCGTTGTCGACTTCCGCAGTAGATCTGGCATGTGCTCGAAGAAATCATCGCGCGTAACATGCTTAGGGGCGATCATCAAGGTATCGATATCGGATCCGGGGCCGTAAACTCCCAGGCGGTAGCTACCGTAGGTAAAGATCTTTCCTCCCGACTCTTTCAAGATTTCCGATGGCAATCCCTTTGCTTTGCCAACCATCTGAACCAGTTGGGTCAACAATCGTTGTAGCCGCGCCAGTACATCGTTTCTGCGATCTGAATCAGCCGATCATTCTATCCACGGTCATCAAATGTGTCCGAACCTCTTCTTCGTTTCCTCAGCAGATTCGAAATTGTTCTGTGTCTTCAACTCTTGCAGCAGCAACTCGTTCAGTTTCAGATCGATCTCTTTCGGTGGATCAGTCGCCAATGGAGGCGAAATCCCGAGATGCTCTCCATTCTCTGCCATCGTCGCGGCCGTCGTCTGGTGCGGCTGGTGAAGATGCCGTCGTAGCGCAATTACTTCATGAGACCAGGACTTGTGGATAATGAATATGGTGTCCGGTCAAAGTTGCGCGCGTGGACAAGCAAGTCGTGATGTGATGATGTGATGTTTCGTTAATTTTGCATCCTACCACCTTGCTACAGGTCAGGCGACTCGTCAGTATTGTGCGGGTAGTGATGATGCGAAGTTGTGGTTGTCGAACAATTTGTTGCCCAGGCGCCAGGACTTCGTAGGCGTCTCAAAAATCGATACCGCATACAGTATACAGTACGTGCATACGCGCAAGGCAGTTGAAACTAAAAAGTCTCGCGCGCGGCCCGTTGTTCTTCTGGAACGCTTCGGGGCTTTTGCGTCCGCGTGAATGCACGCGCTCCTGCAGCCCCGGGCCAATGTAATCTTTAGGGTTGTATCAACCCCAACTGATGATGGAGCCTCCTCGGAGACTGCGTGCACGTTGTCTCTGTGAACTCCCGTGTTAAATAACTATTGTCTTGGAGTGATGAGATCAGGCGAACCCGTTTTCTGTTGCTATCGTAGCTACTCATCGCTCTCGCTGAATTTGTGTACGTTGATCGCCCACTGTTGGAGAAGCAGTCGGTACAATGCGCGAACCCGTATTCATACCCGTGGTCAATGAACTTCCATGACTTATGCAGAATGACAGAGGAATAGACGGAAATATTACCATTCATACGGCAATGATCCTACTATGACCGCCACATTGATCATGACGGATGACTCAGAGATGCATCGGACGATGGCGGTACTTTGCGGCATGAAGGTAAACTGCTTCAATCATAAATGGCGCGGCATCAGCGTATCTAATCTGCTCACAAAATGTCCCGCATGACGTATGGTGCGGTTTCCATGCGATCTAACAACACACGCCCGGGAACTGCGGGCACATCATTGACATGTGAGATCGCACGAATATACATCGGTGCCGTTCCAAACATCATATCACATCTCCAGAGGTATTCAGGTATTAATCCAAGACTTGCAAAAAACCCCAGCAACCAAGAAAAGTATACAGCAAAGCAGTCAAAGATGTCGTCTGCAGCATCCTCCAACCCAAAGCCTAACCACGAGCGAATGGCCGACGCCGAGAAACACATCAAACGCAACCCACACGGCAACTTCAAAGAAGTCGAAGCCAGCCGTCCGGAGTGGGACTCGGAGATCCAATGGGGCTACACGCAAACCAAGAAGCCCTCCTGGAAAGCCGGCGACGGCGCCAACGACGACGGCGCCAGCCTGTCAAAATCACACATCGACATCGATCCCTACGAAGAAGGCCGCCCGGCAGCCTTCAACTACAAGCTCCTCATCTCCGGCATCATCCCGCGACCGGTAGGCTTCGTCAGCACGCGGTCCGCGGACGGGACGAGCACTAATCTGGCTCCGTTCTCATATTTCTCCGTGGTGAACCACGACCCGCCGATCTTCACCGTGGGGTTCTCGGGAGGGTTTGACAAGGCCAAGGACAGCCTGCGCAATCTGAAGGAGTCCGGGGAGTGTGTGTTGAATATCATCAGCGAGCATTACCTCGAGGCGGCGAATTCGACCAGCGTGAATGCTCCCTATGGGACCTCTGAGTGGGCGCTTTCGGGTCTGACGCCGGCGCCGTGTAAGGATGTCAAGGCAAGTCGAGTCAAGGAAGCGGTGTTCAGCGTTGAGGGGAAATTGGTCGAGACGAAGGAGTTTGAGAGCAGGAGTAAGCCTGGGGAGAAGAGTGGCGTGCTCGCGATCATCGAGGGCGTGAGATTTTGGGCGCGCGAAGATGCCATCAATGAAGACAAGAACTTGTTGGACCCTGCTGTGAGATACAACCTATCGGCATTTTTGCTTCTGGGAACGATGCTGATGATGATCATAGGTATTGCGACCAATTGCACGCCTGGGTGGCATCACCTATGCCCGTGTACACGAAGGCATCGAAATTCCACGGCCGGACTGGGACGAGCTCAAGACAGACGCTGCAGACCTTGTGAAACCAAAAGCCGATTCGCAATAGAGATAGATAGACGCTATATGAAGTATATGAAGTCCCATCAGAAATTGCAATTATGCGAAGAAGATTTTCCCGAAGATGCGTAACGTCTTTTCCATCGATAAACACTCTCGCGCGAATCCGCGAGCACATCGTCTCACATCCCAACCTAAACACGTTCCCCCCGGGTATCACATCGTCATGCCAACACCCAAATAACCTTCCCCGTACATGAAGTTCTGTTCAATGAGAAATCGTAGGAAATGCCACCGACGGACATGAAAGCCACAACACAGAGGGGACGACAGACAATGGCTGGTCATGGATTTGAGTGCCTGCCCGCTTCATCCGACGAATGGCTCGATGGCGAGCCTGCGTGGTAAGTCGAGTATGAGAACTCGTTTGGTACCGTGGCTCCAGGAAGCAGGATGCAATGTTGCAAAATATTCACGCCCGTCTACGCGGAGCCCTCGACATGGACTTCTCAAAGCAGTGCATCGGTGTTCAGACGTTGACAAGCTCTGATTACTTGGCGGCACATGCTTCCCGGGATCATTCATTCGAGCGGAAGTGGATCGATTGTGGTAATTTCCATATCTACGTGCCGAAGACGGTTGCTTTGACCAGGACTGATCGTCCACGCACGGCCACACCTACACCCGCAGCCATACGTACGCGCGGAGGAAGATCCTCCTTTACGCCCTGGGCGCTCTCAGGACGGTGTAGGCTGCTTGAGCTTCCGCCCGCACTGGCGTGCTTTCCTTGAGCGGCGCTCTTGGATTTACTGCTTGAGCCGCCTGTGAGAGCGCTGAGCATGCTGCGAGTGGTCTTCTTGGCCGTAGGGTCGAGATTGCTAACATCGGTCATGTCGGTGGCATCGCTGGTGGCGCTCTTCAGTGACGCGCGCTCGGTGCTGTCATCGGCGACAGAAGTGATCAAGGGCGGAATACCAGTCTCGAGTTTCATCTGATCATTGAGAATGGGGTTGCCGGGCATGAAGTATTCGATGACGACATCTCTGCTCTCCAGAGGTAAGTGAATTGCGATGCTGACGACGAGCTCGACAATCATGTGCACGCCACCCTCGAGATCTGCAGGCGCAGGGTCTTGGAGGTACACGGAGATGGCTTTGACGAGGTCATCCTTGAGCGTGTCTATCAATCGTTGTCGGTTGATCGGACATTGAGGCGAGCGCAGCGTGTCCTGAAGACCCTCAAGCGTCGCTAACCTCCAATTGACGACCTTGGACGTGAGATACTCCTCTTCCTCTGACGTGTTGGGAATGGGTGCATATCTGCGGATGCTGTGTTGGATAGACTTCAGCTGAGTCGACAAGCCAACGTCCAGGTCTGGATGAAAGTATCTGTCAAAGACCTCGTGCACCAGCCACCACGAAATGAAGGCTCTTCCAGCCGCAGTCATCTCTTGCTTGCCCGTCGCCACAGCGTCCTTGTTGACGAACGAGCACAGCCATGGCGGTATACTCCTCCAGCTCTTACGAATACTGAATGAAAGTTGGGCGACCAGACCATCTAACCGGTTGAATCGGGTGGTGTATTCACTGTCGTCGAGGGATGTTCGTGATTGCGACAGCCGTTGATGGGCGAGACTGTTCTGAAGTTGCTTGACTTGATCCTCCTTTTCGAAATAATACTTCTTCACCTTAGTATATTTTTCACCTGGGAAGAGATTGTTAGTGGGGCGAACGACGATGAGCGTTGACAGGATACCTACGCAGCTCTTTGTGATCCTTCTGCAGTTGAGCGACCTCTTCGTCAGTCATTTCGTCGCTTGCTTGCGCGAGTTGAGATGTGACGCGAGCAACATCGCCCTGTTGTGTTGATTGACGGGGTTGTGCTCCAGTATTGGACGGCAGGCTAGGCTGACCACCCTGCGACGAGACGCTGGAAGCCTCGCGAGAGATTAAAACGTTGTGAACGCTCTGTCGATTATTATTCGGTGGGCGCGTTTTGGTGGTAGTGGTCATGGTGGAGGTGCCATTGTTGGACATGTCCTCGTGAGCGTTGTGGTTGTAGCTGCGCGATTGTTGTTGATTCAGCGCGGGGCGGGTGGGGTCCTGCGTCGAGAATTGCTCGCCGGCGTCGTGGGGTGAATACGAGGGTCGCGATTGTTGCAGATGCGACGACTGTGAATGTTGTGTCGTCGGAATATTCTCTTGCGGAAAACTATTTTGTCTAGAGCCAGGCATGTTGCTATCTAAAGATAACGCCTGACTGGCTTGACTTGTGCGGTAGCTGCTCTGGGATGGTGGTGCGGTAGGATGCACTTGCGGCGACTGGTGCAGCGATTGTGGCTGTGCGTCTGCATTGTTATATTTTTGGCTGTTGGCGCTGTGATTATACTGCGAATTCTGATTGATATCATTGGGACTCTGCACATTTCCAGTCTGACGGGTTTCGCGAAATGCCGACTCGGTCTGTAATCGCTGGAGCCGACGCTGTGTGAACCTGTCGAGTGCGCCGCCGTGCTGCCCACCGTCGGTCGAGAGCTTTCCTTGTGCGGCACTCATCGGCATCGGCGGTGCTTCTACGGCGTCTACAAAGTTTTCTTGTTGGTCTGATGGCTGTAGATTGCTAGACTCAGGCACCGTGCTGTAGGTCCTGTCGCTTTGGAAACTCTCGATTTCGCGCCGCGAAAGCGTTTGGGAGCGACCGAGACCACTGCCGCCGGAGGTCTCAAGGGATCCCTTGTCACCGCTGATGGGCACGCCCGCAACGGATCGCCTCGGGTCTGAAGGACAGTCATAGTTAGATCTCGTGAATAGCGGCGATACTGGAGAGGTGTGCGCAGAGATGCGCGTGCGCGCGTGTGGGCGATAACTTACCGCCGGGATTTCCTGAGCCCCGCTCACTGACTGAAACGCTTCGGTTAAGCGCTGCCTGCGGTGGTCGTGGTGTGGCAGAGGACGACGGCGATGGTGAGCTCTGTGTCGGGTTGGACGGCGAGGCGTTTGCGCTCAATGGCAAATCGATAAGGTGGTCAGCAAGGAAACATGGCAAAGCTGTAGACGCGCTATGATTGCGGCGTGTAGGCAAAGCAACGGCGCCAGGGAGGTTGGCTCGGACGAGGAGGTGGTAGCGGCGCAGGAAAGGAAAAAGATGACTGTGGTGGAGATAATAATGGAAACAGAGAGGGCGGGAAGGAAATACCAGGGTGTTGTTGTCCAAACCAGGAAGCCGAAGTTGATTTCCTGTTGAACTTGCTGAACATTTGCATCTCACGCTACACACATGAACGGTGTGCGCTGTGGAGGGGATTGTGTGTGTGTGCGGGACGACGACGATAGAGGTTCAGAGGGTAGGTGGTGTCGCTTGTTGGCAGCAGAACGGATCGCAGAGGAAAGATTGGGGTGGAAGTTCGTCCGTGCGTAGCGCAGGGAGTGTATAGTGCTGTAGTCGAAGGTCTCGGCAGGGAGGACGGAGACGAGACGACGACCAGTTTCGGCGATGATGGTGGTGGTGGTGGTCGACAAGATGGCGGTAGTCGGTATTGCTGATAGTGGAAAGTAGTCCACGGGCGGTGTCAATAGTGGAGTAGTAGGAAATAGTACAGAGATGGTAGGTAGGTAGGTACTGTACAGTACTCCAGGTAGGTATGTTGTGATGGCAAGGAGAGGGAGGACAGACTCGAAGGAGGTGAGAGAAGGAGTCCCTACGGCGGCTCTCGGAGTGAAATTGATCCTCTATCAAAATAGGCCCGCCGCGGCGCAACGTGCCATCACGCCCATGACTACCTAGGTATAGAAATAAATAATCGTAATCTACCAGTGGACATCACTTGCAACATTTCCCAGGGCATATGCATGTGCATGTGTGATAGAGCTACTTGCTCGCGTCTTATTTTATCATCATTAGGCGGGCGGCGGCGCCGGAGGAGACTACAGTTGGGAGGCCTGCGGCAACTGTGGGCCTGAACAACCCTCAGCAATGTCTCTTCTGGGTTGGCCGTGGACTACCGCGGCGTGGAAGTTCTAATAATGCTATTGCACATCGAGATCGGTCGCGTGGAACCACCAGATCTCTTCGCCTGAAAGGCTCTTAGCAAGATGCAGAAGGCATAATATATATCAGGTATGTTCATCGTGGTCTATTTTCTCTGCTGGCAAATAGGTCCAGCGTGCGCGCGGTGGGTTTGCTCGGGAGCAGCCCATTTTCAGGGTCCATGCTACTGGCTGCTGGCTGCAGGTTGTCGGTGGCTCTGTCCCGCACGCCATTTCCTCCACGGCTGAGCTCCGATCCCCTCCAATCTGATCTTCCCGAAAGAGTGATGTGCCTACAGTGCCATGGGTACATACTTAAAGGGTATATGAAATGTCGCAAGGCGTTCGCATGATGGGTAGGTATAAGCCCTGATGAAGCGAAGACGTGAGTAGCTCCGTCAAGACCATTTCGCCAACGTTCACAAGTGAACAATCTTATTATGTCTAGCAGGTCTGCAGCCTAAGAAGCACTGTAATTTCACCATCTTCACCCACACCTTTCGACCGAGGCTTGGAAGGAATGATGCAATTCAATGCCTGCCCAAATTACCGCGCTGTTTCCAAGCTTGTGAGACAAGACTCGCAAGGGGGCCCGGGGGCTTTATATTGTTTACGCTGGCTAAAGTACCGGCAGATGCATACAGCCGGGCTCTCAACCAATACTGGAGGCGTCTCTGCGATGCTCTCAAGGTCCCAAGATTGGGTTTGATTCTTGCGCACGACTCAGAGAAGTTTATGTATTTGAAGGGCTTTCAAAACTCAGTAGGCGGGCAAGGGTAAAAGTATATTGCTCACATGTGTGCGATAATAACCTGGGAAGTGAAGCAGTGAGGGAGATTATCTACTTGCATCGGGTGAAGACTCATTTTTGTTCAAGTCTAATAATAGACGCAATCTTTTCCCACAGTCCAGACAGCCAGTGTGATCCCCATCTCATCCTTGTCCAGAACACTACACTTGACCAAATCCGGTGCAATTAATGTCCACGGGTGCCTGTCAATTTCCCTAAGGTTTACGCAGTGCATGTTGGAACAACCGGCGGACAAAGGTCATGTGTGCATGTGACATTCGCGTTGAAATATCGTACTGGGTTTCTACCAACAAGACGGGGATTACGGGTACTAAGAATTTTGTGTTCCCCTATTCCTGGGTCCTCTATCGCCAAGGGACAATGTTCCCTCTTCACCGTCATACTGTAGCCGCATTCAAGCCCTCCAGGGCTCGAAGACAGAGGGAGATCTTCACCACCCCTGCGCGACTTCTTACCCCACCTTCACTTGAGCGCTTTGGGTATGCAGCAACTCATCCAGCCCGGGGCATACGCGCTTCCAAACCTTGAGACCGCCTGCAGTACGAATTGTCTCTTAGGGCCACTTCAGACAGAAATCAACCGACATCCGCACAGGCTGCAGACAAAGGATGCGCGAGACACGAGTTCCAAGCAGCGCGGATCGTTTTCGATACTTCACATAACACATACACACCAAAATCCGACCGGCCTCGAGGCTCGGGCGTCCGACGTGTGCAGACATGAGCGCCAACTTGCGCAAGATGACGGAGCGTGAACCGAACGAGGGCGGCCGCTGAAGCCCTGCCAAGCTGGATGATCGCCGGAGATCCGAGCATGCCCGCAGCACCATTGAGCCAGTCTGCTTGGCTGTGCACAGGCAGCCCTGAAGATCTTTGGGAATGCGACACCTTTGCATGTTGTATCCTTTTGCCTTGCACTTGCCAACCTGCGCAGATGTTGTTGGTACGTTGATAAAATCCATCACACCCATGCGCACTGGCTTCCAACGTCTGTCCCTGGTGTATTCCTTGCTCAGCCTGTAAAGCCGTCAGCATGGCATGTGCTGCTTACCTCCAAAGGGCCCAGAGTGACTTGAATACGACGCTGTCTCTGTCATGGCCTTGCAGTAGGTGGCATTGATCTGCGGCATCCATGCTGATCATTGTCACTTCGGATCCTTCTGCACAATGTATATGAACCCATCGTGCTTCTTGAAAGAAATATTTCTCTGCCACAGACTTTCTTACCAGCATTTTTACGATCAAAAGTAGCTTTCGACTGAGAAATCATTACGTCAATACCACCAATCAGCATAATGAAGACTACTACTATGTTGGCTACGCTCGTGGCCCTCGCTGCGACCGTCTCAGCAAGCCCGTTGAAGCGTGCCGTCCTTTTCACCGGCAAGGCGTACGAAATCACGAATTTGAAGCTCGAAGACGTCTCACGAGGCAACGTTTCGATCAACTTCAACGTCCACGACCCGGACCCGCTCACGGACGCCACCGGAACCTGCAGCGGCTCATGGCCGCACGGCTCGGAGCCTCGTGATACCTTTGTATGGCTTCATGTTACAGCATCAGCGATCAGTCTCACTGACCACTTTACACCAGGTCGCCTGTGACCAGGGCTTCACATGGAATTTCGAGTCCTACACCAACTTCCAGAACTTCACGTTGCGCGCGACACATTCCTTCCGTGATCCATCGTGAGTCAGCAGCATCGCCTTTACCATGCTTACCCATCGCCTCTTCGCGTTCGTGTTACTGACACATCCTTCGTTTCCGCAGAGTGGGAGAGCCGCCATATGACAGTGTGAGAACATATGCCCATGCCCATGTCGACACTGGTGTCATTTCATGTGACATCTTCGGCGGTGATATCAACTGCAGACAGAACGAAGGCACGGTGATCAAGGCGCCCATATACGCTGCGGTAGCCTAATTTGGGAGCGGGTCATAGTGCTTAGCCCGATGCGGACTGTCTCCTCATCAGGCATGCATGCGATTTAAAGGGCGGAGCGTGAGGCTATTCCAGGGCGGCCTCTTCGTTCTTTAAACACCTGGGCAGGCTGGAACATCATGAAGTATTATTATGACAATCGAGTAATTGGCATCGGCGGGCCGACATATCCGCAGCACGAGTCTGTGTATGAATGGCGGTTCGGCTGCCTGTACATTCTTCGTACTTTCGAAAGCAACCATGGATTGTTTCTTGTAAACATTCTCAAGATACCTGCCTCGGTTGGTCGCTCATCCGTCTGAAAGCCGGTGGAGCGGCTTATGCTGCTCACTCTCTGCCTTGCGAACCACTTATTAAATGTCGCAAACCAATACAATCTCGCGGCTTCAAATAGACATATGTTGCGTACAGTTACACGACACAGTAGTTCGTCCCACCTCACCTCGTTCGCCCAGGAGTTCCACTCTTGACCGGCAAGCGAATGTCGCAAGGCAAAAAGTCTACATTGTGAAAAGGTAGTACTCACTTTTGAAGTAAAGGACAGGGACTATGTTAGCCCACAGACTGCTCTCATCACAGCCCCGCCGTTGTTGGACTGCGCGATCCTGTCCTTGGTGCTTGTCCATGGCTTCATGCACGCAGAGTTATTATTGAATTTCTTCGAAATGTGTCGGGCACGCCCTTCTCTCATTGTTGTTCCAAATTATAATATACATAATCATGGAATCTCAATCAAATTCACATATCTGCAATTCGTTCTCATTGCGCAAAGTTGTTATCATTTCTAACGGGAACAACTGCGATCTCATCGTCCGAAAATATGAGGACTACTTCTTTGGCGATGTTGGCGGCCCTCGCTACGACTGCACTAGCTGGCTCCCAGAAGAGCGTCCCGACTTCCGTATCCGACGTGCCTGAGTTTGAGATCACCAAGCTGTATTCCATAGACAACACGCAGCAAGGCGCAGGCTCACTCAATTTCGGCTTCACCGTTTGGGACCCGGCCCCAAATGTCACAACGAACTGTCACTGGACATGGCAGCACAGCGCCGACCAGAGTCTTGAAGGCGAGACCGTACGTTCTTTTTCAGATGACACTGTTGACGTTGACCCTGACCAAAAGTTGCTAGCATTCTTGTGACAACAAGAATTTCCTGTGGCAGTTCTCTTCCTACACCGACCTCCAGAAGTACACACTGCGCATCCTAGACAGGAAATCGTACTACCAACCTGGGTAAGTCACTCTTGTAGCAGACGCGACTCATGTGCAGCTTTGCCTCTGCGTAATCGGTGACTAACACTAAGTCATTACTATAGTCTGCCCAACCCCTGGGGGACGACAGTCGCTTTGGCTTCCATCAATTCTACCGTCCTCACGTGTAACAAATTGGGGCCCACGGGCGTCTATTGCCGTCAGAAGGCCGATGCTGAGTTTTGGGCGCCCACAGCGCGCTCGTGGTAATCTGACTGTTTCCAAGAAACAGCTCTGTCAGGAAGCGCTGATGACTTGTGGCGCGTGCCGAGGCCGACCGTCGCCCTTCAACCCAGTAACCATCATGGCGAGATGCTGACCGTCAGGCGAGGAATCTGCCAGCATCGCAATCGCAGCTGAAGGATTCTCTGGGCGCGAATTTGCGGCTGCCTGGAAGTGGCGCATCCATTCATGGATTTTGCATGGATGCCCAGTGGTTGTCCTTCAGGATGTCAACGTAGTGCCCAGGCTGTACGCGTACGCGTCAAGTGGCCAAATGTGAAAGTGAGTGTACCTGAGTCATCATCAGCCCAAATATCTTCGCATTCGGGATATTTGGTGGCATGGCGGCGAATGTTTTCCAGGAGGAAGAAGTGCTGCCTGTGTAAAGGAATTATTCATGCAATGAAGAAATAGCCAGAATCTAGACAACCTTGGAATACAAGTGTCAAGATCTCGAAGCTCACGATCCTTCAATTGCCCACATGTAGTTACCGTATGCGTCATGATTATAAAATAAGCCTGACACCTGCAGGACCGGGCATCCACGTGCAATTGTGGAGTTTCTAGCCCAATCAGAATGAGTCACCGGGGTCTTGCATGCAGGCATCGCCGCAGGATGCAGCGGTAGGGCTGTCATATGCCGCCCACCTCCACCACATTTTCACCGGTACCGGTATGAGAGGACGCCTGTGAAGGCATCATACCTTGACGCCTCCAGACTCAAAGAGGAAATCTATCTACTATAGATGGCGCTGACTCCAACCGTGACAAGCCGGACCGTATGCTGTGATTCTCTCTTATCGTTTGACTCACCGGTCGGACTTAGCGCAACAAGGACACCGCGCTTTGTGACGGACATTCGCTACGAGGCCTCATCACGATGATATTTAATGCAGACGGACGTACATCCGTCAAATTCTTTTTGAAACTCGAATTGCCAACAATGCGAGAAAACTGCGTTTCATATCATCACTAGTACAATAACTGTCGTTACTCTACTCTTCTTCCACGATGAGCACTTATTATCATCCCCAATCAGAAAGCCACTGGATCAGATTCGATGGTGAGCAAATCATCAACGAATCCGAGCCGATCGTCCGTCCAAACCGGAAACGTACTCGCCACCGACCTGGTCGTTCTCAGAGGCGCAATTCAGGCGATTCATCAGGCTCATCATCACCCGAGCTAGTCACTCGCCACGACTCGGGCTGCTTCATGCCACCATCGTCCGCTTATTCCCGATGTTCCAGCACAGATACCACCAAGGACTATTGTATAAACTCGCCTAGCGGCACAATCGCTATGGAGAAACCTACATCCTCGTCAACCATGCGTATTGATCGGGATACGTTAGATCGACAGATGTTCGGTGGCGTTGACGAAGATTCGCAGTCCGCCCAAGAACTCCGCGGACCGATGCTCGACGTTGTATTGAGTCTCTTCAACAACGTCGACTTCATCGATCCGGCATTTTGATTTCTTTCCATGGGATATAAAACATTCTTCTCTTATTGGTGTGTTGTAACGACGGGACACAACACATCTCCGGCTCAGATCTTTGTATCATGCCCGCGATCACAGCACGAAATTCAACCAATTTGAACCATGGTTCCCCCGATTCGAGATCTTTCGACAATCAACTTAACGATAAATTGATGATTTATGAATATTTGAAGCTTGGCAGCGTGGTTGTTCATGCGATGTTTCGTTCCTGCGATTACAAGCAAGGCTCGCATGTACTTTCTGAGTCAATTTTAATTGGTGTCTATCACCACTTTTTGTACTGTACCGTATACCATTCTCTCCATCTCACGCGGAGTCTGCGCTGGGATTTCGTGTTTCCAGTGGAGTATTTGGCGTATTGTTAGCAAACCTTACAAATCCGGAGGACATGACTCCGGATCCTTCACCTCGATCGATCACTAGAGATTAGGCGTCCCATCACGAGTACCCGGGTAGGCGTCCTTTCTAGCATGTATGTGTGCAGGGTCACCCGTTGATAGGCAGCCTCAAAGGATTGAATCCGGCGTGTAACAGATTGCTGCTCGAGGGTGAATGTGAGTATAGTACTGTAAACTTTTCTCTGGAAACTTCCTGCTCAGCCGAAGATGAGCCCATAGTTTGAAGGGCCTATCGCAGGCGCACACAATGCCTGTGGATAAAAAAGCACAAGTTGGCAATGGTAGGTAAAATTGTTGATACACCATAATGGACCAATTCTGTAGACAGGATGAGGAAAAGTAATGCATTAATGACAAATGGTTCCTGCAGTAGAAGCAAAGTAATTCGTAGGGCTGTTTAGCTAGCAGGGTAAAGCCCACGCCGGCTCGGCGCGAGACACTCAAGCATGGCCTGCCTCCACCTCTTCCTCCATCGTCATCATTGGCATTGATTGCTCCCAGTAACCGGGTGCACTTTCAAACATTCCGCACCACAGTTGCCCGCACCGTCCTCTTCTCACACTCACATTTCCCCAGCCCAATGGAACGCGTACATGGATCGCCTCCGGTCGCAGCAGTTTTCATTGTGATTTTCGACCAAAAAGTTGGGTGAGCAGATATACACCTGATAACTACACAAAGCCTGGGCACCTGCTCACGTGCGCATAGCTATACCGTCGCGCGCAAACGAACGCTCGCCGATGTGGACTTAGATGGCGTCGAATTCAAGAGCCTTCCTTCCGGACTTCATGCTGTCAAAGAGGATCTCATCTACTTTGTCCACGGGAAATATGCTGGAATTAGCGTCTTCGTACAAGGCGAGGCCGATGCCAAGCAGCGCAACGCAACCTTTGTCGCCGTCGGAGTGCTGGTACCATTGAGTCAAGGTCAATTGGGACGTGGATGGATGCATGCGGAAGAGCTACGAGTTTTGGTCAAAGAAGTCATCAAGGACACCGCAGACACAAGGCATCTTGAGTTGTTCTGGAAGAAGCACAGGGCGGATGAGACAGCCGTGACAGCTTCGAGTTCAGTTGCAATACCAGCATCACCCACCTCAGATAACAAAAAGAGGAAGCGCACGTCTTCCGTGAGCACGTTTGCTAGTTTGAACACTGACGCACTATGGCCCGCGGATCATCCAGCGCTGTCGATACCGCTGCTCCTCGATTCATTCGGACCTCTAATATTTCCCTTACATCGTGCTGCGCTCCTACGAAAACGAATTCTCTTTCTGGGCAGCACACCAGTCCAGAAGAATTGCAATGCTGTGTACAATGCATCTGTTTTATCGAATGTTCCACAATCCCTATACGAAACCCTCCCTCCTTCGGCTAAACCCATCTTCCAATGTCGGCCTTTGTTTAGTGTCGGAATACAGGAGATGCCGATTCTGTGTTCAAATAGTGGCGAGAAAGCGGGCTGGATCGCATGCACGACCGACGACATTCTGAGCGAGAAGAAGGACTTATACGACCTCCTGGTAGAACTCCCAGGAACTTCACGATCAAAAGGCCTCTGGCCCACGCTGCAGACATCAGATGGGGAAATCATCAAAGCCTCTCAAAGGGACCTTCGCCGTTGGAGACAATTACGGAATGAACTCAAACGTCTAAGGGATCTCGCGCAAGAAGGATACACTGACGAACCGGGAGCAGAGCCCATCGATGACGATGAGCAGCCATTGATACAGCCCCACGAAACGGAAGAGGATGCAGAGGCTGCTCCACCTCCATCGAAGGACGAGAATGACGTGGTGGAGCCATCCTCCTGGGCAGCACTCGCATGTAGAAGCTTCATGTGGTGGGCGTCTGCAGGCGAAGCCAGCGCGTGGGAAAACGAACAAGCTCAAGCCGATGAACAACTATTACTCGATCTTCCAGACGTGGCCGGGATACTGGAATCTGCCGGAGACGATGATGATGAGGATGACGACGCGGTCGCGCGACGGAACCATCGTGATCTGTATTTCTCAAGAGCTGCTGCGACTGTCGTGTTGGCTTACTTCCGACGCGTCACCGAGAACCTCTTCAAGGCCATGACGGTTGTGGTCGAAGAGGCTGACGACGAGACGGAAGAAGGGATCGCTGAGGATGCCATCACGGTTGATCTCGATCATGTCCGTGAGATGGGCCTCGATACCTGGAGTGGTTTGGACAAGGCGTTCGTCATCGAGATGCTGAGAGTTTGGTACAATCGTGATGCGGTGATTGCCGGCGGAGGCGTACGATTATGCGGCTTACGAATCTGCTAGTGATTGGAGACGTGGAAGAGATGATAATGGAAATTAAAGCGCTCTGTTGCGGTTCAAATTTGGTCGTACATCGGCATGTAATCAAAGTATCTCGTCTCGGATGCCCAGATATCATATTCTACATTAACATATTCGTGCTTGCCGCACAACCGCCAAGTCAGGAAGGTAGCATTGCTACAGACTCTGTGTATATGAGCTTTGGGGCGATTGTTTCGGCACACTGCAAGTCGCTGCGCCCCTTCGTTCAGCTGCCTAGCCAGGTCACACGGCTTGATTGAGGCGGCAGCCTGACCTAGCGCTCCTCTGGCCTGGGCATACCAGATGAGTCCCCTTGATCGGAAGCCTGAAAGCGAGATTCATCAAAAAATTGTCTCGTTTACTGGGGAGAATAATTGCTTTCGTCCTGGGCCAAACAAAATATCTGCGAGCACACGAGAGACGATGTCGGGTCCATGGGAACATAGCACCTACGCCGCACAATCAAAAGGGTCTTTCGGACCAGCTATCGCATCTCGATCGAGTGTTCGATCATAGCGGCACAGAAGTTATAGCGTGCCATGGCGACGACGATGGTCCAAGCAACGCGTGACTTCAAGCCTTTGGATGGGGTCGATATCTCAGGCAGCTGGCTAAGTGTGGCGTGGATCGGTGAACTAGCGTTGCTGAAGTTCTCTCGTGGCGCGGACGCCGCACCCAACACGTCGGCGGCCTAGATTTTCTGTTTGGGACCCTAACCTGGACGGCCCGGGTCATGATGAGCGTCAGTGGCAGGTCATGAATGGATCTCTTCGTCCCAGGTTGGCGAGTGATCATCCGAAACACTGCCAGAATCGGGCACAAAAGGCGCAACCCTGTTGACCATGGTAGGCGTTGTGTGGCCCATGCCGAAGAGCATGACCAAGACTAGAATGTGCAAGGCAATGCAGTACGCCGCAAAAAGATTTCTGCTAGTCCGTGTCGCAAGCAAGAGTCGTGTTGCCTGGAATACTGCGCGTTCCGGCCAGCCCATCCGCTTCAAAGCCCGAGCCGATTCGCGGCCACGAAATGCTGCAAAGGGGCTGTTCAGATTGTTCTCGTATGTGGACCGATAGCGATCGAGGGCCGGGGCACCAGAAGTGCTGCCACCTGGCGAGGATACCGTGATAGAGCTGGGGTTGGGATTGGCGCTGTAGGTAGATCCGGATCCGGCTGCTGAAGGGCCGGTATTGCCGCGATTGTAAGACGCCACGTAACGCGACTTTTCGTACAGATTGAGATTGTCGCGCTGGAGTGAGGAGACCTCGGTACGAAGCGACGACACTGTTTGGTACTGCTTTTGCAGCTCTTGTTCGAGATCGTTGATCTTCTTCTTGAAACGATCACGTTGAGCGGTGACCAGAGGTAAGATACTGGCCGATCCAATGCTTGGGGCTTCGCCAGAACGTAACGATTCAAGCACTCGAGTGTTGTTTGCCCCAGCACCTTCATATCCGCCAATGATGGAGGACGTCGGAGAAGTTGCGCCTCCCCGGCGACTGCCATACACCGATTTCGGATAACGCGATGTGTATGTCCCGGCGACAGACATGGTATCGAAAGCATTCGAGATTTCCTGTTGTGTCTTCTGAATGTCATTTTCCAGGGTCGAATTGAGGATCTGTGCTTTCTCAAGATCCATATTGGTGCCTGACAGATCCTCCTGCAATTGCTCCATCTTCCTCTGGAGATCAGCATGTGCCACTCGGAGCTCAGTGAGCTCATTGTTCAATTTCTTGTTGCGAGCAGCGAGGAGCTGCTCCAGAGTCTCACCCTTAACTCCATCTACCGAGCCACTGGTGTTGGTGCTTTCTTCCGCATCTCCATTTTCAACGTTGGTGAATTCGATGGCACGGAGCATTTGTAGTTCACGTTTCACTTCCTCATAGTCACTCCACTTCTGTACTTTCGCTTCCAGTGTTTCGCGATCAGTCTTAAGCGCTGCTGCTTCACGTTCGAATCCTCGAATCTTATTTTGTAAGGCGGTTTTCTCGGAGTCCTTGTCGTACCGAGCAGCGTCGAGTCTCCGCAGGAGCGACGAGTTCTCCGACCGCAGGCGCAAATACGCAGGATCATCCTCAACAGCAGTATGGCGAACGCTGGATTGGCTGGTCGATTGTGCGAGCTCGATCCGAAGCTGTTCGTTACGAGCTTCGACCTCGACCAAACGGAGGCTTGTCCGCTCCAACTCTGAGTTGATGATTTCAAGTTCCGCAGCAGAGCCGGAATTCCTGTCATATTTTTGTCCTGAATCTCCTGACATTTCTAATCTTTGTGAGACTTCATAGCTGGCCTTCAGCTCCTTCAGCAAGCGGTCCTGGTTCTCGATTTTACTTTCGAGTCCTCGCTCCTTCGCAGTCCAGTTGTCCTCTTTCTCGCGCAAGACAGATTGCCATGACTGTTCAACTTGCTTAATTTGGTCATCTTGAGTACCAGAAAGTGCCTCTCTTTTCTTTCTCTCGTCTTCTGTGCGTTGATCGGCTTCCTCGAGCTGCTCGTTGAGTGCGCTGATCTGCACACGCAGGCTCTCATTTTCCGACTCCAGTTTCGGCACCACTTCATCAGCAGTGATCAGAGAATCGATCGACGCCTCCAATAACGGATATGGATCGGGTGCTTCGGCCAAGGGCGAATAAGCTTGCATGAACGCAGCAGTGATGCTTTTGTTGTGCGTTGTGACAACATCGATATAGCTTTGGTATGCTTTGAGCAAGTCTTTGATCTGTCCGAGCTTATTCGCATCGTCGAGCTTGCGGAAGTCTTTGGTCTTCTGTGCCAGGTCCTTGCGCTGGACGAGAGACTCCTTCTGTTGATCCACCATTTCTTCGGCGGTATGATCGAGATCGCGAACGAGTTTCGAAAGGTTCAGACTGCGCCATGCGGTGACTGCCGACTGAAATTTGTTGTCTCCTTCTGAGGAGTTTCGCGTTGGCAGGGCGCCATCTTTTGCGTCTTCTGACGGGCGGCCATTGGATTTGGTCGGATCGCTGGCTTGCACGGTCGGCAGGGGCTCGTCGGCGTCCGCCATGATGGTGTCGGGTGAAGTCGTCAGTCGTGATCGTAATATGTTGCTTTTCAGGATTCGAGTCTCAACAATGGGCAGGACACTTGATCCGATAATACTGTACAGTATGCGCCTGGTTGCGGCGGACGCGGAGGTGACGGGTGGTGCAGCTGTTTCGTGTCTATTTACCTAGGCCTGCCGAGAATATTCATTAGCTGGAGAATGCGCTTAGGGTAGGGAATATTCGGCTGGCACCAATGCCGCTAGACACGCAGCAGTCAACCTTATCTGAGGGCTCCCTGCGGTTTGGCGGGATGATGACAACTAAAGTTGCGAAGCTGCCCAGGTGATGTTCGAATTCGCTCTATCCACAAGTCACCATCCCTCTTTGCATTTGATGATCAGTTTTGCCGCTTTCGCAACTACTACGTAAGATTTTTGATGTCACTAGCAACAAGAAGTCCAGTTGATTTGTCAGCGATCACAAGATGACGCGCAAGTCGGCATGGCCATGGACCTCACCTCGCACACTCGAGGCGACCTACCTGGATCCTATACCTTGCGCCCGCTGATCAATGAAGTCCCGTTGACACCGAAAGAGGATGGCAGCCCGGCGCACATCACTTGCGTAGATTCATGGAACGGCAACTTGTATATCGGGTCTTCCTCTGGAGAGATTCTACATTATTTCCAGATCCCACCAGATCCGGCCGAACCTGATGGCGAGCCTGCGTATATCCTGGCTACGCGCATTGAGCCTGAGCCTGCCTCAGCGCACACATCGCCTTCTGATATTGGCGTGAAACAAATCCTGTTGCTTCCGCACGAGGCAAAGGTCTGCATTCTATGCAATGGAGTTCTACAATTCTATTCGCTGCCCGAATTAAGCCCAGGCATCGATGGCAAAATTATCCGACAACAGGGATGTCTCTGGGTGGGAGGATTGGATCGAAACATTGCTCAGGATGCACTGGAGCGACCAGACGGTACCGCGATCGTCATGTGCCTCAGGCCGCGGTTGCGCCTGATCAACATTGGCGAGCAGGCACGAAAGATCCGGGACATCGAACTTGGCGGCATATCAGCAATCGAAAGAAGAGGAGACCTAGCTTGTGTCGCAGACGGAGAATCATATTCACTGCTCGATGTTGTTAATCAGCGCAAGCAGGAGCTGTTCGCGATTTCATCCTCAGCCGACACACAACCTCTTGCGCCAGCTAGACCGGCTTCTCGCAGCGTCAGCTCTGCGACCAGTCCGGTACGCCAGAGCCGCGGGCATGATCGAAATATCAGTCTTGGTGGCCAGCCTCGGAGCGGTGACAGATCTCGGCCAGATCTAGGGATGAATTGGCCTACACGCGCATCATCCCGTACTTCATTACCACCTCCTGCGAAATCATCTCGTGAGCCAAGCCCATTGAAGGTTGACAAGCCGCTACCCGAGGCGCCCGAGATACAACAAGTTCCAGATGCGCGGACGAGACCTGCTCGTCCACTACCACCGAACATCATATCACCAACCGCCAATGAGTTCTTGCTAACAACGGGAACGAGGCTAGAGGAACCTGGTGTAGGAATGTTTGTTAATCTCGATGGAGACCTCGTTCCCCGCGGCACACTGGAGTTCAGTAGCTACCCACTCTCCATTGTACTTGACAGTAATGGTCCCGATGCGACCACCCCTAAACTCGACGACTTGTCCAGAGAGGGAACCTTGCTTGCTCTTGTGCAGAAGTTGGAATCCGGGATCATGCAAAAATGCATTGAGATCCAGAAATGGAACGTTAATTCCAGCGAGACCGACACTGCGAAAGAGTGGCTTGTCATTGGTCCAGCGGAGGATTTCGAGGAGCAACCCTCGCTCAGTCACTACGGCCTCATAGAAGTAACAAGCCCCGCGCAATTGTCAGGAGACAGCATAGGCGCCGCGCTCCGACTGCGCCGACTTCGAATAGGTAAAGAGCATACAGAAAGCACCGAAGAAGACAGGAAACGCAACGCCGAGGAAGACAAATTCGCTGCAAGATTCGAGAAACTTCGCGCAAATATTCTGCTCTTTGCCAATCGTCAGATTTCGTGGGTGGTTCGTTGCCCAGTCGTGGTACAGCTCAACCGGCAGCTTGATCTCGCTCTACAAAAGAACGACGAAGGCGTGGTGTCCGTGGACGTTTCAGCGATACAAAATGTTGTCAAGATCTTGCGAGGTCGAGAGCCTCGTGATGAGCTGGAGTTTCTCACTCTCACGTATATTCGTCAAAAAGCCGCTCTTTTGTTATTTGGCCGACTAATCCTGCAGACCGCCGGCAACATCACCACTAGTGAGCTTGATCGACAGCGGACTGAAGATGCTTTGGGCGCTGCTGAGCTTGACCCTCGCATCGTTCTCACGATGGTGCCACCACTACAGAAAGAAATAACCCAGGGAAAAGATGGTATATGGGTGCCGCAAGGTATTCGAGACACACTTGATATGCTCCGAGCTTCCTTCGATGTCGCCGGCCTGAATCAAGATCCCAGGGGCCTATTTGGCGAGAACATCTTGATGATCATGAAGGGATACCTGTTCTCTTGGCGCAGGAAAAAGGGTTTCGGGAGTGTCGCTGACGAGGCAAACGTGTTCCTCACTGTTGACGCGGCGCTGCTGCATGTCTTGCTCCTGCTTGATCGACACAGCTCATCTGGCCCCGCTGCCCCAGGCTCGATTCGCGCCGAGCTCAACGACGTTGTCGATCGCGGAGTTGAATGCTTTGACAGGGCCGTTGAATTATTCGAGAAGTTTGGTCGCATCTACATGCTGAGTCGTCTTTATCAAAGCCGCAAAATGTCTGCTAATGTCCTAGCGACGTGGAAGCGGATAATCGAGGGCGAAGTCGACGTTGGTGGCGAGCTTGTCGATGGAGAGCTGCGTGTGCGTCGCTACATTGCGCAGATCAGAGATATCTCCCTCGTCGAGGAATACGGATCCTGGCTAGCTCGCCGTGATCCGAGACTTGGAGCCCAGGTCTTCGCCGATGACAAAAGCAAAATAAAGTTCGATTCAAACGAGGCGATTGCCATCCTCCAGAAAAATGCCCCCAATGCCGTGAAGGACTATCTGGAACACCTGGTTTTTGACCGGAATCACATTCAATACGTTAACGATTTAATCGCCTTTTATCTAGATACTGTCCTCAACGCCCTCGAGGATTCCGAGTCAGTCCGTGGCCTCCTATTAGACTCATACGCGACATATAGAGCGTTGGAGCCGCCAAAACCTACATACCGACAATTTGTCGCCGACAACCCTGTCGATGCCGAATGGTGGCGCAATAGATTGAGGCTTTTGCAACTCATTGGCGGCACCCACGGTCCATCCTCGCAATACGACGCGCAAGCGCTCGGCAGCCGCCTCGAGCCTTACAAGAACGAGCTAGTGCCTGAGATGATCATCCTCAATGGTCGCGAAGGTCGACACGAGACTGCCTTGTACCTATTGACTCACGGTCTTGCGGATTACGACACGGCAATTCGCTACTGCCTGCTTGGCGGCTCGAGCATATTTCACCTGCAGTCTGCCTCTGCTGCAGCATCGACGCCCTCGGCATTACCGAGTCATGACGAGCAGTCTCGGCTGTTCAACTATCTGCTAAACGAGTTCTTCGCGATTGAATCGGAGGACGCGCGCCTAGAGCGCACGGCTGAGCTCCTCGAACGCTTTGGAGGGTGGTTCGATGCAGCAAGGGTGTTAGAACAGATTCCCGACAATTGGTCGGTCCAAGTCGTCGCGGGTTTTTTGGTCCATGCTTTCCGCCGGCTGGTCCGGGATAAGAACGAGACGATTGTGGTGAAGGCATTGAGTGGCGCGCAGAACCTCAAGAAAAGCCTGGAAGTGATAGAGAAGTCGGAAGGCGCAGGGCCAGTCGTGATGGTAGCACCTCTCGAGTCGCAAGAAGCCGACGACGAGTCGTATGCTTGATCTGATTTTTTTATCATCATAGCCGATAGTAACAATGAGCGAAATTCGCAGATTAGTCAGCCATATGATTTCCTGATACCGCTGCACAGTTGTTCGCATACAGTATCTGGCTACTGTTCATTTTGTCCTCTCACCCATGCTTGGAGCTTTCATTGTTGGCAACACAACAGAGCACAAAGGAGATATGTATGTGCCATGTGGACTGGTCGGTTGAAGTTGCCATGGAGCCGTGAAAGCGGAAGTCGACGGGAGTGGGATAGCCACTGCCGTCAATTTGCGCCCGCCACGCGAGCATCAAATTTCTAGAGCCGGGCGGCGGATACTGTATACACTACTGAGCCCTGCGGACGGAGTATTGCGGCACCTGCACGTACCTACCTAGTAGGTAGTCATTACAATCCGGGAAGCGCGAATCTCTACTCGACATGATGCCCAGGTGCCTGTCTAATCTCACCTGGGCAGCTTGATCTCGACCGATCCACTTGTGACGGGTGAATCCGCGCAGTCATGGGCGCATGAGCCGAACCTTCTCCGGCTCTACAGTACCATACGTTCGTGGCACCCAATCGATCGATCGATCAAATCAAACACTTGACCGAAAGGGTGCTGCTACCCCGATGGATTGCTTGCACCCACCCTGCGTAAACGTAAACAGTGCGATTTATGTCTGAGAATCCCCGGGCCTCCCTCGTTATGAAGTGACCATCGTGATTACGGCGCATCGAGCGAGACGTGTGTTGACACTCATTGTGGAGGGGCTGGGCTCCATCTGCAAAGGCGAGCTTTGATGCGACACAATCAATATTTCTATTGCATTTCGATAATCGATCGTGAGTGACACTTGAGTCTCCCAGAGTGTCGGCGCTCGCGTTTCGCGATGGACGCTCTTCACGTCGATGTGGAGCGCGCTTCAGTGCACGACCACCTCCCGCTTGCCGGCAATGACGATTTGGAGCCAATCCCGACCGTGGCGCCTCCTCTATGGACAGACAACATTCCCAGGACCGAGCATAATGCCGTGTTTTTGGACTGCGACTTTGCATCGACGAGCCTTGGGCCGCTTTGCCGATGGGGTCCCGCTCTTCGGGCATATGCCTCGATGATTTTCGCGGACACTCGTCCGGCTTGCATCTATTGGGGCCCGGACCGTATTGCGCTTTACAATGCCGAATTTGCGGTTTGCAGTGCGGGAGCTCACCCTGCTCTGATGGGCCGGGGTTTCAGTGAGGTCTTCGCAGCACTTGCCGAATCGATTGGCCCAGTGTTCAAAGAAGCCACAAGAACAGGCCGAGGTCAAGATCTCGAAAACATTTTGCTCTTTCCGACCCGGAACGGATACGTTGAGGAAACTTACTGGACCGGCCAGTTCATTCCACTGCGCGGCGAGAGTGGCAATTTTGAGGGCTACTATAATACGACCATTGAGAAAACATCACAAGTACTGCAAAAGAGACGGCGAGCAGTCGTCGACCAGATCGCTGCTATTCCACCGTGTGCTATGGACCAGACCTTCACTCTGGTGGTCGAAGCTCTTCGTGGAAATCCGAATTGTATTGCAATGGCAATGCTTTACTCGTTTGACGAATTGGATGCTGGCGATGTTGAGTATGTTCGGCTTCGTGGCAGTATAGGTGTGCCGGAAGGGCATCCATGTGCAGTCCAATCAGCATGTCTGGAGACCAGTCAGGAAGGCATGGTTCCAATTTTCCGCATGGTGAAAGCATCCCGAAAGATGCTTGTCGTTGATTGCGAGGATGAAACTACCTTGATTCCCAGGAGTGTTTTAGATGGGATACAGTGGTGCGGTTATGGCGAGCAATCCCGAGAAATTGCCATCATGCCCCTGACCAGTGGGGAAACACTGCTGGGGTTTTACGTGCAAGGCCTCAATCCTCACAGACGATATGATGAAGACTACGGCGCAAGCATCATCGACATGGCGCGACAAATCGAGGCTAGGTGGATCGCAGCATTGTCCTTTGAACGATCACAGCTGCGCGAACAAGCTCTCGAACGACGCGCAATCGATAGTGAGAACCGCCTCAGACACATGGCGCAGTGCGCACCGTTAGGGATGGTCCAAATTACCCCTGAATTTCGAGTCCAATGGGCGAATGACCAATACGAGGAGATCACTGGGCACGATAGTCGCAGCAATTCTGGTCTCGACGCATTCCTGGAGCTCGTCGCCGACGAAGACCGGGTCAGGGTCGTTGAAGAACTTCAATCAGTCTTCAAAGGAGAGACGCGGAGCGTGCTTGAGGTACGCTTGAAGCGCACATGGACGCCCCCAATCGATGTAGGAGAATCACTCAGAGATGTTTCTACTTGGATCCTGGCATCTAGCTTCCCATTGATAGAGAATGGTAAGGTCAAGCTGATAATGGGATATTATATCGACATCAGTCACCAGAAATGGGCGGAGAGTGTACAAGAGCGTAACGCAGCTTCTGCGATGCTTGACAAGCGCCGCCAAGAAGAGTTTATCGACACGACTTCTCATGAGATGCGAAATCCTCTGACCGCCATCACGCAGTTAGCAGATGGTATCGCCAGGTGTGATGACCTGAATCGTATGGGGTCTTTGGAGACCTATCGAAGTATCGTTCGCGATAACATCGACGCGGCCAACACGATTCTCATCCTTACGGCGCATCAGAAGCGGGTGATTGATGATGTCCTCATCCTATCAAGACTGGAATCGCACATGCTTTCCATTACACCGGTGCCTGAGTCGGCTAGCAGGGTTGTTGCGAACACGGTCAAGATGTTCGACGGAGAAGCCGCGATGAACAACATACACATTGAAGTCGTCCGCGACCAATCGAGCGATCATCCTATGGCTGACTACTTACTCATCGATGCATCGCGCTTGATGCAGGTATTGATCAATCTGATTAGCAATTCAATCAAGTTCACGTCGACCCAGAGCTTTAAGAAGATCACAGTGTCCTATGGCACTCAGACTGTGCGGCCCGTCATTATCAGGTCCAATTTTGGCTCGATTGTGTGGTGTCCGCCCAAAACAGAAGAGCAACGGCATAGCGCGTTGCCACCGTTAGAGTTTGGACAGAAAAGTTTGTATCTCTACTTTTGCGTGCAAGATACTGGTCCAGGTATGACCGACGAAGAGATGCAACGCTTGTTCAAACGATTCTCGCAAGCAACGTCAAAAATCCACATCACGCATGGCGGCAGCGGCTTGGGTCTCTACATCTGTCGTGAACTTGCGGAAAAGCAAAGCGGTGGCATTGGTGTGGCATCACAACACGGCATGGGATCAGCCTTTGGTTTCTATATCGAAACTCGAGCAGTATCTCTGATCGATACGGATCAGATTCCATCGCCATCTCCAAGTTCCAAGCGCATTTTCGAACGAGCATTCAACAGACGGGAGCCGAGAATGGACACTGCTCCCATCTATAACTTTCCGGGTCCTCAAACGCCGAAATTAACTCGGGCGGCCACGGCGCTTCCATTGACACCACGACAGCCGCGACAGTACAACGTACTCTTGGTAGAGGACAATATGTTCAATCAGAAAATTCTAGCAAAACAGCTGCGGACCGCCATGTGTTCTGTGCAGGTTGCCAATCATGGTTTGGAAGCTCTACAGATCCTTGATCGATGCGGGCATTGGTCGAGGAGCGCAGATCAGGAGATGCCCGAGGCGTACGGGAATGCGCCAGCTCAATCAACGCACTCCCGCGACGGAGCTATCGACGTCATCCTACTGGACGTCCAGATGCCGGTCATGGATGGTCTGGAGTGTTGCCGGATCATTCGTGAGCGAGAAAGGCAGGAATTCGAAGACGACCTAGCAGACGGCATTTTTCATTTGCGTAGACCGCCTTTACCCATCATCGCTACTACAGCCAATGTGCGCCAGGAGCAAAGGGATATGGCGCTCGCTGCAGGCATGGACAGCGTTTTAATGAAGCCTTTCACTGCCTCGGATGTCCTGGAACGAATACATGAAATCCTCTCGAATCGAGCATCGACGGCTATCATTGCACCCGGCAATCCCAGGTGAAGATCTTTTCACGCTAAGAACCCAAGACCTTATATGAGACCCGAGCAACGCATCGCCACTCCACGCAAATTCGAGAGACTTTTGATTTGCCCTGAGAGGCTACCACGATTGCTGTATAAACTGTGATCGTCTCCTACTTAGGACGCACTATACAGGAAGTCCGATGTTAGCCTTCCACGTCGCCATGGCGTTTCCTGCAACGACGTTGTCCTGATTGGCATCAACGTAGCCTCGAGGATCCACACTTCTCGGAACGACAGTGAGAGATCGACCTGAAGACGCGACGATGTTAGTGACCGTTCTCGAATGCATATATTCGAGGGCATTCGTCGGAATTTCAAGCATACGCACCATTGACTGATTGCTCCGCAGCGATGTGAAGGATGGCAGAGGCTGCGTCTTCTACCAGCGCCCAATCATATTTAACAGCATCGAGCTGCTGCTGTGCCGCGACGGGAACGATGCGCGTCTTGATGAACCTAATGTGTTCTATTATCAGCGACAATCGCACAGATGATCTACACCGGATGAACCAACCAAGGACTGATCAAGCCAACCCGAATACCATGGGCTGGAAGCGAATTCCGTAGGCTACGGAAGAGACCACGCACTCCCCATTTGGAGGCGTTGTATTGAGGTGCACTATGCATGGCGTCTGTGAGTCCTCGTTCAAAACTTTGCAATTCTGATCGCGGGTAGCAGAGAAGGATAGGACAATACTCACGCGGGCATATCCAAATAGCCAGCAAGAGAAGCAGTGATAATTAAAGCACGATCTTTCTCCTCCTCGCCCGGTCGTTTCACGAGATAATGTGTCGCGAGTTTCGCAGTGTAAGCCACACCAATGGTGTTGACCTTCAGAGTACTCAACTTCGGTTCGACCGGGTCCGCCGTCGGATCCGCCGCGATCTTTTCTGCATCGACGAGAAGTTCATCCGTCACAGCGATTCCCGCATTCGCGCAGACCACATCGATGGACTTGCTGGGAGACTTCTCAATGGCCGTCTTGAACAGCTGAAGCTGCTCGGCCCAGACGAGCACATCGCAGGGGACGAACGCAACCTTTTCGGATCCGAGCTCGCTGACGATGGCCTCGGCTTGCTCAACGGCGATATCGCCAAATGTGACAAAAGCGCCCGCTGTAACGAAAGCTCGCACGCTGGCTTCGCCGATGCCGCTGGCACCGCCCGTGATGACTACGCTGCGTCCGGCCAATTTCGTCGCATCGAACGTGGCGCCGAGTTGGACGGCATTGTCTGTGTTGAAGGACAGGTGCGGTATAGAAACGATCTGAGCTCCACCTTGCGATGCCATTGTGGGAGCCGTATCAAGTCTTGCTATGTTTCAATAGTACGGGGGCGACAGAAGTTGGGATTTTATTGTATAAAGGAGAAGTTATGACGGACGAACTACCTAGATGTTTACTTGACTGCGGTTTATATACGCCTCTCTACGCCCTACCGCAAAATAGTAGGCATGCAACACGAGCACATCACTGCCTGGGTTGTCGGAACGATTGTTCTTTTATGAACACGATGTGCATGCGGGGTGCGTCAAAAGAAGCATCATTGCCGCCGAGTCAGCTTTTGTGGAAGGAGTCGCAGCATAAGGTGGTCTGGCCCGCCGCGCACAACCTGCATATATCCGTTGCGATTGCGAGTGTAACAAAACCGAATGCCTGATTCCAATTTCTTGACTCGGAGTCGTCGAGATGGAGCTCACAATCACACATTGCGCTGCCACTATGTGCAAGATCTGACCGCCGGAAAGGGTCTGGTCACCTATGTAACTCTGGTAGCTAGTCCTACACTTCTCTGGGTCGCGTAGGGTGCTTCATTAATACCTACCTAGGTACCGCACTCATACCTACAGTAGGTCACTTTTCAAGACGAGCATTATATCGAGCATGTCGGAAAGAAGACTTGAGAACTATATTTACAGTCTTACATCAAGCAACATACAGTAAATCGATACATGACGGGCAAAGGAAGTTGAAGACAACAACAGCTCGTTTCCATGAAGAAGTTGTCAGACTGCCCCGTCCGATTCATCAACCGATCCCTGTGCACTCTGATATGTCTGAAGTTTAGACCTGACGTCTATATGCCGCACCGCATGTTCAGAACTCGCATGCTGGCGTAGCAGGACTGCTGGTGTTAGGCCTGTGCATTCAATCGTGATGTTGCCGATCGTGATGGGTTGCTCCAGATGTGGTCTGTCCGTCTGTCCGTCCTCCAGGACTGTCTACAATCCACCCGCAGTCTACGGTACAGTCTACAGTACAGTCCTGCGCCACTCGCGTCAACGCCAAAAGGACAGAAGGAAGGACCCGCCCGTTAATGCCCATGCACTTGTGCTGTGCACAGCTGTTCACATCACCCCAGCCGCCGCCGCTGTGGGATGTGGGCGGGCGGGCCTCCGCTGAAGCCCTCCACTCCTGGGCTGGCGATGATGACGGCTGACAAACAGTGCTCGCCGCTGCAGCTGCAGGTGGGCGCTAATGCCGATATTTTGGATAGAGCTCTATAATTGTTCTTCCCGCCTCAGCAGTTTACCATTCGTTCTCTTTCGTCTCACCAAACTCGTTTTTGGAGAATACCGCAATCATGGTCAGGCTTACATACTTCCTCACTTCAGCGCTCACCGTCCTCGGTGCTGTGGCTTCCAATGTCGTCGACCTCAACCCCTCCAACTTCGACGAGATCGTCCTGAAGTCTGGCAAGCCCGCCCTCGTCGAGTTCTTTGCACCATGGTGTGGTCACTGCAAGAACCTTGCGCCCGTGTATGAGGAGCTGGCCGACAGCTACGCCGCTTCCAAGGACAAGGTCACCATCGCCAAGGTCGATGCGGATCAGCACAAGTCCTTGGGCAAGGATTGGGGCATTTCGGGTTTCCCGACCATCAAGTACTTTGATGGCAAGAGCAAGGAGCCTGTCGACTACAACAGCGGTCGTGACTTGGAGAGTCTGCAAGCATACATCACTGAGCGAACCGGCGTCAAAGTCAAGGGCAAGAAGGCTCCGGCGAGCGCCGTGCAGATGTTGACCGACTCTACTTTCAACTCTTCCATTGGTGGCGCCAAGGACGCTTTCATTGCTTTCACCGCCCCGTGGTGCGGACGTAAGTTTTATTCGCTTCGCATATCCTGTACGAACGAGTACTGACATCAATGCAGACTGCAAGACTCTCGCTCCCACCTGGGAGAAGCTCGCCGCCGCGTTTGCGTCCGAGACTGGTGTTTTGGTCGGCAAGGTCGACTGCGACTCTCCTGGTTCCAAGGCTACCGCCGAGCAGATCGGTGTCAAGTCCTACCCAACCATCAAGTTCTTCCCCAAGGGTTCTACTGAGCCGGAGGCATACTCTGGTGGTCGCTCCGAGGATGATCTTGTCAACTACTTGAACGAGAAGGCTGGAACCTTCCGTCTTCCCGGAGGTGGTCTCAATACAGTTGCTGGTGTGATCCCTTCCCTTGACACTGTTGTCAGCAGCCTCAAGAGCGGTGGTGCGTCTGCCTACTCTGAGCTCGAGAAGGCTGCCGGCGCTCTCCAGGACAAGTACGCCGAGTACTACGTCAAGGTCAGCAAGAAGGCTCAGGCCAACGCCGACTATGTCAACAAGGAGTACACTCGTCTGCAGGGATTGATCAAGAAGGGTGGCCTCGCGCCGGAGAAGCTTGACGACCTCGTCAGCCGAAGCAACATCCTGAGCAAGTTCAAGGGCGACGTCGAGGAGACCATTGCGTCTATCAAGGAAGAGCTTTAGATGAGGAACCTTTATGATGTATATGCTAAGTAGTACCTACGCGTCACGATAGAACATGACAAAAAGTTTCTACCGCTCTGTTGACACCAGTGAAAGGCTGCATCGTGGAAGTCACGATGCTCCCGTGATGAGCTTAGCGTTCAGTAATCATATCCGTAGCATAGGCCCCCGTTGGCTCGTACCTGCCGCAATCAAGTGCTTTGCAGTCGCTTATTTTCGTTATGATATGATCGATACGCCAAATACCAAACAACGCGAACAGCATCCCACAAAGTCACGCATACTGTCTCGACAGCGCTCAGCCTCATACCGGAATACACAAGCTGATTGCATACGGCCGTGAGTCTTACCATCTATATGCTCGTCGCCAGTCGATGTAGATGCCATCCACGAAATCAAGTCATTCATAACTATGCAATCACAGCTTCGCGCAAGACTCAGAATACCGTAGACCGGATCCTCATCAGACTTACAACCTCTTCACGAATCATGACATTAGTACGCCAGAACTCCGCTTCATTTCCATGTCCGTCGCTGACTCTACTTCTATACACAGCGAACACCGCTCCTCTGCGTCCTCGCAGCCTTCATCCCTCCTCTCGCCGTCGTCATCGTTCGCGGCATCAGCGTGCAACTGGCGGTCAATTTCGTGCTGTTGTTTTTCGGGTGGTTTCCCGCTATGTGTCATGCTTGGTATATCACTATTGCAGGGACGTCGGGTCGAAAGAAGGCCTGAGTGAAACGTGGGTTGGGGATTGGGTATGGGGCACTGTCAATGGTTTGGTGATTGGTGGTTTTGAGGGGCCACGATCGCACAGGTTTTCGATTAGATTGCCGGCTTTAGCTATGCTATGGGCGGTGGAACGGTGTATCTGCAAGAAAGGATCGTAACAATTCATAAGTGTGATGAAGTCGAATGTAATGGAGTCCAAAATGGGAGGCGGAACCTCGAGGCCAATTGTGCCATTGTCGCGCATTTCATTGATTTAACAATAGCAAGGCGCATTTATGCAAGCAAACAAATGACTCTGGGATCGCCACGGAATCTGCTTTCTACAATAGAACGACGATCATTGATGCAAATAGATCATATTTTGTGTGTCCACATCTGAAATGTTCCAATACACTCTAATAATGACGCCCCGGGCAAACGGCCGTCCTACTGGTGCCTGGAAATTCCACCTGCAAGCACTCAAACACGCCCCGCGTCGACCCTAGAAAGGATCGCGTCTTCTTCATCGACCACACGCGCCACCAATCTTGCTGAGCACAGCATTTACACCTCACAAGAACTCACCACCCTACACATCGGACAAGACTAATTACACTACAAACAATGTCCGAATCAACGCCGCGTATCAACGCGCAGTACCTAGAACAATTCTCCCACCGGACCGTCCGCATCGTCGGCAAGGTTCGACAGCTGCGAGGCGAGCAGGCGACGATCGATGCGAGCGGGACAATCAATGTCCACCTGAACCGAGTGCGTTGATCTTTCTGAACTGAAGAAACGCTTCCAATGGGACTCTCTCGCGCGTTGCGAATCCCAGGAAATTGCTCTACTGACAATCATAATGTTGCTTCCAGGAATCACATCTGCAACTCAATCACGCCGTGGAGATCATTGGCAAAGTACAACAAGATCTGAGCGTGCGGGTCCTGTCGAGCACAGATCTGGGGCCTGAAGGCAGTGTTGGTGAGTAGACAGTGCCAGGTGAAGAAGGAACATTATGGATCGAGCGAGGCAGGTTGCAACGTTGCGGCTGACTTCCATGCTCTCACAGATTTTGCTGCGATCGATGCCGTTGTCGATGCGACACACCGGTACCACGAGATCTTCTATGAGAAGCAGGACTGAAGCAAAGTATGCACGGATGTATCACGTACTCCTCAGAAAGCACATGTCCTTGCTGGATTTCATTCGAAACGATTGACGGCCTACGATTTTGACGGTACCGAATCTCAGCTGCGGCGGCTCATGATGGTGCATCGAGCTGTGGACATTCGAATTGTTCTGTCGGGATGTCCCTGGTAACGCGAAGATCTGAAATCCGTCTGCGAGATGGAAAGAAACGCTTCACTCCCTCCCACACGATGGATAATAGCTTGCGCGTTGGTGACGCCACTCGAAACATTAGTCACATATATAAGTACAGTACACGTCCATCAACGTGCTTGGGCATCATACCACGAGCGAAGACCAGGCCCGGAGATGATCTATAGGAGCACCTGGCATTCGTTGCGTCCCTCAAGAAACGCTGATAGCAGTCTTTCTGAGCCCGCTTGTAAGATCGTCAACCGCAGCATTCCGCTCAATGGCTGTCTTGGAGCTCTCCTTTCCTGCAATGCCATCGCCAGTCGTTTGGCCCTTGTCGGCAGCAAATGCCGCGCTGCGTACAGCCGTAGATGTCATGTTGTAGAACTCATCGATGATGGGGTGAATTAGGACGTTCTGGTTATGGATCGTGAGGACGCTGTTGGTCGGCACAGTAACCCAGTTGTCCCGTTCGAATGTCAGCGGCTCGGAAGCCACCAAGACAATGTCGGCGCCTTTATCTCGGCGCTCCATCTTGTATTCGCCCTTGCCGATCTTGGTTTTTTCATTCGGTGTCGCCGATGGCTGCTCCGTCCAGTTCGTCCCGGAGCTGAAGAATAGGCTCGCGGCATCGTCCGTCTTGGACGACACGTAGCGTGTGGTGACCACACTTTTACCGTCCGTAATGGCGAAATTCAACAAACTTCTTACATCGACACCTTCCCGCGTTTCCGCAGGAATGGCCCGGATATAGCCATTGATCCGCTCAATGGTCTTGAGCATTGCCTTGCGCAAGTTCGTATGACCAAACCCGTCCCTCTGCCTCACGGGGTCGTCCGCATCCAATCCACAATCTCGATCCAACGAATCTAGGAACAACGCAAACGCCCACTCGCTGTCCGTCGAACCCTGCACGCCCTCAAACCACTTGTCGCCAATGTCCGCCACGAGGCGTCGCTTGACGCCCAGCTTCCAACCGCCAATGCCGCCGTTGTGCATCCACATGAGCGCACCACGTGAGAACGGATGGCAATTGCTATCGGCCAAAGCACCCTCGGTACTGGCGCGCACGTGGGCGAAGATCAGCGGCGAGACCGTCTTGGACGCCAAGCGCTCGAGGTTCCGGCAGTTCCACGCGGGAATCGTCGAGGTGAAAATGCAGGGCTCCGGTCCGAGATCGACGGGCTCGGATTCGATTAGTGAGCCTGGAGTTGAGACGCTTCGTCGCCTTGAGGGACCCGGCGCTGATGTGTAGTAGCCGACGCCGAAGCCGTCGCCGTTGTGCGGTCGGGTAACGTCGAGGCGTAGCCGAGAATCGTAACTTTGGGTCAAGATGCTGTGTGTTGGTGATGTGATGAGGTGTGAGAGAAGAATGGGCGAGTGCCCCGAGTAAATGAGGAAGCGACACATTGCTTGGGAATGTGAAGCTCTTGAACGTGGACAATCACTCGATGTTGTGACGTTTGTGTGGCCCACAATGTTAGGACGGGTTTGGCCTGTACGAAGCTTGGAACTTGGAGGCCGTGTGTTTGAAGGATTCTACTGATCTTGTCAAGGGTGGATACTTCGTGCTGATCAAGTCTATCAATTTTCGTGTGACTGGCACATATGTCGTGGTATTGGGCAGATCGACGATGTCGTAGATTCGTTGGCCTTGTTGTCTTTGGTGAAGATGGACGTTGACAAGGGAGAAGCTATGGCGATTAGGGTTCAGTTGAAAGCCAAGTGAACTGGAGGCCCATGGATCATAGAAAGCGCGCGCCAACAACCTCGTTGAAGATATAGATCACGTGCTCACCGCTTTACATAACGCGATTATACAGTGTTCATGTTACACAGCGGTGGATCATTGCACTCCAGCTGGAACGTCAATATGGAAACAAAGACCCCCTGGGCAGTTCGTAGAAACTTGATATGGCGGCTTGCGGAAACAGCCTTGTCAACTAAAATAAGCGTGACAACGAGATATAAACAAGAACAAGTATTCACAAAAAAGTTCAAAAACACCCTGGCTCCATAGAAGCCCTCCCTTCAAACGTTTCCCAAAACCCAGAGGACTTTTCCTTGTGATTCGAAAATCAGATATGCAATGCGCAAACCTCCCCAAAAACGCCAGTTTCACATAGAGGCGCAGACAAGTTGAAAACAATGAACGCCGTTGACCCAATGCAAGATCCAAGATCCAAGCCCCAAGCAACATCTCCGTGGACGATGCGCACATGATGGAGCCCCGGCGCCTTTTCCTTCGCCGCCTGATAAGTCTTCATTTTCCCTTCTCTTTCCAGATGTATTTTGAGTATGTCTTCTTCGCCAGAAGTTTGATGAGAGGATCGTAGGTATAATGATTGTAGATGTTCCAAGTCTCACAGCGTTGGCTTGTGAGAGCGACTCTTACTTTCTCGACGTCTTTCTGAGAAGACGGCCGATGTGTTGGTACAGGTGGTGGCTCAAGCCTTTGAGACCCGACGAAATGACTCTTCGCTGCGAGCAGAACCATGCTGCTCAGTTGGCCGTGAGAGAGGCTGCTGCCCGACGGTCGAGGTATTGCGCCTCGACTTCCAGCGCTTGAGCAATGACATGGGTGATCGGCCAAATGACAGCCTTCTCAAGCATCATAGCGATGACCCGAGTCAGCTTGCCAGCGGAGCCGTAACCGCTCAGGTCAACCTTATTGCGGCCTGGGTTGATGCCTGTCGATGATGGGTTGAAGTTGTTCATCTCGACAGCAAGCAGGTTCTCTTGGGCGAGACGCTTCTGTTCGAGTCTTTGACAGATGTCATCCATCTTGTGAAGGAGTTCAAGATCCTCGGCCTCAAGAAGCGCGACAGCAGGCATTTGAGAGAAATCAATGGCATCACGGCCGAGCATGCCGAGTTGTGGTCCCACGCGCTCCTGCACGGCCGAGACCCATTCCGACAGAACCTGAACACAGGCCAAGAAGCCAACGGCAGATTGGATGGGCAGCTCATGAGCAGCTTGGTCGGCATACGTGAGGTTGTACTGGCACGCGACGGTGAGTGAGTCCGCGGCGTAGAAAGCTGCTCTTCGCAGATGCTTCTCGCGGCGGGCGGACGCGTTGTCTGCAGGAGACTGCGGGTTTTGATTTGAGCTGGACTGATTGTATTTTGCGTCGTTGCCGTCATCCGATTTCGAATCGTTTTGGAAATGGAGGGCTTCCGTTCGGCTGGCGAGTTCGTTGGCCATCCTGTCGAAGTCGCGTTCTCTGAATGCCTCCTGTGTGGGACCAAGATCGACATAGAGCCGCACGAAAGCGAGGTCCAGAAGGGGAATACAGTCAGCTGCCAGAGGACCGAGACCAAAGGGGTTTGGTCGTTCAATCCGGTGATGGTCGTTGGCTTTCCAAGCGGCTTGCCATGCCTTCAGCGCGGGTGCGATGTTGCTCACCATGTCTTCCATTTGCTGTGCAGTGCAGTCGGTGTCGGCTTGACGATTCCGGGTTTCCCAAATGACATTGTGAAGAGCGCAGATGAGTATGAGGCAGCCGTATGTGCTAGGCTTTAGTTCCCCGTCGGTGTGCTGTCCGTTTGCTGATCGCTGTCCAGCAGAAAGCAGGTGGTTCAGAGCGTCTGTGAAAGGAATCTCCTGCTGTTGAGCAGCAGCTAGACCGCCTCGATTATGCCACTCCTGCGCACTCTCGGCGTTGTAGAGGTCTTCTTCGCAAGGCAGACACAGGTGGATCTCCGAGTTCATGATTGCTGGAGTCTGGTTGTATCCGATCAAGAGCAGGCTGGAAACGAAGTACATCGCCAGGAAGCAGCGCTTTCGCTCTTCTTTAGTCTTCCAATTGATCCACTGGGCGTGGAGGTAGGCATCCTGAGTAGGATGTCTTGCGAGGGGGTGACCATCCTCACCAGAGCCGGTCATATCAGCGCTGATGTCAAAATCGGCACTCATTGACTCAGTGACCTTGGCTGCACGCATGAGACCGATCAAGGACGAGATGTGTTGACTGGCGACCTCCGCAGCAAGCTTGTCACCACAATGATGACCATAGATGACATTGAGCAGGATGGCTTGAACGAGCCAAAGTGGAGGCAGTGCTTCTGGAGCTGCTTGTGCTCCAGAGCGGCCGTGTCGGGAGCTCATCTCGTTCTTACGTTTCTCCTCGAGATAGAGCGCAATCATCTTCTTGGCGGCGTCGAAGAGCTCCTTTGATGCTGGGTGATCGTACTCGTAGAGCGCACCGATGGCGGCCATGCTAAGAATCAAACATTTAGCGCCTCCGACGTTATGGTCCTTGCCCATGTTACCACTGGGTGAAGTGGCTCGTCCCACGGTGTTTTCAATGGAGTCGAACGAGAGTGACGCATAATGGACAACCGGCAAGTGGGGATGAGCGTATTGGATGAAGGCATCGATGTATCGCCGAATGTCTGCTGTGCTTGGGAGATTAGGGCCCGTCGACTGCGCCGATGGCCGACCGCCGCCCGAGAGCGGGGAGCTGACGCTGGGCTGAGAGTATTTGCGATACATATGCCCACCATAAACGGATGGTTGCGACAAGGTGTTGAGTAGGGCTTGTCGGGTGGACTCCGTGATAGAATCGGCCGAATGAGTTGTCATGGAACTCTTCCGTGCGCCGATTCCGCTTCCGTTCAATGATGCGGCAGACATGCTAGGGCTGTTGGAATCAAATTGGGAAAGCGGGTGTCCAAAGACGGATGTGGACTGACTTTGCATATTGTCCACGTGGGCCTGCTGTTGCAGATGCTGATGTTGCATGTGCTGCATATGCTGCTGCTGCGGTTGCATGTTGGGGTGGAGGTGCGTTTGACCCGCTGCTTGCATCATATGCTGCTGGAAGTAGGCATCGCCGTTAGCGGATTGATGAAGATGTGAAGGCGAAACGGTCTCGCCCATGACGCCAAGGTGAGAGAAGCCAGAGCCGAGCGTATCGAAACCACCTGGTGACAATAGAGGCTGGGCCGGACCTTCGGCCGGTGGCCATTGGAAGTCGATGGGTAGATTGGCATGGCTGTTGTTCAAGCTGTCGTTGAAATCAGCAGGACTGTCGCCGCTGCTGATGCGCGAAGGTGACGACTCCTCGAAAACTTCGGGATCATTCTCATGGCCACCTGCCATGTGCTGCATGTTCCAATCCCGCATCCATGAAAAGTCGTCACCGGGCGGCATGTGCTGCGCGAGGTTCGGGTCAAAGCCGAAAGGCATATTTGACGGCACGGGTACAACATCGCCGGCGTGCAGAGCGGCTGGGTTGATGGTGTGGTGCGGGTTGAACAGGTGATCAGCTTCAAAGCCACCAAAGTTGGTGGTCGGCGGTGCGGTCCGCAAAGAATTTGACATGTCACCTGGGTGGAGCTGCGTGTTGAGCTTGGGTAGGCCATGGAAGTTACCGTTGTGGGGAAGCTGGTGTGGCATGCCTCCAAAGTCGAAGTCCATGGAGGTCTGGAATGCATTCATGTGCATGCCGTTCGCAAGGTTTATCGGCAAATGATGAGGGTCGAAATGCACGAGATCGAGATGGCCGAGAGTGTTTGCTCGCGGCCTGACAGTGTTCATACCCATGTTTGCAGATCCTAGCACAAGATTTGCAGTCGAGTTTTTGCGGACGCGGTCGGCATTGCCAATTGCCGTCCCTGCGACGCTTTCGCGCCGGCCTACACGTGGTCGCGTAGGACCTCCGGTCATGTGCAACTTCTGTTGATGGCGCAAGAGCAGATCTCGACGGGCGAAGCACCGCGTGCACTCGGGACACTCAAAGGGTTTTTCTTTCGTGTGTGATCGTTCGTGTCGTTTGAGATGTTCAAGGCGAGCAAAGGAGCGACCGCAGGTAGTACATTGGTGTGGCCGCGGCTTGTCGGTCTTTGGTGGTGGGAATTGACCATTGCTGGCAGTAGCTTGCAGCGTGGTGGTGTTCGGTGCTGACTGACCTGTAGGTACGCTGTGTTAGTCGAGTCGCGCAGTGACAATGCTCGCAAGCGCTTTTGGAGTTGTTACATACCAACACTCAACACGCTCGGCGGCGAGCTGGAAGCTACCGTGTTGGATGTAGGCGACGCAACCTCGAGGTCATGTTGTGTTGCGACTTCGATATGCATTTTGAATCGGTCGTCAGGATGATCGCACAGAGCGGCTGTCCAAAGTGACCTGCCTGGCTTTCCGTGACGGGTAGCCGGTGCGTGACAGGCGTCAGATATAAGTCAACTGTTCAAATCTGACCTGCAGTTCGCATTGAGAAGCAGGATTTTCGTGGATTGATCGGCGACTACCAATTGTTGCAGCGAGGCGACCCTATTTTGTTATGAAGGAATGACAAAGTAGTCGTAGACGTCCAGATAATGATGTCGATGCGCGCATACACCGGGTTTCCCACCAGGAATATAATGGATCGATATGTTGAGTTGGTCGTACAATCAATGTGGGATGATTGATGCTAAGCGGTCGGACAGTCGAGTGTTGCACGGCAGCTAATTTCCCAAAACCTGGAGAAACGGAACGAAGCAATGACAATCGTAGATCCAAGGTTATTAAGGTATGTTGAGAGATGTTGAAAGATTCTCTCTACGTGGGCGAAGAGAGCGAAAGGAAGACGGTGTTGAGGTTGTTCTCCACGAAGCAGGGCAATCGTGGTAGTATGTAGAGAAAAGATTGGTCTACATGGCGAAAGTTCAAAAGCGTCCACTATAGTAGTCTACAGTAGTACATTGTCAACTCGCGGGATCAAGATCGTGAGGTGTGTGTGGGTGGGTGTGAGCGATGAGTGCGTCAAGAAGTGTGTGTGTGTCTGTGTGTGCGCGCGCGACGCTTGATGATAATCCCAGTCAAACGGCGGGAAAGTCTTTTTCCCAGCTAGGCCAAGTTGACTAGAGTACATGTAAAACTCGCACGATTCAATTGCGCACGAACCTGGCCTGCAGGCGACCACGCTACACACCACCTAGTGCAGTTGCAGGTGGTGGAGGAGGAAACGGAGGAGGAAGAGGACGAAGTGGGAATTAGTCCGGAGCAGTTGGTGGCAGGCCCACGGGCTTCAGCGGCAGCGGCAGCGGCGGCGCAGAGAGAGGTGGGCATCAACGACAACGACGACGACACAGAGGGAGAGGGCAATTTACGAATTACACTTTCGTGAATACAGGTACACTGTACACTGTACAGCTGCTACATCAAGACAGACAGGCACCGGCGCAGCACTTTAGACTTTCATACAAGCCCGTTTCTCCAGCTTTTCCGGGCAGTCTCATCCATCATCAACCACATGAATCTGGAGCCGAAATGATCAATGCGTCTTTGACTTTGCGCCAAGTCTGGTGGATACGGTGTGTGATGACAGACAGATGAAAAACCCAGACGTCGGATGACCTGCTTCCTTGATTACGGACTGACATAGAGACTCTCCTGGCTCCTGGGTGGCGCCGTCCTCATCATCAGACACAAGTGCGTCCGAGCACGAACGTCCGGGGTCCGGAGTCTGGGGTGAGAGTGGCCAAGGATGAAAAGGGAGCGAAAAAGCGACGGCGACCACCGTGACCATCCCAAGCGCCTCATCAGCCCTGTCTGCCGCTTGTCACGGCTTCATTAAACACGAGTAATGGCGATTGTTGTTGGTCGGCTCGATCAAGGGGTCTAATCTGCATGATGTAACTCCTGTATTTACAAACGTACCTAGTATTGTCCGTGAAACAAAAGACATCTGCGCGCACAAGTATTGATGGATGTGCGCCGCTGGCGACACAGCATGGAAGCGTGACTTCCGAGGTTTTGGGTAGGACTCGGCAGCGACATCGTGTGGGTGGATGGGTGGGTGAGTGGCAGAGACTTCCAAGCTCTTGTTCCTGTCTAATAATGTGTCTAGCATTTACTGCCATGTTGCCCTGGGAAGATCTTCATCAGCATGAATCGACGAAGTACTGTACAAGTGTAGATGTGTGTATTTTGACTTGCTTACACTCCCTCTCCCAATCTTCGTCGGACGTACTGTGCAGACACGGTCCAACTGGGATTTCCGAGTGCGCATAATGTGCTGCCGAATTCGTGCGAGAATTTGCGCCGCTCAGCACAGCAGGACTATCGTGAATGAGTTACCCGACGCAATTGCTCGCTGAGCTGCAATATCTTCAGTAGCAAATGTTGCACATCTACGTTGTGCATGCCATCTTGTGAATGCATCATCCTTGCATGATTCTAGCCAAGTAAAGTAGACACTGACGGACATGTTGAAGCGGCGGACCGGCGTGTTGGCTGACGGCAACCTCTGTCCGTGCCTGATCTGATCTCCCCGTCGCCTCGCCGCGCCCAATGCAGCGCAATCCACCCAGGCACCGAGCTGCCCAGATTGGTGGTAGCGGTGGCGGCGATCTTGGTTACTTGTCACGGATGTCGGAGCAGCATCTTGTCACTCTTGACCACGCATTTCGAGCCGTCCAGTGCCATTTGCCAATAGTGATGTGACGCTGCATCTCACATTTTTTGTATTCCTAATAAAATCAACCGAAACCCGGGGTCTGGGGAAGCCGTGCATACCTACCTACTAGGTAGGTACCTAGGTAGGTAGGCATCGGACTTTTGCGGACCTCACGGCTGAACCTTTTACTGTGGAGAAAGAAAATTGCAGGAGGGTAATGCGGCATCAACGCATCGTCCGGCCAATTGCAAATTCCCGCCGTGAGAGAGATTTCATTCTCGCATGATGCTAACGGCACCGTCCTTGAATATTTTCAGTAGTGTAATCGTGCGCATTAGAGCACTGTTCAGTTGATATACATTCTGAACCAATGCCCGAGAGTCCATTCACCGACATGGTCAAATCTCACCTGTACGTGCATCGCTTGAGAACATTTCTGTGTACAAAGTAACAGCGAATAACCAATTTAGCTGGCCTCGCCGCCAGTGCCGGATGACAGGACACACAGACCAACGTGAGACCTCACGCGATATGGCTCAAGGCGAGACGACACGACACGACACGCCCGAAACCTGGGGCGGGTTCCAGACGGTCGCCTCTGGGCCCATGCACCCGACTTAGGTCAAGTGACATACGACATCATATCATCCATTCTCACCGCGACCTTTCAGTCCGATCATCGCAAATTGAACGGAGACCTGGCGCATGACACGAAGACCGCCCTGGTATTATTAGCAATCTCCCCAGACGTCGTCACTACTGCAAGACATGGCTTGATTGCTGGCCAGGAGGGTTCTAAGCCTCAGACCCGCGTTGCATGGTAGAATTTCCCCATATTTGACTATGCTTGACAGCTGCACTGCTCTTCGCTCGATGACATATCGGAGGTGCAGACTGAAGGGTCGACATGTTGTAGGCGGTTGATGGCCGCTTGCGTTGAGTCTCGAGAATATGAGACAGACATGATTCAGACGGCCACACTGTGCCGGCGACAGCATTGGTGGTGGTGGTATTGACCATCCATTATGCTCGTTTCCAATATATCTCTGACAACCACGATGACAAGAAGGGTGGCCAGATACACTGGCGCAGGGGTCTCTGTCTTCGCGAGAAGCCCTAGCGCCCACGTCGCCCGCCCTTTCCGCTCCCATGCTGATCGCTACAAGGTGAATGCGTCAGTAGCGTCGGCCAAGCAATGCAGGTCGAGCAAGAGGCATTTGATGCGCAATGCTTCTGCTCGGGAGCCGCTGTCCAATTCTGCCGGTTAATCATCGGTGCAAAAGCCGGACTGCCAGCCCCGAGTCTGCTCCACCGAAAATGAGAACCATGACTTGTACTGCAAATTGTTCATGCAGCCGATACAGGACGGTGCTCATTCCAAAAAGCTTGAGCGATGAGGAGTACTCAGGCGACAGACCATGACCAGGTACGAGGTCTACAAGAGAATCCTGCGAAGCCATCGCCGTTACAATAGGACAATCTCTTTGTCATCTTGTCTCAGTCAGTTAGACTGGTGGATCTCCGGGTCATCCGGTAGCCTGCTGGCATTCGCTGCCGATCCTGGCTTGGTATCCTCTACTTCGTCCCCGGACATTGTGTCCTTGCGGCGTCAGTGGTAGCAGTCGCAAATCCTAGCAGGGCCTACGAGCATTGCCAAACTGCCAAGCTCCATTTGCGAGCAGCTGATGTGGAGTGGCCGAAATGCCGCCATCTGTGATCAGGATATCAGGGTCACCGTCGACATCGTGCGCATCCAGAATGCTCGGTGGCGAGACTGGTCAGCCTTCGGTGACGGTTGTGTACTCAGGCACACGGAGATTGAAGCTGCAAGTAATCATCTTGCCCTACGAACCGTTGTGATCTGAGGCAAAGCGGCCCATCATCGAGGATCCTGCCGTCGTCTCGAATCACCAACTCTCTGATGTGAAACTGAATTGAACCTGCATATTGAGTAATTAAAATCCACAGCATAAGTATCACCGCCGTTGACCCGCGACAAGAATGACCGTTAATTACAGCCTCATCATCAGCGTCGTCTGCTCATGTGGCGTTTCAAGCCCTTGCACAAATTGCGGTCCTCTGGCTGCGATGACCTCATCCAATTTAGAGGCGGCTCTTAGTCTCCGCCATCTCATCAGATCCATGTATGGAGGGACGGGACAACGGAAGTTGATATTTCGTGTTCATCTCGGATGACCGTTTTGCATCGTCACAAGCTGCACCGTTTCATAACGGGGTGGTTTGACATAGATGGAATTCGGGTTGCGGTGATTGGCTTCGCAGACGTAAAAACCAGGAATGATGGAAATTACTTCACATTGGTCCCAAACCTGACTTGAGTCAGGTTTCAGAGGCGCACGGGCTTAGGCCGGACAAACACGTGACCTAGCTGCCGATAGCAATCTCAAGTACATTTCATCACGGAGTATCAATCTCGGACGGCAATTTCTCCGAACACAACCTCATTGAATTTGACAATATCTCACGCACCCGAATGAGATACGACTCAGCAAGTGCTCCAGAAGCGGATACACACTGTCGCAATATCGACTACTGGAGGAGGGAAACATGCGCGCGCTATTTCCTGAGAAAATCTGGGGCAATGCAGGCCATCGTTAGTCGCAGCAGATCCGAGCCCGTTGAATGCCCAGCCACCTGATCGATTGGCTTCTGCCATCTTCAACCCTAGAGCAACCTTGTAATCTGGCCGAGCTAGGAGCTCAATCCAGGCCGGGGCCTGAAGCGACGAGGACCGGCGAGCACGGCGTCAGACGCTTGGGCATCTTCGTGCGTGTGCTCGTCCGCCGATGAGAAAGTCGCCGCTGGCCTGCCGCTTCTCCCGGAGCTTGATAAATTAATCCCTACGCATCTGGGCACCCGTGCAATCGTCAGCGTAGTGAGTGCGCGCCCAGAGGATGACGCTGGCAGCAGAATCTTGGCTTTAAAGTCGAATGCAACGATCTGCTGGGCAGGGAGGTAGAATTCCGGACGGAAGCCGGTCACATCGGAAACGTCCAGCTCATAATTTCACAACATTCGCCTACGCATTGCCCTGGTGCCGAAGTTGAGCAGCACCCGCAATACAATCGGGTTTGACGCCTTTCCTGCGGCTCCTTCTTAGCACGTCTTCACATGAATTACTCCAGCATTTTCGTCGGAGCAGAACCTCGGGCGAAAGTAAGACGCAGTGCAGTGGCGCTTCGACTATTGGTGCAAGGTCTGCTGCTAGGTCCCTCTGTGCATGCCGGCATCCTGCTAGACCTGGGAGGAACGTAGAGTATTACAGGCGTGCTATTGCTGCTTCTGTGCTCCTGCCCAGGCACCATAATCCTTATGAGTCGATGATTTTGAGGCGGGTACTGGAATACATACGTGACTTTCTTTTGCTGCATGTTGCATCTCTCGGCCGGTTCAGGCACCCACTCATATAATCTGCAGACAATGGTACATGTCGCCTTTGCTCGCTAATGATTCTTGTTGTCGGCCACGTGCGCAGCGTCCTCTGATGCACGGCGCTGCAATCCACAGTATGAAACAAATCGGTATTTTGGTTCTTGGGGTGATATAGTGCGTGCTTCGTCTACTATCTAAGGGCCTTCCTGTCTCTGAAGCTTCGAGATTGATAATATAAGTTTCAATATGACACAGCCTGAGCAATTTCTACTCTAGCTCCTCAGGGTAGGCGCTGATTGCGACTCCACATGCCTTGCAAAGCCGTCGCTATAAAGTTCGTGAGCGGCAACGTAGCGCCTCGACCTCAATGGGGCTTGTTCGTCGACGATCATTGACCACATATGTAGCAGCTGACTTGTGACACATTCGCCGCGATGCTGACTGGAGCCTTCAAGACGCAATTTGGTGGTACTGTACCTTTGCGAGGAAGCGTGACCATGTTCAGAGCAGGGATTACGAAGCCGTGCGTTGCAGATGCGCATGGGTAAGCGACGCCGTGAATTTCCAGGTTTACAGTCGACAACACCATCTTTCGCCAACATTTGAGCAATCACAACGCATGCATATCACACTCACTTCAGGGCCTCGCGCAAGCAACACAGCTGCGCAGAAGCCGTGAGGAATGCAAAGGTGCGACACCTCGGGAAGAATCGCCAACACCTGCATGTTGGTGTTGGCTGTCCATGAAAATGGTCCGAAAGCTCGTTTATGCAATAGATTGTATGCGCCCCACGAAGCCAATGCAGGTACTAGCAAGGGTGCTCTAGTCGCCCAAGACAGCTGCCTTTTTCCCTCTCCCGCGACCCCACGATCATGCGAATGTTGACAGCTGCGGGGACCAGATTTCCCCAGCTCTTCGCAAACTGACCCGCACGCATTTTGGCCCATGGCGGCATTTTTCCCCAGACTTGGCGCCCATGCTTCATGTGCCGCGGCCCCTGCTATTTGCCCGTCGCTGCATCCACTGTGAAGCTCGGTCTACATTGATTAAATTCTAGTGGAGATCTCCGGTACGGATTGCGTGTGCCGCGCGATGCAGGCAGGTGGCCCATCCTCTTGCATGCAGTCTGGACACATGCAATCTTCGAATTGTCCTCCACGGCACATTCATCATGACATGAGTCCTTCCTCAAAGGTCCTTCCCGCCTCCACATTGTGGGCCGCTGCACGGGCATCCTCGGAACACAGGCCATTTCCCCAAACGTGCACATGACCAGTCATCGGACATTTGATGCGGCTGGATTGCAGTATGACTGCGCTGTCGAAGGGCTGATCTGGCCCTGAGAGGGATCGAGGACGGCATTCGACACCACAATTGCGGTATTATACGGGGTTATCTGCATATGGCGTCTGACAGGAAGAATCCTCCCAAGCCTCTGTGCCGCATTCGCACTCGCTTCGTCGGCACGACGCTTTCACCCATCCTGTCTCGATCAGGTACTCTGTCAACAATAGCGGGTACATCGGCGACATGGACGCCGCGAAGCTATACCTTGTCCAAGTCGAAGGTACAAGTATGACCAATGACTTTACTCGGCGATGGTGTTGTCGATCCTGCGCAGGGCACACATGCTGTAGACGATCTGGCTTGGACCGAGGTGATACTTGCGCTTTCGAGAACAGAGGCCCCTCCCAGATTTTCTTCCCGGGATCGTCCCATTGGACGAAGATTTGTCGTTTGGCCATACATCGACTGCATGTGGGCGATTAGAAGACCCTCCTCAGCCCTGAGAACACAGCAGATCTCTCCACTACAACGGAGCTGGAGTCAAGGCTGATGCATGGAACCTCGCAAGGCGGCGAAATGGCGATCCCGATATCATCTTGCGGCGTCCCGCTCGCCGTGGATGCTGGTCTATTTTTTGTTTTTCTATGAGGCTGTCAGAGGCATACTCCATAACGAAAAATGGGAGTGTCTCGCCTTCTTCTTTTTGCCACCACCGCCTCCCCCAGGGTTGGTGTTTTGCTGCGGTTTCGTATCCAAGGGCTGTGAAGCTATTGATTCTTTGACAGCTTGGGTTACATCGACAGAGGCTTCTCCCTGAGCCTCCGTTGCCACGTCGTGATCTTCGCATTGGTCAGCGAGGTAGATCATCATACTCTCATCATGGGTGCAAAGCTCACCGTCTGCTTGAGGTGGAAGTGCGGCCATATGCCTACCCAACCGACCTAGTCCACCGATGAGACGTCCGACCTCTGCTGCGCGGTCTGTCTTGAACTTGAGCACCACTCCCGACTCAGGGTCGTAGGTTTTCAGCGTAAGGAAAGCACGAGGGACTTTGGCAGTCGCTGCGGCGTCTTTCTCATCGCCACCACCTTCGTGTTTTCGCTTGTCTGATGTTTGATATCGCGGAGACTCAAGGTTAGGAATGTTGTACTTTGTCGTAATCCGAGTCTACATTACGTGTGCTGCGTCAGCCTGCGTCGCGCTCAAACAAGGGATGAAAGTTGGACAGACCGAGGTAGGCCTGGCCTGAAGCAGAAGTGCAGATTGCTGCTGCCATTCTTCACTCGTACTTATCAGAACCATTTTCGAATTATGTCGATGTGATCGCGTGCTGCGCATACAGACGGGCTTCAAATGTGATGCAACAGGATCATTGGTAATGCTGTTGTGGTGGGGCTTGGCAACTGCATCAATCAATCGAGGCGTAGTTGTGGGACCCTGCGGCGTACTCGCTGGTCTGTGACGCCAAAGGTCAAATTTCTGGTGACGACAGTCCATCGTGATATCTATCTGCCCGGGTGTGCAACAGTATTTGTGAATTCGGCTCACAGGAGATCTGATATTTTCTTGTTTATGATAGTCCAAGAGTTTACGTCGTCGTATCAACAGCGTGAAAGAGCTTATTTTCAGCACTTCACATTTCAAAGCCTTATCTTGACTGACATCGTGACACCAGGCAAACACGATGACCCAAAATGAGACCCAAGATGCAGTTGGTGATGGGGTCTCCGTCGAGACAGTTTTAGGCGATCTCACGGCTCGAGCAGAGATAATTCTCTCTGAGCTCGAAGCATTCCGGCGATACTTACGTCAAATCAAGCAAGAACAGCACATCGAATTGGCGCAATTCCGGAACAGCGTTACTTCTGAGCTTTCAATGCTGGGACGCCTGGCTTCTAAAATCGACGAGGAGTCGACATCCCACAATGCACGATCATCTAATCTTCCATTCATGGAGACCGTCTGGCTTCATGCTAAGAGGTCAAGAAATCTGGTGGCGCTGCGCAAGCGTCTGTACTATAATTCTAACGGTAAAACGCTTTCAGAAGCGATGGCACATGTTGGTCTCAATCCTCAAAAGCCTAAAAAGCGAGGACTGAAAGACTCTTCGGTCACTGTTGATGCCATAACTGAAGCTGGCCTCAAATGGGTCAAGGTGTCTTTGGTGACCCATACGAGACTGATGTTCGATCTCGCCAAACAGGGCTGGACAGGCACTTCAGACGACGAGTACAGTGATTATGGATCTGACGATGAGGACGGCGATACAGACATACCGCTTCTCAAAACAACTAAAGAGCTTTGTCAAGCTGCTACGTGTCTTCGAGTCCGGACTCGCAAGCCTCAGGTCCACCTGCTATTGCCTCGAGTAACAATGGGACAGAGTGCGGAGGTTGATGCGATTGTCGAAAGCTGTCGCAAAGCAGGCGCAATAGTGTGCTGTGGCAAGGACACGTCGCATATACCTGAATTGCAAGATGCATTTGTTAACATGGTGCCACCACTCAAGCCCATAGTCTCCGACATTGCTAATATTGACTGTACCATCCTTCTTGCGCTTGTGTCAGATTTCTCCCACGCCAAAGTGTCCAAGGAGCCTTGGTTTCACCCCGCATTGAAGCGAGAAGTGGAAATCGAGGGAGACGAGAATCTCTTACCATCTTTACTGTATCCTGCTCTAGGAAATCGCAAGCTCGTCTGCACCCACGAAGCAGCAGTCCGCATGAGGGAGATCGTCGATACACTCGGAACGCCAACTGAAGTCGCACGTACCCGAATCCTAATGGGCGACGATAATGCAGACGACCAGCCAGGATTGGTGAAATCCATGCAGGAGCTCTCGGCGTATGACGTGCCAAGCGAATGGCGAATACCGGTCGTGATCGTAGATCAGAACGAAAATGATTGTCAGTCAAAACTCCCTGCAGAAGCTGTTTTAGCAGGCTCAAAAATGACCCCCATCAACAAGTCTGTCTTCCTCTATGGGTGGGCACTTGGCTGCACAACTATCACAAGTAATCGTGCAGCCGTCAAGCAGATCGAGAATAGTCTACAGCAGCACATCGATCTCGATGATAGCGTCTTTCCCAGCCTGTGGCTTTGCCCCACAGCACGATCATTAGTGGGCAAGGAGAGACGTGGCGCGAAGAAAGAGGATGGCCGAGAGACTGCACGACGATTACCCGATCCTTTGCGGCGAGAGCAGCAGAGGCGTCATGGCCTTGATCTCTTATCACAGCGTGCTGGGCACGAGGTTGAAGACCTCCGACCGCAAGGGTACGATTGTGCCGATGTCATCGAGGCCAAGAAAGCTTCCACGAAAAACCTCAATATTGAAAAAGTAGAGACTTAATTGCGCTATGAACACTATGGAACAGTATCGAAGCTTGTGTGGGATGAAGACGAACACGCATCATCCTCATCATCAAGCGAATGCATTTGACCATTATCGCGCATGCCAGCACGCGCGACGTTCTGGTCGTCTGAAAACACACCTTTCGGATTCCCGCAATCTCGTAGAACCAAGCCTCGTGCCAGTCACGCAATCTTGGGCGGCAATCGGCTTCGTAGCTTGAGCAGAAATTCAGCATTAACGCGCTCACTTCCATCGTACATGAGGCCATCCAGACGACCTCTGAAACATCCGCGAACATGCGCTACAGAGCTCACATCATCCAGCCCATGCCATGTTGCATGCTTGAGAACAGGTCTTCGGTCTTGATCGTCCCGTGGCTGTGGTCATCTTCCGAAGAGTTGTTCCTGCTGTGTTGCAGTCGAGGCAGTGAATCCAAGCTTGGAAGTTCCGTGCCAGCGAAAGGGTTATATGACTGCGCTCCCTGTGACCAAGCCATGGATGTGGTGTTATTAGCATGTGTGGAGTGTATAAGCATGTGATCAGCATTGGGGTGCAGTTGGCGGTTGTGGTAGTCGTGGATTGGGTGTGTCGGAGCAGGGGGTTGCATGGCGACAAGCGCATTCATCTGAGCCCACACTTCGGATGAGCCAACTTGAAGCGAAGGCATGTCATAGGACAAGTTGAAGAGATCGTGACCGTTGAGGAATCCTGCTGTCTTGTGTTCGCCGAAGAATGGAATATTGATGTCGATTTCAGCAGGCATGTGATGATACGACCAAGTGCTCTCAGAGGACGAACGATTAAACACTGGCGTTGTAGGTTCGATCATTTGCACGGTCTGCTGGATCTGCTCTTGGTCATGGGGGTTCATCGGCGTATCGCACCGGACAAGTTGGGTACGTTGTACTGATCGATCTGAACTCTCCTTGCGAGCCCGGTTCGTCTCGACAACCATGTGATGCACCAGTCTCAGATGGCGATTGAGCACACCTGGTCGTTTGAAGGCCTTGCTTTTGCCTGCAGCTGCACAAATTTCGCACGCGTATGGACGTTCTCCGGTGTGCGCCTCCCGAATGTGTTGTCGAACGTTGTGCGGACACGCGAACATGCGGTGACATCCCTCCCAGGTGCAAGGATGTCTGTTCTGTTTGAGCTTGGGTTTGGGAGTCACCTGCCTGTGACCCGGAGCATGAGGGACCTTCATGTTGAAAAGGCAGTTGGCACAGCTGAAGCGTGATGGTGCAAACTTCCACTTCGCCTCTTCCGATTCGTGACGAGAAAGCTCTTCCCTGGACGAGCGAGCAGGAACTGCATCGCAAGTCTATATGTGTTTGGATCCATATTGTGTTTGCGTTCAATACTGCGTGCGCGAATTGTGTGCATGCCACAATAGTTGTTTTGCACAATGGTGGTTTTCAAAGATCAATGACAAGAACTGTGCAGTGATAAGTGATGAAAAACAATTGTTGGGTGAAAAGCTTTTGATTGTAGAAATAATGATACCAGGATCATGAAAGCATCCATGGATATGTGGGTGTAGCCGCGTTCACAAATAGATCATCTGCCTTGTTGTCAGACCTCGGGTGGAAACCTTCACAATTGACTCCCTGCGCAGGTATCTATCGTGCCTATGTACCTAAGTAGCCACGTAGGAATGTGGTGCAAGCTAATGTTTTGTTTGGCCTTCACACACTGGAACTATTTGTGAGGGCGCATAGTCGGCATTGAAGTTTGAAAGCAATTTGCCGTGTTTGCCGCACTGACACGAGCATACTTTGAATCACAGCAGGTGCATTGCCACGAACAGCCACCTCTCATACATTTCCAATTCAGTAGTGACCTCTTCCTCTCTAAGTGCCCTTGGTGAGAGTCCCGTAAACGTGGGGAAGGGTATCATAAGGTCCGTCTTCCGAGCTGAGTTGAACATCGCTCCATCGGGCTGACTGAATCAACCATTCATCTGTAGGTCTGCAGATATCGCAGCCATTCAGGAAATGAGGCCAAATGATGTTGACCAACCGCTGCCAGATGGCTACAAAATGACCTGGAAACCTGGTACGGACATGTTCAAAGAATAGCCATTTTCCACCTGGCTTGAGCAATGGAGCTAGCTCGCGGATGATCTTCTCTGGAGTCGGAATCGAGCAAAGGCACTGTACGGTGATGATTGTGTCAATACTGTTGGCTTGAAACCCTGCTTTCGCCTGCAACTCCTGTGCTCCACAGCCTATTACTTCGTAAATGTCACCAAGACCAGCATTGATTGCGTTCTCGCGGAGCTTCGGATGCATGTCGACGTTCGGCTCAACTCCATATATCTTGGTGATGCGCGGATTTGTCCCTTTAGCAAAGAGGTACAGCCACTCCCCGATGCCTGGGCCTATGTCCAAACAAATTCCTGTAGCATTGTTGGAGATCAGGGGAACGACAATAGGTGCAGATAGTTCGCGGGACCGCGGCCCTAGGAAGCCCCAGAATCTGGCAAACCATGCCTCTTTAAAGAGAGAGAAATTGAAAAGTGGCCCAAAGTCGAAACTCAATAGAAGTTGCCAGACAGTTATAGGAATGTAGGTGGAGGACCAATAAAGTAGCAGCAATGGTCGTAGAAGATTTAACGGTCCTGCCTGGGGTGTACTGCTTGATGCATCGAGCGCTTCATTTGATGACATGATGACCAGACGTTCAGCAAGTTTGCAGTCACAAATTCGATATGCCTTGAGGATACTTGAAGTGCTGCGGGTTTTGCAGCCCTTTGCTGCCACAAGCAATGATTCGTCTGCACAACAGTCTTCAGCTGCGCTACTCAGTTCCCTTTCTGCGGTATCATGATAGTAAGAAGTGGAAGGTTTATGTGAGGAAGTTGGCGAGTTATCAATGCGATCGGAGATAAGATACACAGTTGTTAGTAAGCAACCAACAGCGTCTGATCAGGTCCAGGCTCGAGCATCACGAGGAAACATCCGAGTACGCAGGAGGGATGTCGAAGCCGTGGATGCGCTGTCTATTATAATGGACAGTTGATCAAGATAATGGCTCGATGAACCTAGAAACATCTGTCGAATAGGGCAGGCTACGCCGATGACACATCTGATGCTGGTGGTTCCGATGACCGAACACGATAACCTCGTACTTTCGAGCACCTGGGCAGCCCTCTAGGCGTAAGACTCGTCCTATGTACTGGAGAAGACGTGTAGAACATCCTCGAGGTACTGTACTTAGCAGTAATCTCAACAAACCATATCTGATATTACATGGAATATACATTTCTACACAGGATACAGAAGATAGAGTAGAACATCACGTATCGTTTTTATTCAGCCGTCGGAGTGGCCCGTCCGATTGGTGGCGGGGGGACTCAAAAAGCACCGCCGGGAAGACGCGCGCGGTGGTGCCAAGATTTCGCGCTAGTGACAATTTGCAACCGAAAAGTGTAGCGCATTTTCTTTTCCGAACGAGGATATCTTTCTGGTACCGTGGTCAGCATCACCACCAGATCGCTCAAGCATGGCGATCCAAAAGAAGCACGCCAAGGCGCGTCTCGACAAATACTACTATCTAGCCAAAGAGAAAGGTTATCGCGCTCGTGCCGCCTTCAAGCTCATCCAGCTCAACAAAAAATACTCCTTCCTTCAAAATGCGCGATGCCTCATCGATCTCTGTGCCGCACCAGGATCATGGCTACAGGTTGCAGCGGAGACCATGCCCGCTAAAAGTCTGATCATTGGAGTGGACTTGTCACCTATCAAGCCAATCCCCAAAACCATCACCTTTCAGGGAGATATCACCACCGACAAGACCAGGGCGATAATTCGTGGACACTTGAAGACCTGGAAAGCCGACTGTGTCATCCATGACGGTGCTCCGAATGTCGGTACAGCCTGGGTACAGGATGCTTTTACACAAAACGAGCTGGTGCTATGTTCGTTAAAACTCGCCACCGACTTCCTCGCCCCGAACGGAACGTTCGTCACCAAAGTGTTCCGAAGCAAGGACAGCGCCAAGCTGGAATGGGTCTTCAAGCAACTATTCGTCAAGGTCGAGCAGACGAAGCCTCCGTCAAGTAGGAATGTGTCCGCAGAAACATTCTATGTTTGTCGAGGCTACAAAGCGCCCAAAAATTTAGATCCTCGATTCTTGGACTCAAAATATGCATTTGCTGAAGTCGAAGAGGCTGCTCCGAACAATGAAGCCAAGGTTTTCAACCCTGAGAAGAAGAAGCGTAAGCGTGACGGTTACGAGGAGGGTGATTGGACACAATTCCATGAGGCTCCGGCCAGTGAGTTCATTCAGACTCAAGATCCCATTGCAATGTTGGGTAGTCTCAACCGGCTGCATTTCCGACAGGAGACCAATGGTGACATCGCGCTCGCTGCTCTGGACAAGTTGCCCGAAACGACAGAAGAAGTGCGCTTGTGCTGCGAAGATCTGAAAGTGTTGGGCAGAAAGGAATTCAAAGTTCTGTTGCGGTGGCGACTGAAAGCAAGAGATATATTCGGATTCAGGCAGAAGAAGAGCAATGCAAAGTCCGAGGCCGACGGTGACGCGACTGCTCAGACAGACGGCACAGGTGAAGAGGTGGCAGTGCTGGAGCCTATGGACGAGGAAATGCGCCTACAGGCAGACATTCAAGTGCTGAAAGATATACAAGACAAGAGCAAGAAAAAGGAGCGGCGGAGAAACAATGAAAAGAAGCAGAAAGAGATTGTCCGAATGCAAATGGGTATGACAACACCTATGGAGATCGGTATGGAAGCGTCAGAAGCGAATGCGGCCACTTTCCGCATCAAGGATGTCGATCGTGAGGACGGAATTCGACGGCAGCTCACGAAGGGTCGTATGCACGCGCACATTGAGTCAGAGCCGGCAAAGGACTTCGACATGGGTGACGATGAGGACGATGAGGATGAGGCTGCTGATGGACTAGAAAGGCAATTAGACGGTCTGTATGAACAATATCAGGAGCGGAGAGAGGCTCGCGATACCAAAGCACGCGCAAAGCGTGTCCGGAGAGCAGGCAACGGTGGCGAGGAAGAGGAAGACGAATTTGAAGATTTTGACGAGCGAGCCAATGGCAACGAGATGGATGCTAGTAGTGATCAAGAACTTGTTGAAGACGACGAGGACGAAGACAGCGATGAAAGTGAAGATGGCAACGATGCGCCCCTAACAACCGACCTCCGCCCAAAAAATGAAAAGATTGGCGGATTAACCCGTCGCGCGGCCAGTTTCTTTGAGCAAGATATATTCAAAGATATCAACGGGCTGGACGAGGACGCAGATGAGGACATGGATGGCGATCTAGATGATGAGGCCGAGCAAGATGACAGACATGACATCGCACGAGATAGCGGCATTGATGTGAACTCAGCAGGATCAGATTCTCCGGAGATCAAGATTGATGCCGATGACAATGAGGAAGACTACGAAAGCGATGATGAAATAGAACTAGACACAAGCGGCCGGGACCCGTACGACGAGGATGAAGATTGGACAGAGGGTACCGCAAAGCCGACCGAAGCAGCTGGTGAGCGCCCTAACATCAACATCATTACTGCTGAGGCCATGACGCTTGCCCATGCCCTTGCTACGGGTAAAGTCACGAAGCAAAGCCTTGCGGATGATTCCTTCAACAAGTTCTCGTTGCGCGACACCGATGGACTACCTGAATGGTTTTTGGACGACGAGGGCAAACACTCGAGACCACACAAGCCCGTCACTGCCGCTGCTGCCGCCGCCATCAAAGAGAAGCTTCGCGCACTCAACGCGAGACCCATCAAAAAGGTCCGCGAAGCCAAGGCGAGAAAGATCATGCGCACCGCAAGACGACTGGAGAAGCTCAAGAAGAAGAGTGATGGCGTCATGGAGGATGATGACCGCAGCGAGCGCGACAAGGCTAGTGCTGTCGCTGAGCTCATGTCGAAGGCAAAGAAGGGTGGCGGCGGCAAGAAGAAACGCCCTAGCGTAAAGGTCGTTCGGGCTGGAGGCGCCAACAAGGGAGCAGGACGACCGAGAGGTGTTAAGGGCAAGTACAAGATGGTGGACTCTCGACTAAAGAAAGATGTAAGGGGTCTTAAGCGAGCTGAAAAGAAGGCCGGACGCAAGTTGAGATGATCGTAGTCGCAAAGAATACAAAATTTCGACCCAAGTCTTCGTTTTCATTGGGTACCTAGGTACCAGTGAATCACGGTATCTTGTATTTCGTCTCGTCCAATATCTGGAAGCTATCGGCCTTGGGTTCTAAGAACCGCCTGCTTATTATAGCGTTTCCATTGAAAATAACTTTTGCGCGAATAATGCTGTGGGCATGTTCTGTGATATTGTGACTCGGCGCGGCATGAGATGTGTATTGAAAATGCCTGGAGAAAGCCTCGGTGGTAGGCGCGATCGCGCGGCGCGTCAAGGCTTATCGAGCGCTCGTCGGATGATTGGCTGGAGCTCATGACGTCGAGCTGCCCATCCCGTCGGCTTCATATGTTGTGGTCCCTCTGGTCTTGAAATGCCTCAACGCCGATATTGAAGGTTTTCAAGGTTTTCAGACATCACCATCTGGTCCTGGACGACATCGATGAAGACACGACTTTTGAGGACATAAGGGTCCGAAGTCATCGTGGATCATGGTGGGTGGTCCAGGCGGGAAGAAGACGGGCGGTGCGAAAGAAGATTCTAAGCCACTGGCGATAAAGGGCAAACAGTCTGTCAGCGACAATGCAGATAGAATAGACTCGCCCGGGAGCGTATCCTCCAGTGTAACCACGAAAATCGAAGATAACCTTCACAGACATGATCACGCCACAGCACACCAAGTCTCATTGCCGAGGCCACAGGCATCAAACCGAGGGAGTTGGTCATGGCGAGCCAAAGCCACACCGGTAGCCTCAGTAGCTAAAGAGAGTATATTCGTCGAACAAGGCGTGAGTTCGGAGAGTGCAGAGGTGCGGAGACCGAGCCCGAGCGTATCAAAGAGCATGAAAGGCAGCAGGAAGAGCGTTCCATTAGTCGCAGAAGCTACACGAGTCCATGCCACGAGCGATGGCGCAGCCAACACAAAATCGCAATCATCGAGTAAACGGTCGGTCGACAACTCAGCAGCCGAGACAAAGTCGGAAAAACCTGGCCCATCGAGTGTGCCTTCGGAGGAAGAAGTAGCGCATGCATCAGACGTGAAGGAGACTACACCGGATGTCGTCGATACACCAAACGAAGGACCGAACGTAGAAGGCGGAGGCGGTGATGCGAGGCCACAGTCGGGAAGTTGGTTGAAGTGGTGGTCACGCCCAGATGGCTACGGCAGCGACACGGAGAAGATACAGCCAAAACGAGTAGCGAAACAGCCACGATTAGATACGGCTGAAGAAGAGACCAGCACAACCCAAGCGATAGAGCAACCAAGTCCTTCATTACAAGATGCTGAGAAAGGTCCAAATGCGAATACTGCAGAAGAAAACGTAAAGCCAGAAATGACCTCCAATCCAAATGCTGGGCGATCTTGGTTCGGGCTTTGGAGTCATGCTCAGAACGAGCAAGCCGCAGCAGAACAGAATCAAGCGACCGATGCGGAGAGAGAGCAACAGAACAGCGACTCTCAAGACAACACGAGCGTGATCACTGCACCAACCGAGCCCGCCATCACAAGCGCGACGTCTGGCAACCCAGGCTCGACCAGCAATGCAGTCACCAAGGACATTGAATCAGGACCCGACCGACCAAAGCCATCGGGGTGGGCATTTTGGTCGATGGACAAGGCGACAACGGCTGGAGACACTGCTACTGCGAACGAGACGCAAATGCAAGTTGGAGAGCTAGCTGTCGCTGACACTCCGTCTCAGAGTCATCCAGAAGCTGCACAATTCAACGAACAGCGTCAAGAAAGGAAAAATGCAGGCCCAACCACTCCGAAGCGCGCATCATCCCTGTTGAGTAAGGCGAGCAAAGATATTACGGAGAGCCCAGCTCCTACACGGAAGCTGGCGGATTCTCCCGCGACCAATAATCCTCAGGCGGTAGCAGCAGCGACTTCACAAGCAAAGGCGACACTTGAACATATCGAACAGCCCGTGCCCGTCTATCGAAATAAAGAATCGCAGGCTCGCCCGAACCTCGTCCTTCCTTCCTTCCGCGATTCCTTCTCGCCAGCACCGACGATAGGGTATCTTGATCGCCTCACATCATATTTGGCGCAGTCATTTCACATTCCCGGGGCCGAACCACCTCGCCCGCCAACATATCCATATATTAGTCGAACACCGCACAAGGTCAAGAAGGCCATTGCGATAGGAATTCATGGATTCTTCCCAGCCGCAGTGTTCAACAGGGTCATTGGTCAACCTACAGGCACCTCAATACGTTTCGCAGGCTACGCGGCAGCCTCGATCAAAGAGTGGTGTCAACAGCATCAACCCGATGTCAAGGACGTCCGAATTGAGAAGGTCGCGCTTGAAGGCGAGGGTAACATCGCCGAACGTGTGACAACCTTGTGGAAATTGCTGCTCAATTGGCTCAGCCATCTTCGACAAGCAGACTTTATTCTCGTCGCAGCGCACAGTCAAGGTGTGCCCGTTGCCACAATGTTAGTCGCAAAGCTCCTACAGCTTGGAGCTTTGGCTCCGAACGTTCGCATTGGCATTTGTGGTATGGCTGGGATCAACCTTGGCCCATTCATAGAATACAAGTCTCGTCTCTTTGGAAACACGGCGCTCGAGCTCTTTGACTTTTGCGACAGCACCTCAAAGGTTAGCATAGCGTATGCCGATGCGGTCGATGTTTGCCTACGGAACAATGTCCGGATCACCTACATTGGCAGCCTAGACGACCAACTCGTCAGTCTCGAAAGCAGTCTACACGCGCCATTGAGCCATCCGTATGTCAACCGTGCAGTCTTCATTGACGGCCGCTTGCACACCAGCAACTTCTTAACACATCTCGTGGTGTTCTCGGTGAAGCTGCGGAATCGGGGCATCTCCGACCATGGCCTTCTCCGCGAGATCAGTGCACCGCTTGCGGGCAGTCTCGTCGGAGGCGAGGGTCATTCGCGGGTATATGATGATCCTGCTGTATACACCTGTGCAGCGGAATTTGCGCTTGAGAGCACCGACATGCATGTTCCGGCGCAGGCCCAAGCAGTCACGACTGAAGCGATTGGCGATGACGATCGCCAGAAGATCAACGCCCGGCGAGCGAGCCTGTCAGGATACCCTCGCGAAATGGCCGCTGCGAATCTCATGCGACGAGGGAGTCTTGGCGTGGGATTGCCAGGCATCGCGCCGATCATCGCTCCTTACCACGTCCACGCCAGCACAGCCGGATCTACCTCTGCGACGAACGTCGCGGAGAAGAATCCATTTGTCCTGCCGTGGGCTGTACGAGGCATGCTAGAGGAAGAGGCCGTCAAGAAGGATCCCGAGCTGCAGGCAGAGGTGCACGAACTGGTGTGGGAGTTTGAACAGTGGAGACCGACGGGCAAGGGGCTCAAAGACGTGCGGTGGAGGCTTGAGGGCGTGCGAAGCTTGCTATGAGGTTGCTTCGGAATCTTCCGATTGCGCACGTTGTCAGATAGACCGTGAAACTAGCGTGGGAGGTTATGAGAAATGCACAATATACACGAGGTGACGTGCGGAGTCGCCATTGTTCTAAGTTTCTACAACGTACTGTGACGGCCCAACGGCAATCGCATGTGAATGAATCTTTTGCGAACGTGACGCATATCGTTTGGTTACTGAGGACGTCTAGACAGACTCATCAGAGATATCGTCCCTCTCTCTCTCTTTCCGATTGCATTGCTATTCTTCCACCGCGGATGATTACACATCTCGCAATCGGTTAACCGGTCCGATCAAGACCAGATCATTCCCCGCAGTATCATTGATCGTATAGACCGTCGGGTTTTAAACGACTCTAGAATGATGTGGCAATACTATCGCGAAATAATGGGCATGCTACACAATAGGCGATTCGCAGTCCGGTGCAGCCGCATGACTGAAGCGTTCCATTTTAGGCATGATTTCCGTCGTCTCGGTGAGGAAAATCAAGCCACTACACGCCATCCCACTTCAGTTTGCCCGAAAACAAGTCACGCTTTGCTGCGAAACTTACACCCACCTTTTGGTCTGTGCGTGCCAGAATTGCAGATCTCTGGTCCTCTCGGACATGTTTCCCGCAATAGAATAGTTGATCACTTCACTCCAGATTGCTTGTCAATCATTTGTCTATCAAGCTAGAACCAGATGACTTCCAAGGTCGTTGAGCTTCTTCGTTGGTTTAGGCTTATCCTCCTCTAGTGCCATCGCTCGTGCATACTTCCCTCGCCTATTGCCCTGGATGGCGACGAATCAGATGATTGACGAGCAGAACATGTGCCCGGAGATCCGTGATGAATGGATTCGGCGATTGCTTTCTTCATAGTCCACGCCGACATCCGAGTGGTACTACCCACCACGGACGTGGACAGAGAGAGGGCGCAAAGAGAGGGACGTTAAGGCCTCCAGGGCTGTGAGGCCGGATGAATACCATGCCCGCATTTCGCATGTCAATTTTGCATGTTGTCGAATAACTCCCTGCACCTCTTCGGGAACAACACTCCCTCGGGTCTGGTCACTCTCAGGTGCGCCGGAGTGGACTCGGTTATTCGGTCTCGGGAAGAGCAAGCTTCTTTTTTAAGGTGCGAGGTGAAAGATTCAAGAGATCCATGGATGAATGGAAATATTCGGGTCATGTCAAGGATCCATTCCCAGCCCTGATCAGCGTGGTTGGCGAGATGGCTCGTTTGCAGCTCCGCCCGCGCTAGCCCCGGCGCAATGGGGATGCAACTCCAAGCCATGGATTCATCCAACGCGGATCTGCCAATTTGCTTGATCATCGTTAAGCTCTCGAATACAACCGTACACGTGCTCGATCCCATAGTTGCCCTTGTGCAGATATGGCCACTGCCGCTGCACATCCACGCAGCCACCATATGCAACGTCGGCAAACTCGAGCGGTTCATGAAACGGCTCTGTCACTTTGTCCCTGGTGCCCGCAGCGCACGCGTGTCTCAATGGCCCTCTTAGTCTGCTCAAGCACTCGTCCGGATGATCTGTCGGACGCGGACGTGATCGCCAATTTGGGAAGGAGAGCTTGATATTCGCTACATCAGAGTCGCTCATTCGTGGTAACCCCCGGTGGAGTACGAACCATCTTTTAAGATATAAGAACTGGCGAATGGCCCGACATCTACGAGTCTGTCCAGCATCGAGTTTTGGGGAGCAGCAGCATTATCGCACTCATTCTTACTCTCGTTCATTCGCTAATCGAGATCCATTCACTTCATAGCAATCGCTGTTGCTTCCCTCTCAAGACTCAAGACTCCTTGTTCACATCCCTGAAGATGGTCTCCGCCTCAACCCTCCTCACCATCGCGCTAAGCGCCCTGGCCACCGCCGCGCCTCTCCTACCTCGCGTCAACTGCGTCTCCGGATTATACATAATCGTAGCACGAGGCTCCAACGAGGCCGCGGGCGAAGGCAAGCCAGGTCAAGTCGCCACCTTGATCAAGCAACGCGTGCCCAACTCCGTCAGCGTCGCGGTCAACTACCCGGCCACGCTCTCATCCTACCCAGATTCCGTCACCGCCGGCATCCAGGACACCATCTCCAAGATCCAAGACTACGTCAACACCTGCGGATCCGGCAGCCGCATCGCCCTCCTCGGATACAGCCAAGGCGGAAACGTCATGACCGATGTCCTCGCAGGCGGTGTCGACAAGCCCGCCCCCCTGAGTGACAAGTACCGACAAAACAGTAAGTCTCAAATAATCTTTCGCAGCAGAGGAACCCCTGCACAGGAAAGCAATCGATCTGACACATTCGTGCAGTCCGTGGTGTCGCTGTCTTTGGTGACCCAAGCTTCACCGTTGGCCAATCGTTCGATCGCGGTACCGCAACGAAGAGCGGTGTCTTCTCCCGCAATCCCAACGGCTCCAGCCTCGCGCTTTTGAACACCTACGCCGGCGTCGTCCGCAGCTACTGCGACCAGCACGACACCTTCTGCGCTACCGGTGACAGCCTCAATGTGCACTACGCTGAGGTGCCCAACCACGCCCAAGAAGCTGCTGATTTCATTGTTGGCTTGAACCAGTAAGCGACGCAGGCTGTCGCTACTGGGCCCAGGCGCATTGTTGGATGTCTGAGATTGGGCGCTACGAATTTACGATGGCGTTTCGGGCATTTTTCTTCCATTTCGGATAGAGCTGGTTCAAAAAGTTTACATTCGCATTAGTCGTTATTGAAACTTTTCATCGATCGCAAGCATATCGCATCCACTCGAGTGACGTACTCTCTCACGTCAGCGCAGTAGCCAATCCCACAATGCCTCCAGATGCCAGAATAGCAGCTCGGATCATATTCTGCTGTTGAAAAATGGCCAACATCTTCCCGATCCGTTCGTCCAGCTCCGGCGTGGATTCGAGAACAGCCTTCGTCTGCGGCCCACTCAGATCCGTCCATTGATTCGCCGATCCCTTCCCATCGATGGACTCCTTAAAAGAGTGCTCGCCCGGCTGGATGTTTTGCGCCTTCCTCACCTTTGCACTCTCCGCGCCGTTCGAACCGCCCAATTTGTCGTTTTCCTCGATCAGCGCGAAATTGTTCGGCATCATGAATAGCATCGTGTAGAAGGCCGCGCTACTAGAGAGTATTGCGGCCGTCACGAAGCCACTTATTCGGCCTGCATCGGGACCATGCAGGACGTGTGCGATGGAGGAGGATTTCGCCGGCCAGGAGGCGTAGGCCAGTTGGGCGAATCCAATGCTGGCGAGACCCTGTGGAACATTTCGATGTTAGAGTTTATGTTTTCTTCTGACGAGAGTGGACGATTCTTCGTGAAAGATGGGTTTCTTACAATGGCGGTCGGGAAGACGTGAGAGCCCCGGCTAAAGAGCCATCTGAGTGCTGGTAGGGCGCGATCGGCGGGCTGGCTTCGGATGATGGGAAGGTCGAAGACGGACAACGTCGCGATGCCGCCTGCCCCGAGTAGCGCGATGGAAATGGTGGCAGTCTGAACGAAGATATCGAGGGAACTCATGCCTGCTTAAGTCTTCGCTTTGGTCCTTCAGGTTGTTATTGATGGTAGGTATGGCCTTGAGTATGGATTGTGGTTGGAAGTTGTCGTAGGCTTTCAGAATTATCGTGTATCATGCTGCAGTATATGTGCATACAGATTTTATGTTCGTAGCACAATCGTCGGATTGTTCACGGCCTTGCCGTCATTCACATACCTAGGTACGCATTGTTGACGTAGGTCGAATCCTAACAATCCGGGGATTCGAAGCCAAAATAATGTCCGAAGCGGTCGCTCTCCTAGAAATTACCGGGATATGCTATGCCGCTTATCATCGTCATTCACGGGACCATAACAATGTTTTCTTTTGCCACATCAAATCTAAAACATCCTGCAGAGCATTGAAAACGTCTCAACCCACCTGGGCACTACAGGACTGTCTCGTCGTGAAAGGTGATAGGAACGTTCAACTTGGGGTTAATTCGGCCTGCAGATTAGGGTTCGGAATCCCTTCGGGGCGGCTTGCTAAACCGACGCCATCCGAGGACTCGGACATCTCGCCGACCTTTCCACAAGGCGGTAAATACCTCGGGAGGCATTGAAAATGACGTCCCTACACCCGCGAGTGCCGGCCTCGAATTCACTTCACTTCATTTCTACAGATTTGGCGATGAGTCGCGTCTACATGCGTGTGATGGAACGATTTTTGCGTCAGGATCGGACCAGCGACCAGTCTAGACCGGGCCAGTGTTCAGAACCACCCGGCGAGAATATGTATTGAAGAGAAAAGTGAAGTTTGGCAGCTGTGGCTGTCTTGCCACTGGCGAATAACCCCTGACTACCGCTCAACCGCGATGATGCGAGTGTCATGCACGCAGACAGATATGGCGTCGTTCATCGATGGCAAAAAATTCAATGGACTACTATCGGAATGAGGCATGCATGGCGGTGATGGTCGGGCACATCCAATCGCAGGACAACGTCTACTTCCCTCGGCTATAATCATGCACTGTGACGGTCATGGGAAAAAGATGCTTCGCATTATGAATACAAAATTGATACTAATATAAACCCCTTTTCATCAACTAGGACCAGCGAATCGTCAAACAGGATCTCTGGACGAATCAATCTCGGAAACTGCAAATCCGGCACCATATCTGCCCAAAGCAATGGAAAATACGCTATCTCGTTGCGCAACCTTGCCGTTGGCACCGAGACCACCGCCGCCGCCGGCCCAGGCCTTCGTTCTTTCAAATCTGGCACGTCTTACCCGCCTTCTGGCATTGCGCGCACCCATCCGGGGTGGGGTCACATCGGGTCTTCTTCTGGCGACAGCGGTCACAAGCCGCTGCAAGGCGTTTACGTGGGGTGTTGGCCTTTGTGAGGCCCCAGTGCGCATTGACAGGCTCACCATCGATATGGGTGGGAAGATAGTAGCCTCCCGTGTAGAGGTAGACTGTGTCACTACCGAGCTTGCCAACACCCTTGTACTCCACCTGTTGGTGGCCGGCGAGGGAGGGACAAAGACCGGGAAGGAGTTGCAAGGGCTGATCAGAGGATAGTTGAAAGTGCCCGAGGCTGCTGTTGAGGTCGTGATAAGCCCCGACGTCGCCGATGCCATGTATAGCCGAGGCGTGGGCGACGGTCTCGACCTGCGACGTGCTTGAGCGTTGGTGAGCCTGCATCGTTTCGTAAGCCGTGGTCAAATACGTGTGGGAGTGTCTGGCGGCGTCCATGACGGCGCAATGAATGTCCGAGATGTTGGACGTTGATGAATCGCTATCGTGACGACTCAAGGTGGCCAGCCAACGACCGTCAACTGCCGGTTGCGGTGGAGAGCACGGCGAGCCCCTTCGAATGATGTTCACAACCTCGAAGAACTCGTTCTTTGTGGTGGGAGAGCAGCACGGGGAGCTGTTGCCGAGGGATAAAGATGCAATCACGTCTCTGAGAGGTGGCAAATTCTGCGAATCACGTCGTGAATGAGCTTGCGACATGGTAAACCCAGCGCTTTTCGATCGTTTACGTAGTTATGATGTATATGTTGCTCGGTATGATGCAGGAGTCTGTAATACCGAGATTAAGCCTTACTTTTGACGGCAATAGAGCACACCGAAGCGCGGTCGATGTGTTATTGCATGTATTGTTGCAAATGGATGCTGATCGAGATTGTGTATTGTCGATGATCCGACAAGGATTCATCTGCGACGGACGAAGCGATACTTGAATGCTATGGCATGAGGACACCCTCAACGACAATATCTGTCATGCGCCAAAATCCTGAGGCTATTCGGGTACTTTTGCAAGAACTTCATGTAATACCATGATGCAAGGTGGATGCCAGACAAGCCGAAGTTGATTTCACCAATGTGATTCTCGTGCTGATCGAGTGAATGCGCCTATCATACCCCGAGAGGATAACAAAGACGAGACATCCAGACATTCGCGAAGGACAAGGCCACATGTGTTCCTCCCATGGCAGATGCCTATTGGTGATCTTCGGAGGATTCGAGGGATGTGCGCATACCGCAGACAGTGTGGATGTGATCTTCGCTGTGTATTTATTATTTCAGTTCAATCGCCGTACGAGTCTTCGGTGCGACACTACTATGGCTGAAAAGCATCCCATCCTCTCTTGGTTGTGATAGACGGCGCAGCATGCCAATTCGTCGAGCAAAGACCGTCGGACCACTGGATACCGGTCAACCATGTAGGACCATTGCCTGCTTCTGCCGCATGTGGCACTAGAGTTTTGCTCTTGTCATTGGAGTCTTTCAAGATTCGGAAAGATTCGTACACAGCCTTGTCCGAACTTCAGATCTACGCCAAGTTTGGTAAGCTGCAGTTGTACGACGTTTAAATACAGTCAGGTCTACGACAGTCCGGCATTTAAATGCCAAGTATACATGCGTTGGGCCGGGATGTTCGACTCGCACGGTACAAAGGAGCGAATCGAGCGCTTTGCGGGTGATCTTTACAACGTTCAGACCCTGGGCTTTAAGACGGCTGTGAGATTCAGAATAATTTTGAGATCTGCACATGGTGGAAAATGTGACACATTAGCGCAAGAATGTTGTGGCATCGCTAGCGCACGAATCTCGCGAAAGATCGTCCACAAAAGCCCAGGAGGGACAAACACAAATGCAGTGACCAGGTGAGAGAGAGAACGAGCTCAACATCCTTCTTGTGGGCTGTCAGACAGCGTGTCCTCTGCAGGGAGTCTAGAAGACTGCGACTCCTTGCGCACGGCATATCCATTATGAACCGTTCCATTGCGATTCGTCCAAGCGCGTCTTCTCCCGAAGAAACCTTGGAAGGGCGGGGCTTTCAGTTGTGATGAGAGCTAGCTTCGGTTCTATGCACTGTGCAGCACGCGTTAGCTCCTTGTGCTGGGTTGCGAACGATGTGGCGGCTGATGTATCTGTCAAAGCAGCGACGAAAGTCCCGAGACCATTACCCGACGAGAAAATGGTTGGCAAGCTGCGTCGCAATCTGTGCAGTAATCACTGCTGCGGGTACAGGAGGTGACCACGCATGAGGTGGCAAAGTCTTTGATACTGAGATGGTGCGAGTGAATATCTTCCTTTATTCAGTATGAACACAATATGGGACATGCCGATCACCGAGTCTCGGGCGAACTTATATCATTGCGGCCTAGCAGAGGTATGCCGTCGATATCTGAACATCCTAATGTTGCATTTGCACAATTGAGACAAATCATATCGGTCGCGAAGAGCGTTGGCTCAGGGTTGTGTTAGGTCGGTTGCGTATGAATCTGCAGTCCACGTACGGCTCTCTGCTCTCCCATTCCAACCTCGGAGGGGTGTGATGACCGTCCTATTTCGCACTCGGCATTCGCCGACGTGGCGGCAAACCATGGCATTCCGCTGATATGGAACCTGGAAGAGAGCAAGCGGTATTGCTCAGTGAGCTGCTCATTGACCTCCATTGCGGAGTATCTGATCGTCGGGAGTGGGAGTCTTGTGCTTCACAATATTTAAGGAGGTTTCTTTATTGAACCCCACCCACCGGGACCCATGATCGTCCAAGGTCCATGCTCCGATTGACCCTGCCACCAGGGGTAAGCGGGATATTGACGCGACCACTGGCGCGACCACCTTCATCTCCGCTGTCCGAATCGTAAGTGTCGCTCAGTCGTGCAAAGTAATCCGCGAGACCACTTGTCGGACTAGCAATGCTATCGTACTGTGGAGGTGGTGTGATGAGTGGTGGTGGAGGGTCTTCGTCTTCAAATGCCGGCGGGTTGAATGAAGGTGCTCGGATGAGGTGCATCGGGCGCTCCACGTCCTGCGGACGGCCAATATGATTAGCAGCGTGTGCTGCCGGTGGCCGTGTCAAATTTGGAGTCGCGACGGGCATCATGGAGCGACTGTCTCCAGCGTCGATGCTGGTCCGTGGCGCATTGAGTGAGTTCAGCGTTGGCACGAAGCTGGCTGGAGAATTCCGTCGTGGTGCAGCGTCTGGGCAACCGCACTCTAGGAGATGCGCGGAGTATTGCGCAGCTTCCGGAGAAGTGTACGCAGGCAACGAAGTGTTCGCTTGCGTCGCGCGACAAGATAGTATGTGAAACGGCGAGTCGATTGAGATTTCGAAATGTCGTCGCTTGCTCGGATCGTTGACGTCGGGTTTTGACAAGCGCATCACAATCTTGATCCAATGATGGACTTGGATGTTGTGGTACGTCGTATCGAAGTGTAGCTTCTGGGCACGCTCACGCTCTCTCATAGCCTGGCAGCTGGGCAATTGCACATTTATCTCCATTTCCGTTGGCCCGACACTTGTCTCGCTGTCAAGGCTACCGAGTAAGTTGGTCGTATCGGTCGGGATAACGCTTTCGCCTCGGGCCGCAGCTTCGCGTTGGTCGTAGGGTATGCCTCCACCAGCAGTGACTCGGATTTCACTGCCCTGGAACATGCTCACCGGAGGACTGTCAGAGCGCTTCTCGAATAGCTGAATCTTGCGTGTTGGCTCTACCCGATGCACCCTCTTATTGGAACAGAAGTACTCGACGTTCTCTGTCACGAGAACCTTGATGCGATGACACTGTACCTTGGCCAAAGGCGTCAGTTTGAATGCGATTGGTACCTTCGATCCCAACGGAAAGCTCTTTCCCGATATGACGATGTCATAATGAAGTTGATCTTCCCAATTTCGACTGATCGCGATAGGCTCAACCTGTTCTAGAGATCCTTCGGCTGGCGCGCGGATGAGCTCGACTTCTTTGACGCCGACCAGGTTGGATCGGAAAGCTCCGGACCGCTCCAGGGTTGCTTCAAGCTCGTACTTTACAAATCCAAGTTCGGCGTCGATGGTCTCAGGCAAGCGGCTATCAATGGGCAGTTCGAAATTGTAGAGATAGTCTCCAGGTAGAAACGTGCGATAACCCTTTGCAGAGATCGAGGGACCCGAGGGAGCATCTCCTTTGCCAAAGCTGCGCGACTGATTCACCGACAGCGCAAGCTTTTTCGCCTCCCGTGCAGAAAGATTACTGGAAGAGTTGCTGTCTGTCATTCCGCCCATAGAATCCAGCTTTGTTGATGAGCCGTTCAGACTGCTGAAAAGCTGAACATGATCGGCGTTTGTCCCCTTCTCGGCATTTTCGAATTGTGCATTGAAGAACGGCCAAGTGTGCGACATGATGGTGTTCTTCTCCTCAAACTCGGTCTTCTTAGGTGGAATGCCCTCCGGCCATCTCGTGATGGACACGCCTCGAAATTTGAGCGTGATGGCTTTGATCTTCGCCGCCTTCTGCACACGAATATGAAGCCCCCCTCTTAGCATAGCAGTGTTTCGTGGCGAAGACTCGTTTTGCTCAAATCCCTGTAAGAACAGCATCGGCTCTGCAAGGTGAATGCCCAAAATGACGCCGTTGCCAGATGCAATCGGCTTCTCCTCGTCCAATTTCAATTGAGAGATGAAGCTGTTCTCCGATGATCGGGCGTCCGTCCGTGGGGAGACTTGGCCATCGACGTCTACTCTTGATGACAAGCCTGAAGGGTTTGGAGAGTCACTCCCTAGTCTTGGCCTTTGGAGTTGTGCACCAATCGGCCCTCCAATCGAATTTCTGAAGCTGGAACGCATTCTCTGGCCGATGGCGGCCTCCCCAGAGGCGCCGAGATCTATCGACTGATCGCGTTTTGTAGGCGACCAAGATCTCCTCTTGTCTTCGGAAGTCGTAGACGAAGTTTCTGAATTATTCGAAGCGATGACCGATCGAAGAAATCGCTTCGCGTTCTCTCGTGAGATCGCCAGCTTGAACGGATAAGCCTCGGCGACTGGGAGATCGTCGAGGGTGAATTGATTGTTTGACCTAGTGGTCGATGGTGGCGTGGAAATGTAGGACGACGCCGAAGTTCTTCAGCCTCACGTGTTGGATCTGCAATGATGTCAGTGAGTGTTTGGTGGGGTGCCGCAGTTCAAGGCCATCGAATAAAGTGTGCTGGCACCGCGACAAAATGCCACCGCTGCTACCACTGCATCAAGAGGTGACGGGGCCTTGGAAAGTCCCACGAAAAGAACACACCTTCGTTGCGAAGAGCAGTGTCGAGTCAGGTACGAGGTCAATTGCAACATTGACCCAACGCAGTCCAGCTGTGTTCCCAAATGGATCGAAGCCGAGAATCTGTATGCGGTGCCGGACTATTTCAAATATCGCTCCAGATGGTCCGTTAACGACAGTCGGAAGAGGACAGAGAGTGGTAGATGACGGTCAATTGCGTCGTGCGCAATGCACTTGGGTGACTATCTCGTTGACTGCCGAGTAGAGTCCTTGGTATCGGGTGACGCAAAACGTTGAATAATGGTGGTACAGTTGCGAATGTGTGAATGGAACAAGAAGGATGGAACTCTGGGTCAGTTCACGCACTGTGAGGTCGAACTGTGATCGCGTAGGGGAAAGCCTCCGAGATCCGAGATCGCGGAACGCGTTGGGTGATAAAAGCAAAGTGTTTCACGATCGGCGACTGCAATCTGTATCACCACCAACTTAGAAGTGTGCGGGACTTTGACGCGACAACGGGCGATGACGTCGTGGAACGGAAAATAGATTATTTGTTTCGGGAGAGGGTGGAACAGCCTCAGAATTTGGCTGCGAGAAGGAGGGAAGGAAGAGATGAATTGTGTTAGGATTGCGAGCGATCAGACCACGATCTTAGCATAACAAAGAGACGAGGATCGTTGTACAACACATCATGGACATGGCTAGCGATTTGAAATCGCAGCGGTGTGCACCGGCGAATCACCAGGCACAGTGCAATGAGGCCATCATCAGCGATCTCATCATCGCTGGAAAAACCTGGAGAACTGCCCATTCTCATCCACAATACATACTAGTGCTGGGAGGCGCCGGTGCATTATTACTAGGTATCCAGGAAGCCCGACACTTGATGGGCGCACCCGTAGACTCCGCAACAATTCTCTCCAGTGTCTGCGTCGTCATACATACTTCGCACCCAACATAACAGGCCGACGGCGTGAAAGTCTAACAATTCTGGTCTAGCATGCCGGCCCATTCCAACACATCCGATCCGCGATGCACCGCGAATAGCATGATCCACTCACCATCATCATCATCATCATCGTAATCCTCACCACCGTCCGCCGTAAGCCTGTCTCGCCCTTACCGACTACACTGCGCTGAGCGTGTCGTGAAAATCTGCAAAGTCTCGAATATATGCGAGATCAGCCCGAACTTGGTTCCCGCCAGCGCTGGCTCTTGTTCTGGTTATGACGATCGTGAATATCTACACGCCCATATCACAGGATTGGCGGAAATCATCAGCTTGACAGCAAAAACCAGTCGCATGTCCAATCCCAAGAGAACGCCCGTCTTGGTACAGTTTGGGCAGAGCACAGCCTTCATGGAGTCGCGATGCCCGCGTTCTTCCTTCGCGGCAGGCTGTTCCCTCAATTTTCAGCGAAAAGATCGTCAGCCCAAGCAAGCCACGTGCGCCACGCCCGCCGACCGTCCAGAACGGTTTGGCCGTTCGGCCCAAACACGAGCAGGCTTGGGCATTTCCCGGAGCACACAGCACCCGATGGTCTGTGGGCGGATGCGACTTCATAGACGAGTCATCGTAATCAAAACTCCCTTGAGCGAATGCCTCAGACCGCATTCGGGCTATGCTATCACGGATTAAACTGGAGGAATTGCAATGATTAAAATTAGTATTGTATTCTGGCACATGAAAGCCCTGTGTTGTTCAATGGCCGCTGATGCCCCGTCGCATATCACCAGGGACTTTACGCACTTGATCATCATCTACATCACATCGTGACCATTGTTGCCGCACTTCCGCATAGAGCCGCAATCATCATCTGTATACGCGTACTCCTCTCGGGGATCGGCTATACATCTGGTCTTTAGAATGCCGTGTAGTGTGCCGTTAGACACGCCCAAGAATAATTTGCTACTACACGAGATAATCGAATTCTTGATGACCTTGAATCTGCAAGGAGAATGGCTAGTGATCAATGGATTGTATAGACAGACGTTGACACAATGGGAAGCCATTCGCTGTAGCTGAGCCCTCCAGAAATTTGGTGCATCCTGTGCACCCGTCCTCTGCCAAGTTGTTGACATGGTACCTAGGTATCCATGACGGGGCTTCTGGATGCACAGAGATAGACGATTAAATGATCAATCAAAGAAAACACCTTGGAAAGGTGCACTGCCACACATTCTGCTTGTCATTGCCATGCAAAACTGCCGTGGAAGACCACGACGCCTCAGGCTTCCAAGCACTTGGGATTTTCTGGGCAGGCCGCGGAGCTGTTCCACTGCCATCATTGGCGTTATCCCAAACTCTCATGCGGGGCCTGCGAGCTTGGTGCAACTCATGAACAATCAAGCTTTTTCCGTGACTTGCAACAGCTACTCGCCATGGAACTCGGCGCGTGTGGGGACTGGAGAGGGTGTGCTATAGGCCAGTGACAAATTTGCTGTTGTTGTGTCAAGACACTCGGGACTTCGATCCCTGGCCTGCCCACGTAATCCTGCTGCTGGACGGTGCCCATTGTTCGGCTTTCACGGAGCTTGGAATTGAGGGGGCGATGATGCTGGTGGCTCGCCTCAAGTGGTGCAAAAGCAGGCACTGAGCGCAATGCAGACAAACCTATTGTTCATAGTGGTAGGCAATATGTGTGATGACTTTCACAGGCCGTTGCTTGTCGTAAACGAATTGATTCAAAAAAATGCCATATAGAATAAGAGGTGTAGATCTATATCCTGTAAGGTTTGCCATATTGATGTTGCACACAATTGACGAGCTTCAGGTCTCTTCATCATTGCAAGTGCGAGACAGTCGTGATGATGATCAACTGATCGACCCGCTCTTCCATCATTTGCTGGCACTATCGATCGTAAGCGCGAAGAAAAGTCCATCTTACAGCATGATGTGTGTTTGCCTGTCATTCCTGCGCATGCGATTCGTTGTCATGCACAGATGAATTGTCCATCGCATCACTGCCGCAGACTTCCAGCGATCGATGTTGTGACGAAAGCATCCACTAGAAGTTGACGTGACCTTTACATGTTTGGGTGCGAGCGTATGCCATTGCAACAGTGTATCAAATAATCATGGCCATGGTAGCTCCTTGCGCTGCCTCGACTTCCGTACCACCCTTGGGCCCTTCGACATGGCAAAATCATTATCCTTCACAGTCCCTACACTGGCAACGCGCTTGCCAGCAGGCGCGTGTGTGGGTAGCGTGCAGCCCAATTTCTCATTCATCTGCCTTCGATGTGGATCGTCCATATCATCCATATCGTAGCCAAGCTGTGTACTTGGCGGCTCTATTTGTTGAACGTTTCGTGAAAGATTAAATCCATCAGCATTGGAACTGGCATCGCCTGACTGTGACTTCTGGAGATCTCGCACTGGTGAATTACGCTCTGATTTCGTGGAAGCGGACGGATTGGACACCCAGGAGGTATTGCGACCTAGCGGTCTGTGCTTTCTCTTGGGCGGCGCCTCTGCTGACGTTGTCCGCGATACACCTCGACTAGCCACAAGTGCGACCAGATCAGAAACCTTGGCATGCAAATCCTCGTTGTATTCGTTAAGTTCGTGGTTCGTTGTGCTCGCGACGTGATTCTCGATTGATTTAGGCTTGTCGGGTGGTTCGTCATCTTGTGCGTCTGCTGTAGGGCACTGCTCGTGCCTTTGCCGGGCAGGGCTGCGCTGAGGCGCATTAGGAGAGATTTCAGCCAAGGGAGAGAGAACTTTCGATGGAACCGTCAAATCGTTGGTGGGCGGTAGAGCCTCAATGCGTTCCTCTTCCTCTAGCTCGTCTTCAAGAATGAAAGGCCCTGCGCGTCGTGGTTCGGTCGTGCTTGCTGGATTCATGACTAGTGACGGTGTGGGTCGAATTCGTCGCGAGTTTGACAGACGTTTTGGATTCTGATCGTTCGATCTAAAATCGTGGCTGTCAGTGAGAACACATGATTGCCCACGCCGGAGGACTTGTATTTACTTTTGTGCAGAGGACTCATCTCTGGCAGAATTTCCACTCGATGGTGACTCTTTGTTGGAGCTTTCTGGGTCAGGTTTAGACAATTTGATCAGAAATTTGTCCATAGGCTTCCTCCGTCCCGCTCTCATTGTCGACCACAGCCAGTCAGCCGAGACCACAGGTATCTGATGTTTCGCAGCATAGTAGGCCTTCTCTTTTCTCATTTCAGTTGACCCAGAGATCAACAGAGAGGTGCTTGGGAGCAATTTGTCCTGGTACGAGAATCCAATAATGGTAAGGGCTTGCGCAATCTGCCGATAATCAACACCCGTGAAACCAGTGATACAGATCGTTGTGCCTGAGCAATCAGACAGTCGGGGCAAAGGTCGAGACAGCACGTCCTCGCTAGGATCCAATGCTCTCTTGCCCTGTATACTTCTCTCAATCCACCATTCTGTGATCAAGCAAACGGACGAAGGGACTCTGGGCAGGTCTGTGCTGGGGTAGTCGTGTGGCATGAGTAGATAGGCACAAGTAGAGCTGTCGCTCTCGGATGCGGCTATCAGCTCTTCTACTGATGAAGCAATGGCTGCACCATTTGGTTCGATATACTTCTTGATCGCTTTCAGCTTCGACTCATCAAAGCCGAAAGGCAAGATGCAGTGTCCGCCGAAGAGCCCTTCGCTATGGGCAAATACCGGTGGCTTCTCCAGCTGATTGATGCTCAAAGTGTTGTGTGTACTCGTCCGGCGGGCCGACTCGCTCGCAAGCTCAGAGGCCCGAGTTTCGTCTCCCCATGCATCTACAACCGAGGTATCGACTTGTACATCCTTCGCAGAGATCTCTTGCCAAAAGTCTTGGCTCTGGCCTTCAAGGCGCAAACTTGTAGCTTTGCGAAGTTTCCGCCGAGAGCTTCCTTCATGACTTTTTGATTCAAGAGCCGTTGTGGGTCGTCCACGTTTTCCAAGGACGGTCCGTTCTCTGAGTGGACTCTGCCGGAATGCACCCAGACCTTGCTGTTCACGTGGCAATTCGGGAGCATACAGGGACTCATCCAGAGCCATACCACGAATTATGCTGTCTTCGAACCACTTCAGTGAAACCGTATTGATTCCCCATTGTCTCGCATGGATGTACTTGGCGCTCTTCACGCTGGCATCAGCGACGAGAAGATGTGTTGTAGATCTTGTCATGTCACCACTGTAGGTCCCTCCGTTGCTCGCGACTGTTCGCTCGATGTTTGACCGCTGTTCCATCTCCTCGAACCCTGTAATGGAAATTTGCAGACCAAAGAAAGGTGGTAGCCTGTGCTCGTTTTCTATGGCTTCCAGGTCGAGGTCGTCGTCGCCTTCCATCCAAGCTACTCTGACAGCCTCGACCCATGCAGGAGACAGGACAGCAATGTCCGGCCGGTCTTTGGCGACATAGCGATATTTAGGCGTAGTTATGCTCCCAACGATCAAGTGCGTCACATCAGCCGTGAGATCTAGTTTGGTCAGCGCGCCCATCTGAGCGGCCGTCTCGGCCAGCTTTGTCTGTATACATGCTTTAGAGATGCTGAAAAATTATGTCGACACGCTCACACATACTCGAACATCCGGTGTCAATGCAGTGCAGCAAAGCACCACGCCCTGGAATGGAGCCTGTCCAGCTACCATGCGAGGAATGTTAGCTGCCATTACACAGGAAGATGCGATAGTCCTTACAAGATCTGTGGCCATCTGGTGGCATATTTGGTGCTGTCGATGATGTACCCAGCACTTCGAGACGCGTCGAAACGCCTTTGATAGATCACGAAACGCGAAATAGAGACGGTGCACGTGGAGCATGCGGGGCGCCTGGCAGAAGTGACGTTTTCCCTACACGCAGGACATGAGATCTACAACAGACAACCTTGGAACTTGCATCCTTTGGAACTCGAAGCACTCATCTTCACCTGCATCTTATTAATAAGGACTCGGGCTTGAATCTGCATGCCATTTGTTTGTATAAGCTCTCTATGGTCACATGAGTTGTAGCTATTACGCCTAATTGAATGTCACTTCATCGTATACCTACCTAGGTAGGTAGGTAAATTGACCATCTCCTGGATATGAAATACCACCTGGGCTTAATAAAGCCAAAAATGACTGATCTGCCAAACCTTGGAAAGACAATCTCCAAAGCTCCAGGGCTCCTAGGTCTCTTCGACCGTGTAGTTTGCGTTTTGCAAACGTAACAATGGATCATCATCAAGAGAATGGGTCTGCCATGTCCAGAGCACTTGCCATTCCTGAGGTGCTTGAGGATATACTTCTTCACCTGCCGCCCCGAGACATACTTCGTGCACAGCAAATATCGAATTTCTTTCAAGCTGTGATCCGGGGGTCAAAGCTACTGCAAGAAAACATCTTTCTGCTTCCCCAACAGGCAGCTGCAACCCGTTGCACCAATGGCCTGATATTTGATCAAACAGGTGTGCAAAAACATAGACATCTATCGCGACACAAGTACGACTCACTTCATCTTACCTGGCGCTTGACAGATGCGCTGCTGCAACTAGATGACCAGGTTACAGCTCTCAGCATGCTTGTCGCGCAACCACCGCAACCTCGCGTTACCGTGAGAGCCATCTCAGTCGAAGGACACCAGCCAGGGGTCTGTCGGATAACTAATCCGGCTGGAGTGACACTTCGCGACGTGCGTTGTCAATATAGCTGGTGGTCTGATAGGACTGTCCCGCCGTTGAACGTATGGCTGGATCTGCCTGTTGCATGGCATGAAGGCAGTGGGTAGCCATCTCACGAGAGTAGCATCAAAATAGCATGCCCGAATGCACGTGAATAGACATTTTTGCATGGAAGGGCTCTCTGTTGATCATTCGCGCAATACATGGCAACGATACGCCGCAACATGAAATCTGGCAAAAGGGTGAAATCGTCTCACCTTTCACATCAGCACTTGCACATTGAAGCTATATACTCTGTGGGCCTTTCTTTTGCATTCACTGTTTATGCCATCATCTCCTACGCATTGCCCTGCTCCTGTATGATACCTCTGTTTAACTGCACCTTCTCCAAAATTTTGTCGGCTCCTTTGTTGACGAGCAATTTCGCCGCCTCAAATCCCAAGTCGTTGGCTTGCTCATGGGTCGTGACAACCCTGCGGGTCTCAATCTCTACGGCATCTTGGCCATCGAGGCTGACAACAATTGCATTGAGGATCAACTCATCCGAGAGATCACTATCGGAACTTGACTCGGACTTTGCTGCACCGGTGAGTTGATCGTAGACATCAGCAGGTTTGCTTCCAACCCCAGCTTGCGTGTTGGAATACGCGCTTTTAGATGTCCACCTCGTTTCCACGCCGATAGGCACAGAGCATCCACCCTCGAGCGTGCGCATCAATTGTCTCTCTGCAAGGACCGCGCGGGTTGTACGATCGCATCCGATTCTCGAAAGCAATTCTGCGACGGCCTGATCGCCATTGCGGCTCTCAATACCCAGAGCTCCTTGTCCGACCGCGTGCAGCATCTTGCCATTCTCTTTCGATAAGTAGGAGGTGATTCTGTTTGTCAAACCTAGCCTCTGAAGGCCCGCAACTGCGATGACAATGGCCGTGTATTCTGAGTTTGGATCATCTAACTTGCTCAGACGAGTTCCAATGTTTCCGCGGACGTCTGCAAACTTCAGCTGCGGGTACGCTCGTCTCAATTGAGCAGAACGACGCAAACTGGATGTCCCGATCACGGCTCCCTCTGGTAGGTCCTCAAGGGATTTGTATGTGCCGACATAACTGCTCTTCAAAACAAATGCATCTCGCGCATCCTCGCGCTCAGTCACAGCTCCTAGGATAAGATCAACTGGTAACTGCGTGGGCATGTCCTTGAGACTGTGCACAATTAAGTCGAGCTTCTTCTCTTCCAGAAGAACCTCCAGCTCTTGAGTCCAAAGTGCTTTTTCATTGAACTTATGGAGAGCAGTCTTTTGGTTGATGTCGCCGGTTGTGCTCATCGCATGAATCTCGAAGTTATGCTCAGGCCATGCCGCTCGCAATGCCTTGACGACCTCTGTCGCTTGCGCTCGTGCAAGGAGCGACCTTCGTGTTCCGACATTGAATGTTCGAGTGGATGCGTTTGGCGACGCTGCGGCAAATGACTGCCGGTCTTCTCCCTCTGTGGCCATTTTTGGAGTATCGAACAAGTCACCTTTGTTCTGCGAATGACGAATGCAAGGCGGGCGACGTGGGGAACATGCAAACAATGGAGGGGCACCGTGTGCTCTTCAGAGAAACCTAACTCTTAGGTGTACGTTTCCGTTTTCAATTTTTTTTAACACATCCTCGGAGATCGTGAATCCGCTACCACATTTCGTCTGATAGCCCAGCAATCGCGTCACAGGCCGATCTGTGTTCAGCGTAGATAATTCACACCAAGCCGCTGAAATTGCCCCGCGCTAATGACGGCAGCACAAGATTATCAAAGTGAGGTCAGGGTCTCTGAATTTGTCGAACCCGGAGTGGAAGATCGGCCACCGTGATAATCAAGACTGCGGAGAAACTTTGGTCATTTCCATCAGCCGCGACATCTGAAGATCGAAGCGTGATAACAAGTCGGCCCGGACGACTCTTCCTGTCATTACAATTGCCGCAACAATAAAGACGCGCATGCATGTTTAGCATCAGAAGCGTCGCTGGTAGACCACTCGGGAGCAATCTCGCGCAGTCGTCACTGTTATCAAGTCTCCAGCGTTCAACTTCAAGGAACGTTCCTCATCAGCCGAATCGAAGTACAACCTCAACGCATCGCCGCTGGCGAACAGCGACCACAATGGCGCGCGCAAAACTTCATGGAAGGGCATTCTATGAAAGCATCGGCTCGCCCACATATATACTTGCGCCCATGGTCGATCAGTCAGAATTTGCCTGGCGATTATTGTCGCGATCATTTTTCCCCGAAGATCAACGGGCAAGTCTTCTCGCCTACTCTCCTATGCTCCACGCCAAACTCTTCACCGAGTCATCGAAATATCGTGCATCACATTTCGAGCCTCTCAAGCCGCCTCATATTCTACCATTTCCCGCGGATGCCAACCATCAGCAGCTTCATAAAGAGGAGGACTTGTACCTGGATGGAAACCCAAAAATCGACCGTCCGCTTTTCGTTCAATTCTGCGCAAACGACCCTGAGGCTTTTCTAGAAGCAGCGAAAGTGGTGCAACCATATTGTGATGCGGTAGATCTAAATCTCGGATGTCCACAGGGCATTGCGCGGCGAGGAAATTATGGCGCTTTCCTACAAGAGGATTGGAAGACGATCCACAATCTCATAAATGCTCTCCATGCGGGTCTTGATATTCCTGTAACGGCGAAATTTCGAATACAGGAGACCAAGGAGAAGACGCTGGAATATGCAAAGATGATTCTGGCGGCGGGTGCGAGTATCATAACAGTGCATGGTCGGCAGCGGCATCAGAAAGGTCATAACACGGGTTTGGCGGATTGGTCGGTTCTGCGCTACCTTCGAGAGAAACTTCCACCAGAGACGGTGATTTTCGCGAATGGAAATGTATTGCAACACGAAGATCTGCAGAAGTGTTTGGATGCGACCTTGGCGGACGGCGTCATGAGTGCCGAGGCAAACCTCTACGATCCATCGATATTCGCAACTCCGCCACCGGCCGGCGAAGAGGGACGAGAATACTGGCGCGGACGGGATGGGAAGGGCGGATACCGGTGTGATGCGGTCTTGAGGCGATATTTGGATATCGTGCATCGGCATGTTCTTAACCAGGAGCCTCCGGTGCGGCAACCACTCTTCCTACCGTCTGACGTGGCGCGGAAAGATGAAGGCCCGCAGGCACACCCAGAGATCTCTCCCAATGGACAACCTCACGAGCAGGCCGATGCTCAGGACGACCTCGACGGCCGACCCGCCAAACGACAAAAGCGGGAGAAGGACGAACCCGCAAATCAAGAAAACACGCCCAGTGATAAACCTGACACAAAAACATCGAAAAAGAACGGCAAAGCCGAAAGATGTACCAACACCAACCTCACAGCCATGCAAGCCCATTGCTTTCACATCCTCCGCGCACTCGTAGGCGAGGATACCTCGGTCCGCGACGCGCTCGCTCGCTCTCGAGCCGGCGACCTCGATGCTTATGAAAATGTCCTCGATCTCACAGAGGCAGCAGTCAAGAAGGGCTTATTGGAGTATGAACAAAATCCTTCTAAATTCGAGGCTCCCGAGGATGACTCCACACCGACGGCGGCATTACCAGATCCAACCGAAGAAAGTGCAGACTCTTTCGATCCACTTGGCGGAAGTAGCTTCTCTGCCGTTCGACGCTGCAAACGACCCTTTTGGATCTGTCAGAGCCGCGTCCGACCTCTGCCCCAGGAGGCACTCGAGAAAGGCAGTCTACAATTGAGTAAGAAAGAGAAGAAGAAACTCGCTGCCGCGGCGGCCATTTCAGAGAAGGAGGCAAGTCAGGAGAGAGAGCAAAAGGAGAACGTTGGGCTGCATGCTGGCGGGACGGTCGGAGTGGAGGATGCTGGGGACAAGAACGAAGATGGCGGTGATGGAGCAAAGAAGGTAGAAGTTGCGAAGGAAGAGCTGATCTGTGGGTAGCATGGTTCGGGGATCGAATCTACCCGGGACGGTCAGTGAATATAGATCCTGTTCCAATGTATAAACATGTGCACTATTTACTATAGATGAACAATGCGGAGCCATTCCTACCGCCATTCCTAAAGGCTGTTGTATTTTAGTAGACTTTATCGGAGTCGAGACCCGATTCAGGGCCGTGAAGCCGCCCTCATACAATTTTCACGAATACTGTACCCATGGTCATCTTTGTCTAAATAAGGATGCAGGTTTGAGAGGGACGTAATGATCATAGCAGTGCTGATGGTCTCCCAAAGTACCTGGGTACAGTACAGTATTTTGCCAGTAGGAAGTTCTGGAATACGAAACGTCACATCTGCAAGTCTCCCATCAAGCACAGACAGACTTCAGGAAGAATCCCACCACGCACGTGCCACAGCCAGCGATGTCATCATGCCGGCCCTCTTCCTCAAGTGAGGGAACCCTGAGCTTTTGCTTGCGCTGGCGATGGTCAGAATTCATGGTCGCGAATTGATCCGCCCACTCGGTGATATGTTACAGATGTGGGGAACACTGGCGAAAGAACAATCGCACAGAGATACGCAAGATGAGGAAAGACGGTTTTCATTTTACTGTGAGATTGTATTGGCGTTGTGTAATTGATAGCTGCCCATGTGTGCAACATGATATCTAGCATCGCGCATTGTACATTGCGTCTCAGTGCTGCTGCTATTTATTGCCTTGCTCCGCTTGCGTATTTTAGCATTTGTAGTGGCGCGCGCCCCAAAGGAAGGCTGTCTTGGTCTGAGTGGCACTACAGTATGTGAACACAATAAGATCGACACTCTGCATTGATTCGCATTTGAACTTGCCAGCCGTGTGGTTATAATACATCATTCATTTCACGGCGGTGCGACCTCACTCCTTCATGATACCCATTTCCGCTAATTTGCTCGTGGTGCACTGAGGACGAACACCACACGACGTACGAACATTCTCGACGCACGATAGAATACCCGAACACGAGGGCCTCGCGCCGCATAGATATTGGAAGGGTCATATAGGAGCGCACAAGCTTTTACACCACTACACGCCTACGTGCAATTGAGCGCGTCGCCATTCAGTGGCACTGTTGAGCAGGCAATATCATCGCCGTTCATGAGTCGGGACAGGATCCTCCCTTAGACGTCGGTTCGATTCACTGGTTCCTCAAATCGTCATGGCCGAACACAACCCGGAGCTGCAGTCCCGACTGCAGCAGCTAGACCGGGAACTGCAAGAGGGTGACATCACTCAAAAAGGATACGAAAAGAGACGGACCATGATACTTTCGCAGTATATCGATCCGGTAGAGCTGGCTCAGCGCGGCTATCAGCTGCAGGATGCGCATGACCCGACCAGTCAGGAGTTTGCTGGTACATCCTCGCACAGCAGAGTTGTCAGCCATGGCAGCATACCAAGCATCTCGGAGCCGCTCATGACCACTGATCCTGCTTACGGATACGGCGGCGGAGCGCCTGGAGGGATCGGAGCGCCTGGATTTGGCGTGGAGCCGCCTAGTCAAGTCCACCGATTCCAAGAGCAACAACTAGGGATGCATGTGCCAGCATTACATCAGAGGCCGTCTAATGGAGGCCTGCGGCCGATCACTCCGGAGGGTCCCAATAGACCGGGCAGCCGCGGCAGTCAATTCAGTTCAGGTCACTACAGCACTGGGCAGTACAGCTCCGGGCACGGCACGATGGTCAATTCGGATTACGCTTTCAACCCTGACAAGCAACCTGTGGATCCGAGTTGGGGAGCGGACACACGACGAGCCAGTACGATGCTCGATGCGCACGGGCAGAGCTATTTCTCCGATTTCACAGGCCAGCAACTCGACGAGGTCCGCACCCGTGAGAGTTACGGTGGACCGCAGAGGTACAGCACTGGCGAAGCGCTCTCACCCACAGCCAACATGCCGCCGCCATCCATGCGAGACGACATCCCCAATTCCGCTGTCCACCAGCTGCCGTTAGAACCCCGCGATGTTCCTTTCGCCGTCTATGATCCACACAACGCCAACTCGCCCATGTCAAAGTTTGACAACATTGGCGCAGTGCTCCGGCACCGCGGTAAGATGCAGGGGCGTCAGCCGGCGTACTGGGTGCTTGATTCCAAGGGTAAGGAGACGGCGTCCATCACTTGGGAGAAATTAGCATCGAGGGCAGAGAAGGTTGCTCAAGTCATTCGAGACAAGTCCAACCTCTACCGCGGCGATCGTGTCGCTCTGGTGTATCGCGAAACGGAAGTCATTGAATTCGCGATTGCTCTGATGGGTTGTTTCATCGCGGGCGTTGTCGCTGTTCCAATCAATAATACCGAAGACTACACAAAATTATCGCTCCTACTTACCACAACACAGGCGCATCTAGCATTGACGACGGATAACAATCTTAAAGCATTCTCGCGGGACATCTCGAGTCAGAAATTAAAGTGGCCAACTGGTGTCGAGTGGTGGAAGACGAACGAGTTCGGATCGTATCATCCTAAGAAGAAGGACGAACCTGCTCCCCTTCAAGTCCCGGAGGTCGCTTACATCGAATTCTCTCGGGCGCCGACAGGTGACCATCGCGGCGTGGTGTTATCACATCGTACCATCATGCATCAGATGGCATGTTTATCCGCCATTCTGTCTACGATCCCCGCCACGGAAAGCACCGACACGTTCTCATCCACATTGCGCTCCGCCGACGGCACGCTCGTTGCACCACGAACTGGACGCTACGAGACTATCATCTCTTATTTAGATCCTCGGCAGAGCTGTGGTCTTATTCTTGGCGTGCTTCTTGGAGTTTACGGAGGTCACACAACCGTATGGTTCGAAAGCAAGACTGTAGACACACCCGGTATTTACGCAAACTTGATCTCGAGATATCGCGCCACAGTCATGGTCGCCGATTATCCAGGCCTCAAGCGCGCTGCTTACAACTACCAGCAAGATCCTATGGCAACGCGGAACTTCAAAAAGAACATGGAGCCCAATTTCTCCTCGGTCAAGATCTGTCTGATTGATTGTTTGACGGTGGACACTGAGTTCCACGAAATTTTAGCAGATCGATGGTTGAGACCCATGCGCAACCCTCGCGCAAGGGAATTAGTGGCACCCATGCTGGCCCTTCCCGAGCACGGCGGCATGATCATTTCCGTGCGTGACTGGCTAGGCGGAGAGGAACGGATGGGCTGTGATCTTAACATCGAAGAAGCCGATGAAGATAGCGACGATGCCGAGCCGAGTAGTCCTACTGGTACAGCTAACGGATTTACTAGCCTTCTTGACGGAACCAACAGCGAGAAGAAGAAGATAAGAAAGCGCGAGCGGCCGGAACTCAGCGAAGTACTCCTGGATAAGGAGAGTCTGAAGACCAACGAGGTCATCGTTCTGGCGATGGGCGATGAAGCTCGGAAACGCGCCAATGAGCCTGGTACCGTTCGGGTTGGCGCTTTCGGCTACCCAATTCCCGATGCGACCGTTGCCTTGGTCGATCCCGACACAAACCTGCTCTGTGCGCCGTACACCATCGGTGAGGTCTGGGTCGACTCGCCTTCTCTTTCAGGTGGCTTCTGGGCTTTACCACGTCATACCGAGACCATTTTCCACGCCCGCCCCTACCGATTCGTTGAAGGCAGTCCGACGCCGGTTCTCGTCGAACCAGAATTCCTGCGTACCGGCTTGTTGGGATGTATCATTGCCGGAAAGATCTTCATCCTTGGATTGTACGAAGACCGGATCAGGCAGCGCGTCGAATGGGTTGAACATGGTGCACGCGAAGTCGAACATCGATATTTCTTCGTACAGCACCTCGTCAGCAGTGTCATGAAACGCGTGCCGAAGATCTACGATTGTTCGGCTTTCGATGCCAATGTCAATAACGAATATCTCCCGATCGTCCTAATTGAAACGCAAGCGGCAAGTACAGCACCCACAACGACAGGTGGCCCACCTCGCCAGTTGGATATACCGTTCTTGGACTCACTGTGCGAGCGTGTCATGGAGGTACTCTACCAGGAACACCATCTGCGGGTTTACTGTGTGATGATGACTGCGCCCAACACGCTTCCTCGAATTATCAAGAACGGCCGCCGGGATATTGGGAACATGCTGTGCCGAACGGAATTCGATAATGGCAACCTGCCATGTGTTCATGTCAAATTTGGCATCGAGAGGGCCGTCCAAAATCTACCTCTTGGTGATGATCCGGCAGGAGGCGTATGGTCTCCTCTCGCAAGCCAGATTCGACACGAGATGCTAGCAATGCATTCCGACAAGCAATACTCAGGCGTTGACCATCGTGAAGTTGTCATCGACGACAGAACGAGTACGCCTTTGAACCAATTCAGTAACATTCACGATCTGATGCAATGGCGTGTCTCACGCCAATCCGAGGAGCTCTCCTTCTGCACTATCGACGGCAGAGGACGAGAGGGAAAGGGCGTCAACTGGAAGAAGTTCGACCTTAAGGTTGCGGCCGTTGCTAGTTACCTTAAGAATAAGGTCAAGATTCAGGCGGGCGATCACCTGATGCTGATGTACACTCACTCGGAAGAGTTCGTGTATGCTGTGCATGCATGTATCTGTTTGGGTGCTGTTGCCATTCCTATGGCTCCTATCGATTCCAACCGACTAGGAGAGGATGCCCCAGCGATCCTCCACCTGATCGCCGATTTCCGCATAAAAGCCATCCTGGTCAACTCAGACGTCGACGCTCTCCTCAAAGCCAAGACCATCTCTCAGCATCTCAAACAGTCTGCGCTTGTCCTCAAGCTCGCTCTTCCGCCAATCTACAACACTAGCAAGCCACCGAAACAATCTCACGGTTGCCGAGAGCTCGGCTTAACTATCCGGCCGGCATGGATCGGTCAGGGTTACCCAGTAATTATTTGGATCTACTGGACGCCAGACCAGCGAAGAATCGCTGTACAGCTTGGCCATAGCGAGCTCATGGCGCTGTGCAAAGTTCAGAAAGAGACTTGTCAAATGACATCGACACGACCTATTCTCGGCTGTGTGCGAAGTACTGTCGGATTGGGTTTCCTGCACACCTGCATGATGGGCATCTTCCTCGCGGCTCCTACCTACCTCGTCTCACCCGTAGACTTTGCAGGCAACCCCAACATTCTGTTGACGACCATCATGCGATACAAGATCAAAGACACATATGCGACAAGTCAGATGTTGGACCACGCCATCGCTAATGCAGCTGGCAAAGGTGTGACGCTGCACGATCTGAAGAATCTGATGATTGCTACCGACCAGCGACCGAGAGCAGATGTCTATTCGCGCGTCCGTCAGGCGTTTGCTCCTTCCGCGCTCGATCGCACGGCTATCAACACAATCTACAGCCACGTCCTGAATCCCATGATCGCGAGTCGGAGCTACATGTGTATCGAGCCAATCGAACTCTACCTCGACCCAGCCTCACTCCGCCGCGGCCTCATCGTTCCCGTCGACCCCGATCAGGATCCATTCGCATTGCTTGTGCAAGACTCCGGCATGGTGCCTGTCAGCACACAGATCAGCATCGTGAACCCAGAGACCAACCGACTCTGTCACGTTGGTGAATACGGTGAGATTTGGGTGCAGTCTGAAGCCAATGCATACGCCTTTTATGGCTCCAAAGACGTCTTCGACGCCGAACGCTTCAATGGCCACACCGTCGACGGCGATCCTGGGGTACGCTATGTCCGTACTGGAGACCTTGGTTTCTTGCACAATGTCTCCCGGCCTATCGGACCCGGAGGCAACATGGTTGAGATGCAGGTGCTCTTCGTGCTCGGTTCTATTGGTGAGACTTTTGAAGTTAATGGTTTGCAACACTTCCCAATGGACGTCGAGGCGAGCGTGGAGAAGTGCCATCGTGCACTTGTCAAAGGCGGCTGGTAAGTTTGCTTTCCCTATTCTAATTACCACTCCGTGGACGCTCTCAGTGGTGTTTGATGCTAATGTCTTTCACAGCGCCATATTCCAAGCAGGTTCGCTGTTGGTCCTCGTCGCCGAAGTACGAACCCGAGCGTTCTTGGCCTCGCTGGTGCCAGTCATCGTCAATGCTGCCCTGAATGAGCACCAGATCGTGCTGGATATCGTAGCGTTCGTCGCTATGGGAGACTTCCCTCGCTCCCGACTTGGCGAGAAGCAACGCGGTAAAGTCCTTGCGAGTTGGGTCAGCCGCAAGATGCGGACGCTTGCCCAATTCAGCATCCGCGATGCCGATGCTGAAGGCAGCGTTGGGACTATCGTCAATGGCGAGTATGGAAGTGGCACTCGTCCTGGAAGCATGCAGAGCAACGCTATGAGTATTCGCAAGGGCTCAAGTTCACTGCGGCACGTGGAGAGTGTCACTAATATTCCCTCGATTGAGCCACCGCTCATTGAGGGGGAACAATTGATGCTGCAGCGAGAAGATGCTTACAATCCAGCTCATCACGATCCTTACGTATACGACAACGACAGAGTCCCGCAACACCTTATCGATGATGCTCGTGCTCTGGACAATAACACCCCAACCAACAACTTCCGTCAGCAACCCCATCTGAATACTACGCTAGACTATTCTCCCGTCGAACCATACGGACGAGATGACTTCAGTGCACGCGGAGACCCCTCCAACAACGACTACTCCCATCCCCGCTCTAGCTGGGATGCGCCGCTTCACGGTGATAGCCCATCATCTCAACGTCGCATCGGCTCGATCTCATCACAACAACAGCAGCCACTCCACCTTCACCAACAATATGATCACCACAGTCCGCAGGACTTACACCCGCAGCACCTGCAATATGACCAACGATCCGTGTCGCCAGTTTCCCCGATTGAGCCAGCGCCGCTGGCGCCAAGAGGTGGTGGTCTGAGGGTTGCCAATCACTCGAGTGAAGTTGAGAGCGATTGGGCCCAGGAGGCACTACAAACATTGAATTTGAAGGCCAAGTGAAGGCGGTAAAGGAAGACTTTCTGTCTTTTGTCACGAGACAACCTTTCTCCACCATCTCTCGCTTCCTGTAGACGATCGAATGATTTTTACAGATACAAGTCGAAGATCAGAAGAGCCTTTCCCAAGCTGCCCTGCAACGCATGAGCCGATGTGTACAAGCGGCCTTCGAATTGATAAGTTCGCTGATGCCACATCTGGAGATGAGAGCATCGTTTGCCATGCTTCTGCCAGCAACCTGAGGGACAGGATCATCCTCAAAGGAGTTCTGAGATGACTCCAAGCGTTGCCACATCGATGCGCAAACGACGAATACACATTTGCCCGCCCAATCGTCAACACGCGACTCACGCAGACTTCGCGCGAACAAGGAGTGGGTGATCTCATACCCCCTACAAGGTCATCCGCATGCCGATGCAGAGAGACGAGTGGTCGTCATGGAGCCATTAAAGATTTGTCCGACTTAGCGCTTTGTCACATTTACGAGGTTACGAAAAAGACAGTCCCAAATGTCACCCATTATGAGCAATTTTCACTGTTCTCCTAAAGATCTAGAAAGGCTTTCCCTGAAAGAAAAGAGGGAAACTATGCGCCCATGATCAGAAAAGATAGTATTATATTAAGCATTCTCAGACCAATGTCCTACTATTTTCTCCAACAATTGTCCACGCTCCATCGATGACGTTCCGTTTGCATCCCACACAGGGTTGCAACATGACGAAAGAGAAAACCCAAGAAAGTCTACGCGCGCGTCTAAAAAAACACGAAGATTTAATTTCCCGCAGTCGGAAAAAGGCTCGTCCATACCCAATCTCTCCGAAAATCAAGACATTCGTCATCTCAGATGCAAAATATCCTTTTCGCGCATGTCCTTGGAAATTGCCCAAACTCCGGGCACGTGGACTGAGTTCATCTCCAGGGCATTCTGCTGAGAATGCCATGATTGTTTGTATTTTCTGTTTCGCCCTGCTCGCTTTGTCTGGGTGGTCCCTGGGCACTCGGTGATCTCGGAGAAAATGTTGGGGTCTTCGTTTCTAAGTGGTGGTGACGTCGGATGTTAATGGTTAACAGACAAGTCAAGATTTTCGTCCCTTCTGAAATGAGAACGAGCATGATGTGATCCGGGTGTACATGAGCGGACATGGCAATTCGCGATGCAGGTGGCCGTGCATGTGCTTGCCAACGCGCATGCGAGATATTTCACAGATGAAACAGGAGAAGAACACGAAGGCGGAAGCAGTGTTGTACACCAAAAGTAGGAGAAAAGAAAGAGTTTTTGCAATTTATGTAGTTTTTCATCCCGACGATCGGACAGCGATCGATGGGACTGTGTATTCCTCTCGAAGAAAAACGAATTCGAAACAGCCTCGACTGAGAACATTAGGGATATCCACTTGCGAAATAAGACAGCAATTCGAAACCGCGCGCATGTAATCACACACTCATTTGACAAACTCCCTTTCCCATCTGGCCTGTTCTTGGCCACCGCGGTATCATCCAATGCTCGTGCACACATGCTTATTTTGAGTACATGTAGTAGTCAGCACTGTACTCGACCTGGAAGAACTCAGGCTGGCCAGCACATGTCGCAGGCGGGTTACCACCAGCGGTGTTGACACGGTAGATCTCGGTGAAGGCCATGGTGGTGTCATTGGGATCCTTTGCAACAAGCTTCAACCACGGGACGGCACCGTTGCCTTGGTTGCCGGGGCCCTTCATGGCATCGGCGGGCGCGGGGACGGCGGCGATCTTCTTGAAGGCGCCTTGACCATAGTTGGTGTCGTCGAGCTTCAGGTTAAAGTAGGCGGTTGTCTTATCGGTGAAGTAGTGGTGGCCGGAAAGACCGGGGTAGAGCCCACCGTTGGGTGTGTTGGGCAAGTTGACGGCGGTCGGGGTCATGAGGGCGAGCATTGGGGCGTTGGTTGCGGCCATGCACGTTGAGTTGAACAGATTGGCGACGGCACCAATGGCAGCAGGTGCGGCGGTGTCATTACCGGGGGTGCAGGTGTAATTTTGAGTACCGCGGCCAAGAGCGACGTGGTAAAGGGTGAGACCGGCGCTGACTGGAGGAAGGCCCTCAGATCCTATCGGAAATAAGTCAGCGGATTGGCTTGAGTGTATGTCTATTAAATCGGTTTTACTCACCGGCTGGCAATGAAGCCTTGGTTACGTCACAGCGGTTGACAAGCGAGTCGAGATTGATGTTGATTCGGTCGACACCGGGCCAAGGGTGACGCTTGATGAAGTCAAGCATTGAGTCGGCCGAAGCAGTGGCTTGCCACCAGGTAGCAGGGAACCAACGCTTCTCAATGGGAGCAGCAGCGGCGGAAGTCGAGAGCGCGACAACGGCGAGAGTGATTTGTGAGACACGCATGTTGGCGATGAGACTAGAAAATGATCTGATGTGGATTGATGGTTGAATCGAGGATCAATTATTCGGGAACGTGAAAAAGTTTCGTGTCTTTTGGCTCGTTTTGTTTGTAGCGTTCTTATCTGGTCGTCGAAGTAATCGTGTTTCGTGAAGTAGTATCGTTGACAGTGAGGAGACTGTTTGAAGGAAATTCGTCCTTTGCCAGAAAGGGTTTCTTTTTTGGAGATTTTGTTTGATGGAATTGGAATATGACCAAGGAAACAAGGAAATAAGCCGGACCAAGGAAACAAGGAAATAAAAAAGAGGAAAAAAGGAAAAGGAAGAGGCTGAGATAGCTTCTTCGTCAAGGTGTTGGATATGAAATTGATGTGAAATGTCAGAAAGGAAAGAAAGACCGACCTGTCAGAGGGAAGACGAACGCCTTTGTATTGCTCCCGGGCGGCTGAGTGAGCGCAAGAGTAGCACCACACAGAGCGACAACATTTACGTGCACATCGTCCCAAGCCTGCGTGCAGAGTCTGCTGAGCGATGTGTGTGTGGATGGCAACGACGACAACCTTGGAAGTTAGACAAGACGGAAGCGAAGGTGACACCACTTCGGCAATGCTGTGGCCTTCTTGGTGGTGGTGAGTATGACTGCGTGAGTGGTCACGATGCTGGAGAGAGAGGGACGTCGAGCGCTACGGCAGATGAATGGTCGCTTTGTCCACGACCCAATTCGAATCTGTTTAACCGCCCGTGCTATGTTGTTATCCACTTAGTCTTGTATCTTTGTATAGGTGATGATATCGATACGCTGCTCTGATTGGCTCGGACAGCAAGCATGCGGCCGGGCGGAATGGGCCGTGCAGGTTGGCGCAATCAAAGCTGGACGACAAAGCTTCCTTCCAAAGGTTCTTCCTTCTCTGTGAGAGCTTGTCACACTAAACTCGATTCATAGATGTGTGTGGAGCGAGAAGCGTGTTCCAGTTCGCGTGCACAACGAATGCGATTCTTCAAGGTTCTTCCCTACAGGCGTTTGCTCGGGTTCCAATCACATGGCTCCAGTTAGTTCCTACGCCGTTTTCGTTGTACCCATGAAGATAGAGAAGCTTTCCGAACGATGGGTTATTTCGGTGGCTGCAGGTGGTTAGGACTTTGATATACCCATCTCATCTAGAATGTCAACGATCATTCTCTCGGAACGTCCGTCCCACAACGCAGCAACATGATGAGGCAATAAGGAGCCACGTAGCATGTATCGATCGATCAAGATTTCGATGTGAACGAGGCAGGAAAGATGGGCTGACGCGTTCCTGGGCTCACAGTGATCAATACCGAGCCGAACATCCAGAAAGGGAAGGAATAAGCCCAGTTAATTATCTCCCAATTCGGACCATTGCAGAAATGACTCTATCGAAAACATGCAGGAAAAGATAGATTATGTGCCGTTCTGTTCAGTGCTGCTGCAGAGAGAAGAGAAGCCGGGCGCTTCGAGAGGAGGGAGCGCCGACGCCCAAAGCCACGATTGGTGCACGGGACCATCTCTTTCTTCAGGGCTCCAGTTCTCCGCCAGCCACGCGCCCTGATGCCTTCGCGCCAGGAACGCGACTTGGCAGCAATGTAGCACCATCTATCCGACTGCTTCCTGACCGTGGTTCGAGCATGTAACCTAACGAATGGTCCACTGTGCAGTATCCTGAATAGATAAACTCATACTATGGTCGGTCAAGTGGAGCATACTACACCATACGCATGTCGGGTGCGCACACGCCGAACCTTCCTCGGACTGTTGACTAGAACGTCGTCATCACGGCCCGTCTGATGTAGACCCGGGCGCTCGTTGTTCGGCAAATCATGAAGTTACGATCGAGGGAAAGATGCCCGCGCCTACGTTGACCAGCCACGGCTCATGGTCATCCCCATCCAAGCCGGGTTCCTGGCATCCCAAGCCCTCCATCCATGTTCATCGACAGCTCAGATACCAGTCCTCGCGCCAAGTCGCCCATGTTCATCATCTTATTAGTTATGACAATGATGAATGGCGCGCCATTGCCGGAGTTTCTTGGTGTAGCGGGAAGGTGATTGCCTGCTAGAGCAACAGGGTTGGTACAAGTATCTGGTCGCATAAATTATTTTCTACATCTGTACATTGTATCTACCTGGTGACTGGCCGCCATAAGCGCTGCACGAATCGCGTGCCATCCACAATCTATGGGCTTCAGCCAGCTGCCTCGTATACATATACATGCCAGACAAGCCAGACCGAAAAGCTTCCGATACTACTTTGAAGAATGGTTCTGCTCAGCACTACCACATCACGATGGAGTTTTGCCGAGTCGCCGAGCGAAAAGTCGGCACAATCTTCGCCGAGCTTTGGTGCCGCCCTCATTACTGTCAGATGATGCTGGACTGCTATGCCGTCGCGAATCATTCCAAAGTCTGTAAGCGCCTCTTGATATCAGGTGGGTCCAGCGGCGTTTGGACCTGGTCCCCGAAATATGGCTTGTAGCTCTAAAGCAACCCTGGAGGGCTTCGACTCGCGCGGTGAATGCGAGGCCAGGATGACCGTATCTCCACCCGTAGACGTCATCACAGCATCCGAGTTCTGGGTATCATCATGTCTGGGAAGCGCATGCGCCGATCATTATGCTCGATGTCCGAGTTGGGGAGCGAATGACGTGGAGTCCCATATTCCAGGTATTTATCGCCGGAAGGTCCATCGTCGATTCGTCGAATCGTTGTTCCGTTCTTTGAAAGACTTGCACGTGTGCAACTCCACCAGGAATGGCTGATGTAGTAATGTGAAATGTCTCCGCGAGCCTGTCACACCGCGTGCTGTCTCGGCGACCCAACGTCACGGGCTACGCTTTCGAATCAAAATTTGATGATCGCTGTCGCGATACCGTGGGTCAGAGGCGGCAGCGGAGCTCGCAGGAATCATGCCCTTTCTGATCACTCTGTCCTGACCACACGAACGGTCCTCATGAGTCTCGGAATCTTCTTGCTCCGTCGGAGTTGCTCCCTGATGCTCCACTCATCTAGGACTCGACGCGATTCGTAAGGATGTCAACCCAGTCTGAAGTCGCAGGATTGATCTTCCGCCATGCCTCTAAAGCCTCTAATCCACTACAGCGCCTTCAGCACTTCTCGTGGTCAGTGGCAATTGGCAATCACTCATTACTCCTTCGCCTTCCTGATCTTCGGTAAAGCAGGCATCTTGACGTCTCTTCCAAGATTCTGGACCTGAGCTACTGCATCCCCCAGCAGCACTCGGATAGCACCTTCCAGTCTCCTATCGTCTTTCCTTCGAAGGTACAGAATCACGATCCAGAGTATAAGCGCATCCGCAGCAAGGAACTGTAATGTCCACCATCCAGCGCGGACGACCCAGCCCACCCAGGCATCCTTGCGGCGTGTCCGAAGATATTTGCTCGTCTCGAGTTGTTCCCGTAATGCGGCGACCTCCATCGTGAGTTTCATCAGGCTGGACTCGATTCGCTTGCGCCACCGATTATCCGTGGGGCCACCTGCTGATGACGGTCGTCGGAGTGAGAATCGGCTAACTTCTCGACCAGACTCGGACTGGTTGTTGAGGTCTCCATCGTCGACTTGCGAGATCGGTGCATCGACGAATTCCTCGGCGCCTTCCTCGCCCGCTTCGTCCTCATCAGCGAGAGACACAGGCGACAAGACAGCCATTTTCTTAGCCCGGGTACGGTCGAGCGCAGCTGTAGATGCAGTGATGCCGCCACCATTGTCCTCTTCCACATACTCTTGCCTGTCGAAATTCCTGCCAGGGCTGCTGTGTTCCGAGCTGGAGTGTTGAGAGTTGTTTTTGATCTGATCCCAGACGAACTCCAATTCTACCACCAATTCGCGCGCTTCAGCCTTGGTCGAGGCATATTTGTGCATAGTCTCAATCAAGGTTTCAATATATCTCCGCTTCGCTTCCGTCCGACTGAGTCCCTCATTGGCTTTCCATGCATCGTATTTCTCCTGATCCCGCTTCACATCTTGACTACCTGATTGCGCCGAAGGTGGGTCGGCAGTGAGCGCAACATCGCCCTCCATTGCCTGTTTGTAGAGTCCATAGAGGGCTAATCGCGCAGCCGGCGGCGGCTTGTGTGTCCCTGGCTTTATTCTCTTGACTGTGTTGAGTGCATGTCCGAAGACTCGATCTGTGCCACCATGATCAGCAAAGTGTTCGGCATCGCCAGCCTCTGGCAATCGCTGCCACTATGGTAAGACTCACCGACAGAGTCGGACATGGCCAGTCTGTCGTGTGCGCAGTCGCCCGCCTGTGTTCCTATGACTGTCGCAACGCTGGCTGCCCAAGACGATGCGGTTTGTCGCGGTAGTTTCGGAGTTTCAAATTCAAGACTTTCAGGTCTCGTCGAACATAACGAGACTCCAGGAAATTGAAAGAAGAGCACGTGTACGAGGAACAGAATCACACCCGGCCGAGAATATGCGGTGGTCGCGTGGAGGCGCACTTTCATGGTATCATTAACACTCCGAGCCGCGGCTCTGCGACGGAAGCAGTCTAGCCCCCAGACTTTCCTCTGCCGAGTCAGGCCCAGCTAGAAGATCTCCGCATGATGAGATGGTGCACACTTTATCCAACCATTATTACGTAGCCCTGGAAATTCCACTCAGGCACAAGATTACGCTGCCCAGTAGGCACGATCTCCTTTCGATAACGCTCCATCTTCCCTGCTACGCAAAGACATGTCTTCAGTTGAAACCGGACAAAAGATTATTTCACAGTGTGTCTAGTGTTACAATGCAGTCGACTCTCACTCAAGATCGTCTTTGTCACTCAAAATCTTCTCTCCTCAAGGTCTCCGCTCCTCAGGATCGTCCTCCTCAAGATCGTCCTCTTCAAGATCGTCCTCATCAAAATTCTCCCTTTCAAGATTCTCTTTCTCAAGATTCTTTTTCTCAAGATTCTCCCTCTAAGGACCTTTTTTCTTCTTCTGACTTTTCTTCGGGACAGTTTTCTTCTGACTTTTCTTCGGCTCATACGTGGGCATGATTCCCCGATCGCCGCGCCACTCCCCACTGGTTCCACCATCCTTGTGATCCAGTCGTGCATGAATCGTCATGCCTTTATCCACCGCTTTGCACATATCGTATAAAGTCAGTGCAGCCACATTGACCGCAGTCAGCGCCTCCATCTCCACTCCGGTCGGACCCGTGCACAGCACAGTAGCTGTGATCTCAATATGTCCGTGAGGCGTAGTGTCGAACATTTCGCTAGTTTGTCCCCCTTTCATGACCCTAAGATCCATTGCTACTTGGGAAATGGCGATCGGATGACAAAGAGGGATAAGCTCTGACGTGCGTTTAGCTGCCATGATGCCCGCGACACGGGCGACACCGATGATGTCGCCCTTCTTATGAATATTCATGTTTGTTGCCCGAAGTGCGTCCGGTGTACTAAAACAGACAGCGGCATAGGCAGTGGCTGTACGTTCTGTCGCAGGCTTCCCACCGACCTTGACCATGTTTGCTTCGCCATTTTCGGTGAAATGCGAGAGTTGCGGTTTGGGTTGAGCATCTGGCACTCTTGGCTCGCTTGTCTTATTGGGTTTGCTCAAGGAGGTTCGAGAGCTCACTGATCTAATGACTGGGCGAGGTGTTTCGAATGCCGTTTGCTCGGTCCGAGCTTCAGGTGGCGAGCTGGACGCGTCCGCCACTACAGCAGGGTTTGGTGGTGTCTGCCGTCTGAAAGGATTCGGTACAGAAGCCACTGGCGGTGGATTGGTTTCCCCGGAGCAAACTCCTCGTACTTGTGACGGCGTCGGTGGAGCAGCAGAGTTGTGGTCCTTGGATTGTCGATTGGATTCCTCCATGAATCGGAACGGGACGAGATGTTTTCGTATTAGTGGATTCTCCGTAATCGGTATTAATGGTTCTGGAACCCGCTCTTGACATGGTGGTAGTGGTGGTGCAGCCGGGGGCCAAAGTGCCAAGCGAGATTCTGTGGGCGGCGAGATCTCTCGTGTTGGGAGCCTCAAGTCGTCCCTAACTGTATCCGTGTACGCCGAGTTTTGTCGTCTTGGAAGGCCCGGATGTTTTTCGTCTGGATCCCCTATACTACCAGATCTGTTGCTCGGCTTTAGTGGAACTCTCCTAGGCAGAAGACCTGAGAGACTCTGAAACGGCACATCCGCTGATGCGTCCTCGTCATTGCCTTTGGCCTCGAGGGCTTGCGGATCATTCCGTTGGGCAGCCGATGCACTGAATCGGCGTAGTCCTGAGGTGCCGATAGAAATGGGTGGTAAAACATGTGTTTGGATGCGCGACCATGGCGGCGAGCCGCTGGATATCGTTGGAGGCAGGCTGCGAGCGCGGTTCGATGCGGTGACATTGCGTCCATACAGGCTGTTCGATGCCTCACCTGAAATGTGAAGTCAGTCAAAATCCTCATACGCAACTGGCTATGACTATCGCCACGCCACCGAAGTAAACACAAAAGCAATCTTATAACCATGTTACTCATACATCATCAGAGGCCATCGTGTCCATCACCCAGTCACTCGGCGCTCCTTCCTGCTCGAGTATATGAAAAGCATGAAACCTACCCACCAATGAGAATCATGGGTCGGTTTTTCATGTTCTCAAGCTCGCCCATGCCGGCATGTCGAGCTTTCTTCCGCTGCACGGCAGCACCTATTACATCAAGAAGTTGGCGCTCCTTACCTATCCAGCCTTCAACGGGTCCTCTCGGCCCTTGTTGACAACCAAGTTCAATATCTCTCAGTGCCTCGAACGCTGCGTCATCCATCGGATTGCCGTTATGATCCTCCCGCAGTAGATCGCGGAGACTAACTTCGGCGTTGCCGTGAAGACAAACTTTCAAGTTGCCATCTGAGGTAATTCGTAAGCGATTGCAGGAACCACAAAAGTCATTGGTCATGCTAGTTATGAAGCCAATAAGGCCGTTGAAACCAGGGATTTGGAATGTTTTCGAAGTGTCATTCTTGTGCCCTTTCAGGCGTTCGATGTTTGAATGCTTCACGCGGATGATGTCTAGCATTTCCGTATATGGCAGCATCTTCTTCTCCGACCATTTGTTTCCACCAAACGGCATATACTCGATGAAGCGAACCTCCATATCGTGTTCTCTAGTCATCTCGACGAAAGGTAGAATCTGATGGTCGTTAAGGCCGCGCATGGCGACGCAGTTTATTTTGAGTTTGATTCCGGCGCCCAGCTTATTCATCTCTTGCACACGCCTGATGCTCTTCATGACAGCGTCAAATCCCTGCCTCCGTGTAAGGAGCTGGAATTGAAATGGATCTAGTGTGTCCAAGCTGATATTGACCCCTGTAAGGCCAGCCTCCACCATTCCATCAAGCTTACGATGCAAGGAGATGCCATTGGTTGTCAAGGCCAGCTCTTTCAACCCCTGTGCCCTCAAGTCTCCAATCCGGCGCATCAATGGAACAATGTCCTTTCTTACAGTCGGCTCGCCGCCCGTCAGTCGGATTTTGGTTACACCTTGATTAACGAATAGTGCGCTGAGGTAGACGATCTCTGCAGAAGTCAGGATGTCCTTGTCCGGGGAAAGCTCGATACCTTCCTCTGGCATACAGTACATGCAACGCAGATTGCATCGTTCCGTGAGCGATATGCGAAGGTAGTCATGTTGTCGATCGAACGAATCTGTCAAGAATGCAGAGAATGGCTTCGCATCGCGGAGAGATTTTCTGCTACGTGTGGTTCGGGAAGTTTTTGTAGCCAATTCAATGGGAGCATGCGTATCGATGCTAGCCGCTGTGGCAGCATGCCTGCGTGTAGCGAACAATTGTGAATTTGCGATATGGTCAGCCACCCGACCGACCGGCCGCCTCACCTTCGAGAGAGACAGCATTGCCAAGCTTCACAACGCTCGCACAAACGATCAGTCATGATGTTGCCGGAAACGGCGCCGGAGGATTGAAGAAGTCTTGTGGTGGTAGACGTTCAAATGCTCGTTACAAGGCCAGCCATGATTGCTACAGTCCTGAAGACATTTCGAAGCGGCAGTTTGTCAGCAGTGAGCCCTAACGCGGGGCACGGGGGTTCCGGACACACGGGGGTTCCGGACACGATTCTTGAATGCGTTGCATTCAAGAATGAATATCTTGATCAATAATTTATGTATAGTCTTCAAAATGAAGGATATAATACATCAATGCTATCTCTTATGCTGTACAAGTTCTGGCTGTATGAGCTGTTGATCTGCATTTGCTACACCTCGCTGTCCGCTTGGCAGGCCTTGGCATCTCCTCTATTATTTGTGCTTCTACCTCCTCTGTGTCTACTAAGCGTTGTATTGCTTGGACTGACAAAGCATCATCTGCTGGGATTGACTTCCTTTTCCTTGATTTGCGTATGTGCGTTGCAGCATTAGCTGCTTCTAGATCTGTAACTCGTGATTGAAGAAGAGCTGCTGAAGTTGCAATCATTTGAGCTCCTTTAGAAAGTTGATTTAAGGCTTCGAATATTGGAGTTAGTGAACTGCTCTGATGCCTCTCAAGCCTCCGTTTGATCAATGTAGCTTGTTGATCAACTTCTTGAGTAGTCTTTGGGGTCTTTGTACACCATGAACCTTGTGAAAGAGGCCGCGGAGGTGATGGAAATATCGGGTCCAACGTGGACAACACTACTTCAGGGTCGAAGGGGTGCAAACCGGAGCCTCTGAAGCCTGCTCGGATGTTGTTCGATGTTATCGCATCGATATATGCTGCGTAGAGCGTTGCCATGAAGGTGCTCTTGTCGATATGGAAGATATGGTTGCGAATCAAGCCTTGAGTCCGTTTTGAGAAGGCTTGCTTCAAAGGGCCAAAACAACCAACATCAAGCGGCTGCAGCATATGCGACGTATGAGACGGCATCCACAAAAGGACAATGTTGTTATCTTTGCAAAAAGAAGTGAACTCTGGTGTCGTATGGCTCCCATGGTTGTCTAAAATCAGCAGCCGCTTGCTACCAATTGTCTTCGACTTTGTGTGTTTAGCGAAGTGATGGATCCATTGTAGTCCAATTTGATCGTTTGTCCAACCTCGTGGACTTGCTGTAAACATCCACGTTGCAGGCAAGCCTTCGCAGACCCATCCATAGTTGACTTCTTTGCCTTTGAAGATGATAAAAGGCGGTATAGCTGATCCGTCTGCACAAGCTCCTTGGATCACTGTGACCCATTCAGTACCTGTAGGTTTAATCTGCTTTGGCCGACCTTGCTTCTCAACAGAAGTGACTACTTTGGAAGTAGATATTTGTCCTAGTTGAAAGCCAGTCTCATCGAAGTTGTACATGTCTCCAGGCAAGATGCCATACTTGTTGATTGTGTTGCGTACCAGGGCGAACCAGCTTTCAATGACTTCCGGAGTCTCACACAATCTTCTTTGGCACTCGTAAGTCCTTCCTAGTTTGATTGTCAGGGCAGGAGTACGCTTTATGAATGTCCTAGCCCAATTTTGGCCGACTGGTGGAGTTCCTTTGGCTTGGCAGATAGAATTGGCCATTGATCGTACCAGGTTTGTGGTTGGCGATAATCCTTGAGAATCTAGCTTCAAGGTGTCTTTTAGAAGTACCTCTTCTTCTATAGGACTGAGTTTCATCTTCGGTGGTACATAATCTTCTCGCGAAGGAGTTCCTTTCATCCTATCGTATAGCGTTGATTTCGGAACTCCATAAGCTTTAGCAGCAGCTGTGATTGAACTGCACGTATTTGACTTCAAAGCAGATAAAGCAAGCAAGACACTGCCTTCATTTGGACTTATTCGGACGCGTTTTGACGATGCCATAACGCGTTGAAGTCAACGTAGTAAGATTCATGAAGCTCGCGTCCGGAACCCCCGTGTGTCCGGAACCCCCGTGCCCCGCGTTACCCAGGTGCTAGGGACCAGCGGACGCGGGCGGCCCCAGGGCAGAACCCTTGGTGCAGGTGTCGCGACACTTATTACTATTATCTGTGAAGTGAGCAGCAATACTACAGTTCACACAGGAGGTAGTCATGAAGGTGTTGGCATGTTTGTTCGAGGCTGCGGATTTTTCCATGCAAGGCAGTCTTCAAGAATCTCTGTTGCTCCAATACATATGTTCGCTGGTTCGAAAGGGGTTCGTCGGCGATTACATGAATCATTCCAAGTTTATTATCATTATTATCACGGAAGGTTTTTCCATTGGGTTGAGAGCAGCCCTCGAGCGTTCTCATCGCATCCACGTGACCGCGCGTCATGGACCGCCCGGGAGGCCAGTGCATTTGCAGGGAGAATTGGTTGCTATGCAACTTGGCCGAAAACATTCAGGCGGGCGGGCAGCAGCCGCACAACTGCTGTGTTGACGACCTCCACTACGCTGCGGCAATATCTCTACGTATATCATTCTGCCTCGAGTCGCGCATACTGAAGTTCAGCACATCAAAGCCACTGTGCACCTCCTGTATAATAATGCAACTCGCCCAATAACAACGAAACATGTCTCTCACAGAACTTGATCGTGCTCCTGCACTACCCACTGCACCACAACCACTACAGCCGCTGTCGCCGGAGCGCGTCAATGGCACACGACCATCTACAGCAACCACAAGCAACAAATCACCTTCGAAAGGGTCGGCCAACGACAAGACATCCAGACATGATCTTCCATCCCCATTTGCGTCTCCAACTCGTAAAGCCGCAAACCTCTTCGCCGACTACAACCCAAACCGTGCCGCTATGGCCAAAGAGTCTGGCTTCGCGTTGCCAGGCTCCCCAACCATTGGCGACATCCACGCCTTCAAAAGCCATGTTCGCACTAACAGCGATGTTCAAGGGCTTGTGAAGCGCTTCGAGCACCTAGATGTTCGCGATCGCGACGCGGAGAGCAACGAGCGGCGCAAAAAGCTGGAGGCAGAATTACGACGTGCACTAATTGCGCGTGAGGAGGCCGAAGGCGATGCCAAAAAGCTACGGGAGGAGTCTCGAAGACTGAAGAAAGAGGTCGAGGAGGGTAAGGATCGCGAGAGGAGAGTCGGGAAGAGACTCGAGGTAGTTATGGTATGTGCAATACGTATGTTCCGTGCAGCAATCCTCCGGTCAACTGACGGTCGCTTCACAGGAGGAGTACACAAACTTCAAAGAAAGTCATGCATCACAGTCTGCGATTTACGAAAAGGAAGTGCGCAAGGCGAGGAAAGAGGCATTCAAATCATCATCGGCAGTGGTAAAGCTCCAAGAAGAACTGAAGGGTGCGCGCAGCACGCTCCGTGTCGCGCAGTCCACGCTTGACATGGAAAAACGAAAAACGCAGCAGCGGGACCAAGAAACATTCGACGCACAATACAAGCTGGTGTCCATGCAGGAAGAGCTTGAGCAGCTTCAATTGCGCTTGCAGATTGTTGAAGAAGAACGCGAAGCTCTGAAGAAGAACCTGCAGGAAGAAGAAGTCGCCAGGATCGCGGCAGAAGGCAGGATTGCACTCCCGGTCTCCCCACAAGGCGACGATGAGCTCCTCCTGCGCTCGCCAGTGAGACGCTCGCCACAAAAGCGAACATGCCAGACCCCTGGTGACGACGACAAGGAGAATACGGGCGTGATCACGAAGAAGACTCTCGAGATTCGAGGTCTTCTACGAGATCTTGCCGCGGAGAGACGATTGCGCGAACAAGCAGAAGAAATGACCGAGTTTCTTCGCCTGGAGTGTCAATTTCGATGCTGTAGCTGTATGACGACCAGCGAGGGCGGTCATGCAGAATCGCCGGACCTTTCGAATTCCTTCGTCGAAGATTTGGCCTTGATCCGACAAGTTGCGGAGGACGTTCTAGCACCAGTGATCGAAACGCCTGAAGTCGAAATGCTCGACATGGTTGAATCTCCGGTGCACAAAACACGAGAGCAGGATATATTGCCTGAGGCGGCATCAACCGAAATAGAGATGAGCACTAGTCTGCACGAAGTTGAACAAGAAGAGCTTGACCTGAGTCGCACGATCAGGGCGGACACGGTCGAGCCGATCCCGGTCCAGAAAAGCCGCTCGCCGATTGCAAGCAGACCATCCACAGGAGAGCAAATTGAGGCTTCCGATCACGAGCTCGTAGACTCCGGACATCAACATGATAGCTTTCGAGCCTCCACTCCGCACGAACTGACCCTGCAAGTACCGCTGCGCGACGCCGTAAAGTTGACCAAATCGTCACCAACGCTCGACACAACGCCGTATCGGCCGGGGCCGACTATTCGCACCGTGACGACCACCACCACAATTCCAATGCAATTCACCCCGTGCAAGCGCGCCGAGGCCCCACCGCGGACCTACAAATTCCACCCGGAGGATGACGATGCCAAACCCTCGCCGGTCGACACCCCCGTCGACAGCACCGTCGCTACCGCCGAGCCCGCCTTCGACCGCGCAGCCGCGCTCGCTGCGATTGCATACCGTCGCGGCCGCGCCAAATCGATCGCGAATGGCCAGACCACTCCCCGGAAGCAGATGTTGGAGGGCGTCATCAACCTCAAGGAACGGCGCGACATCAGCGCGCCACTACTCGGACAGAAGCCTGGCGTCAAAGAGAGTTCTGCTGCGAGCAAGGGTTCGGCGAGCGTGGGCAAGGCGACGGGACGGAAAACCCCTTTCGCGTGAAAAGGGCAAAGGCCGCTGGTTTGACGTTTCGGGTGTTTTGGGTTTGAACGGGGCTTGGAACTATTTGATATCTTCTACTTAGCGAGGCGCTCCTGGTGCCATCTTATATCCCGGTCTGCTTGATTAGAGTTTTCGCGAGATCGACAATAACTTTGGGCGTAATAAGCATTTCTACTACACATACGATACTTTCTTCGTCGAACACACGATACAAGCATCTAATGATAGACAAGAACAGATTCGCGAGGTCTCCTTTGATTCGTTATCATTGCCATGCCCAATCATGAAGACATCCAAGAAAGGTTTACCGTCTACAGGAATCATTACTCTATTGCAACAATGCCTCGAGCTCCTTGGCGACGGCATCGCCCACCTCGGCCGTCTTCGCCGAGCCTCCGATGTCTGCGGTGCGGATGTTCTTGTCGATGACGATCTTGACCGCCTCGTCGACCTTCTTGGCGAGCTCGGGCTGTTGGAGAGAGTATTTCAGCATCATAGCTACGGAGAGAAGTGTCGCAACAGGGTTGACGATGCCTTGGCCGCTGATGTCCGGAGCGGAACCTAAAGAGAAGAATAAATGTCAGAGTTCACGATCGACTTTATTGGATGATGCATGTCCGACTTGACTTCTTACCGTGGATCGGCTCGTAAATGCCGTTGCACTTGCTCTTTCCATCCGGCGAAGCGGTCAAACTCGCCGAAGGCAAAAGTCCCAACGAGCCGGGAATGACCGAAGCCTCGTCGCTGATGATATCGCCGAAGAGGTTGCTCGTGAGGATGACACCGTTCAGCGCCCGCGGGTTCTTGACCATCAACATGGCCGCCGAGTCGATGAGGTGGTGGCCGAGCTTGAGCTGCGGGAACTCCTTCTCCATGACGTCTGTGACAGTCTTACGCCACAGACGGCTCGTCGCCATGACGTTGGCCTTGTCCAGCGACCAGACCGGTGCTGGAGGGTCCTCAGCCAGCGCCAGGTGGGCGGCGAGGCGAGTGACACGCTCGATCTCGGCGCGGGAGTAAGGCTCGGTGTCCTGGGCGAAGCCGGAGCCGTCGTCCTCGATCCGGTCGCCGAAGTAGATGCCTCCAGTCAATTCGCGGACGATGTTGAAGTTGACGCCCCGGCACACGCTCTCCTTGAGCGGCGAGTTGGCCACCAGGCTCTCCGAGGCGAAGAAGCAGGGCCGGAGGTTGCCGTATGTGCCCATTTCCTTACGGAGACGTAGGATACCTTGCTCTGGGCGGACCTTACCGGTGCCCCATTTCGGGCCACCGATGGCTCCGAGGATCACGGCATCGGCGGCTTTTGCGGCCTCGAGGGCTTCGTCTGTGAGAGGTTCACCGTGGGCATCGATGGAAGCCTGTGATGGATGTCAAATCGAGTGGTCATCACGATGGGCAGAAATGAATGATTCCATAGTCGACGTACACCACCCAGAGGGTATTCCTTCAGCTCGAACTTGACGTCCGCTTTGCTTTTGCCAATCACATCGAGAAGCTGTTGAGGTTCGATCAGACCAAGTGCGTCTCGTTGATAATATTCGAGATTCTACCTTGACTGCCTCAGCAGTGACCTACGCCAATAACTTGTGAGCCTCGTTTGTCCCATCCATGCGTTTCGTCGAATAGCTCACCTCTGGACCGCAGTGGTCACCTGTGGAGGGTCAGTGGGGGAAGTTCGAATACCCTAGCCATGGTCGAATGCTCACCGGGGAAAACAACAATCTTGTATGTCGGCATTGTGGCTGTGATTATAGTATTACGAAATAATACTGAAAGTTGTCTCTTGGGCTGTCAATGGTGTTTCCGTGATTTTTCTCTAGCCACGAATGTGGTGTCGCCCGATGTCGGCCCGATCAATTTGGCGCAAGACCTGGTGAAGTTCTGGCGAAATGAGGAGTTCCACGAAGCTATACAGCAGGGAATTCGTTCGGCGTTCCAAGTCAGCCTCGCCTACCTGGTATGTCTCAATACGAGAAAGACCTGCTGTCGCAACCATCACTGACTGCGACCTCATCTCGTGTTGTTATATAGTACATTGTTCATGAACCTCACTTGAGTCTTTAGGATGAAACCTGGAATGACGATGTGTTAGGGTTACTATCCACTCATTGTTCTACATTGTCTAAGCATTACTGGGTACCTGCGATAACCCGTTCCCAAACGCTGGACATCTATGAGGTTTTTTACATCTTTACAACTTTACAAAGTGAGACTTTCTTCTGTCTGATGAGTATCAGCCTCTCCCATCAATCTCCCTCAGTCTTTCAGTGGCAGTCTTCGCCTTCCCACCATTGGCCGCTCCGTTCCCCGTCAAGCCCAAGCTCGCAAGCGTAAGACCGGACAAACGACTAGTATTCGAGTCCATACTCCCGCTCCTCTCCATCACAGGTGCGCGGAGGAGACCACGGACTCCACCGGCCTTTCGCGCAGGGAGATCGCCCTCGCCGGCTGTAGCAACATAAACGAGATACTTCAGATTGGGCAGTGTATGGCGAATGTCAAGGACCCGCACGCCAAACACATTGTCGAGGAGTAGTCGGACGTTTTGATTTAGGAGAAACACGGCATATTCGAAGCGGAAACGTGGGACGCCTTTGCTGAATAAGGGGTAAGTGCGTAGTTTGAGATCGGCGGCGGTCGTTGAGTTGGTAGAGGAAAATTTGAGGATGCTGATCCGATCGAAGATTGTGCTTGTGCTGCTGCGGTATATCATGGTGTAAGGTAGAGGGTGATCCAGGTAGAACGATAGCATTTGGAGCACGTGAACTACGTAGCCCAACGCAGCTGCTATTCTCTCAGGAGGTTCAGAGTCAAGATCTTCGGAGTTCGGGAGGTGAAGATCGCGGATTGTAAAAGCAAGGGCTTTGCCGGGCTGAGGGCGGATCGGGTAACATTGTTGCAGCTCTTCGCAGATACGACGGCGCTGGTTCTGGACAGCTTTCTGCTTGATGTTGCGCTCATCACTCATACTCGGCAATTCGGGTTGAAAGGCTGCCATTTCATCGGCCTGCGCTCCCCGCGCTTTCCAATCGGCTTGCATGAGATTTCGTCTGGAAAGCAACGCTGTCCGCTTTTCCTCTTGTTGTTTCTTGGCCTTGTCCAATTGTCTTCTGACCACCATCGTCGCGAATTCGATGGTTTTCAGGCGGTCTGCTGCCTGTCTTGCTTGGTCCCGCTCAGCCAAGGCTTCCTCACTGTTATGGAGTATTTCTTCGAGATCAACGGTAATGTTGTCGCGGATTGATAATGCGTCCTGTATGCTGTCGTCAAGACGTGCAAGTCGCAAAAGTGAATCGAAAGACGAAGTGGGCGACACACGCGATGTGCCACTGGTCGAAGGACGACTGCTCGATGCGTAGGTCTGAGGCAGAAGGTCGATCACTGAAGAGCTAGCCGCATAGACTCCGTCACTCAGGTGAAGCAGGACAGCGTTGATGGGAAATTGGCGGTGCACACTTTCCAGCTAGAGAGAGTCAGCTTGGATGCGGTTTCCGTTTGCAGAAGCGCACGTACCGATTTACCCATGTATTGCAAGCCTTGCATGTCTATGGTAAAGCGCAAGAGTTGTTGCCAACGTCGGGTTGAACCTCTTCGAAGCCACACCCGTAGGATCATGTTGTCCGCTCTCGTGATACCTGGTCCACACCCTGTCCAATCGATATGACCAAAGGTTGGATTCATGGTCCTGTCAACCAGTTCCGAAATGTAGACAGCATCTGAGGCACTATTTCAGCATTCATTCAAGCATGCCTTTCTCCAGTGGACACCTACCGACCTTCGAGACCAGGGACATGCAGTGTGAAAAATGTATCCACTAGGTGCTCCGAGACTACATCCTCCAGCCTTTGCTGTCTCTTTGTTGGTGTCGAATTGGCCCATTCCAATGTGCTTCGTCTTCGCATGCGCCTCAGATCTGGTCGTTTGGGAGAAGTGGTGGCGGTGCTGTAAAGCCTTTGCTTCTGCTTGTTGGCTCTGGGACTACCGTTGGCGATGGCGACTGCGTCGGCCGACTCGGCCTCTTCGACCACAGCATCCTCGGCGAGTGACCGCAGATCAGTGGAGCTACGAGAATGGCCCAAGTTCTTCTGCTCACGAAGGGCGACAATCTTGGATGGTGATTTCAAGGATTGAGGTAGAGCATCATCGTCGGTGGTCCTAACGCGCTGGGCCCGCGGAGAGTCTGGAGAGATTGCTGATACATTCCGCAAAGATATGGAGATTAGGTTGCGCAACTTGCGATTCGTCGGTAGGAGTCGCGGACGATCACGGGGGTTTGATGGTAAGCCCATCGCAGAGCTGCTTGAATGCGCCATGCATCCCTAATGAAAGTATGCCTGCCAGTTGCGATGGCAGATTGCGTGAACCTGGTACGTCGAGGGTGCTCTCGTGATACCGTGGTGCAGTGTCATGTTGATACATAGTGCTCTGTAATAAATGCGGCTCAATGTCGAACTGCGTCATGCGCAATTTACATACCCCGCTGCGAATGATTCGTCATGCTATGAACTTACTTCGCGGGTGTCCAACCGTGAGGACGCGTCGATCGCGAGATGAGACTCTGCACTCTAAAATGATGGAAATGATAAGTATCGTAGTTTCGTGTCATGTCATACGCATCATATCAAATATCTGAACCCCTTCTTCATGGCCTCGCCCTCAATCTCAGCATTGGGTCCACCGGTAGCACCGGTGACCTCCTCGCCACGGTCGAGCTTCTTATTTGCCCTGCTCAACACAATTCTCAAAAGCACGGCCATGGCGATGGACAGCAGCAAAGTCCCGCAGTTGACCGAAAATGCAAGAATGTACCGCGGCGCGCCACCATACATGTACGACGCGTAGATCGATGAAGCATTGGAAATGGCATTGATCAATGCCAGTGCTACTGCGCGTTTCGCTGGAGGTCGGGCGATGGTGTTTGAAATCCAAGCCAGAACGATCACGTAGGAAGTGTAGATTCCCGGGACCTGGAAGCATCGATTAGAAATGCCTGCAGTCTCCCATCGTGACGGGGGGAACTTTGACATACCATAAGCAACATTGCGACATATCGCGGCGCTGTGGATGTTGTTGCAGCAGCGAGGATGAACGCCGCGATCGCTACAATCAACGGTAATATGACATGGAACGTCCGTTCGCCAGTCTTGTCAGCATGAACGGCGTTGCAGAAGACGGTGATGACGGCGAGAATGTAAGGCGGTGCCGTGAGGAGCAATGTGGTGATGTTGTCGTAATCGAGCGTTTTGACGACCGACGGGAAGAAGTTGGTGACAGAGCCGGCCGAGACAATGCCCAGCAGCATGAGCATGAGGATCCATACTTTGAGATCCTTGACAGCGAGGCTGAAGCCGCCCCAGAATGATTGCGATTTGCTGTCAACCCAATCGTCGACGCCGACATCTTCTTGTAGACGCCAAACTGCCAATTCGCGCTCTTCGTCCGTAAGCCATTTGGTAGTGCGTGGGAAATTGGGCAACACAAAGAATGCCGCCGCGGCTATGACAACCGTCATGGCTCCTTCGATGATGAATAGCCTGTTACCAGAGTTAGCAAACCGCAATCTTCCACCGTAAATCATCATCGACCCACCATCTCCAGGCAGGAAGTCCAAGTTTGCCGTCCATGCCACTCGTGATCCCAGCAGCGATCAACCCAGCAAAAGCCCCTGACATCAAACTTCCCGAATAGAGCACAGCGGATCGAAACGCAAGCTCCTTCCGACTGTACCAACAAGAGAGGTAGAACAGACAGCCGCCGAAATATGGAGCCTCCACGAAACCCAAAATAAATCTGATCGCGACCAGGCCACCGAAATCCTGCGCGGCGGCCGTGCAGGTCGAAACGATGCCCCACGCCACCATGACGGAGGGCAGGTAGATGGCCGGTTTTCCGATCTTGTTCAGGAATAAGTTGGAGGGAACCTGCATGAGGATGTAGCCGACGAAGAGGATCGACACGGCCGTTTCGTACTGCGAGTCGGACATCTTCAGGTCGGCCTGTAGTCCAGGATGGCCAGCCAGGCGGGCGGTTGCGATGTTGTTCTTGATCGCGAATGTCAGCCTATCCATGAGTTCCGAGAAATGGTCCAATCAGGCACGTACCCGATCGAGGTAGTTCATGATATACATGATGATTATAGCTGGAAGTAATCGGATATCGATCTTGCGGACGAGGGCCTTTTCTGCCCGGATTCGCTCCTCGGGCGTGAGAGATCGAATGTAGGCCGGCACTTCCATTGATGAAGGCCCTACCTCGCGATGGATGGAGTCGGCCGCCAGCTTCTGGTCGATTCGCTCCGTTGAAGACGCCATGTTGTGCGACTGGCAGAATCGATCGCGGTTATCGCAGGCTGAGAGGGAAGTTCTTGGGGAACGATGGAGCGGCACAATCATTTATGTCTTGCTACCGCAGCGCTTGCTCGCTTCGACAGGAAATTCCGTATACACTGCTATTGATCACTCGTCATGAAGACGGCACAGAACCTTCACCGTCACACACGTGCAGGATGTCCTTGATATATAGCCGGCATGCAGCCTGCAGTCCGATCCCGTTGACGGTGTGTGCAAGTTTGGCCCAGAGGAGGGAAAGCAAGTCCCGCTTATGAATGCCGATCGATGTGACACTGCATTGGACCGTCGCATTTTCGCCTCATGGGACAAGGAAGTACCGCAGTACATTTCCATCCCGACGACCATTGAACAGCATTGGATAATGGAAGAGCTGAATCTGGCAGGACAGGTGATAATGTTGATCTCATCCAATGTTTCCTGCGACAGTGCTCTCTCATCGGGTCTCACCAGATCTGATCTTGCCTGGTAGGGCGCGCGCTATACGTTAAACATCAACCGGCCCTTGTCTAGTGAAGACACATTCTGTTAGTCGATCGCGTGGATATGCACGACATATCGAGTCTGATAATACACACCAACACAAAATCGATACAAGCGCAGAGCTCGAACCGAGACACTTGATCAGTCCATCTTCAATCCGCCAAACTCCCGTTGCATCCCATCACAGATTAGTTGTCACCCATCATCATCCAGACGTTCTTCCCCAGCTCCGTCAATACGTCCAACATGAGCCCCGAGGCCCTGCCTCATCCGCTCCTCGCGCCGGATGCGTTTATACTCGACATAATCCTCCGCCTCATCGGACCAAGGCCGACACAGGACCAAGCTCATGTCGTTCTCCGTCGATAAACGCCGGAAGCGGACGATATACGTCACATCTTCGCTCCTCGGCCCACCCTGGATTGACCAGCCGCTGACTTCATGTCTGCGATGAGCGCACAATCACGATGAAGTCGGGTATCAGCCCAGAATCATAGCTGATGTCAAAGCTCAACGCATCCGGAGGGAGACTGGGTGACTTACAGCCCGTCATATCGAATCCCAGCTCTCGGTCTCCAAAAGCCGTGTAAGGTATGGCACCGCAAGACACGCACGGGATTATGCGAATCGACCGCGCCAGACGTGAGGCGGTAACGGCCTGGATCGGCGTTCCTGGTGCGATACTGGAACGTGTATGGAATGGCATCCGGGATCTCATCGTCGTCGGTCATGACGATGGCATAGGCTCCGCGGGAGTCGGCGACGATGCCTCCGTCCAGGGTCGTCCGGTCGATGATGCCGGCTCGGAGAGCGAAGAGCGGACTGATCCACCAACTGTGTGAGGGTTCGCCCCCGCGAGTCAGCACTGAACGGGAGCAGTTCAAAACACACACAAACCCTCCCCTCCGCCCGCCAGCCTTTCCCCGAGCAAGTGAACTCCAAAAGAGGGGAGGGGGGAGGCAAAAGGGAGGGAAAAGAAGACCCACTCTCCCGGCACGAACCCCAAATCCCCACATCGCCTCGACTGCGCCGGGTTCAGCTTCGCGTCCGGCTGCCTCAACCACCTCAGCAGGAGATGCTCGCGGGTGACGTCCGCGGGCCGACAGACCCCGCCCAACCGGGCCCCATCGCCCTCGTACAAGAGGGTGCCCCAGCCCTTCAACGGAGCCCCATATCGACCCTCCCAGCTCTCCCGGAGCAAGTCGCAGCGCTCGACGAGCCCAGAAGGCCACCTCGTGGCGCCGCCGGAGATGGCCTCGACGGCGAGGTGCAGGCGGCTGTAGCGGAGATCGGCCTGGGGGAGGTCCGCGGAGAGGAGCGTGCGCAGGAAGTCGTCGAGGTGCAGGATCTCCGAGCTGGAGAGCGCTTCGGGCCCTTGGCGCGCGATGAGCGGGTCCAGGATGTCGCGGATCCAGCGCGTGCGGGAGAGGAGGTAGGAGGGGTCAAAGATGGAGGTGCTGTGGTGGTGGTGGTTGTGGTGGAGGTGAGGGAGGATGCTGTCGCGTTTGGGGGAGGTGAAGGTCGAGATCAGGGAGAGGGAGGGGATGGAGAGGGGATCCGAGGTGGTCATTATGGCCGGCGTTGTTGTTGTTGTTGTAGGTGTTGTCCGAGGTGGTTTGGCATCCGTAGTGGATGTGGGATCCTCGTTTGCTGGTAGGTTCAGAAGCGCGATGGCTGCCACAAGTGGACCCGGGGATGTTGAAATCAACGAAGGTGAGATTCAGGAGTATCGTTGTGCGTATGAGTCCACTGCCAGAGCGACTGTGGCTTCCCAGCAACACTAGAGATCACCTGCCTAGAAGGCTCTCGATTTGAAGGAAAGGACTGGTTCGTTCTTCGGCAAGAACGAGGCACAGCATGGATCCGTTGCAAGGAATCAACATTGATTTGTTCATCACGGATTGATTAGTATTAGCTATCAGCAAAATTGATTTCCGCTCACTACCGTTACACCGCGCCTTGCGTCGCAAGCCATCAAGAAGAGCGGTTTGTTTCTTCTTCTGTCCTGCGTTCGTTCCGATGTGTTTGAGCCTCCTGCCAGAGCATGATCTACGCCCGATTATGACAGAGGACTCGAGGACCGCACCCCATGAATCCTCAGTCAATGCGCTCCCTTCCCTACGTCTTCGCTTCCTCTTGGACAAACTTGATCGCCGGTCCAGTCCTTCGAACGGCTCATTCGGCCTTCGCCGCCTCCGGGTCGATGATGGCCCCCGACTTGCCCATAGCATCCGTGTCCTCGTCGTCAGCAGGCACAGCACCCTTGTCCTCGCCGACGACACCTGGACGGGTTGGCTGGGTGGCAGTAAGAACAGACTCTTGCTTTGCAACGGGTTCGCTTTGAGATGCAGGGGCTTGGTTCTCCTTGTTCGCGCCCGCAGCAGGTTCCGCTGCTGCCTCAGCATATGTCTTGTCGTCGTCGACGATTTCGCCCGCCTTGGCTTGAGCGTCCTTGGCGACCTCGCCAGCTTTTTGCTGGGCTTCACCTGCTTTGGCTTGCACGTCCTTGGCGAGCTCCCCAGCTTTTTGCTGCGCATCGCCGGCGAGCTGCTTGCCCTGTGCCACCGCCTTCTCGACTGCCGGCTCAGCCTTTCCTTGGGCGTCCTTGGCCAATTCCTTGCCCTTCTCCGCAGCCTTCTCGAGCGCAGGCTCGGCCTTTGCTTGCGCATCCTTGGCCAGTTCTTTGCCCTTCTCCGCAGCCTTCTCGACGGCGGGGGCGACCTTTTGCTCGGCTTCTTTGGCAAGCTTCTTGCCTTCCTCGGCTACCTTCTGCGAAGTTTCGCTGACCTGCTGGGAAGCCTGCTTCGCACTCTCCTTTGCATTGCCCCCGATCTTTTGGCTCAGTTCCAAGGTGCCGTCCTTGAGCGCCTGTAAATCTTTTCGGAGCTGCGCCCGTTTCTCCTCGTCGGTCAAGGCTCGTGCTTCATCCTCGGCGCGCTTGCCGGTGTCTTCGATGGTATCCTTCGTCTTGCGGCTGGCCTCTTGAGACGCGTCGATCACCTTCTTGGCGACGTCGGAGGGCTTGCCGGCTTTGCCGCGGTTGGTGTAGGCCTTGATAAAAAATCTCAAGAACAGGAAAGTGAGCGGGGTGAGGTACAGGAGGTTCAGGTAGATGGCGAAGGCCTGGCCGGTGGTGTCCAGACAGTCGACCTTGGTCAAGTCGGTGCTCCATTTGGTCTCGTGGTGTGGGACAAGCTGTTCTTGGATCTCTTCGATCTTGGCTTGAATGGCGGGTGCGAGTGCCTGGCCGTATTTGTTCGTGACGCGTTCTGCGATGCCCTCTTCGCCTACAGCACGGAGCAGGAGCTTCTTGGCCAGAGCGACCATGTCTCCGGTCGGAGTGGGTGTTTCGATAATCTCAGAGATGGTCGACGTCGCAACGGAGGCGATGGAGCTTGCACTCGAGATGGCCGACTTGATGAAAGAGGTGACCGTGTAAGACGTAGAGACTGGCATGTCGTACTGGAGGAACAGGTGGGTTCCAGCGTAAAGGCTGCCCCAGATCAATTGGACGATTTGCATGGAGGTCAGGGTACGCTTGAGAGCCACGGGAACGCGGATGTTCAGGGCGGACAGCGTGAAATACGTGTACTGCGCGATCACAATTAGTCTCCGATCATACCACATTTGACCACCATGTCAACTTACCATGAGCGTGTGAATGAATGAGTTGACAAACACGAACATCCAGATCGGTGGGCTCATGTAGCGAATACCAGCCCACATGCACAACATGGCTCCACTGTGGTGGTAGGTCTGCAGGGTCGGGCTGCGTTTGCCCTTGGCGACGATGACCAGAGTGTCGACGATCTCATAGAACTTGCTGACGTAGAAGAACCAACCCCAGAAGGCGAGACCTTCGTTCCAGAGACGACCCACGTCGGTCGGGTCCGGGTTGCCGTTGTAGTCCAAGTGCAGCAATGAATTCTTGATCTCCCAGATGTTCAAGGTTGTGTTGTACGCAGCAGCATCGCCGAATCCACGTGGACCGTTCATCTTGCAGAACGCATCAGCGAGTCCGGCGGCGCCGGTGTCGGTGTTGTAGCCCGGCCAGGTCTGGATCGCTGCGCGCAACATGGCCAGGAAGGTCAAGCCGGAGTAGACGATGAGCCCTGCGTTATGTGCGACGACGAGGGCATCGAACCACGGCTGCCTCGCGATCCACCACGGCTTCGGTTTGCCATTGTTCTTCTCTTTCCGCTGGGCGTTGATGGCGTTGAGGACCAAGACGGAGACGATGTAGATGCTTGCGACAGCCACGGGGACCTCCGGTCGGAGGACGGCATGGTAGATGGTGGAGGGAATGGTGAACGGGGCGCGTAGGGTAGCATCTCCGACCGGTGGTGGAGGAAGAGGACGAGCGTCGGGAATGAAACCGAGCTTGGGCAAGCTGAGGTAGATTTGAGGACCGGCCATGGTGGGTGGGTGGCTCGTTGGGTGTATTTCTTGTGTCCTTTAGTCCGAGGGATTGTCTCACGCGCGAGCGAGCGAGGAACGGAAGAAGCAACAGCAGGTGCAGGTGCAGCCGACCTTTGCTGGAAGCAGCAGGAGCAGCAGCAGGAGCAGCAGCTCGGCAAGCGCGAAATTTCGAGCTTGAAGAGAAAGCTGGAGAGCTGGAAAGCTGGAGGAGGGCCGGACGCAGAGAGCAGCTGGGCAGTTGATAATAAATCCAACGGCTCGACTTCTTCCGATCGGCGGTCCAGCAAAAGCTTCACGCGATCACGCCCGTTGATAAGCACGAGGATGAAGGACAAGAAGGCGGTCGTGATGAGTGAGGATATGTGAAAAGGAGGAGATATACCAAAAGGTGTAGGGTGGATGGAAGATCAACAACATCTACATGTGCTATGGTATAGTGCGTGCCCAGGTATTTTACCAAATCAACATCGACCACAACGACAACAGACTCATCATCGTCTACATGCTATACTGTATTGTTGTGCGTGCTGCTGCTGCTGCTGCTGCTGTCACGGCTGGAGGCGCCCTCTCTTCTCTTCCATTTGTTTACTTTCTCGCGCAAACCTGCCTGTGAGGTAAGGTAAGCGCGCGTGTTGGGCCGGCCTTTTCTTCTTTTCCAAAGAGGTTGGCGTCGGAATTTGCAAGTGTTGACATCATACACCTGGACACCTGGGCAATCGACAAGCATCACCGTCCAAGCCCGTCCAGTATCGATGAGTCCCAATGTCACCCGATGTTGCACGTCATCCGTCTCATTCGTTTCCATCATGCTTGGAAAACATGCAACGAATGATATCTACCTAGGTAGGTACGGGTAATAATCTAATACTGTGCAGGTGTGATAATACTGTAATGAGTGAGGCTGCCTGGCCTGACGACTCTCTCCTCTGTTCATTGCGTTTGTCTTGCACCTCATCGTCCAGGGATGTGTATATACCTACCTAGTTAGGTAGGTATATGTATATCGACAAATGATGCATACCTGGGCATATTATATGTAACCCACCTAGGTGGGTACTGTAGGTAATTATACTTTATGTCTACCTCTACATGATATAGGTGGTATGCATTCCATTCTACCATACATACATACATACATACATACATACATACCTATTCTACCGTGCATATCTATTCCATATACTGTAGCTGAAATGATAATAAATCTCGTCATATCTCAATTCTACCTTCTCTCGCGTGCTGCAACTGACGTCACTCGCTCGCAGGGAGGGCATTCTCACATGCGCGCGCGACGTTCCAAGCCCGAAGTTGTCAGCAGCAAGCAGCATCGTCATCATCAGCATCCGTGAACATGCCGGTCTGTCCTGTATACAGCTTGTCTTTCCAATGTCGATCAATTCGCAGGTGTCTGCTGCTCTAAGTCTGTTCTTTTAGTATGGACCAACGCGATCGTGTCTGCTAGATCTTTCGCTAGACCATATATGCATGTGAAGCCTATCGGGGAGGCGAGCGTCGAGAGGAAGAGAAGAAGGCTTTGGCGTACTTGTCAGGCCCCTCGCTAAGGACAATGTACGTAAATCCCGAGGTCTCTCTCTCGTTAGACTCATCATCCTACGTAGCTGGGTTCATACCTATATAGACTTCGATCTGTTCGCCAGGTGACTGTCTCCTGCTTTCAAAAAAGCTTGAATCCAACCACAGTGCCTACCTGGTATCCACCCACCACAGTCACCAATCCCTCCACCCACCCACCACATCGCAGAAACACAAGTCGAAATGTCCTCAGGAGAGAACGCCGCCGAGCAAACCAAAGGCTTCTTCAAGAACCTCTCCGTAAGTCCCACCCACCTCTCCTCTTCGACAAACAAAAGCAAACCTCGATCGACCGCTTCTGACCTCTCCACCGACAGGACACCACCGAAGGCATCCGTCAGAACGTCAACTCCTTCGCCGACAACCTCATCAACAAGGACGCCAGCGCCAACAGCACCGGCCAACCCGTCGGCGGTCAGAAGACCAGCCACACCCAAGATGCCACCGGCTCGGGCATTCTAGGCAGCGGGGATGTCCACACCGGCAGCACCGGCGCCACGACTTCCGCCACTGGCTCCACCACTGGCAACGCAGGATCCGGCCTTCACCCGCATGCACAGGCTACGGCCGATGAGATCAACAAGGTCTTCACCAAGAAGGCATGAACGAGTGAACGAGCGAACGAGTGCTTCATCTCGCCGGTCAGCGCCGATTGCGCTCGCGGGTCAACTGAAGCGACCTGCACGATTCACGACGAATGCTAGGATAGACGAGGATGTCTTTCCCATTATTTAACTTTACACATGCGACAGACAATATAAATACCCATTTCCCATGCTCCCTGTGTCCAGTCGAGAACCAGAATAAAACTACATCTCCAAATTCAAGATCGACCAGCAAATCCCCGGTCGGTTCACAATGTCCTACCCGAAAGGATCGTTCCCAATGACCCGTCAGTCCGACTCGTCGCTGGACTCAAGGCCGGAAAGTCTCTCCTCATCATCACTTTCCGCCGGCGAACTATCATTCGCATTCGTCTTCTTCTTCCCCAGCCCTTCGACCTCCCTCGTCAAACCCACCACCCGTCCCAAGAGCATCTGATTCTCCGCCCGCAACAATCCGACCTCCTCCGTCAACTTCCGATTCGCCTTCCCAAGTGAACCCTCCCGAGACGAGTCTCCCCTCTCCCCCTTCAAGCTCTCGAGACGCTCCGCCATCTGCCTCTCCCTCGCCCTGTTCGCGATGCGGTCCTGTCCGCGCAGGTCCATCTCCTTTTGGAGAAGCTCCCTCGCCCGCGTGACTTCCCAGCGGAGGGATTGGATCTGTGTCTGCAGGTGACTCTGTTCGGCCGTGCGGACGTCTTGGAGGTTGGAGAGGAGGTGCGCTTTGAAGAGCGCGAATTCCCATCCGAAGCGCGCGGCGAAGACGGCCAGCGTTTGTTCCAGGGCGCTCTGGGCCGGGCGCTGCGGTTGTGGCTCGTGGCGTGGCTGGGGTGTTGGTGTAGGCGCTTTCGTGGGTGGGCGTGGGATGCTTGCGTTGGCAGAGCGAGCAGTCGCGGCTGGAGGGGCGGCGGGCGAGTTGCGCTGCTCTTCGGCTGCCCTGGAGGGAGGAGCAGGTAGGCCGTTGGTGATGAGATGCTTGTCCTGGACAGTTGTAGACTGTGGACGAGGTGGGCTCGTTCCGTCAGACTCCGACGAACCACGCCCAACGATGGTTTCGGGATGTCGCTCATGGCCGCCTCCACCGTGAGTCGTTTCTCCTCGGGGACGGCTGCGTGCGGCTTTTGCTGCATCCGGTCCATCCGCGTCGGCTCGTGATTCGTGGCTGAGAGGCCGAGCACCTGCTTCAGCGGCGGGGGTCCATAATCCACGGGAGGCCTGCCCATCACTTCCACGCCTTCTGCCGCGTCTGGTCTGCTCCCCACTCTCACCGTCGCGCTGCGAGTTCGAGGACCACGGCATGCCCTCCGTCGCAGCGTCAAATCTCTTCTTGCTCGGTCTCGAGTCGGGGTTCTCCGAGCCCTGCAGATCTGCTTGGCGCTTGAGGGACATTTTCTTCGAGAGGAGTGCTCGGTCGATGAGAAGAAGATCGAAGGAGCCCTTCAACGGCGGGGAGCCGGCTCAGGCATATATATCTACGGACTTCGCCGTGGGTGTCGTAATGTGCCATCCGCCATCCCTGGCACGTGAAAGCGACGGCCGGCGACACCGAGAATGTTCGGAAACCTTGTGACTCTCAGCTGCCAGCGCATAGACTAGGCTCCGGAGGTCCTGCGATCACATGCGTGCGAGCGTGGTGGTGGATACCCTCATTCGCTATGATGGATCGTCCTGTCACTATGCTGGAGCAGGCTTTCGGGTGGTCAGGGGGCTTCCTTTGTACAAGAGCTCGGATGGGCGTCATCACCAGAGCCGAAAGTCAACACTTTCCCAAGAATCACTTCCATGGGATGAGGCGTCGGAGATTACAGTCATATCTGTCACATTCCAGTACTATCGAAACGTAGCTATTCTACATTATAGTACTTGTCGCTCATCGAGCCATTGATCGGTCATTGAGCCGATGGGAGACCTTTGTTGTCTCCAGTGTGCCGTGATTCGACCACCGTTAAATCAAGTGCCTTCCTGGGCGACGCCAAAACTCCGGAACGATAAAATGTCATTGTTGGCATTGTTGTTACACTTGCGTGATTCGGACGGGACAAGGTCGTGTCTGTAGGGTTAGGGGTATCTCATGACAACTCTTGGCGGAACACTCCAGAGACCACAAAATTGGCCTCATCATTGATCGGTAGTGCCCGTGACTTACCGACTCACCTGAATGGCAGATCCTGCCATTTTGAACGGGACGAATGTCTCCTGCGTCAAGTCAGTGGTTGTAGGAGTTAATCATGCCAGCGTACATATTTGTGGCTGGCGTGATCGGAGCTGCTGTTAGTATTCCTGTGCAGCGTGGGAAAAATATGTGGGAAGGGGCAAAAAGTGCGAGGCTGGCCGGACGTTGGTAGAGGAATCTTGAAAGGGAGAATCTCTCGACTCGCTTGATCTTCATCCAGCTCGAGCTTTTTTGACATCGGGTTCATCATCGGCAAAGTCGATGAAGTCGAAGTCAGAATTATCCTCAAGTCGGCGTTTACCTCGAGGCGATTCGTGTTTTGAAGTTTGATTGTGTAGAAGCGATCTGCCTTCCGGGTCTGAATCGGTTTTACTCGCATCTGCCTCGGCATGTTCGGTACCATCTCCATTCTTCTCACTGGTGGATTGTTCTGTGGAGGTGTCAAGAGGAGCGTTTTCGTCGTCGTCGTATTCTAGGAGATCGTCATTTGTGGGGGCAGCCCCAGAAGCTGGCACCACAGCCTCTTCTGGCTCAGGCATGTTCTGAATGTTGTCTTCATTTGCATATTCCTCTTGCTCCACGGCAGCGTTGTCAAGCTCATCATGAAGCGTGTTGTCATCGGCTTCGTCATTACCAGGGAGCAGAGCTTGTTCAGCACCCTCTTCAACTTCTTCGCCGTTCACTTTGGGCTCTAAATGGTCGTCGTCCTCATGCGCTTCCTCAATCTCGCCTGTTACGAAGTCCTCGTCCCCGACGGCATCATAGACTTCAGCCGCGTCGTCAAACTCGTTGTCCGATTGCTCTTCTGTAGTATCTTCGTGACTCGGCACGCGATTGTCCGGATGTCCCGGGTGCCCTTCTACGTTGCTCGCTGCATATGCAGAATCGTTCGCATCTTCCGTCGAGGTTGCAAGCGCAGCAGCGGGATAGTCGTGAGAGTCTTCGATGGGAGGCTTTGAGGACTCCACATCGGTTTCGGCATCCGCCTGGGAATCCTCTACCTGAGCTTCCGACACGCTGCTCTCAGCTACGACTTCATCAACATTGTCGTTATTGGGATTTGCATTGCTGCTAGCTGATTCGGCGTTATCCTGGAGTTCGTTGTGATGCTGAGATTCGCCATTGTGATCTGCAGCTTGTTCTTCCTCAAATTCATCGGCATACTCTTCATCTGGTTCGTAGTATTCATTATCAATGGAAGCGTGATCGGGTTCATCCTCGTTAGGATGTTCCTCCTGATAATAATCACCATTGGCACTATTCACATATTCGAAGTGCGTCATGCCGAGACCTTCGCTGGCAGCACTTTTCATCTCTGTGATGAGTTTCGAAAAGTTCCAAATCAGCTCGATCGTGAGCCACATGGCCGGGATCTCCTCCGTCGCATCATTCTGGTACAAGTGAACAAAGGTATCCAGAACTTCTTGGAGACTGAATTCGAATGCTCGTGGCTCGTGCTCTCTGAGGGTAGATCTCATGTGGTCGATCTTCAAGCATAACTCTTGATCGTCCGAAATATTCTCGCCAGTGTTGATTGCAAGCTGTTCTCGGCATGTGGCCATAAGATTGGCAAGGCTTAGACTGGCAATGTTGTCGTTCTCCAAAAGACCGTTGGGTGAAGTCTGTGATTTGAATAATGGGAATTCTGTTGACCTATATTTCACCATGACAGGATGAAGACCTGTATCAGTCGGCGGGGGAAGAGTCTCTTCACTGGGTTCGATTCGAGTCTCGATGGTTGAACTCTGTTCTTCTGTCAGACTTTTCTCGTAGTCCACTTCGGCTTGTTGCGTATGATCTGATGCTTCGTCATTCTGTTCAGTCTGTGGCTGCTGAGCTGATATTTCATCATTCTTGACCTGCTCCTGAACAGTGGTCGGTGGATCAATATCCTTGACAGTTAGTTTTCCTTCAACCGGGGCTTTATCATTGTGTACACCGTCCACTGTGGCAGGGATCGGTTCCTGGTATTCTGAAGATGAAAGTGGCGCCGCGACAGACTCTTCTGCAACTAGGCTTTGCTGTTCAACTTGTGAACTTGGACCATTGCTCAGCAAGACTGGGACTAAGCCCGAAGTCTCTTCTGCTGATGATGAGAGAGGGTCTCCAATGAGAGTTGTCTGGCTTTCTGAGGTAGATACAAGGAAGGGCGCGACCACCATCTCCAGGGTAGCTGGCTGAATTTGTCCTTGGTCTATTGCAGGGGCTGGAATTTGTTGAGCTTGGTCATCATCGTAATCGATGAGCTCATCATCAAGGTCGTCCCCAATTGTGGTATTGTCGAGTGGAGGCTCATCTATCATCACTTCTTCGTGTGTGATAATCGTTGGCTCGTCATCGTCCATGTTTTCATCAGTCGCAGTGTCTGGCCGTGCCTGTTCGCCGTCTTCTACCATTTGCTCATCGTCGGTCAATTCGAACGCGATAGGGTAGTCGCTGATGTCAATCTCAATATCGTCGTCCTGGTCCATGCGATGGCCTGGTGACGAGATGTCCATGGCCACATCTGGGGGTGGTAGTGTCGCCATTTGAGGAAGTAGGCCGCAATGTTTATCAGAAGGCTGTTTTGATGATTCGAAGTCGTTTTCCAAATGGACGTTCTGGTCGGAGGGTACTCTACGTGAGTAAAGCGACGGTGTTAGCGTGTTGCGCTGTTCACGGCTTTCGTGATGAGAACATCGTAATGAACTCGTTGTCGAAGGCTGAAAGGGCCGCCGTTTGATCGGAATTTTCTCGAAGTGGTGAAGAGATCGTTCATGTGAAAATGTCCGCAGAGACGAAAGCGATGAATGTGATAGATTAGGCCCCGTTCAAGTGAGTCGTCGGGGTTCGCGCGTGGAGTCACGCGTAGTCAGCGACCCGCCAAGACCATCTGGGCAATTACAGAATGCGTGGCGGGAGCGACCGCGTGCGCCTTGACAGCTTGCCCTTAGACCCTATATGCCTAGCGATGAGGGATTGACCACGGACGTTTGTTGCGATTCTTAACGTATACGACTCGGAGCACACCGATCTGATCGTGTCGCACTATCACATACAAAATGGTATGTCAGCTCATGCGGTATATGGAGATGAAAACTGACAAGCAACAGGTCATCCTTTCGGCAGCGATCACGACCCGTTCGGGGAAGCCAATCCTGGCTCGCCAATTTCGACAAATGCAACGATCTCGGGTGGAGGCACTTCTCGCATCGTTTCCAAAGCTCGCCGACACTGCATCCCAGCATACTACCGTAGAGCAGGACAATGTTCGCTTCGTATATCAGCCTCTGGACGAGTTGTACATGGTCTTGATCACCAATCGCCAGTCCAACATTCTTCAGGACATCTCCACTCTGCACTTGTTCGCGCAAGTGGTTGGCTCGATATGCAAGAGTCTCGACGAACGGGAAATTGCTCGATGCGCCTACGAGCTGCTTTCTGCTTTCGATGAGGTCGTCACGCTTGGATATCGTGAAAACCTCACGATGAGCCAGATTAAGACTTTCCTCGACATGGAGTCGCATGAGGAGCGCATCCAGGAGATCATCTCGCGGAACAAGGAGCTTGAAGCGACTGAGGAGCGGAAGCGTAAGGCAAAGCAGCTAGAGATGCAACGCAAAGAAATATCTCGCAATGCCAGGGCCGGTGGCATGGGCAATGTTCCCCGCGCGCCTTCATACCCAACGTACACCCCTACAACGACTACTCCGGCCATTACAGACTCGTACGACTCTTACAATGCCGCAAAGAATCAACAGTTCAACAAGCCTTTGGCAACCAGGGGGAAGGGCATGCAACTCGGGAAGAAAAAGGCAACCAATTCCATGTTCGAACAGGTCCGCGGTGAGCTTGGTCCAGAAGCAGAGGCCAGCGCGCCTCTTGTCGGCGTTCCTGTCCCGGCTGCGCCCACTGTACAGCCATCTTTGGTGAATACTAGTACCGCAACCGACCGTGAAGGGATCCACATCACGGTGGCAGAATCAATCAGCGCCAAATTGTCTCGCGAGGGAGCCATCGAATCATTCGAAGTGAAGGGCGATCTACAACTACGTATCAGTGACGCAAGCCTCACGCAGATCAAGCTCGATCTTGCCGTTGGTGACACCCGAGGCGCACAATTGAATGCCCATCCCAAGGTCGACAAGGCGGAATTCAAGAATAACAATGTCATCCGATTGACAGACGCTACGAAGGGCTTCCCCGCAAACAACAGCATCCAAGTCGTGCGGTGGCGATTGGTAGCCAAGCCGGACGATGTCACAGATCCGCCAATCAAATTCACGGTCTGGACAAGCGAGCTGGCAACCAACACTTATAGCATTACTGTTGAGTACGAGCTGACTGGCTCAGACCCTCTCAAGGACGTTGTTGTTGTCATTCCCTACGCGACCTCTGAGCCATCTGTGTCCAGCTTCGATGCCGTGTATGAAGTTTCCGGGGACAGCATTGACTGGACTATCGGCGATATCGATGAGAGCAACGGCAGTGGCAGCTTTGAATTCGAGGCTCAAGGATCATCCGAGAGCGAGTTTTTCCCTATGCAAATCAGATTCACGAAGAGCACCCCGTGGGTTGACATTGATGTCCGGAGCGTCAGCTTGGTCAATATGGGGCAAGATCTTGGCTTTAGCAAAGACGTCAGAAGCGTTGCAGAGGGCTACCAAGTTATATAAATGATAATGATCACGAGCAACTTGATCGGGTTCCAATGGAACTGACTTCATGCGGTGCCCGCCGGGCGCAGCTGTGCGCCATCCGGATGATACTGTTGTTGAAAATTGAGCCTTGGATGATTAGACTTTGATGATAGAAGTGTGAACATCAATTGCTAGATAGCAAACGAACACAGTATGCACCGGGCTCGGTGGCGTTTGCGCGTTACCCTCCTCACAAGGATTACGAACTTGTATTCTCGTGACGCAAGCGAGGTCGAAGATTTCTACTCCGCCTTTTCTGTAAATGCACTGTATGCCTCCGCGTCCATCAGGTTATCGACCTCAGCCGCATTGCTCAGTGTAATCTTTGCCAGCCAGCCATTCTCCTCAGGGCTTTGGTTAATGAGCGCCGGCTTGCTTTCAAGTTCAGTGTTGACCTCAGCGATGGTCCCGCTCACTGGTGACATGATGTCTGACGCAGATTTGACTGATTCCACAGCGCCCATCGTCTCATGCTGGCTGATCTCCAGGCCTTCACTGGGCAGTTCGACAAACACTACATCGCCGAGAGCTTTGGCGGCAAAGGTGGAAATACCGATGGTGCCTGTGGTCTTGTCGTCGGACAACTCGATCCATTCGTGATCCTCGGTATACCGCTTCTCCATAGCTAGAAGTTAAATTAACCTCTGAGTCGAATCATACCATCTGAAGGTGCATTCACCTCTCGAGCTTGCGCTGAAGCTGCGTGCCATTGGAGCGAAGCTCCGTACCCGGCATGGCATAGACTGAACCCGGCATTGTCGCGTGACGGAGAAGGCATTGGTGGTAGCGCTGGCCAAGCAGCGTTTCATGACGACGTTAGCCATTGTGTAGAAGGGTCGTGATCGAAGTTGAAATTGTTATGTAGCTCAGGCTAGAGACCGTTCAATCAGAGGTGAGATCTTCGGCGAGTTAAAGCACTCGGGCAAGCTCACGATGCGCTATCAATCTCGGAGAACAATGGAAGCACTGAGCGGATGAGACGTTGGCAATTCTTCTTTAGAGATGAGTAGATTTCCAGCGCACAAAACCGCGTGAATTCGGCATGACCTGACCATTCCAGCGGCCCGGAGTGGCCCATCCATTCTGCCGCTCCCTGACCGTCTTGATAGGGCTTTACCGAAAGCTTGGCACTATACGCTTGCGACCTCATGGCACGCGATCTGAGATCATTGCGAGGTGAGTGTATATTCGCATCAATCACATCTGCGCAAACGCTTACAGCGATCAGCAAGATGCTTTACGAGGTCATCGGCGTAGTAGGTCATCAAATCTGCCTCAATGCAAATCACATCTAATCCCAGTATCAGGTTCGACCTCACAAGGGCATCAGCGAGATCAAAGAGATCGTGCGAGCTGCTGGTCATCTCATCCTGAAAGAAGGTGGCGTGGTACGAGGATTGACGAACTGGGGCACATTCTATCTACCAAAGCCTACACGACGGCAAGGCATCACACACGCCGAAGGTCACTACTTCATATTACGATTCGACTCCTCGCCGAAAACACAGCATTCGGTGCGAAAGGTTTTGAAGCTGGATCCCCGGATGATCAGATTCAGTGTGGTTGGCATGGGCAGTACGCTTGAGGAGATCAAGAACATTTCGGGACACGCAGACTTCATGGGCAAGAAGGCACTCAGCGATGAGTGAGCTTCTCATGTTATGATCACAGAGTCGCCGGCAAGCAGTCGCGCAGACTTTGGGGCACACCCGAGCATCGGCTGAGCATTAGATGAAATCTCGGCAATTTGTATAAACACGGAACAGGCGTTCGGCGATGTCACCTTGGGTTTCGTGCGATATTGTACACTATGGCAGGGAAAAGAAAGCTAGATGCGGGAAGTGTTGCAAATGAGGACAGAGCACGTCTCGTGCGCAGTCAGATCACCTGGCAAGGAACAGCTTTTGTACATTCCCGTCAAAACGTCTGTCTCTATCGCAGGCTCTCCAGCTCAGCTATTCGATATAGAAAAATAAGTTGCCATCAATTTACAGCTACAGCATCCGTTCCGTTAATGATACTTTAGATCATCAGGAGAACCCATTTGCAAAACTTTTATCCTCTGTTGACTCATCAGTGTCCTGTATTTGTATTAGCATCATACACAATTGGATTGGTCTCGTATAGGAGCTTACCAAGAAGCCTGCGAACAGAAACAATTTGCTGTATTCCTCGCTTACTTCAAGAACGCACTTTTCCCCTTTACTGGCTGACTTGAAAATACTGACCGCAGCACGACGATAAGTGTTCAAAAATGCCAATGCTGGCTGTGCCCCTTTGCCCACCACAACAGCTGTGATGACTCTGAGCACAGCTGCCATGATCGTATACAATGCAGGTACGGTCTCATCATCCACATCAGAGGCGAAGAGTCGGCTCTCATCAATGGTTTCGAAAAATCCCGAATTTAGAACCAGTTGGATGCCCTCGACGCTGTGGCACATCTTGAGAAGGAACGCAAATGCGGTATGGAAATATGCCAGGGATGTCTGCGTCTCTGCCTCGCCTCGAAATACCGAGACGATGGCCCCGATGCTAGAGTCCAGGAGTACTGGAATGAAGTTGAGCTTCGACAGGCCGCGCAACATGGATGCATTCGCCTTTCCAGCTTGAAATAATGAGAGCAATGAGTCCAAGAAGAGAAGTGCAGATACTCGTGTGACGCCACGACCAGAAAAGGCGTCTTCCGTGATGACAGTCATGAGACGTTCTCCACAGTTCTGAGTAAGTTGCAGTAGTTGTTTCGAACCTAGAAGCGGCGATGCTTTTGCACCTGCAGATTCTGCAGATTGGGAGACCAGCACAGCACAACAGATACGGTAGCAGCAGTCTCGGAGGGTCAGGTCAGTGCTGCTATCAGTGAGCGCCTTAAGGGCGACCCGATAAGTTGCAAGCAGTCGCTCGGTAGCCACATTGACGGTCTGTTGCGAAGAGCTGAGTGACGCCGGGCCAATGGCTTGGGTCAGCGTCAACGTGACTTTTGCCAGTAAGGTGGCAGCATCAAGACTTTCTGTAAGACTCTTCTCGAATTTCGGCGTAACAACGAGGAGTCCCTGCAATGAAAAGGCGACAATGTCGCTCGACCTGAGCCCGCCTTTTGAGACGACGAGAGACATCAGGTCAGACCAAGCTTCAAGCGCGTCCAGTCGAGCAGTCTGGATGGCAGTCCAGTTGTTTTGACTCAGCAATGATGCCAGAATTGCACGAATCTCGTCGTCGAGCTGCTGCGGATCGGGCACGACGCCCTTGTCAATGAGCTCCCGCTTGCGAAATAACAGCAGCTCCTCGGCCATTCGTAAATCATATGCGGACGCTGTCTGTGAAAGCTGCTTGGTGCAAACAGACATATCAACATCAGCGAGAAGAGCGCAATTGACGTCAGACGCAGTTGTGGTTTCGAGCTCGAAAAAGTCCACCAGGTCGAAAATAGATACAGTAGCTGCTTGCTCACCATCCGGCAGCTTGATTGTGCCCAGCAAGGAACTCATGACTCTTTCTTGAACAGAGAAGGATCCCTGATCAGAAGCATTGCGAAGATCTGATGCGCATAACTCGAAGTATGATTCTCGCACGTGCATGAAATCGCCGATGGCAGTCGCAGAGCTGTCGAGCAGAATGTTGGGATCCTGTAGCAGCTTCTGGTCCCACAACGGGATTTCAGACGCTGGACAATGATTGCGCGAGAGCGCAGCTTGGAATTCCATTGCTCTGAGCTCGGGTCGGACGATGTGCGTCGTCAAAGTAGAAAGCAACAGCTTGAGAACAATGTCGAGACAACCACGCTTGATGCTGAGCAGCCAGGAGGTGTTGCTATTATCGATTGCAATTGGATCGTTTGCAGCGCAGACTGCGATTGCGTGGAAGAGAGAGGCCCCACTAGCGAATGCGCCATTTGGTAGAATGTCCAGGAACCGTTCGTAGCAATTGAACCCAAGCAGGCTGTGTGCCACGCTCGGTCGGCCACCTGAAGCGTCTAGGCTAGAGTTCAATAGGCCCAGCAAAGCTTTCGCCTTGATCAGCTTCGTCGGTATGGCGTCAGACTCCAGGTCCCACTGCTCAATAGCGAATACTGGTCGTAACTCCAACGTGAGGGCAGTGCTCAGATGAGTCAAAACGCCAATAATGCGATTCCCGCGATGCATGCGTTCAACGCCCGCATCAACAGTCTGCGAAAGCTTGCGCGATGAGCCGATCTTGTGCAACAAAGCAATGCTCTCTAAACTTAATTGGATATGGTGGCTGGTGGTGTATCTGGCGACGTCAGCTACGGCTGAAAGTTGGGAAAGAAATATCTCGTCAACAGATGAGAGAGTTGAGACGGTAGCGGGTTGCCGCCTTGAGGCTTGGCTCGCTATTGCTCGTCGAACGACATTGAAATAGGTCGGCTGCAAGTCCCAAGCAAGGTTCAGCAGTTGAATGGCTCTGACGGTGGACTGAACGAGTGGTGATTCCGCATGAGCATCATCCAGTTTATCATCACTGCGCTGGATCGTAGAGAAGAGTGATTGCAGTACGGCTTTGTCGAATAGCCATTCCATAACCCGAGCAAATGGGTGAAGGCGAGTGTACGTCACCAAAGACTTTGTCTCCATTGCAATTTCGATGCTGACATCGGAGAAGTTTGCCATTAAGACAAGATTCTCGTTGAAGGATACTAGACACGTGTGTGCAAACTCCAAGCATGCATAGCGCAGTAAGTCGATCATGACTTCCTCGCCAGCTGCTTGCAAGCGCGCGACCTTCTGTGCAAAAACCGAATGCATGACGAAGTCAACATAAGTGTCTACTCCAGGGTGACGGTGAGGCGCGCCCAAATGCTCTGGGAACGGCAGCATGTCCAATGTGATTTCAGAGAGTGCAACGGGTGAAACAAGCGCGTTCAGCAGTCCAACAAAGGCTGCACCAGCTTCGGCGTTCTCGGCAAAGATTTCGAGATATTGTTTTGCTGAGAATTTTGGCCGACCTTTCAGGCGTGTGACGGATGCGTCAGCTTCTGCTCCAGACACCCAGCTGTCGAGCAGCACCCACACGCCGTTGCGTACCTCGAGTACCTTGTCAGTAAGCAGTGCAGACAGCATATCTAGGCAGCATGCTTTGATGCGAGCATTGACGTCCGTTTTTATCAGTTCAATCATCGTTTTGCCCAAGTGGAACGGCTGGTCTTTCAGTAGCCAATTCCTGGCCTCCGGGCTTGTACGACATATATGAGCCGCCAGGCCAAGGTATGCATCGAGCATTATTCCAGTCTCGGGTTCGGTAAGATCATTATCTGCTGAGCTCGCGTTCTGGCCACTTTGCAAATGAGGTAGGGCTGGTTGATTCCTCAGGGTAGATGCGTATAGTTCGAGCTCGTTGAAGATTTGCGTCCAACTTACGGCGTACGCTTTGCGCAATTTTGTAGTCGACATCCCAGCATCGTCCAGCAGAAAACGATGCGCATTGTTGGCAGATGCATCATCACAAGCAATGGATCGCAAAAGTTGACAGAATGCAGCGACACGTGGTGTGGGTAGACGCTGCGAGACCCAGCGGAGAAAGCCATAAAGACTGCTCTCCTTATCTGCCCAGAATTCTTGGGTGGCATCTGCATCATCGTGAAATGCACAGGCCATTATGACGATGAATCGCTCGAGATCCATTTCAAGTTGGGCAGGTCCATTCAAGGGCTGCGACAGATAGTTGCGCCGCTTCTCATCCTCTTCAGCTCGTAATTTGCGTAGGGTGTCTGGCATGTTTTCGACGAATGCACTCGTAAAGGTTTGTATTTCACGTAGAGCAGTTGCAGAAAAAGCTTCTGATGCACGCGGAACATCGGGTGGGATCGCCACTGCAGGTATGGCGGGAGCCAGATCCACCAGGAAGTCGGTTATGCCGGCCCTTGAAGGTTCATACCAGACAATTGGTCGGAAGAAGGAGGCTGCGGAGAGCAGAAAATGAAAAGCGCGCTCTTTCAATGCATCGAAGAAGAGCGCTGCACGGGCTTCCTCTCCCTTCTTGCGATCCGCCTCTCTTTGCGATGGGTCAATTGAATTGGGGCTGAAACGTGCATTGTATTCAGACAGCCAGAGCACAGTTGCGGCAGACTTGAAACTTGGCAATTTCCATTGAAGCTGCGCCGGACCCGTGGCAAACAATGCATGTAGGTCGCGACCATTCTCGATGGTCATGCTAGGATTGGTAGCAAATGCCTTTGCACCGCAAACTATCACCGGAATGTAATGAAAGGCGATATCAATATCGGTCTCGGCAGCGGCAGCTTTGTTCAGGAAAGCGCGATAGTCTTCTGCCTGCACATATGAGCCCTCGACAAGATGGGCCAAAATCGTGCTGAGACATTCGTGCTGATAAGTCAAAGAAATACGCTGAGCTTGAAGTGCGTCTCCTATATCGCCAGCAAGGCTCTGCCCGGTCATGATGACTTTCTGCTTGTGCTCGACCACCTTCTTGATGTACGACTCTATGTCTGTCAACCCATCGATACACTTGCGCCAGAAAGCGGAGCATTGAGCTTGACCGCCAGAGTCTCCACCCTGAACGATCTCTCGGGCGACAACTTTGAAAGCAGCACTTCTCTCATCGATGATGTCGTTAAGGTCAATACCAGCAGTATCGTGGAGTGTTTCGTCACTGTGGTCGAGTTCCAAGCTAAGGTGCAGAATCATGCGCAAACAGTCGAGCAGGGTCTGTCTCCGATCGTGGAATCGTAACAACGCCCGTAAGGCTTGTGTGGTGTCCGCTATGCTCGAATCAACGGGTGGTGCTTCAATACAAAGTTTCGCTGCCTCCATCTCGTCCAAGTCCAACTCGTCTGCGACCAAGAGGGCATCCTGCCTGAATTGCTCCTGTATGCGGTATTCAACATTGTCGATTCTTATAGTGGTTGGCTGGGGAGAGACATTGGGCGCGAGGACAGCGCGACTCTGCTCATTTTTCTTATTTCTAGCAAGTAGTCGTTTGAGATCATCTGCGCTGGCATCAAGCTGTACGGCAAGGCGCTCAACATTTGGTAATCGGTTCTCGGTGAACGCGGCTAGGTCGCGCTGCAGTATCTGCAACCTGCGCAAGGAATCTTCTCCAGCCATAGTTGTGAACAGGCATATGAATACTCGCTGGTCAAATTTGCGAGCATCTGTTGCTGAAGCCGTTCAAAAGTGATATCAAGACTGCAATGGTGAGGACTACTTATCGTCCAATGAGTAGTCCTTCGATCGGTTCACAATAGACATCACTGGGTATGGGCAGATATAGTCTGTCAAAGGTTGTGATGAAGAGGCACTACTACTGGCGACAATATTCGATTCGCGACATTCGAAGCTCGACGCGCGAAGCTCGAGGTGAGCCCTAAATCACGTGTTTGCATACAAAAGCGATCTGCAGCTCGTCAACAGTAGCTTGCGCTAGCATGCATGTCGCGAACTCTTCAGGTCGTCGACAGCTTGAGTATATGCCTGGTGGGTGTTACTGAAATCTAGTCAGGCCAATACGTTTCTTCAATATCGCCAGCTTGATCATCCGGGTTGCATGCCTCTACTGTGAGCCATCACAGCAACAATTTGCTATACATTTCATACAAAATTGCAAAGCCAACACGTCTTATTGAAGATGTGGAAAGATGTCTTCAGACAAGCCTCTGTCTCTGCTCCCACTTCTGGAGAGATGCAGATCGACTTCATTGAAAGACAGAAAGGCCGCGTTGGTTGAACTCTCTAAGAAATTTCGCGCGTATGGCAGCAATAGCAGTCACTTCCAGTGCAAGACCGCCGAATATCTTGACGTCTTCAACCAAATATTTCGATGCGCTATCGATGAGCATGCCACATACAGCAAAGCCAAGACAGACAAGACCCGTACAATTGTTGAGGAGCGTTTGGTTCTTGTGTCAGAAGCCCTCAGGTTTGCCATTGAAGCTTGCTTACATTTCATGGGCTATATTGTGGTGACTGCAATCCTTGATCATGTCTTGCAATTGCTCATGCCAACTTCGGGCGAACTCTGTGAGCCACTGGCTATCGAATACTCCAAGTGCGTACGGATCATACTCAGCTATCCACCTCATGTAGAGCATCTGAACACTGCTGCAAATTCGGCACGAGAGGCCAAAAATAACGATTGGACAATGATTGCCGATTTCTGTATCGGGTCTGTCGAGCAAATGGTAGGCGAAAGCGCTGACGGTGAATTCGCAGCTGCTGCGGGAAGTGAATCTGTTGCGGTGAGATCGAGCAACTATTCGAGCTATCGCGGTATGATTGCATCACAAAGCGATCGACTTCTGATCCGGCAAGTCGCCGAAGATATGATTGTGTGCTTACAATTCTTGACCGGTGTACCCAACGCACCTGTACTCACCAAAGCTCAGGATATTACGCGGGTCCTTATATGTTGGTTGCAGAGTTCATCAAGCTCTGGGCGCCAGCGTTTGCCAGCATTCGTCGCCATCAAACAGCTACTAATGCGTGTAAGGACAGAAGATACCAAACTTACAGAGGCCTTAACATATGACCTCGTGCTTATCATACGAAAGTCCTGGCCCTCTTCCACTTCTGGCAATTCAGCTTTGAGGGAAGAAATGCTGAAGATTCTTCTTCTGCTCCGCCCTTACTTTTTCGTTTTGTCGGATCAATCACAATCGGGGGTTTTCCGGCGAGAGTTGCAGGCTCTTCTGCTTGCAATTGAATCTGAATACGCAACGCGCAAAGGGTCCAAGGTGCATCTTAGCAGCGACGATCTCCGTTGCGAGCTCACTTTGCGTAGCGAAGATCATAGAACTAAAGTGGCGTCATTGCTTTTCAGCCTTCAATCTCAGGGAGCCGATCACAACTGGATTCTCTTGTGTACACTCGCAACTGTGTACGCTGCTCTTGGAAAAACATCGGCTGAAGAGAGTGTCGACAGGCGCGACTCTGAAGATCTCATCGGAGACTCAGACGGACCTCCACGTTCCAAACGGCAGCGCCGAAGTGATGAGTTTGGCGATCTTCTTGCTCGGACAACGACTGGAGAGCTCGTGAGTAGAATTTCTGCATTGCAGACACTGACTTTCTATTCCGAGCAATACCCACTACCCCCATCCCAGGTTTCGTCTTGTCTGGAAAAACTGCAAGAGACATGTGCAGAGAACAGCGGGCCTGTGAATTGCTGGTCGTTCTTCGCCCTAGCCAGTCTGGCCACACAAGACTGCTCCGCAAACTCTGAACTCGCTCAGCAATGGAACACAGTCTGGCAGCTCGCAGTGCGCGCTCTGACAGACTCGCAATCCTGCCGCGCAGCAGCTTACAGTCTTTATGTCATGTTTGCCTTAAATTTGGTGACACGAGCGGGCGTTAACGAATTGGTACAGACAATGACGAATACAGTCGATTTAACCGGTCCTGCCCTTTTAGCCGACTCTGTGAGCTTACTGTTGCCGATCGTGGTCAAACAATCACAAGAATCAGGTACAGATTTATCTTTGAGGACCACAAACAGCATCGCCGGCTGGTTCAGTCGGGTTTACACACCCAGCAGGTTTATGGAAAGAACGACGTCATCGGACAACAATTCATCAAAGACTGCAGACGTGATGTCTTTGATTTGCTCTTGTCTGGGTCAGAAGGCCCATTTGAGACACACGATAGCCTTCCCGCTCTGGGATACGACCACATCAGTATGGATTCGCTGTGTTTCCGAGAAAGATCTTGTCAGCTATTTGCTGTTGTCTCCGACGGATGATAGAACTCGCGCCCGCCAGGCATTCAACGACCTCCTGGCATGCCCCATTAACACATCCACTGCAAGAGTCAATTCGCAAACATCGATCCTTACACATCTTATCACAGAACTGACCCGGATAAATGAAATCTGGCAAATGCCCACAGATGAGAAAATCCGCCTCACCAGTTCGAGCTCGCTTGCGCAAATTTGCAGATTTTGCTGTGTCATTGTCTGCTCAGCCTTCTGCTGTGCATTTCGCGATGTTCGCCGACAAAGCGAATTGCAGAAACAGGCTCGTTTGCTTCTGGAAGCGATCTGCGAAGTCATGAGCAGCATCCAATGTCCCCGCGCTACTGTTGACATTTTACTTGTTGAATTTTCATCGGTGTTGTCTGGGGTACAAGATCGAGACGAAGATCGAACATCGGGGCATCTGCATTGTCTCTTCGAGTGTGAAAAGATAATATGTGCCCAGCTTTCCGAAGCGCTTGATGCGAGGCAAATCTCCGAAGATAATTTGGGCGATGAAGACCAGATGGACATCGAGATCATGGCAGAGTCACAGGAAAGCAGAGCAGGCAAGTCGAACGCATCTACAACAGAGAACTGGCTAGGCCTGGACACTCCTTTCTGCTTGATCTCGATGCGGTATGGAGTAGCATTGTACGCCAAAGCAGTGGTTTTGATTCAGCAGCAGCAAGACTCAATTGATGAAAATTTCAGCGCCGCGAGCCTTATAAGTGATTACATCCTTGACCAGCCGCCCGAGGCTATTCTGGCTTGCTCCGGTCCGATCGCCATTCTTCCTTCTTTAGGCATGCTCTTCAGCACGGAAGACACCAAGCGTGTACTGGAACGTTTTGTCGCCAATCAGCGTTACTATGCCTTTGTCCGATCTGAGGTTGCAATCGGCAGTCTGGTCGACATCATATCCAGCTTCAAGATGATATGGAGCAGTCAAGATGATGAGGAACTGTACAATCTTGGTCTCGACGTCTACGATTGGTGCGCTTCGATTATTCGTGTCAGCGGGGTACTATCACCAGCAAGCCAGAAGCGACTGGCTGCATTCCTTCTCGATCTATGTCAGACTCATCCAGACTACGTAAAGGGCATGGATATGCCTTCTCCTCGCACTTGTCTTTTTAGTCTCATACAAAGAGGATGCATCGGCGTGCAACATTTCCTGACAAGTCGGGTTCCGGCCATGTTTAGCAAGTTTACTCTGGCAGCCCACGATGCCATGTTCGACGACCTCCAGTCCAGTCTGCCTGCAGAGGCAGAATGGATCGAAGGTATTGCTATGCGGCTTCTGTACCTTTCGGAGTTGGCCTCGGCGTGGCATTCCCTGCTGAGACGATGCGTATATTACTTGTTCGAGACGGCAGGGCGCGTGCAGAAATCTTTGAAACATGCGACTTGGTGCATTAATAACCTCGCCCGATCACTTCCGCTCAAGATGCCTCAGAAACTCTTCTCCACTTTCGCTCCACAATTATTGCACACTTGGCTCGAATCGAGCCAGCTCTCGGAGCTCCCATTCGCTGCATTCCAGTACGTGTCACTCAATGAGCTATTGGTAGCAAATGAGTCTGAAGTGTGTGCCCAACTGATGATGCGAAATGCGGTTGATGATTGGACGGTCATGTCAAAAGCTTTGAAGATGCTGCCCAACGACATTATCAAGAAGTCCTTCGCTAAATCGCTCGCTTACGCCATCGGACGCGACATATCCAGACCACAACAAAATGCTGCCGAATCTGTGGAGCAAAAGTTACGAGACGCGGTGGGTGGGAAGGAGACTTACCGTGCCTTGATATCGCAAGTCTTCCCTACGACTATGAGTTACCTTTATCTCTGTATGCAGCAAGATGACTTCCAGGACTCTTGGCTTGAGAAGAGACCTGCATTTACGAAAGCCTTCGAGGCCCTCAAGAAGATGAAGGATTTCAGCCACTCAGTACGCGTGCTACCGCCCAGTCAACAGCCATCCTTTCGCAGTAAGTATCTTTGTGACCAAATTGAACGACTTTGCAGAAGAGTGGGAGCCGACCCAACCAAACCATGGAACCCTTCGTCATTCATGCTCGCTGCTCGCATGCTCATTGACACTGTGGAGCCGTCACTCGGGCCTTTACATGCATGCCTAGTCATCCGCAGACTTCGGGTGTTGATCGCTATGGCTGGTGATGTGGCATGTACTGGACTTCCGCTGGAGATGCTCATTCATTTCCTGCGATCCTTTGTAAGTGACAGCGAATGTGCTGATGACACCCTAGGTATCTTGCGATACCTTTTTGATCATGGAATTGATCATTTACGATCAACACCAAAATTCTTCATTGGTGCCGTCATTCTACTTATCCTCCGCATGAGGCAGCACTCCAGGCAGGAGCAAGAAAGTACAACCTTGGAGAGTCAGCACCGGAGTACTATTGAACGCATGCTCCAATTTCAAGGATGGCTGGTCGATCTGTTGACGAGAAATATTGGAGACATTTTGGACCATGCTGATTTCACCGGCGCCCTCGCATTGTTGCGTCTGCCCGGCAACTCGTGCAAAGGGAGTGCTGAAAGTCGATTGTTGGTATTTCTGCTCCAGCAGTGGTCTTTCCCCACACTTTGTTCTGAATGGGACGCCTCCGAGGCTGTAAGCATCCTGTCCGAGCAGTTTGAAATATCACTTTCTACAGATCAAGATTGCTTGGGGGACGATACACTCGCTATCCAGTATTCTCCGCAACTCTTCGACATTGCTCTCAACGTCACTCTAGGAGATACCTTTCTGGCGTGGCTCGCCTGTGTTCTTGGGCGAGCCTACGCAGCTAGTGGAAAGGTACCACGCGTAAAGCAGCAATCAGAGTTGCATACGGCCGTGGCCCCACCAAAGCCTCCAAGGCCAGAAGATGCCGCCAACTCAGTGTCAATGATTGCTTCGAGGCTTACAAGGCTAATCTACAGTCGAAAACAGAGCGAAGCTGGTCTGGCCGAGTTCACATTGCGTACCATAACCAAATCAATCTCCGATGCGACAGAACTACTTGCATTTGAACAAGTGTTGCCAGAGATCATCCAGTTGGCTATCCAAGGTGGCACGTTCAAATACGAGCCCAAAGACGTGTCAGATTCTACGATCTTGGGTGCTTCCTACACCGCGAAATCTATTCAGCAAGCTTTTGAGCCATCGAGTTCCGAGACGATCGAAGTTTGGGCCACTGCTGTAGCTGTGGCCATCTGCACGGAGGCTTTAAATATACCTGTGGTAAATTCGATGGTCCCGATTTGTGCAAACGTTCCTGGACTTGCGCTTGAGATACTTCCCTTTCTAATACACATCCTGTTGACGAGAGAGCTTGGCAAGAAGCCGATCATACGAGGAATTCTGTCAAAGGCGGCAATGTTACATTTCAAAGAAGAAGATCCAGCATTTCAACCGAAGCAGTGTTTCTTTCTGAAATTATTGTTGTACCTCCGCAGTCAGCCAATGCCGAGCGAATCAACACAAGTCGATCGACTTCAATGGCTGGAGGTGGATCTTCAACTTGCCGCAAGTGCTGGTGTTCGATGTGGGATGCATGCTGCTGCGCTCTTGTTTGCAGAATCCATCAGTCCTCTACCACAACCCAATAGGCGAACATCGGCACGCTCTACCGGTTATTCAGAGCAGGAGCTATCTATTTTGCCTGATAAATTACTGCTCGAGATTTTCTCCAAGCTGGAGGAACCTGATTCTTTCTACGGTGTGAAGCAAGAGGCTACACTCGACGCAGTTCTTGGACGTCTGGACTATGAGAAAAATGGAACTGGGAGTCTGATGGTTCGTGCAGCGCAAATGGACAGTCGAATGCAGACGACTCATCAACTCATACCGTCCGACGTGGACGGGCTGGTGCACTCTTTGTCAGCCTTAAATCTCAAGAGCTTGACCTATATTCTAGTCAACAATGGACTGGCATCATCAACAGCGAGCTCCGATGCAATGCTTGATGCAGCTCGGTCTTTGCAGCAATGGGATGTAAATCGATTGGAAACCAACGTCAGGCCAGAGGCGATCATATACGATGCTTTCCAAGAACTCAGCCAAAGCAGCAGCATAGATCATCTCCGAGACAAGGTTCGAAACGCTGTCAAGAGCACGGCGAAATATGGAGTGGAGCTTGCGAGATCAGCTCTTATCTCACAGTCCTGGTTTCGATCGCTGGCTGTGCTTTCTGAGTTTACAGAACTTCTGTCAGTCGCCGACGAATCGGAGATGGCATCACTATTGAAAACAGTGCGTTCGCGTCAGGAATGGATGCAAACGGGACAATACGAGGACGTGCATGCGATTCTCTCTTCGCGAGAAACCGCACTTGCCGTGCTCGCAGAAAATGGTAAATTGGGACATTCTATGCACGTTGGTCGAAAGGGGGTGTTGAAGCTGCAAGTCGAAGCCCTTCTTGATGTTTCTAAATTCGCACGCGAACAATCACGTTTGCAAGAAGCTATGACCGCAACGGCATCACTCTCCGATATTGTGAGCAAATGCAGAGATAGCGAACTCAGCGTCAGCGTTGCAGCTCAGGCAGAGACGGCGTACGTACTTTGGAAAGCTGGAGAGGCAACCACCTCGATCCAAATTCTACGAACCGTGTTGGATACTACAGACTTTGAGTTGCAAGACATACCAATCGGCCGGCCGAGTTTACTGGCCCAGCTTGGACATCAGCTTGCGGAAGCGCGTTTAGAGAAGCCAGAGGATATTCTCCAGCTCTATCTCCAACCCGCAATCAATCAGCTAGAGAATCGTCGAGAGGGCGCAGAGGCTGGTCAAGTATACCACGAATTTGCCACATTCTGTCACAACGAGCTACAAAGTCATAGTAATTCCGAGAATTTCCTGCGAGTCGAGAAGCTTCGTAATCGAAAAATGGACGAGGTCACAGAGCTCAAAGCTGGCATCGAGAATTCAAAGAAGGGAAGCCGCGAACGCGAAGACTACGAAAGGTCTTTGAGGAAGGCGAATCAGTGGTTTGCTATTGACGACGCGGAATACCAAAGATTGAAGCAGACGCGGGATATGCACATTCGACAAAGCTTACAAAATTACCTGCTGACACTGCAGGCTTCTGACAAGTACGATGCATCGGTCCTGCGATTCTTCACACTGTGGCTTGAAAATTCGGAAGATCTGTCATCGGGAGACAGCATTGCGAAACACTTGCCAAACGTGCCCAGCTGGAAGTTTGTCCTTCTCATGAATCAACTGATGTCCAGCCTCGAACACAATACATCTACTTTCCAAAACACATTGCGCGCGCTGGTGCTTCGAATCTGTTCCGAACATCCCCATCATGGTCTTCACCATCTCTTTGCTTCGTCCAGACGGCCGGAAGGAAGCGATACTGCGGCAAGGTCGAGATACAGCGCAGCAAAATCTATAGCCTCCGAGATACAGAAGACTCCTCGGGCTGGCTCTATTCTTCGTCATGTCTTTGCAGCGAACAAAGATTACGACGATTTAGCGTGCAGCGGCAAACTTGACAAAGGTCGGACGAGAGAGGCGGTGAAAAACTTCGCCCCGGCCACGAAAGTGGCAACAAACATCCCACGATTACAAGTACCTCCAGCTACCATCACGCTTGCGACTCGTCCTAGCTGCGATTACGGAGATGTGCCAATTGTCATCAGATTTAGCCCAAGTTTCGATATCATGAGCGGTCTCAGTGCGCCAAAGGCGTTAAAGGCTACGGCATCAGATGGTCGAGTGTACAAACAGCTGTTCAAAAGTGGCAACGATGACCTGCGTCAAGATGCCATTATGGAGCAAGTGTTTGAAGGTGTCAGTAAGATGTTGCGGAACCACAGAGCGACGCGTCAACGCGATCTCAAAGTGAGAACCTACAAAGTCATCCCATTGTCCACAAACTCGGGAATTATCGAATTTGTTCCCAACTCCATCCCTATCAACGAATTTCTTCGTCCGGCACATAAAAAGTACCATCCCAAAGACTGGTCTGATAGCAAGGCTCGTGATGACATTAGGCATGCGCAGCAGGATGCTACTGCTACTCGAGTCCAGGTGTTCCGCAAGATCTGTCAAAACATGCGCCCTGTCCTACGACACTTCTTCCTCGAGCGGTTTAACGATCCGGACGAATGGTTTGAGCGGCGGACAGCGTACACGCGAACCACGGCCAGCGTTTCGATGCTCGGCCATGTCTTGGGTTTGGGCGATCGACACTGCCATAACATCCTGCTCGATGAAGGCACTGGAGAAATTGTGCACATTGACTTGGGAGTTGCATTCGAGGCCGGTCGTGTTCTCCCTATCCCGGAACTTGTGCCCTTCCGTCTCACGCGAGATATTGTTGACGGCATGGGCATCACTAAGACCGAGGGTGTGTTTCGGCGCTGCTGCGAATTTACAATGGATGCACTACGGGAGGACAAGAGCAGTATCATGACACTGCTGAATGTACTAAGATACGATCCTTTGTACAACTGGACAGTGTCTCCGTTGCGAGCGAAGCACATGCAAGACGCTCAGGAGACCGGCCAGGATATAGCTGGCTCTTCCCGCAAGAAAGGTGACGAAGCTGGCGAGGCTGATCGAGCACTTTCGGTGGTTGAGAAAAAGCTGTCCAAAACGCTCAGTACGGCAGCAACCGTTAACGAGCTTATCCAACAGGCCACGGACGAAAGAAATCTTGCGACATTGTTCTGTGGATGGGCGGCGTACTTCTAGACTGTGTAGCATTCTCAAACATTAATTTTTGATCATTTCATGGGCGATTTGGCATTTTTTCGAATTTACTTAGATGGCACATCACATGCTGAGATACTCAGCAGCGGTGGATAATGCCCTATCTTTTGGAACCGTGAGGCATTGGGTAGTTCGAAGTACTGGTTTCGTGTCCTTCTTCTTTGTAGGAGCTCTCTGACTGCCAATCCGTGACTCATAAGAAGCCGAAATTCGATGTGAACCTTGGAACTTTGGAAGCCGACGTCACAACCGCAATTGTCATTTCTGATCCAACAAATATTTCAAGTAGCCAGCAGGTTCTCGATTTACGCACATTCATAGCTCTTGAAAGATACAGCGTACACGATGCGATCAATGCTTTTCAATTTCCATTGAATGCGCATCCCAGTAAATTCCTAGAAACGGCCACAAGCTTGTTGATCGACAATCTTCGCCCGACCCAAAACCACAGCACATCGTTGAAACGCACCGAAACCTCCCATCATGGCCGAAACTGCAAAGCCCGAAGATGTAAAGCTTTCCCCCGCGGAGCTGAAGAAAAGAGCGAAAGCCGAAAAACAGGCCCGGAGAGCAGCACAGAAAGAGCAAGAAGGTGGAGCCGCAGCAGCTATGACACACAACGCAAGCGGTGCGATTTCAGGTGAAGCGGGAGCAAAGTCGAACTTCAATGCAGGCGGTGCTTCTGAGTTTAGAGCGAAAGGCGGCAAGCCACCTCAGCAGCGTGGACCTCAAAAGCAAGCGGAGTCAGACAACAAGAAGATCATCACAGCACAGCAAGACAGCCTACCAATTCGGAGGCGAGGTTCGCAAGCCGGGGGAGGTAGACCTCAAGTAAAGAAGGACAATAAAAACGTGGAGCTGTTTGGCCATCTCAACACACAGGTGCGACGGCAGAGCAACGAAGGCGTATCGAAAGATGTACATCCGTCTATCCTGGCTCTGGGCGCGCAGATCAGTAGCTACGAAATATGCGGCAGTAGTGCCAGATGCGTTTCGATGCTCCTCGCCTTCAAAGACACAATACAGCAATACAGCACGCCCTCAGGCACTTCTCTCGCACGACACATGACATCGCACCACTTGTCACCACAGATTGACTACCTGAAATCATGCCGGCCAATATCTGAAGCAATGGGAAACGCCATTCGGTGGCTGAAAAAGCTAATTGTCGAGATCGATCCTTCATACCCCGAGCAGGAGGCCAAGGATTACCTCTGCAGCAGCATCGATAAATTCATCGAGGAACGCATCACAGTCACAGACCAAGCAATTGGAGACTCAGCTTGCAAACAGATCAAAAATGGATCCGTCGTGCTAACCTACGGCAAGAGCGCAATCGTAGAGAAGACGATCTTGACCGCACACAAGAACGGGACGTCGTTTCGTGTCCTGGTCACAGATTCACGGCCGCTGTTTGAGGGCAAGGTGCTGGCGACGAGCTTGATGAATGCTGGGCTCTCGGTAACATACTACCCTTTCTCCGGCATCACTCGCGCTATGACCGAGGCAACCATCGTGCTGCTCGGGGCGCACTCCATGCTTTCGAATGGCCGGCTGCAATCTCGAATTGGAACCGCAAGCGTCGCGATGGCAGCACATAAAGTGGATGTCCCTGTCATTGTCTTGTGTGAGAGCGTAAAGTTCAGCGGTAAAGTAGCACTGGACAGCATCGTGTCCAACGAGCTTGCCCCTGCAGAGGAGCTCATATTACCGGCCCGTTCAACAGGAGCTACTACAAGCACTGCGCAAAAAGAGGATGACTCCACGAAACAACAATCACGATCACTAAGTGATTGGAGGGACATTCCCAACCTCAGGATCTTGAACTTGATGTACGACGTGACCCCCGCGGAGTACATCACCATGGTTATTTGTGAATATGGAAGCCTGCCGTCTACATCTGTGCCTGTCGTGCATCGACTGGTGAACGAAGGAATGGGGATCTAACGAAGGCTCACGCCGTATCAATCACAGTCACGTTTTGAATGAAATCACGAAATTTGGGCTGCCTTGAGGGAGACTATCGTTTTGATTCGCCAAAGCTGCACTCAGTAGGAATGCTCCGCGTACTGCAGAGGTACCTGATGTAATCACTTATCGCCCGTTAATATAACTGAGCGATGCATTCACCATCCAGAAAAATCACCGAAACCCCCACCTGCTTTTTTTGACTTCTTGGTCGGCGGAGGCATTTCATCTTCAGGCGTCAATGCAGCCGGCTCATCGTCGTTCGTAGCTGCAGCTTGCGCTAGATACTTCCCAACGCTGCTTCCAGTCGTCTCGGGGAAGGCTTTCCCATCACTGCGAACCCGTTTGCCCGTCCACGTCATCCTGTCATCCTCAGCTCCACCCTCCAGCCTTATTTGCTCCTTTCTCGCCTCATCGGCCTCCTTTTCAGATCTCTGCTTCAAGAAATCTTCAAATGGGTCGATCAACACTGCCATAGACTCGATCCTGCATGGCCCTTCGGGTTTGCCTTTGTCATCAACAGACACCTTTTCCAGGCGGTCTAGGGTTGGCAAGCCTTCGACTACTCTGCCGAATATGGTATGCTTGCGATTGAGATGTGGAGATGCTCGATATAGAATAAAGAATTGGCTCGTGTTGGTGTCCTTGCCTTTGTTGGCCATCGAAAGGACACCACGAGCGTCGTGTACAAGCGGCCCTTCCATTTCATCTACGAAAGTCTTGCCCCAGCATGACTGTCCGCCTCTCCCAGTGCCTGTAGGATCGCCGCCTTGTATCATGAAGTTCTTGAGGTTGCGATGGAAAGTCACGCCGTCGTAGTATCCGCGCTTTGCAAGCTGAATGAAGTTCCATACTGCTTTTGGCGCATACTCTGGGTACAGCTCGATGTTCATAGATCCAAGATTGGTGGTGATATTGACGTAGCCTTTGGTCTTAACCCGTCTAGGCTTGAGCAGGTACTCTTCGTCGCTCATCACCACACGCTGTGTAGAGGTCGATGGTGTAAGACCAGTACTCGTGAATGATGCAGCCGCTTGTCCGCTAGTGTACTGTGCCGCGTTGTGTGGTACGGCTTTCGCAGCGTTTCTTGACTTCGTCATTTCTGCGTGCGCTATTCGGGCATTTGCCAGAGCAGCAGTTTCGACAGAGGATGCGCCGCCCTGCTCTCGCTGCGCGCGGGCTCTTGCAACTGCCTCTTTAGCCTTGAGAACCTTCCCTGACGGTGCGGTATCGGCATCGTGATTTGAGACCCCGCCTGATCCTTCTCGGCCAGCGCCAGTCGAAGACCTCTCGTCTGAAAGATGCTTGAAAGCACTGAGATTCCGCGAGTCCACATTCTGTGGATCCTGTAACGTGATGATGTCGGACCTTTTGAACTCCGTATCCGAGACCAAGTCGCGCCAATTCTTTGCTTTTATGTTCAATCTTTCGACTGTGTCGTATGCGAAGACATTGCCGGTATTGCGTAGCGCGACGAGGTGCGTATTGTCCGTAAAAACCTTGTACGTGACAGGATCCACGTATTCATTTTCATCGTTCTTCGCGAAGTTCAATTTAATAAGATCAGAGCTCTTAATTGCCTCTCCATTGACTGGATTTGTGCCGTGCTTTTTGATCCATGGTATTATATTGGTCAGGTCGAATATAGTCCCTGACGATGTGCAGACCGGGTGTGAGAAGGGCTGTAGAGAAATTGCACAATAATTGAAGGGGAGACGCTTGAAATTGGCTCCCGGGCCAGTCGTACGGCGTGCATTTGAACCTGCGCTGGCAGAGAATGCGTCTTCAGAAGACCACTCGCTGTGCGTGATCTATGAAAATTGGTCAATTTGTTGTAGCGACTACTGCATGAAGTCGCAGAACCTACGTACAACTTATCCGTCCCTGTATATTGGTCAGTAAGTAGCAGGCTGTAAGAGCGTGGGCGCCTCACCTTTTCCCATTGCGCCTCAGTTTTCGTGCGATGATAACATACAGCGGTTGATGTTTCGATCAATCGCAGACCCGAATCGAAGTGCGTGAGAGCTGGCGCGAGGCGCGTCATCTCATCGGCTAGAGCTCCGAAGCAGTGCCGGAGGTGCTACGCGGTCCGCTCCGCTCTACGACGAAGATCCACATGCCGAACTCGAATGCCTGTGCAATTAATCTATGCAACACCGAAAGATGTAGAACAGCACCATGCCTCTGCCTTCAAGTCGCATGACCAAGCAGCCTGCCAGGCCGGAGAGATACTATCCTGGTAAAGCTCTCGCTGAAGACGTTGTCTCCTCTGATGAATCCGACGAAGAAGATGAGGAAGAAGACGAGCCGGTACCAAGCACGGAATCGAGGGCTCCGCCGCCACGTGTGACTACATTCCCTGCCATTAAGAAATCGGCGCCTTCAATTCCAGTCCAAAAGGCTAAGCCTGAAATTGATCTCGAGGGGTTTGTAACGGCATCAGAGTCCTCTGACACCGAAGAACAAGCGAATGAGGATAGTAGTGGGGACGACGACGACGACGATGACGACGATGACGATGAAGATGAAGAGAGTAGTTCGGATGATGAGCCAAAGAGGCCAATGATTGCGCCCAAATTCATTTCCAAGAATAAGCGGGCTCAGCAGCAGCAGGCCGGAGTGGACACAGAGGCTAAACAAGCAGAGGAGGAACGTTTGCGGAAGGAGAAGGCAGATGCGGTATTACAGGCGCAAATTGAGCGGGATGCGGAAGCACGTGCCGCAGGAATCAAAGCCTGGGACGACGAAGATGTTGCGGACGAAGATGAAGTTGACGATACGGACGGAATCGATCCTGAGGCGGAGCATGCTGCGTGGAAGCTACGTGAGCTGAAACGAGTGCAACGCGATCGTGCTGCACTTATCGCCAAAGAGAAGGAGAGGGAAGAGATCGAGCGTCGGAGAAATCTGAGCATAGAGGAGCGCGAAAAGGAAGATCGCGAATTCCTTGAGGGACAAACAGCCGAGCGAGAAGGCAAAGGCAAGATGGCTTACATGCAGAAGTATTTCCACAAAGGTGCGTTCTTTAATGGCGATGACGAGCAGGACGAGGAGGTCAAGGCCGCGCTACAGCGTGACCTCGCTGGTGTCCGATTCCAGGATGAGACAGGAGACAAGTCAGTGCTTCCAGAGTACATGCGCATACGGGACATGACGCGACTTGGGAGGAAGGGACGCACGCGTTACCAAGACTTGAAATCTGAAGACACAGGCCGCTGGGGAGAGGTCGCTTCAAAGGGTCGAGAGGGCGCGGGTCTCGACGAACGATTCCGGCCCGACAACCGAGGCGGCAGAGAGGAGCGAGAGCGAACAGGTGCCAATGCCGTCTCGGTCGGAGAGCGAAGACACCGAGACGAGGAATCGAATAACGATCGTGACGGAAAACGGACACGTTATGAATGAAGGAATGGCCATTTCATGAACTCATTTACGATAATCTGCCACATCAGGAAACTGGTAGACTCAATCCCCGGAGGACCCAATCTCCTCTTGTGCTCGAAGCACATCTTGCAAGGTCCACAAGCAATCGCAGTCTCACTGCCTCTTCAAACACAGACACCGCCAACACTTTCTGTGTACGGGGTCCATCGGAATCTGTTCGAGGCATACACCGCCTCACATCAAAACACACTCCGCATATCCGCCTCTAATGGCGAATGATTCCGAAAGGATCATGCTGTCATCGATCCGAGCTGAATGCGTGCTTGGTGCGGTTGCGATGGATCCCCCTTGTTCGGAGTCGGCCCCAGTTGATTCTTGCATTTGGTCGGGTCCTCTCTGAAGGGCCGTTGTGGAATCGGAAGCCATGCTTGACTCATCCGATACTCCGCGAGCCGCAAGAACGTCTGCAGAGATCATTGTTGCAAGGTCTGCTTGCATTAGTCTTTTGGGCGTCCGCCGGTGAGCAGTGTGAGAACGGTCACTCACGGTATGCGGGCACAGGTGGTACTATTCTGAGGTCCGTACTCAACAGGCGCTGGTCTTGTGGATCGATAAGGATGCAAGAGCTCTTTTGTGCTTGGGCTGTGGATGGAAAGATTTCGGGAGGAGGTGGAAGACGAAAGATGCTAGGAATTGACGGCAGACGGCGATGCATAAATATGCCACATCGAAGACAATGCTACCGCGGTGCCATGATCAAGCATTGTTCTGATCTTGCTAAGCATTTTGTTCCAGTTGTATTCCGAACAATGGCATTGTGTCGATGGACCTACCACGTGTACTAGGGTTTGGGTAGATTTGTAACCCTTGACTGGCATCGTGGCTCAACGAACAATATGTCAATGGAAGAAACGAGCATTGTTATTGTATAATTTTCTAAACTATTTCCGACGACCCAGAGGTGATTATGTAGCTGGTCGCAACCATTTTCCTGGCGTCCATGAATTCAAAAAGGCCCTGGCAGGGAATTGTTGAACTTTACAGTCCAGATCTACACAGTTGGTGAGCCTCAGACACGTCTATCCGTGACGGTATTCGGGCCAAGCACGACCAAGAGTGTCAGAAATCTTCAGTCTGCATTATATTCTATAGCCACAGACATGAAACCAACGACCATAACATCAACACAATGGCCCTCGAAACGAGCATCGCGTGACATGCTTCCATATGAGCGTCCACCCGCAGATCCCACGGGCTTTCATAAATGTGACATACAGCGTATAGGGGCTATCACTCATCACCGTCATAGTCGTCATTCTCTCCGTCCTCCTCATCATCGTCAAGAATCCTCTCGACGATCAGGTTCCCGCTTCTGCCGATCCGCTCGCGAATGCTGCCGCCCTTTTCAATATCATACACCTCCCTGGGCATGGGTGAAACCAGCTGGAATTTGTAGACATGCTCATATGCCTCGGGCTTGGGAGTTTCCTTCTCATTGACCTCCTCTAGAATGTCGTGACATTCAACGAAGGCGTAAAGATCGTCGAGAGCGCTCTGACCGTCGAATCTCCGTATCACACGCTCCCCTGACTTTAATCGTATGCTGATGCGCACAGCATCCTTGACTTCAGAGCTTGGCTCAGGAGCGATAATCCTTACGCGCCATCGCTTCCATTGTGATAGTTTCCTCGCCAAATCTGCTTTCTGTTCGGCTTTCTCCCTCTCTTCCCTCTCTGCCTTCTCGCGTTCTGCCTCCTCTTCTTTCCTCTTGCGCGCCTTCTCCCTGTCCTGGGCGAGAGATCGCTCGTATGCACTCTCTTGCTCCTGCCGTAGATTTCGGGTTGCTTGTTGCTCCTGCCGTCGCCGCCTCACAGCCGCGAGGTCTTCGTTTTGATTTTGCATGGCCACTCGGAATTTGGCGATCAGATCCTGTACTGCAACCGGGCCCGCTGACGTTGCGATTTTGGACATGGCTGTGGAGGATATCGAGGGTGTGTGCACGATCAGACATGCGTAAGGCAGGCGTGTGACCTTGAGTGCCGTGCTGACTTGATAAGCTTCGGCATCCTGTATGGTCCCGGCCCATAATATGATATTGTTACTGGGGTCCTTGGCGAATGCAATGAACTCGGGAGAGAGTAATGTCTCGCGCACGAACAGTGCATTGTCGTCGTGCTCCGGGGAAAGAATTGCGACAATCAAGAACTTCAGGTCGCGATTTGCAATATCGAAGGCTTGCGCGTAGCCGCCTTCATGGAAAGGCAGCGTGCCATGCGTCACACCATACTCCTCTTCAAATTCTCGCATGAACCGTGCTGCTGTATCCCTCGGGGTCAGGTGTCGGCGACCTGCGCCGCGCGAGGGCCGTGACGCACGTCCGGACCAGAGACGAGCGAAAGTCCGTGGGATGATTGGCAACAAATATCCCACCAATCCAAAGAGTCGTTGAAAGATCGTGTATGTAAGGTTTACAGGCAGTAGCAAGATCGAGAATGGGAAGGGCAAGGACTGCGTCATTTGGCTCTCAGGTGTTGGCACGACTCGTGGCGCTGAGTCAAACCCGGCCGGCCTTCTTTCTCCAATAGACCTCCTTGTTGAGATACTCTGCATCAGATTCTCGGCCTGACGCTGATGTTCTGGCGGAGGCGCGGCCGCAGCCTCGGCGAGAGGGTCGACAGTGCCGGCATCGCCGTCAAAGAAACGTGTGATGGCTATTTGGGCATTCCATTCGCATCTTTGAAGAAGCGGGACTGCTGCAGACAGATCCTGATCTGTTACGGAAGTGAATTGTTGGAGCGCAAGCTGTTGTTCTTCTGATAGCGTGGACAAGTCAATGGCAGCATCCGCCATGATGACTTCACCGAGCTGAAACGGACACGAGAGCAAAGCAGATGGGCTAGATAGTAACGTGCCGATATCCCGGTGTTGAGACGAAGTCGTGCTTCGTCGTCCGGTTGATTTATTGAAGGACACAGTCGGTATTTGAGAGAACGTATGGTATCATCCCGAGGCTGATATCAAATGTAGAAGTGACGCACTTCCACGAGCGCGCCAGTCTGCATACAGTGGTCCCTGGGCAGGTAGCTTGCGTGTTCCAGGCACAGCACTGGGGCAGACGCGGAATTATTCCTACTAACGTCAAACACCACAGCGCGGTCCACCCCAGGGCGTGGTCCACGAATTACGTGTCCACCACCTTCAACATTAATTATCTCAACGAATACTTTATGAATTGCTCTGAAACTCGAATATATTGTACATTAATACTAACTACTCTCCTACACAGGTTCTGGAGTTGTGGGCGAGTGAGCCACACTTACTACACCGACTAGCACGCTTTGGAGGCCTCGGCATCTGCTCTATTATTTGTGCTTCTACCTCCTCTTGCCTAACTATCTCTTGGATCTGAGAGGCTGACAGAGCATAGTCCAATTGGATTACCTTCCTCTTCCTGGATCTACGTTCATGTATTGCTCTATTAGCATCCTGTAAAGCAAAAACCTGAGACTGAAGTAGAGCAGCAGAAGCAGCCATTTCCTGGGCTCCTTTAGAAAGCTGGTTTAAGGCCTCAAAGATAGGTGTCGGAGAGCTGCTTTGGTGCCTTTCTAGCCTTCTCTTAATCAATGTAGCCTGTTGATCAACTTCTTGAGTAGTCCTTAGAGTCTTTGCGTACTATGAGCTATATGAAGCTGGCCTTTCAGGGGATGAAAATGATAGGTTAAGGGTAGATAACATAGTCTCAGGGTTGAATAGATGAAGGCTAGAGGCTCTAAACCCTGCCTGAATGTTCTGAGGTGTCATTGATTCAAAGTATGCTGCTTTGAATACATCCATAAAGGTGCTCTTGTTGATATGAAAGATATGGTTGCGGATCAAGCCCTGAGTCTGTTTTGAGAAAGCCTGCTTCAAAGGGCCAAAGCAGGCAACATTAAGAGGCTGAAGTATATGAGATGAGTGTGGAGGCATCCAGAGAAGGATAATATTGTTGTCTATACAGAAAGAAGTGAACTCTGTTGTTGTATGGCTCCCATAATTGTCTAGAATTAACAATCTTTTGCTGCTAACAGTCTTCATTCTTATATGAATTTCAAAGTGCTGCATCCATTGCAATCCAATCTCATTACTTGTCCAGCCTTAAGGGCTTGCTGCAAACATCCACGTCTGAGGAAAGTGCTCTCTAAGCTATAAATAGTTTATAGTCTTGCCTTTGAAGATGATTAGTAGTGGTATCGCTGAACCATCTGTACAGGCTCCTTGAATAACTGTGATCCATTTATTACCTGTAGGCTTTACCTACTTTGGCCTCTCTGTTCTTTTAGACGATGTAACTACTCTGGAAGTTGAGATCTGGCCTAATTGAAAGCCTGTTTCATCAAAGTTGTATATGTCTTCTAGCAAGATACTATACTTGTTGATCGTATTCTTCACAAGCTCAAACCAAGCCTTAATAACAGCCGGAGTCTTACAGAGCTTTCTCTGACATTCGTAGGTCCTGCCAGACTTGACTATAAGCGAGGGATTGCGTGAAATGAACCTGCGAGGCCAATGCCGGCCAACTTCAGGTTTTCCCTTAGCTTTGCAGATAGCATTAGCCATAGATCGTATAATTTCAAGGGTAGGAGAAAGCCCTTCAGCATCCTGCTTTAGTATATTATTAAGAAGGATGCCCTCCTTAATCGGAGTGAGATTGCTATTCTGTGGCATGTAGTCCTCTCGAGCAGGACTTCCTTTCAATCTCCGAAGTAGCGTTGTTTTCGAGACGTTGTAGGTCTTGGCAGCAGCGGTCACAGAATCGACGGCACCTGATTTGAAAGCTGATATTGCAAGGAGTATACTCCCTTCGTTTGAGCTCATTTGGACGCGTTTTCGTGGAGCCATCGCGTAGTAAAGTGGTTGTTGTGGTGGACACGTAATTCGTGGACCACGCCCTGGGGTGGACCGCGCTGTGGTGTTTGACGTTAAGTTAACGCGGGGAACCCCAACGCGGTCCATACCCCAACGCGGTCCAAGGCATCAAAGAGCATAGCATTCAACAATTGATTGCTCTACCAAATATTGTTGAAATACCTTCAAATTGAAAAACATGGTAGATCAATACTAACTCTTATGATACACAGGTTCTTGCGGTATGGTCTGGACGGCCACACTTGCTACACTTTCTAATACGCTTCACGGGCCTCGGCATCTCCTCCTGGATTTGTGCTTCTACCTCCTCTTGTTCAACAACGTACTGCATTTCAGGAAAGGACAAGGCATTCTCTGTAGTGAATGCCTTCCTCTTCCTTGATTTGCGTATATGCATAGCCTTGTTTGCTTCTTCTA